GAGGAAATCTTGTACTCTCGGCGAGAGATGTGATACTCTTGTGCATATGAACAAGACGTGCACATACAATCTCTCTGCCCAGGGTTACGGCAAAAGGGCAAGTCTCAAAGCTGACACGGATAATGTTCGGGAATACTTTGGCCCACAATGTTGAATCGTAAGAGACTTCACTGCTGCACAGTTCCATGAGGGTATTCTGTGAGGCGCTCCTTCGCTTGCCTTTCTGGATCCGACTCCGCTCTGCCACAGTAAGGTGCTCGTCATTGACATCAAGGATTTGCTGGGAATCAGCCTCGAGGATGCGAATGATTCTGGTGTTTTCCTTGCCAAGAGCACTGTCGAACTCGGTAATCAACCGTAGAACAGTAATGGCAAAAGCCCGAACTCTTCTTGACTGCGAACACAAGAAAAACAGGCCATGTGATTCGATCTCCTCGACGTGGGCAAGGACGCTCGACAAGTCGAGATGCAAAGCTCGGCTGCCGGAGATGGATCTTTCCAGTTGGTCCATAGCTGCACCCTTTGTTTTTTGCTTGATTTCATCAATCCAAATCTGCAACAGCTCAACGTACAGCCGTAAAGTTGACTCGATATGGCCCGGTCCAAGCATACCTTCATCTGACATTGTGGAATAACGCTCATCGAAGTTGAAAATGAACCTGGCAAATCCAATCGTGACTTGCTGCGCGTGCAACTGTCTGGCAATGGCCTTCAGGGACTCTGCTGATGAGGTTGCAATATTGGACTGCACATGAGCAGTACCCGTGCAAAGGAGATTGATGAGAGAATTGAATGGAATATGATCGGAGAGACAACGTGGAAGGGCTTGAACTGCCACATGAAGTAAGTCGTAGAAGCCCTGCTTCTGATCCAGTGTAGTGAGATGATCATCACGTCGGCCGAAACTGAAAGCTTCTGAAATCGGTGTTTTAGGGGTAGTTCCACCGAACTTTTCGTCTAGAACTGCCTGTCCACCAAATGTGTTATCACATAGTAAAGTAATCTTGCCCAAGACTTCACAGAAACGGAAATAGTACTCCTTCACATTTTCACTCAGCCTCGCTGTATTGACAGGTTGCCATAAGTTCGGATCCTGCTTTTCAGTTGCACTCGCCACCGTGTGCTCCGCAAGCAATTGTGGCCTGTGGAAATACATGGGGGTCGAGGCATCGGTGAAAGGATTAGGAAGCGAGCCAGTAGGGATCGGAGGACACAGTTGGTCGCTTGTCTCCAAATCAGACATGGTAGCCAAAAAGGCACGGATGCCAATGACCATTTTCTCGGGCTCCATCTGTTCAATCTTCAACTCTCTGCCAGACAGGAACAAATCGGAGTTGATCAATGGGAATATGATGTTTCGGAAACAGACATCTGGATGCTTGAATCCAATTATTTGAATCAATTGTATCAAAGGATCGGCAAAGACCGGCTCTGCGCTTAGATACGTTCGACGTCCAGTTGGAAGGGCGATTTTCGCCACTTCTTCAACCTTGCGAAGTGTTGTCGTGGGAGAGTCAGAGAAACGGAAGAAGTATGTCCAGACCAGACGACAAATGGCATGGAGGGCAGGTGCACGGGTGGGACGGTCCTTCAGTCGCGCAGGCAAGCTCGAGATCATTGAGAGCCATTGGGCAGAAAATGTCTCCTTATTCGAGATGCAAAGTAACAAGACATTTAGTGAGAAAGAAGCTGCCCAATGGCGAGGTTTAGCGAGAAGCTGCACCAGACGCGGCTGGACTAGGTCTAAGAATTCCTTCCACCGAGGCAGGGAGAGATCGCAGCTGGGGTTGGCAGCAACGGGGAGAAGAAGCTTCTCGATCACATAGCAGTAGGCTTGTTTGATGCGCTGCCCGTGGGCATTGACAAACAGCCGTGCTAGGGATCGCATAAAGTCGCAAGACTTAGGCCATCCTTCAGTATTTGTGGGAAGACGAAGATACCTCATGCATAGAATCAATACTTCGGCCTTTGCGTCACCATCTCGAGATGGACCCTTGGCTGCTTCGTCCTTCTGATGGCGATCGAGTTCTCCCAAGAACCGGTTGGCGACGCTTGGGAAATTGGATTCGCTCATAATACCAAGCAACTGGCCGTATATCCTCCAGTTCGCCATCCGGAGTGGTGATGCTGAGATCTGATCGGGGTCAGAGGTTTTCACCTGGCCAAACACAATGTCCTCCAAGCGATCTGCCATGTCAAGTGTGATTGACGCCAGGCTGCTCTGATTGAAGATCTCAATCAAGACCCTGCAGACCAGATAAACCGAAACCGTGGCGCGTCTCTCCACCAAAGCGATATCGTCATGACGAGCAAGGAAGGGCGTTGATTGCTGCGGCCGTTCCGCGGGAGGAAACTGATCACCAGGCTGTGTCGGCTCGGTGTTGCGACGAAGAAGGGGACCATTCTCGGACGCAGGCGATGGTTTTTGTTCGTTCGTCATCTGTCGTGCGGTGATGGCGGCATCTCCCTTAGCCTTGCGCCAAAACATAATCGTATCGATCAACGGTTTCGGCTTCAGTCGGGCAATGTGACCCAATGCCGATATCAATTGATCAAAGGTCGGGTCCGCTCCAGGCCCGCAGACTTCCTCGACAGGAGCATCGGATTCTCCCAATTTCATGATCGCCTGATTGATCTTGCTATCCGCCTGCCCAACAAACGAGTTGAACAGATGATGTAACGCATATTCTCCCACCGTCTTCGAGTCCGAGTGATGCTTCGAGTGTGACCGGCTATGTGATCTTTCCCGTCGTGTCTTCCCTCCCGAGTTCATGCGTTTGTGGACCAAGTTCGCGGTATTAGCATCCATACTCTCAGTATCGTTGTCTTGTATGGTGCTTAACGTCGGAGGTAATCCATGGCCAGCAGCCATCCCGGATGGGGTGGAATACCCCGAAAGAGAATCAAGGGGATCGAATTTCGCAGGTAGAGTAGCCTCGTCGAAAGCGCCGCGACCGAGAGACGCGATAAGTTCCGGACTGAGCGGGCTGGTGGAGGCGGTTGAACCAGCCATGCTCGGGTTCCGCGAATGCTGCACGCCGTGTACAATCGAAGTCTGGCGGTGATGACCGTACGAGTTCGAAGGCCGTCGTTCTAATCCTTCATGTCCTGTGGGCCGACCGGCCGAAACGTCGGGGCTCTTTGAACCGGAGATACCGCGCCGCGTAAGAGTAGGGGCAAGGGTGGAGGGGTCAGCAGCTCTTCCTCTGACGGCGGAGGACTCGCGACTGTGCATAGGAGTCGACTGGGCAGTCCTGGCTCGGCGATCCGCTGGAGAAGCTAAGTTGTGGTGCGGCGCGGATTTTAAGTCGTCAGGGATGAGGGGCGTTGTTTGCTGGCCAGGGCCAGCTTTGTGGGAAGCCACTATTTTCAGCAATGTCAGACGGTTTGCTCCGAGACGCAGCGGGCGACTTACTGTGTATCAAAGAAACCTCATTGCTTCAGACCTGCAGGCAACCGGTGTATACTTTTCGAGTTGATGTTTTTATCGGGTGCACGGGTGCCCAGATGCCTTGGAGTAAAGGGATATTATTAAGCCTCTATAACTTCACTTCCACACTCTTACTCTTTACTCTTTTGTTCTTTCATTTCTGATGCTTCACAAGATCCTAGTCTTCTATTTTGTGCTCTAAAGCCTTGCAAGAAGTCTATGGAAACATATGGTTGAAGCTCGGAGGGAATGCTCACTTGTACATGTCAGAGTACGGAGGAAGTTACCAGCAGCGTCAGACGTACAGGAACAGGAAAAGATTTCTCCTGGGCAGCTATGTTTCGGATGCCGAGCGGGGTCCAAGACTTGTCTTCTGAAACAGATCTGGCGATGCCTCCCCACACGGAGAACCCGTGGAGGCATACCGTAGAGCATCTGTCCATACTCTGTACGAAACCGGGTGTCTGGTTTATAGGCTTTATGTGTGCTTGGTGAAAAGTAACTTCTACAGTATACTCCGTATCAGCTAAAATGACTATCTAAGTTGAAGTATAGACTCTCTGGTCTCTACGGTTTAGCGTTGTTCTGATACGAGGCTCAAACTTGGACCGTTTGTTACAGGTCTCCTGAGTTTTCAAGCCTCAAATTATATCCACTGAGGGGTCAAGGGCGAGCAACTCCTTGTTACAGTGTGTCTCTTCAGACATAGAGTTACCGTTGGAAAGCCTATAGTGCACGAATATAACTGCAACCTCGGATTATGTGGGGGATTGACATGACTGGTCATACCTAGCACCACCTAGTAGCACAGTCGATATCGAAGAATCAGTGGCAAATAGATATCCTGAGTTCATAGGAAGACAGAGAGAGATCCAAGTCACACACGGTTGAAGCCGTTTGACATAAGTTATCAATTAACGTTCCACTCCAAGGATATCTTCACATGTGGGGGAATCCTCATTCCGCCGCAGCCGAGCTCAAAGAGGCAACTCGCCACGGGTCTGGGGATATCTTCACAACTAACGGAATGTATTCCGCGGGGTTGACAGGTGAATGAAGGCCGGCAAACTCGGGGGAGTGGGGAGTGCGGCGAACAAGATAGAAACTTGTGATCTCCCGAATAGCCTTGCCGCAACCCCTATAATACCCGCTCTCCGCCTTCACATGAGGCAAAACTATCGAGAACACTGGTAGTCAACAAGTGGTCGTTGATGAGGCTGGATGTTATAAAGGCTGATTTCCCGATCGATTTCCCCGGGATTCCCCACGTTAGAAATTATATATACGGGGATGTGGTGACTTTTACTATTCCCTGCCCATTTGCCTTATCTCTGTACTTTACACGCCGAACATCCCTCTACAGTCAGCGGTGAGTGGCAGATCCACACGGAGCCAGGACATTCCGACCTGCAGATCAGACCACCGTTGCTTCTCTCTTCCTCTTCCTCTTGAGGTTTACCCAGGGGTCTTTTTGGTGGGCTTAGAACTACTTTTTGTATTTGGTTTTTGCCCGCTTTGTCTTGGAACACAATCCAACCCCTCCCGGGAAACATCGTTCTCCCCCGTTCCAATGGCGCAACTGGACACACTCGACCTGGTGGTTCTGGTCGCTCTCTTGGTGGGTAGCGTTGCCTACTTCACCAAGGGGAGTTACTGGGCCGTTCCCAAGGACCCTTATGCCTCTTCAGGCGCCGCCCTGAATGGTGCCGCCAAGAGCGGCAAAACTCGCGACATCGTGGAGAAGATGGAGGAGACAAACAAGAACTGTGTGATTTTCTATGGCTCCCAGACCGGTACCGCGGAGGATTATGCGTCCCGTCTGGCTAAGGAAGGCTCTCAGCGCTTCGGCCTGAAGACCATGGTGGCCGATATTGAGGATTATGACTATGAGAACCTCGACAAGTTCCCCGAGGACAAGGTCGCATTCTTTGTGCTGGCCACCTATGGTGAGGGTGAACCCACTGACAACGCCGTGGAATTCTACCAGTTCTTCACCGGTGAGGACATCGCCTTTGAGAGCGGTGCCACCAGCGACGACCAGCCCCTCTCCTCCATGAAGTACGTCGCATTCGGTCTCGGCAACAACACTTATGAACACTACAACGCCATGGTCCGTCAAGTCGATTCCGCCTTGACTAAGCTGGCGCGCAGCGCATTGGTGACGCTGGTGAGGGTGATGATGGTGCCGGTACTATGGAGGAGGACTTCCTCGCCTGGAAGGAGCCCATGTGGGCTGCTCTGTCCGACGCCATGGGTCTCCAGGAACGCGAAGCTGTCTACGAAGCGGTATTCTCTGTGAGCGAGGAAGACGAGAGGTCCCCCGAGGACGAGACTGTCTACCTCGGTGAGCCAACTGCTGCCCACCGTGAGGGACGCGCCAAGGGTCCCTTCTCTGCCCACAACCCGTATATTGCCCCGATCGTCGAATCCAAGGAACTCTTCACTGTCAAGGACCGTAACTGTCTGCACATGGAAATCAACATTGCCGGTAGCAACCTCAGCTACCAGACAGGTGACCACATCGCTGTCTGGCCTACCAACGCTGGTGCCGAGGTCGATCGTTTCCTCCAGGTCTTTGGTATTGAGGACAAACGTCACTCGGTCATCAGTATCAAGGGCATCGATGTCACTGCCAAGGTTCCTATCCCGACTCCTACAACCTACGATGCCGCCGTCCGCTACTACATGGAAGTCTGCGCCCCCGTCTCTCGTCAGTTCGTCTCGTCTCTGGCTGCCTTCGCCCCAGATGAGGCGAGCAAAGCCGAGCTCGTCCGCCTCGGTAATGACAAGGATTACTTCCACGAGAAGATCACCGACAAGTGCTTCAACATCGCTCAGGCCCTCCAGAGCATCACTTCCCAGCCGTTTACTGCCGTTCCTTTCTCGCTGCTCATCGAAGGTCTCAATAAGCTTCAGCCCCGCTACTACTCTATCTCTTCCTCGTCTCTGGTTCAAAAGGACAAGATCAGCATTACCGCTGTTGTCGAGTCCGTTCGTCTGCCCGGTGCTTCGCACCTGGTCAAGGGTGTCACCACCAACTACCTCCTGGCCTTGAAGCAGAAGCAGAATGGCGACCCCTCTCCCGACCCTCATGGCCTGACTTACTCGATCACCGGTCCCCGCAACAAGTACGATGGTATCCATGTGCCTGTCCACGTCCGCCACTCCAACTTCAAGCTCCCCTCCGACCCCTCCAAGCCCATCATCATGGTTGGCCCTGGTACTGGTGTTGCGCCTTTCCGTGGATTCATTCAGGAACGTGCTGCTCTCGCCGCCAAGGGTGAGAAGGTTGGAACGACACTTTTGTTCTTTGGATGCCGTAAAAGCGACGAGGACTTCCTCTACAAAGATGAGTTCAAGGTATGCACTTTCTATTTCGGTTTTAATCACTTCAACATATGCTAACTCAATTGATTTAGACCTACCAAGATCAGATGGGTGATTCCCTGAAGATTATCACCGCCTTCTCCCGTGAGGGAGCCCAGAAGGTTTATGTTCAGCACCGACTGAAGGAGAATGCCCAGCTGGTCAGCGACCTGCTGAAGCAAAAGGCCAACTTCTACATCTGTGGTGATGCCGCCAACATGGCCCGCGAGGTCAACTTGGCTCTTGGTCACATCATCGCTGAGCAGCGTGGCCTCCCCGCGGAGAAGGGCGAGGAGATGGTCAAGCACATGCGCAGCAGTGGTAGCTACCAGGAGGATGTCTGGTCATGATTGATGAATGTTTCTTTCTCTACGCACTAGATGAGCATATATATTCATGTTCTGTTGGACATTCTTTGCGATTCATGTATGCCTAGCATTTTTTTTCTCATTGTCCTGTTTATGGCCCAGAGGCTCCTGATGGAGTAACACGGCGGGTGATGACTTTAGACTTGTCATTTAAAACAAATTTAATCCTTTTTGCGAATCAATAGTTGTACATTAATTGCACTTTCATGTACAGAGTAGCTCGGGACTGTTCTGCAGTTATGTTACGATGTTTCCGGTAGTAGCGGACTTAACGTCATTGGGGAACTTCGACCTCACCCCACACCGACTCAATCCCTTCCTCGCTGAACCCGAGAACTTTTTGAGATGTCCATCTGGGACAAACACAAACAAAACCCAAACCCAGTCCTCCCATTCCATACCCAGGCGTGCAAAGTTCAAGCCTACCCAGCTCGGAGCTGTCCCATCCGCAGCTGACCCAAAATGGCCTACGTTGTGCCCATCCACCGGGCAAGCAGCATCCGGCACGCAGTAAAGCTCAACTTCTTCAACGCAGAAGAAGAATGCCTAGTCGCAGCGTGAGTTCGAGTCTCTTGTTCCCGGGAAACCCACGCTGTCCATCCCAAAGCGAAAACAGCGGACAGCCAACTCTTCAATATGACATGACGGTATCCACAAGATCTCTAAGTTAACCATCCTACACCACATAGCAAATCCAACCGTCTCGAATTCTACAACCTCACGCCCGATGGCCTCGTTCTTACTACGACGCGCGCGCTCTACGCGAAGGTCACGATGCTTGCCCGCTTGCCCGCGCCTTCACATTCACCCACCAATCACCTCTTCGTCGGAACAGACCAGTTCAATTACTTTACGGTAACGTGGGACGATACAACGAATGAGATTAAGACTGCCCGCAGCTATGTGGATATTGCAGAGCCCGCATCCCGCGAATCGCAATGCGCGGCGCGGTGTCTGGTCGACCCCACGTGCCGGTTTATGACGCTAGAAGTGTACGAGGGTGTTGTTGTAGTCGTGCCAATTGTGCAACCGACGAAGAAGAGGGGCCGGGTATCGACGGCGACGTCCATGCCGGATGTGCCGCAAGTCGGAGAGCTAGATAAGCCGACAACATCACGCATTGACGAGCTATTCGTTCGGTCTTCTGCGTTCTTGCATTCGGAGTCGAATCCGTGGCTTGCGCTGCTGTATGAGGATAATCAGCAAAAGGTCCGGTTGCGGATTCGCGAGCTGGATTTCACGCCCGGGACTTCGGGGACTTCGGCTGACGCTACGTTCAAGGAGGTGCAGGAGAAGAAGCTTGAGGGGGTGTCTTTGGGCAAGAGCTTGATCTCGGGTCATCGCATTTGATTCCTATTCCCGCTCCGCTCGGTGGGTTGATCGTTCTCGGGGAAACTTCGATCAAGTATATCGATGACAATGCGAACGATGTGATCACAAAGAATTTGGATGAGGCAACTGTTTTCGTTGCTTGGGAGAAGGTTGATAGCCAGCGGTGGCTGTTGGCTGATGATTATGGGAAGTTGTTCTTCTTGACCTTTGTGCTGAATACCCGTGGTGAGATTGACGACTGGAAGCTTGAGTATCTTGGGAATACGGCCCGTGCTGCGGTGCTAGTATATCTCGGTGGAGGAATGTTGTTTGTTGGGTCGCACCAGGGTGATTCGCAGGTTATCCGGCTCAGTGATAAGTCATTCGAAATCATTCAGACTTTGTCTAACATTGCTCCCATTCTGGACTTTACCATTATGGACCTTGGAGCCCGGTCGAACGAGGGCCAAACTCATGAGTTCTCGTCTGGTCAGGCTCGGATTGTCACTGGCTCTGGTGCTTTCGATGATGGCTCCTTGCGGAGTGTTCGCAGTGGTGTTGGGATGGAAGAGCTGGGTGTGTTAGGCGAAATGGATCATATCACAGATCTTTGGGGTCTACAGACTCGGAGTTCTGGTAACTTCCTAGACACGCTGATTGTCACCTTTGTGGATGAGACGCGTGTCTTCCAGTTCAGCCCCGATGGTGAAGTCGAAGAACTGGATAGTTTCTTGGGACTGGCTCTCACGGAAAGCACTCTTCTTGTCGCCAAGTTGCCCGGCGGCCGAATTCTCCAGGTTACAGAACAACGAGCCCTAGTAGCTGACATCGAAAGCGGAATGGTGACATTCGAATGGGCTCCGGAGAAGCAGAAGTTGATCACTGCTGCATCTGCCAATAATGATCATATGGTTCTTGCTATCAGTGGCCAAGTCGTGGCATCATTCGATATCAGAGACAACGTCCAACTCATCAGACAGAATAATCTCGGCGCTGATCAGCAGATTTCCGGTCTGACTGTTCCATCGTCACCAACGGGGGTCTTTATTGCAGGATTCCCTCAATCAGCCAAGGTGTCAGTCATGTCAGTCAAGGACTTTGCTGTCCTCCAGACAAAATCACTGGGTCCCACCGGAGAGAGTTTCCCTCGATCAGTTCTCGTGGCCAATGTCTTAGCGAATAATCCTCCCACGCTATTCATCTCAATGGCAGATGGCTGTGTCATCACATTCTCATTAAATCCCGATGACTATTCGTTGACAGGCATGACCAAGCTTGTCCTTGGATCCGAGCAGCCGATCTTCAAGCAGCTTCCCAAGGGCAATGGTCTTTACAATGTGTTTGCTACATGCGAGAACCCTAGTCTGATTTATGGCTCTGAGGGCCGAATCATCTACTCTGCTGTGAATTCAGAAGGAGCGTCACGTGTTTGCCATCTCAACGCAGAAGCATACCCCGAAGCCATCGCAGTGGCAACAGAAAAGGAATTGAAGATTGCCCTAGTGGACAGAGAGCGAACAACGCAGATCCAAACATTACCAATTGGATCTACTGTCCGCCGAGTGGCATACTCCCCATCAGAGAAGGCATTCGGAATCGGCACGATTGATCGCAAGCTCGAAGGCGGAGACGAGGTTGTCGGCAGTCACTTTGTCCTCGCAGATGAAATCATGTTCCGGCGTCTTGACGCGTTGGAATTGGAGACAGAGGAGCTGGTGGAAAGTGTCATCCGGGCTCAATTCGCCACTGGCAAAGATGAGAATGGTCGAGACGCTTTCAAGGACCGGTTCATTGTGGGTACGGCGTATGCAGACGAGTCAAAAGAGGGATCCATCCGCGGACGGATTCTTGTTTTGGAGGTTGATCATGGCCGTAAGCTCAGCAAGGTGGCTGAGCTGCATGTTAAGGGTGCTTGTCGGGCTCTTACTATGATGGGTGATCTTATCGTCGCGGCTCTCGTCAAGACTGTAAGCATTGCGTCTGGTCTCATATCCAACTATATACTGACAATATTCAGGTCGTCGTTTATAAGATCACTAGCAATCACTCAGGACCAATGAAACTGGAAAAGCTGGCAGCCTACCGAACATCAACCGCACCCGTGGACGTCAATGTCGTTGATGATATCGTTGCCGTATCCGATCTCATGAAGAGTGTATGTCTTGTCAAATTCACCCCCGGCAAAGACGGAAAACCAGACACTCTCGTCGAAGTCGGCCGTCATTACCAGACCGTTTGGAGCACTGCGGTTGCCTGTGTAGACAAAGACACATTCCTCCAGAGTGACGCGGAGGGTAATCTCATCGTCCTATCACGGAACCTGAACGGCGTCACTGCCCAGGATAAACAGCGACTGATGCCGACGAGTGAGATTGCGCTGGGTGAGATGGTTAATCGGATTCGGCCGGTAAATATCCCAAATCTTGCCAGTACGACGGTGGTCCCACGGGCGTTTTTGGCCACGGTATGTTTCCCTGCTCCGAGGATTAACGTTATGTACTAATTTACCTATAGGTCGAGGGATCCATCTACCTCTTCGCTGTGATTAACCCTGAACATCAAGACTTCCTCATGACCCTGCAAACGGTGGTCGCTGCCAAGGTCGACTCACTAGGTGATCTTCCTTTCGACAAGTTCCGTGGATTCCGCACAATGGTGCGCTCATCAGATGCGCCATACCGCTTCGTGGATGGTGAACTTATTGAGCTATTCCTGAGCTGCTCGCCAAGCATGCAGGAGGAAATTGTCGATGAGGTGGGCTCTATGAGTGTGGACGAAGTCAAGGAGATTATTGAGGCTCTGAGGAGACTTCACTAGTTCCTTCTGCTTCTTTGTTAGGTATCTATGTGATATGTTACGATTATTCATGACTATGGAGAAGACGCAGCAATTTTTGTTGTTTAGAGGACTTGGGCAAACCTCTGGTTGGATTTATGATATATCTTCAAATACAAATAACTCAGATCTATGGCTTGCGGATAGATATTAGTCTCAGTATAACATTCGGAATCTTGATGTAGCCAAAGGCACATGTAGTGCTATTAAATTGTTTAACAATTACAATACAAGAATAAACCCAGTCACCATGCAAATGTACACAAGCCACCCAAAAGAGCATCCAAAGCTCTTGGCAAATGTCAAGGTCAAAGACGAAGTTCAAGCATCCTTCTTCACACCCTCGTCATCACTCCAATCCAACAACTCCATAATCTGATCCCGACTCAAATCCTCAGCCCGCTGATCCTTCCGCACATTCTTGATATAATTCTTCTGTCTCCGCCGGGCCATCTTATTCCACTCAGATCCAACCCCACTAGCATGAGGCAACATATCCTCCTCATCCTCAACCTCAACCTCATCATCAGACCCCTCAACCTCACCCATAACCCGTCCCTTCCCATCAGCCGCAGCAGCAGCAGCCCAAGAAGAGCCCGACCCGGAAACCGTAGACGCACCCTTACCCCCACGCAAGGAATTCGCCGATACCTTCGCCGTCCCGAATTCAGCGCGCTCCTTTTCCTTCTTCTCCTTCTCCAATCGGCGGTCTCGGTCATGCAGCCATTTAAAGCCCTTTTCGATGTAAGGACGCACCAGGATGTAGAAGATCACGCTGCCGATTACTTTTGTCCAGCGCTTGCCGCTCATGTCCGCGATTGATTTGTAGCCGTTTGTACAGAAGCGGGTTATGACTAGCTCGAAGAAGCTGTATAGTTGGGCGAAGAAGTCATTGGCGGCTTCGACGGCCTTTTCGCTCAGGTCTGGGGTTTGAGTTGGGTCGGCCATTTTGGGTCGTTGGTCTTTTTCTTTTTTGAGGGTGTGGTTGTTTGGGTTTTGAGTTGAGGTAGGAGGGAGGGTGCGCAACGGCCTTGCCCGCCTTGAGTTTGTAGAATAGGAGGGAATTGAGAATGCAACAATATCTTAGCCCCTGAGTGAGAAAGGAAGAAGAGGACAGAGTAGAGAAAGGAGAATTGCTCTTCGATTCTCTGAAATTCCGCGGTTCCCGCAACGAGAATGGCCTGTTTGGGCTTAGCGCTCTATGCCGGATTAGCCGTTGTTCCGCCGTACGCGTCGGCCAATCAGCGCTGGCTGGTTTGGTACGCGACTTCTACGACTATCAACACCATGGAACAGAATGAAGAAGCCGGTCTGGAGGAGGTGAGTGCTAGCTAGTTGTGATGGCTATGGGTAGCTAATTTTTGATAATAGCGCCTGAAATCCGCGTTGTGGTTGTCTATTGGCAAGATCGTCGATGAGGAGACTATCAAGCTGGGCGTTAATGCGACGCCGCAGTTTATCGGTGCTTTGACGGAGATGGTGTGGGCTCAAATTGGTATGTTTGGTCAGGTTTACTTGAGACATGTCCTTGTTTGAGACTGATTCCTTGCAGAGACTGTCAGCCAGGATCTAGAGTCCTTTGCGAAGTACGTTACAACATAAGTTGGCTCTGATGTGGAACATGACATCCCATCCTTCCTTCAAAAAGATCAATGTTCAAGAGAATGATATACTGATTTGCTTATAGACACGCTGGCCGCTCCACTGTCAACGTATCAGACGTGATGCTCCTCGCTCGCCGAAACGAGGGATTGGACTCGATCCTTCGTGCTTTTGTTGAGCAACAGCGTGAAGAAGCCGCTGAATAGATCGTTGTGAGACGGTCTGATCAATACCATGATCTATTCTTGCAATGGCGTATGTTGCTGATGGGCGGGACCTATACCAAGGGCTTCGGTTTTTTTTGAAATGACATATGATGACCTATCCCATTTCTCGGTTGACTACCACTCTGCGCAAATGTGAGTCTGCCCCGAGTAACCGTAGACGAAATCGTCCAGTATTGTTCGGTCTAGTCCTAATGTTTCCACCAGTACCTTCTCATTGCATATTGGCAACAGTGGCGGCCACTTCAGGCCGCAGTGCTTGATCTACAAAGACAACAACGATGCCTCTCGCAGACAAGAAAATTTCCTGTCCTGTCCGATTGCAAACTCTTTTCTATGTCTCGGATTCACCATATCCATTCCCGCGAAAGCCACCCTCTTCTAAGCCATTCGCTTAAACCCTTTGGCACTACCTCGAACACACAAACTGTGCCGGCATTTGCATTGTTGTGTTGCATCACTACACGTACCTTAATACCATCTGGGGAAGTTGAAGCATGCCCTTTGCCCTTCCCAGTCTATATCGCAACAAAGTCATCATACCATGTACGTCAATGAAGGCAGACCACCATTCAATCCTAATGTTGAAAATCATCACTATCTATCTTCGTTTACCGTAAATTAGAGCTTCGCATAGTTAGCTGCCGCCTTGTACATGCATATTATCAAGTTGCCACCCTATCCCCTAACCCCATCCACCTACTTCTACAGTTATACATCTACAGGCTACAATCAAAGCCAATCGTGGCACGGGGGCTGGAGTTGCAGCTCCAGCTGCATTGTCAATGTATCCGGACGATCACAGTATGCCATACTAGGACGCTTCTGCCTAGACCACGGCGCAGCAATATGTGGACCCACGGTGGAAGAGATGTGGATTTGGCCGCGGAGGTTAAGTGGATGCAGACGTCATTTTTGTCAACAGCGTGCAGCCCTTTTTTTTTTTTTTTTTTTTTTTGGCGTGCTCCTACTATAACTGCTGTACCATGCAAGGGGCCTCAGGAAGGTAATTGTGTGCATGCATATGTTGTTGAGAAGGTGGGCAGAGGCTGGGCTGGGATGATGCCGAACTAGCGACTTAGAATTTAGGTATTGTGCCAGTGCAGTATGTAGGGAAAGTCTGAGGTATATGCGTCCTGTATGCAGCTTATAGTTAACTTAGCTCAGGTTAAGTTAAGAGTTGGGGGCAGCTGGTATATGTGCGTGTATGAAGAGGCTGGTGGGTATATTGTGTAAGGATCATGCCTTGCATGTGCCAGCACTATTTTCCGGCTATTAAACCTTTTCTAACTTTATTTCAGCCACCACCTCGCATATCTCGTATAAGTTGGGAGGTGAAAGATATACAGTGTAGAGTTACAGTGTAGGCAACAATAAAGTGTGGCTGGGACTAACCTTTCACAGCCTTTCACATGCGTCGAATCAGAGAGCCTGAAAACTCAGGTTAACAAGGTGAGGGATCCACTCAAATCCATGGGACTGACATCATGTGGGGCGGGCTAGCCACTTCTGGTGTGGCGCAGACCGTCTCCGGCCACTCAGTTGGAGCTTCGACCAGGATCGACTCGACGCCATCCACTGATCTTCGTCAATTGCGTCGACTCAGGGTCTTCCCTCTTTATAACCCGTCCGAATCCTGTTGCCTTCATTTTCTGTCATATATTCTCCTCCCACCCCGGACCTCGTGTGTTCACATACCCATATAAACAAAATCACATATCAACAAAATGGGAATCGGTGGGGTCATCCTCCGGTTCTTCAATCTGGGCCTGCGCATCCTCCAGTTCCTCGATGCGGCCGTTATCCTCGGCATCTTCTCATACTACCTGGCCGTCCAAGCCCAGCATGACCAGCACATCGCAACATGGATGAAGGCCGTGGAAGGCTTAGCAGGTGCAGCAACCGCCTACGGCCTCCTGGGCATTGTCTTCGTCTGTTGCCTGGGCGGCGTGGCATTCTTCGCCTTCCTAGGCGTGGTCCTGGACGTGTGCTTCACGGGCGCGATGATCGCCATCGCCATCCTCACCCGCAAGGGTGTCAACAAGTGTACCGGCACAGTCGATACGCCCCTGGGCACAGGCGATGCCAACGCCGAGACAGCTTCCAAGTCGCTGACGTTTGGTATGGCCTGCAAGCTGGAGAAGGTTGTGTTCGCAGTTGCGATCATCGGAATGTGAGTTTACCCTAGAATCAACGTAATCATATTCCGTACAGACTCACTAACATGTCTCAGTTTCCTCTTCTTGATCTCCATCCTGTTCCAGATCCTCCTGGCCCGCCACCACAAGCGTGAGAAGCGTTTCGGTCCTTCGCCTAACAACGGCTACACCTACGGTAGCCGTAAGAGTTTCTGGCGCCGCAACAAGAACAGCCCTGAGGCCGTTGGCGGCGCTGATACTCTCCCTGGCCACCCGACCCCCACCGACGTCGAGATGGGTGCTGAGCCGGCCAAGAATGAAAAGTCCTGGTTCGGTGGCTCGTTCGGTCGTAACAAGAACACCGCTACCACTCCCGCCCAGAGTGGTAATGGCTATGGCTACGGCAACTCAGCCTACACTGGTAACATCTAGGGTTGCCGTATAGCTTGCCGGTGTGGTTTGTTGAGGGAGAGATGGTTAAGAGAGTCTGACATTCACGTCACTCTACCTATACTCTGGATATCTCTTTGTATTAGAGTTGAGTTAAGACTGGGTGGACCAGTCGATGATTTACATGACCCTTTGTGTTAATTTGGCCGAGATACCACTATTTTGTTTGTTAGATTGGACCGTGTACAATATGATGGAGGATATCTGGCGGCATATTTGGGTCTTTCGGGACTGGCTGGACGTCACTTCGGTAATAATAATGAATCCTTTTACTATTTACTCCACTTACGTAGGTTTCTAGGACGCTGTATACAACATGGCGACTAAAACATGGCGACAGGATCTCCGCCACTTGATTGACTAACCGTTTCCTTAGTTGCCTCTTTGCGATGGCGAAGTCTTAAGCAAATGTTAGTGGCTTAACTATACTGTTTGTTTCCCAATCTGACTAAACTGTACACCATGTCTGTTTTCGGTCAGGAACACTTCTATGCTAAGGGTGTGGCATATATACCAAATAATAATCTCTGGCAACTCTTACCGTTCCCTTTTCCGTTTTAGTGCTCCCTCCCCCTTGCCGCTTTTTCCTCACTGTGTATTACATAAGCACCCTGACCTGCTAACTTAGTTAACATACTCCTCTTCTCTTCGTCCTTGAATTTCCCCTCAGACCTTGGTGGAAAAGGTCAAGGGGAGAGAGAGAGAGACTAGATACGCTAGCTCACTCGCGAGCTAATGCTCAGTTCTAGAATTGGGTCACGTGGCCCTTGGTCTCGACATCTCAACCGATATCGACTTGGATGATTGATCAGATTGATAGATGATTGATCAAATTGAGCGAAATTGGTGTGTCCCTGGGGTCTGACCCCATTCGGGACTCAACACCGACAGAGGTTACATCGCATAAGGTGTGACTGGGGTAACTGAGTCCATTTTTCGTATTTACCTCTTAGTCTACTTGGCACACAGTAATACGAGCGATAGTTCATACACCACTCCGCGGGGCCTTCTACTACTTGATTTTTCATTGGGTAGAACTTATTCGATACTTAATGTCAGACATCTAGGGAGCAAACAAGGCGTCGGCTTGTGGCATCTGCAAACATATAAAGCTGAGACTTGACACCGGCTCAAGTCATTTCTCAACAAACCCTCCTCATCTTTCAAAATCAGAATAACTTGAAATCCAATTGCACCATGAAGCTTCTTATTATCACCACCGTTCTGGCATCTCTTCTTACCTCTACAAATGCCACAGTTGTCAAGGCATACAAAGGCACCCCTTGCAAAGGGGACTATGTGGGCTCGGTGAGCGCCTGTGGAAGCACGGGGCTGTCACAGAACTACAAGGTCCTAAGCCTCAAACTTGACTTCCAAAAAGCAACAGCCTCTTTCTATAAGGAAAAACCCGATAGGAACGGAAACTGCGTGGGCGCCCATATCTCCAGAAACACCGATCAATGTGTGACACTTCCTGTGGGCTGGGATCGATTTGGCTGTGTGAAAATCCATGGCGGCACTTGCTGAATATTGGGGCTTGCTTGCTCTGCAGTTGGTGGAGATATCGTCTTTGATCAAAATTTGTACTCATTTCCCTCTTTGCTGTCCATTGCTAGTCCTCAGACGGAGGATTTTGGGAACTAGATCAATCAATGTATGATAGTTCAGGGATGAGGCATATCGAGACCTTATTTACTGGCTGTTTTTGAACCTGGAATCCAATCTCACCGGATGGTTTGTTATCATATATATTTCTATCAAAGTATTTTACCAATGATCGAATTACTGTCTAAACAAAGAAATTAGAATACCAAGACGAAGTGAAGGGAATCGCAAAATGACTTTAAGTATTTGTTCACAATCTATGTCTAGTAAGTAAATAGTAGCTTTATTTATGTCAAGTTCAGTGTAACTTCAAGAGGAAAGAAAAAATGTGTACACGCCTGGGATTAATCACGTTCCCAGCCAAATATTCATAGACCATCATTCATGGATAATATCACTCCTCCTGCTTCCAAACCAGCTTACGAAAGAAGAGTAAAAGTAGAACGGGGACTTCAATGCCCTTATTCAACGCCATATCTCACGACCCCCGTCCGTTTCATTAACATCCTCCATTTCCGAAAGCACAAATCGGTTAAACTCTTCCCAGCCATCGAGGTATAAACAATGACTGGTTCGTATGTCAACGACAACCGTGGTCCTTTGTGGGGTGGGATTGGCACCTTCCCCGGGATCGGATCGACCCGAGCCAGAACACCTAGATCTAGCGCAGCACCGGGTACAGAGGCGCTCAAAATCAGTTTTGCCTTTTTATCTTTCCCAACCTTTCTCTTGGTAGTCTGGCGACGCCGCGACAGCAGTGTGTACCACAATGCGATATGCCGACCTACCTAACCTAAGTAAACATGCTATATTGTGATAGCTACCGCAGAGCGAAACATACTGTCATAAGTGGTATGTTTTCAAAATACGATAGCTACCATCATACGGTCATTCTACAGTAGTGGGTCGTTTAAAAAAAAATCCCCTAAATTCTATATGGATACCAAGGAAACTATGAGATCCAAGGGACTCAATTCTTGCTTGACAGCGGGAAGGCTCAAGCGGGTGATCGAGGCTGCCAATGCAGGCGGGGCCTTCTCACCGAGCACCAATGGAAGTAAGTGAGCCTGTTACGTCCGCCCGGGCCCTGTGGTTGAGAGCAACATAGTACTGACCATTGTTAGTTAAGCTGGAATAGCCTCAGGAAGATGCATACAATCCACCGTCGCTTCCTAAGCTGAGGACTTTCTCTTCAGTTGGCTCCGCAGCTAGCGCTAGGGCGGTGGAATTAATTGTCACACAGGGGCATTGTGGCTCAATTTAAAGGTCACTATTCTCTGAAGACCGACTGTACCTATACTATGTGCTAGGATTCAGCAGCACTGCTGAATCTTTGCAACTTCCACCTGTTTGGGGGACTTAAGATGTAGAATATTCTAAGTATGTATCATTCGAGCTCAATCGTGCATAGTCTGGTGTAACTGCACGCATTGCCCCAAACAATCTAGTCTCGTTGTTTCTTATACGTAAGGAGTGTGAGGTGCATTGATAAAAGGGCCAATTAAATCGCTACCCAACTGTCAACCGTGAACCACAGGATCAGTTGATACGTTTTTGCGCCCCAAGGCAAAGAAAAGTACGTTAGTGGAAAAGCGTTGGTGGCCTAACCCCGCAAATGTTGATCATAAGGCTCATTTGATCAACAGATCCAGGTGGCTTAGGTATCTCAAATCTTTCGGTCAAACCATTTGGTTCTAGGGGAGAGCTGAGAACTTTGATGCCCGGTTAGGCTCTCCATTTTGGTTAGGCCCTAAGAAGGTGCGGATAAGGTGAAGGGAGAAACTCTGCAGGTCGTGAATACACGAGGTTTCTTCCATGGGTGGCCAAGCCTGAGACAAGCTTTGCGGCTGTGTCGATCAGGGTCAATGCGCTAATTTCTATTTTGGAAAAGGGTTGGTCCCTTAACAGTCTCAACCCGCGGCCCACCCCCAACCCCCCTCATTGTTTGAGCCTACGCTAATAATGATTTTAGCTTTGGGGCAATTGTGACAAGCTCACTCTGTCCGTCGATCGCAAGACTGCCTTGCTCGCATTTCGCTTATGAGCCAGACGGGAGGGCTGAAAACAGGCAATTTCCCGGCTAATTATCTCCCTACGAGTTCAGCTCCGCGGATAGTTTTGCGGCAACCTGCAAAATAAACCTTCGTCACCCTCATTCTGCAGGATTGAGCTCGATTTCTGGCTCAGCAGCGTTTACCACACCTCAAAGATAGAAAGAATGTCACACTTGTACCTCAATCCAGAGTTTCAACTGAGCGACGGATTAGGGTAAATTAAATCATCCGTCCATCTATCCATCCACCCATCCAGGCAGTAACATGCAACCAAGAACTGAAGACTAGCAATGTGGGGGTATGTACCTGGGTTTAGAAACGTCTCATTCATACAGTACAGTATTTTCAAATGCGAAATTGATTCCGATGCTACAGCTTTGCATTCTGCCAAATAAGCTTCATATCACAACACCACGAAAAAGGCCACACTTTTACTTGCTACAACCAATACGTACATATAACAGTTGAGACTGATAAGTTTATTTGTAAATAACTAAAGGATGCTGTGTAGAAAAGAAGGTGATCCGCAGAGTCCGCATGGGTTGATAATGTCTGGCCTTGCTGACAACAGAAACTACCCTAGGGTCCCGGTGGCCAATTCCTGATCTAGTAAGCAAAGAGCCATTTAGATATAGATCGTTCAGATCTTACGGGGGTAGGCAGCCGCCTAAGGTACACTTGAGGCCGGGGCAGCAACGTCGTTCTGTCGTTTCATCACAGGCTTTCCATTGTTCGAGACATGTCTGTTATTGTTTTGTTTCGTCAATGCAAGGAACTACAGGCTATATAGTGAAAAACGTCTCTTTTCTCCAGGCCGCCACTGCCCTTCTTTGGCTCGCAGGTACCCCCGGCACAATAATAATTAGGGCAACAAGGAGCATAGTGTGGCTCCCCACACGAGTCAGGCCATCGACTGCATGCCTATGTTATTTCATTGGTATAAGCAGGTTCGATTAAAAAGATCTGACGGAAGAATGGGATATTCACCTTCGCACTTATCTTATTCGGCTCATTCGCCTGCTGAAAATCAGGCATAGAGAATGCTGAGCTGACAAAAATAGCAAACAGGAGGTTGGAGAACTGCATTTTCTTTTTCTTTGGTTGATGACTTGATGGTTGTAATTCATTTGATAGTTCGTTTCTTGATAGTGGAATTCTTTGATGGAAGAGGTATTGACAAGGTATTTAGAGGGGCTTTATTTTCGTTTTAGGCGTACAGGGGCATCTATCCTTGGCCCCAGGATGAGCCATAGGAGATCCAACACAACCTTCCACGTCATCACCGCGCTCGGAGCCCCTCCCAATGTCTGTGCGATGAATAGAAGCGTGGGAATAGCACCAATCCCTCTCAGCAGCGCCTACCTAGGTGGCCTAAATCCAACCGCTCCATGGGCGTTCTTGTGAAATAACAGTCATTATGGCGGTGATGCCGAAGTTTTCGATGCTTGGTGACAAGTCTATAAACACCCGATGCCCCGTCTTGATAATGGGCTGGCAACAATCCAAATCAAAGCAATCTAAGAACAATATCGCAACATCACAATATCCATCATGAAGTTCAACGTTATCCTTGGCTGTATCTCCTAGCCGGCATTGCTGCCGCCGTCCCTGGTCCCCGCTGCATCAGCCGGGCTGATCCAAACAGGTAAGACGCTATCCGCACGATTAATACTATACTTTGCGGTGCCTGAGGCTAAAATTTGCCAACAGAGGGATCGGAAATTGGTGTGAGTCCAACGGGGGTGCTTGTTTTAAACCCGCCCCAAAAACGGACTGCCACCCGCCTTCGGACCACAAGATCAAGTGTCCTCTCTGATTTAGATTCTTGGGCTATTTTGATGTTCTTCTCAATATTTGAAAGATTTGAGAGAATATAGGTTTGAGAGTATTGAGGAGATTCCGTTGGGTTTTGAATATAGCTCTGGGCCATTTCCTGTAAGTGTAAACCAAATTTTCTGAAGTAAAAATAGGGAAATCATTAAGTACACTTCGTAACCTAAATTTTCTCCCAATCGTTTCAATAATGAAAGCCATACCTTGATGTAATTCTTTTACCAAAGCAGAGCCGGCGAATGACATGGTTGGGCTCCGAACATTGTTTGGTTCCGGTAGACCTGATGAGAACAATTAATACAGTCGGTGTGCAGATCGCTGCGAACGGTCATCGGTTAGAGTCCTCTGGGTACCTATTACTACTGTGCTTGCGGTAGGTTAAGCAGGGATTAAAAAAGGATTGAGTAACGAGGAACGATGGGTAGTCCTTCACATAAACTGGGAGAATTGGCTGCTTTAAAAGGTTTAAAATGAAATAAGTATTCAAACGAGTCTAGCACATAGCGATAATCTGAACTTTGTGCTACCTAGTATCCTAAGAGATATAAAATATAAGTTAAGCAGTTCATCCCTGGCCACTGACAGGGATCTTTGTCCTAGTCTTCGAGTGGGTCTCGACCCAGAATAAATGGCCCTATAGGGCAGTCGTTCTTTGGTATAGTGTATCGTGAAACAAACGAGCAGGAGCCTAAGCAATCAAGCTGTCTATATAGTCGCAGATAAGGTCATAGCTAGTCCATATTCTTATCTTTCCCTCATTATCTTGGTATTCTCTTTATCGCTGATCCAATTGTCGGCCGAGTTGATAACGCAAGATTGCTATATCTCACAGTGTCTCTCGATAATGCTAGAATGAGTTGCGAGCGATCTCACAAAATTACCATGAACCCACAAGAGGAAAGCCCGCGCAGAATGTACTCGTAGGTCAAGTGCGATAAGGCGTTGACGTGTCGCTGTTTGTTTTCTTGGCGGGCTTCAGAGGATTAAAGTCCAAAGGCATATAATAGGAGTTCAGTGTAATACTGGACCTCTCATACAAAACATACTGGTTCAAAGTTATCGGGCTCATAACTTATCGCTCGGCCGACTGCGGCCGACGCCATATCCCGTCGTGAATAGAGCTACGGCTTTCCCCGCAGAGATGCAGATGAATTAAAATCTCGTGCAACGGGCAGAGTTACGGCTTCGAAGAATTTTTACGCTGTTTTGCAAAATGTATTACCAAATCCGTGCTCTCGCTCTCCTGGCCGTATTTCTGCCCGTGGTACCAGCAGTGATACTCGCAGCACCAACCCTAACGATCAATGGAATCACATTCCAAACTCGAGCGCACTGGATGCGCCAAGCAAACGAGGCATTGAGCCAACTGAGCGGATCACCATGTCCCTTCGCAGCCTTCGGAACAGCTATAGTAAACCACACGGCTTCGGACATAGGCGAACTAATTTGTTTGGGGATAAACGAGAATGGGAAGACAGGGAATCCCTCGCTACACGGTCCGATAATAACCAAATCAATCTTCGCTCACAAGGAACCATACTAACATGTGACATGCATATGGCCTTGCAGGCGAAATCGCAGCTATCAAGAACTGCACTGCCATTCTAACCGACCCCCACGGAAAATTCCGCATGACCGCATCCGAGGCACAAGCTGCATTCGTTGATTTGACCTTGTATACCAATGCTGAAAGTTGTCCGATGGTATGTGGAATATGGCGTATATGACGAGGTAGGATGTCCTATTAGGGCTAACGAAGATATAAAGTGCGCCTCTGCGATTCGATGGGCAGGCTTCCGAGAATATGTCTACGGAACGTCAATCGAAACGCTCATTCAGAAAGGCTGGGGGCAGATTCGGATCTCTTCCGTGGACGTTTTTGAGGCTTCTTACGACCTTCCGAGTCAGTCGCGTCTGATGGGTGGTGTCCTTGCTAACGAGACGGATCCTTATTTCTTGTGGCAATATGATTCGTCTTACCCGTGTCCTCATGGCTGTTCGCGTACCAGGGATGAATCGAGCTGCCGGGGTCCTTCTGGTTAGGTCTCAATATTGTGGGTTTGTTTTCGGTTCGGCACAGCCTGGTTTTGGTTAGTTCTATGGATGTTTCATGGCTAGATGTATACGAAGCCAAACAGAAATCAGTCTGTATATAATTCGCAGGTTCACAATTTAGGGGGTTATCTGATATGGAAATTCCCTCAGGAAAGCATCGGGGTCCGTAGCGAGTTCCATCAATTAGCCATGGGACCCATTGAGCTCTTGCGCAATCCTTTGAGCACTGTCAACAGTAGCCTGTCCATTCTGGAGCAGAGATCTCAGTTCATTTGCCAATGCAGGTGCCCGTTCGGCCTCCGGTATTTCTCCTTCATCCGCCACCACAGCGTGGAAATCTATCATAATGCCTTCTACCTGTTTATCAATTTCTTCCTGTAGTGATTTAAAGCTTTCAGTTATGACCCATTCGTAGACGTCTTTAGCATGCGCAGAGTATTTGGAAAAGAGCCTGGAATTTCTCAGGTGGTCGTCCATGTGATTCTTTCGGCGTTTATCACAGCCTGGCCCTGATATATGGTAAATAAAAAGATAATGTTTTACCAGATGCATCTCCACATACCTGACTCCTGGTTACAGGCGATGTAGGCTGGCTTCATGAGAATAGAGATGAATGAATCGGTGTGGTGCTCTAGCATGTCTCGCTTTGTATTTCTGAGAAATTGTCAGAATCGTGGCTGAAGTTCAGGGTCCGTTGAGGACTGCCATACTGCGTTCTCGAGATAAACCTTTGAATCTCATTCTTGATGTGTGTGTTGATAGTCTCTCGTCTATGCCGCATGCTCAGAAGAATGTTTTGCAGAGCGTGTGGTGCAAGATGCTGATGCCCTGGAGAAAAAAGAAGTCAAAATAAGGCACTGAGGCGTAATGATCAAAGCAAAACACTACCATGGATATCCTGAAGCAGCCTTTCAAATGACATGTTGACCTGCCCAGGCAGAGTTTCAACTTGCGACTCCAGCCATTCCAGTATTCTTTCCCATACGGGATCCAAGTCTTCGTAGCTTTGCTGCACGAATTGCTCGTTCCAGGGGCGTTCATTTGGATGTGACTTGGTACTCCAGGACCCATAATGGAGACAGAATACAGCGTATGAGTGTACGTGCCACTGGAACATTGGTTAGTGAGGTGCGACATCTTTCAAGTTCATCGGTAAAGAAGAGGTGAGAATTACCCCTATCCACTGCCGACTGACTTCGATGCTTTTCTCTTTCCATTGTGTTCGTGAATTCTCTGTTGTATGAAGTTGTTAGAGCTAGCAAAGGAAAAGCGAGGTGGTTTTCGCTTACCGATACATGAGATAATAGAAGTATGAAACAGCACTTTCAAGGCTTGAAACATGCAGGAAACATGTGCTTGCGACGATTGAAAATCCTATTGACTATCAGAAAGTGCTCTGCGTCTCTTGATAACGAAGCCTGGGCCATTCAAGGCATTCCTGTTTCTGAGCATACCCGACGAAGAGCCTCTTGAGACTGATTTAGAACACGGCGGAGGGCGGCAGCCTTTTCTGCAGTGACAGGATCTGTCCCAGACAATGCCCACTGGCGAATAGAGCCCATCATTGCCGGGACTTCGTCCTCCAGGAACGCAGTTGTTGCGCGCATTTGAGCTTCCGCTGGGACTAGCTGGCAATAGCGGCGAAGCTCTGGTATACCAGTCAGGTCGAGGTATCTATTTGCCTGGGTCGGATCGCCGGCCCGAAGCTCGGAGTATAGTTCATTGCCAACACAGAATACTTTGACGCCTTCGTACCTTCTGGCAAGCTCGCGTGAAACGTTGAGGTTTCGCCGATTGATCAAGAAACGTGTGACGCTGGATTGAGAGTCAGTGTTAACAACCGCTTCCATTTAATAAGAGGACATAATCTCACTCGAATTTCAATTTCACTATTTTGTCACTGCCTTGGAGTCAACATGGGTCACAGCAACGAGGGAATGAGATAGTCACCTGAGCTCCAACTCTTCGAGTCCCCATTTGAGCCGATCATCGCCCTCCGATTTCATCCTTTGCGACTTAGCCTTTAAGTGTTGGGCCTTCACTTTTTCGACTTCCTTGTTCATTTCCCGGACACGCCGTCCGTCTGGCCCCTTCTCACGGGAGGCCTCTTCGGCTGAAACATTCTACGCTCGCAGTCAGAACAAGCTACTGTGTGAGATTAGTGGCATTATACATACTTCTGAATTCGTGCAAATAATTCTTCGTGGCTGATCCCTTCTACATCTTCTCATGATGTCTCCCACAGACTCGTCCGATCCAGCTCGTGAAATATTCACCACAATAAAGACCTCATCGCATTGATGAGCAAGATATCTTTCAGTTGCTCGCACTCTTGCAAAGTTAAGATCTCGGAGACCTATAGCTCGTTAGTCAAGATTGATAGACCAATATTGATACGTTGTCAACGCATACCGGGCAAATCAGTCAAAACCAACCCGGTCCTCAAAATAGGCGAACTGAGGTATACCCTGCAAGAACATCAGATAACAGTTCGTTGATTAGTACTATGCTTTACGAACCTAATCAACTTGATAAAGGGCCACAGTGCGGGGCCACCGTTTCCTGGGTCATCAGCAGAAAGCTGGTCCAGAATAGATTTACATTCTTCAATGTCACCGGCAATGACTGAGTATTCGAGTGCATCAGACCCACCCTGTCGGTATGTTAAACCGGCGTATGCCCATCGCTCTAACTGCGCAAGGAGATCAAAGCGCGCACCATCAGCCTCATTCGATAAAAACTCAATTGTAAGTCTTGGTTGACTCTTGAATAGCGACTGAAGTGTTTCCCATGCTTTAGCAGCTGCGTCTTGGCATTTTCGTTGTTCCTCGCTCGTCTGAAGCTCCCTATATAGGGAACGGACGTAGAACTGTCGGAAATCCAGCAGGAGATGCTCAAGTAACTCTCTCATTTCCTCTGGGTTCATAAATTCTGCTTCGATGGTGAATGGACCGTTGTGGTCGTCATTAGTGTGGCGGAATTCTGTTACCACACAGGTGCAGGCAGCTCCCTCCCTGCTCTGAAATTATGTGTCAGTGAAGGGGCATTCAGAAACAAGGGTGATAAGAGCACATACGGATCGCGCGATTTTCTGGTCGAGAAGTGAGTTGATTAAGGAACTCTTGCCTGTAACAGCGTTAGACGAAGGAATCGAAAAGATGAGAAGACACAGAAAATCCCATACCGACTCCAGAGTCTCCGATAAATCCCACAGTTCGTGTCTCTGGATATTCAAATTTGCTCATCTTTTCGGTACGCTTCCATAGCGTGTGTAGGCTCGTCGATTGATCTTGCGTCAACTCCGAGACGTGCATCGTGCTGGCAAGACTGGCAAGGTGGTGTTTAACAGCTTTCAGTCCATCCTGAAGCCGACCATTGTAGATCGGAGCCGGAGGGAGAGTTTCGTCGCGTATATCATTAGATATTCTCTCAGTCTCACCACTATCCTCCTGAGATGTGCCAGCCTCTGAAGCATTGTCACTACCCACTGGAAAAGCTCCAGGAATTTGTACGTCATCGGTGTTCAAGGATGGTGGTCCGGATTGCGAGCCTGAGTTATTCGATTCCCTACCAGCTTGGCTGATATTATACGATAGGGAGGCACTTTCTCGCCTCGGACGGCAAGGATGTATGGGTCTTGGCCTTGGACTTGGGGAAGCATTGTGTTGATCTGCATATGTAAATTGCGATCGACCGGGACTCGGTCGTGAGCTTGGTGAGCTACGTCGGGAAGTAGTGTTTGATGATGTTTGACCTAGTTGTAGGTCTTGGAAAAGGAATAACGGAGGTTGGGCTGTTGGCAAACTCCTGGGTACGCTCGAAGCTTGCTGAAAAGATAAAACGCTCTCTCTGCCACTGCCATCTTGAGAGGATGATGGTGTGGGATTTCTCACAGACTCAGAGGCAGTCGAGAAGGTGCTCCCCGAAGAAGGGACACTCATTTTGCTTGAACTGTGTTGAGTCGTTTGAAAAATATGTCCGTTGGATCTTGCGGTCTATTAAAAGCATTCCCTGGGATAAGATCAGCATTCCCCTGGCGCCTAGTCTCAGCACCTGTAACACTGGTATGGGTCACTCGCCCCTCTTGCTGCAAGGTGCTGCGCCATCGTCTGGTGACGCTTTTAGCCGCAGATCAACAATCTTCGTTTACTTTAGGGCTTCACCTGAACATGCTCTTTGTCTCTTCTTCGAGAAAATTAAACCCGGTTGCCCTTTTTTTTTGTGTGTTGGAACGGTGAAATTATGTCAGAATCAATCTGGTGGATTTGGTGGTCCCTGATGCCATTTTTGGCCCCCACGAGTTAGAGCGCGCGCGTGCCTTACATCCCTGTATAAAATGCGCGCGAACCCATAAGTGTATCGTTAGTAGCCAATAAGTCCCATGAACCTGAGAACACGATGTACTTTTGTACAGACCCAACGGTAAGAGGGGTAATACTATCAAGCTGTTGTTTGCTGCGTCGTTCAAATAGACTGAAAAGTTGTTAGAAGCTACCGGAGACAGTTCAGGATAATAAATGTGACATAAAATCCTAGTACCACAATGTTCGTCAATTGGCTCGTCAAGATTGTAGTCGATACTATTATATACTTCAATTGTTAATCTGGTTCTAGGACACTATTCGCACGCAATTGGCGACAGGGTCTCCTTCACCTAGACGACTATCCCAGATTTCTCGTAAAAATTTGTTGTCAGGATGGAATATTTCCAGCAAGTGAGTACGATCCCAACTCTAGATCACCGATTTTTTTTTGCTCATCTCCAGTTCCGTTTGGCTTTAGTCGGACGATCAAGCCTTCCTGCATAGAAAAGAAATACGTCCTCACCGTCCAGTCCGGTTCAGTCGACGCCCATTCTACATCGAACTCCCGCAGTAGCTGTGGCACAATCTTACCCATTTCCATAAGTGAAATATTTTTGCCTATCGATAGCACTTAATCAGCTGATCGAGAGAGCATACATAGAGGTCAAACTAACCAATGCAAGTACGTGCACCTTGCCCGAACTATAATGTAATGCAAATAAGCCTATAAATCGCGAGAAGAAAGAAAAATGGAAGTCAGAATGGTAGTGATTGATAAAGTCCACGTACAGCCATAAAATATCGGCCCATCAACTTGAGTTGCTCTTCAGACGAATCTATCCAACGCTCAGGGCGGAACTTCTCGGCGTCTGTTCTATATATGGTTGTATCGCGATGAATTACCCAGGGGTTCATCCCGACTATCGTGCCGGCTCGGAGGTAATGACCACCAACTGTCGCTCCTTCTGGCGGAACAACACGTTCCAACGGTGCTGCTACTGCTGGATGGAGGCGGAGTGCTTCTTTAATGACCGCCTGTCTGGAAAAAAATGGTTATTGCTTGGAGTTGAGGGGCAACGGTTAATATGCTCACAGGTATGGCAGCTGTAGGCTTTCAGCGTAACTGATGTGTTTAGAGAGACGTCCGCTTGAATCGGCATCGTCGATTTCCTGATGAAGTTTCTTGAACAACTCGGGGTCTTGCATGAGATAATAAAAGATGGCACGGAGTGTGATAGCAGTGGTGTCACTACTAGCAGTTCTATATCCGTGGCTTATTAGTTGCGTGTACCTGTAATGTAGACAAAGGAAACTTACAAGTTGGCTAGTAGATAACCGATCATATCTGGCTCGCTGACTTCGTGCTTGCCCGTGTTGGCTTCAGTTCTGAGCCACGCCAGAAAGTCGTTTCTTTGGCCATGATTCTCTTCTTCGTCATATCTTTTCATCTGCTCCGTCGCAATCTGGTTTGGAAATAAGCAAAATATCAACTAGAGGTGAGATTAGAAGGCTCACTTACCGAACACATATAACCAAACGGGTCAAAAAATCCCGGCAAGGACTTTAAAATTGACAAGAATGTCTCATTGCCAAGTAGATACTGGTGTAGCAAAGGCACTTGAGAGACAATGGACCCATACAAAAGACCTTTCTTGAGAGAGTCTATCATCCCCTCAATATCAGCTCGCCTCTCTAAAAAGCCAAATCGCTTGTTGAAAGTAATAGCGCCAATACTATCAAAAGCCCACCTGATGATCATCAGTTAGCAAAATACCTCAGCTACACGGATAGAACTCGGAGATGATTAAAAGGTCATATACCAGTGCAACCAAACACCGAGATCAATCTCTTGCCCTTCGAGTTCATGCATAGCCTTCAAGAAAATATCGGAGCATTCGTCTACTCCAGGCTCAAGTGTCCGAATTGAAGTCATCGAGTACATTTGGGAGACTGGGACACTGAGACGCTTATGGATAACAGGGTCTTGCGTAGCAAACAGTGTATCTATTGGTTTTCCTTTGTACTTGAAACCAAGGGGTGTATAAGACTCGCTCTGTAGTTTATCGGAATGTTGGTCTTTTCCATCTTTGTTCGGATATATACAGTACAGCAAAGGGATTAGACTAACCTTGACGAACTTCGTCGAAATAGAGTAGATTGTCGACATCGCAGCCGTGTCAGAGATACAAACGTGACGCGGTCCCACGCGCACCATAGGACCGTATTTCTCATGCAAGTCCAGGTTCTTGATGTGGCATCGACCATCGTAGACCATGTAGAGCTTGTACAGATTTGAGAAGCGTGCAATCAACGGCCCTGGTAAGTCACGAATATCGGGCTTGAATGCTGTTCGAATGTAGTTGAACGCGATGAATAAAACCAGGAATGTCAAAGCAAGCTTTGTTCTAAGCCATTTTTGATCCTGAGCCCAGGTCTCTAGGTCGCTCGCCATGTTTGAGATGAGTTGTTTCATGCTGCTAAGGAGAAATCCAACGGGAGAAAAGGGCACCGCTAGGGGCTGTAGAAGGATGATTGTACTTCCCAGTCGTTAAAATGGCCCCTTACATTCCGGGGTCTCAGCTGCAGTAGCCCCTCAGTAGGATTCCTAGCCTTAGCACTACGTCTAGACTGATATTCCCAAATCTAACTGGGCAATGATTCAGTTGAATTTGAAAGTAGTCAGTGTTCCGATCAATAGTATACGTAAAGAAATTGCCACTGCCGAGTAATTAGTTGTAATTCAAGTGGATGTACCACGTTTCAGTTTTAGAATTCTGATGCGCCGAACCTCTGGGCCTCCAGCAAAGGGGAGGTGGGGAGTTCCTGTATATTTTTGGAAGCTCTGTTCACGCCGGGTTCCCCACCAAGGAACCCTCCTAGGAGAAGATATCTGCCAATGCAAGTAGCAATGCCATTGACCTAACGTAAATTACTATGACCAAACAATATTTCCTTCAAACCCTGGCATTCCCTTCCACTCTTCTTCCTCAAGGTGCCTGCCGGTACTCAGCTCAGTGACGATTTGCTGGACACCAAGACCATTCTTCAGTTTTTCCTTGACATGTGCAGCTTGTAGAACACGCGTAATTGGTTTCTTCATGCACCGCTGAGGATTCCGTATTCCCACTTCTTCACCCCTTCCATTTCCCATACCAAGTCTCGTGATGCTTCCAATGTAATCGGGGTTGCGAATTGGATCGGACTCCAAGCTTTCGGCACCACTGACAAAAACATCAATCACAAATGACTGTTTGAGACAAGAAACGGAAGAAAATACGATGTATGGAACGGTTTCATGTCCTTGACACGCAACTGTTGTGCTCAAGGGCTTGGCTGTTGACAATGAAAAAGCTGTTCCACCTTGTGGCACAGCTGCTGTTCCAAAGTGCAATTGAGAAATCGGGAGAAAGTCGGGAACAGATGGCAACGCGTAACGATACTTCAAGGCGGGAGTCTGTTTTGCCATGTCTCCTAGAGTTGTGTAGACGTATTCGCGAGGGTCATCATATGCTAACCCCGTTCCATTGTCCACAAAAGGACGTAGAGGAAAGTTGGATGAGAATTGGCGTGCAGGATTAGTCCGAAGATACACCTCAGCAATACGGTCCATGTTTGCATGGTAGCTGAGAAAAATGGGATCGAATGCTGTATAGGAATTATCGGCCTGATATTAACCGTTAACACGGATAAAATCCTTGTCAATTTCACTGGATTGGCTGCTTACCATGTCGGGTCCTATCAAGCCGTGAAAGTTATCATGCACTTGCTCAAATAGACCGTCGAAAAATTTGCGGCTGGCTTCAGGATAAAGATTATCCGGCTGGTTTTCTGAAAAGTCTGGTATATTAGCCCAGGGATACCCATGAGCCTCTTGCAAAGAGAATTCCGGCTGGGCAAAAGCATGCGCGATTTGCTGGTGATACTGGTTGAAGAGATGAATCTTCTTTGACCATAGAGGATTGCTGCGACCCTCAACAAGCTCCGGGGAGCGTTCGACATACTCAGAAGTGCCTAACCTGTTCTTTCCGTTCAGAGAAAGTGCGTACTTCAAGGGATTTTTGCGTTGCTCTCCATTTGAATGGGTATAGACATCATCTAAGAAGATCGATGGCAGGCCGGCATAAGGTGAACTTGGGTCTCCTGTTCCGACTGCAAAGCCATTCCAGTAAGGAATAGGGAAGTCAATAAGCTCCTCCACGTATTTCAGATAAGCTCGGTGCCAGAAAACAAAAGCCTCCTGGTAGTGCAAGCACCATTCAGCATCTGCAAAGTAAATCAGTATCAGATCCCTTTCACGAAAACTTTCAAAACGCACGCAGCAATCCCAGCTCCTGCCATTTAGAATCCTTCGTGCCGACTTGAAGTACATCATCCAACTTTTCGCGGTATGCCTGAATTTCAGATGGACTGAGACTGAAGATGTCTTTTCTGACCCTTGTATTTATTTGCGTATGATTTGGAGCTTTTATCAGTTCCTGATATTGGATCGGATCGGCGAACGAGCGTCTAAAGCCTTGATTTGCCCATAGGCGTAAAGTCTCCAAAGCTTCTTCGGGCCAATAGTGGTTTTGGTTTTTTGTGATTGGCATGGAGCGAGAGCGTAGATGTTGATAAATGGTAATGATGTTTTGTTGGACAGACTCCATACTCGAAAGATCAAGATGCATGTGTGCAGGGCGGGAGGGACTGTACTCTCGCATCTGGGATATCCAATGGGCCCCAATGGATTCAGGATCGGAGTCGATAGATGTCCAATATGGCTCACTAAACAACGCTCTAACTTCAGCATCCCAGGTTGGATGGCGAGTAATGGGTGGCTGTTTGCTCTGAGTTGAAGCTCTGATTTCGAGATACTGACAGGCCGCCATTTTCTTGAAGTTGATGACTTCCACAAATAAAATAGTCCTTGGGATTCAGTAGAGAGACGATGTTTGTAAGTGCTTTGCAACATGGAGGAATCTGCCGTGGTCTTTATAGAGCTTCTGTGGATCTGGATCTCAACCTATGAGCAACCTACAACTATAGTACCCCAGCAACTTCTTGCGAAGAAGCAGAATCCAACAAATCAAACGCATAAGACCTGTCATATGACTACGTCCATTTGCTCGAGCTAATTATACATGTAAACCATTGCGCGACAATTTCAATGAGCCAAAATATTCATCTCTGGTTAACTTCTCTTCTCGGTTAGAAAGCGGGAAAGAGATAAGAAATTACATTCCACCAAATACCAGAAGCCGAAAGCTAGTATTATTTGCCACATTTTACTGTTGCCCTTGCAATAGTCTGCCAAGCAATTAAAACATCCACTTACCGAGCCCCACGTCAAGTAACTTCCTATTAAGGTCGTATAGATTATGTTTGCATTTCAGGGCGTATTTCTGCTGAGACAAATAAGAGGATAACCTCGAGGGGCTAACTTTTTCATTTCTTTCTTCTGCAAAGTTCCTTTTTAATTGATGCAAACTTCTCCGTCCCTTTGATCATACTATATCATTGCAGTTAAAATGTGTCAGGACGAAACCAAGCTGAATGGCTGGTCTAGCATGCCTGCTGATGCTGGCATAATATTTGGCGACAGACCTTTCATCAACGAGCCAGGTCCCATCTCGGTCAATGAAATTAAGTTCCCAGTCGATGATCCAGTGGTGGCCAAAACCTCCGACTATGCTAAGGCTGTCCTCCATCCCGAGACATTTAACCATTCCATGCGGGTTTACTATTATGGTATGTTCCTAAAATGGCGCAATGCACTATTTATAATTCTATTTGATGAGCGCTGATAGTCCATGAAGGAATGGCAATTACCAAGCAACAGTTTCCCAAGCATGCTGCCGACCTCAATCCCGCCACTTGGGCGTTGACCTGCCTGCTGCACGATCTCGGCACTGCGGAGGAGAATCTCGCTGCGACTCGGATGTCATTTGATATCTACGGTGGTATCAAGGCCTTGAATGTCCTCATGGGCTTTGGCGCAACTTCTGATCAGGCTGAAGCTGTCGCTGAAGCCATCATTCGACACGAAGATATGGGAGTTGACGGAACCATCACCTACATTGGCCAGCTTATTCAATTAGCTACTACCTACGACAATACAGGCGTCCACCCTCATGTCAAGGACTTTGAAAAATTGGTCCATGACGTGACGCGCACCCAAATTAACGAGTCATTTCCACGATTGAAGTGGTCGAACTTCTTCTCTGGCATCATTCGAAAAGAGGAGGCTATCAAGCCATGGTGTCATTCGACGCATCTTGTCAATTTTGACAAGGAAATTGAAGCCAACACTCTCATGAAGCAGTGGGAGTAAATTTTTTACACTAGCAATATGTTGTTATGTTGCATCATCAACCCTAGACATTCAAATATCAACTTGAAATGACATGTGCTACAATCTCATACTGCTTGAGAAAAGCAGTCAGTAGATCAAACCATTTCCCTTGGGTGCCTTTATCAAATTTTTAGTATTTTGCCCATAAAATTGACATCCTAATGAATGGATGGTAGACGACTCGCATGCAGTTTGCCTTCAATTGTTTTTTTTTTCTTTTTCTTGAAACTAGTACTGTACATGTAGGTTCGTTCACATTCTGTCCTTCGCACTTTTCTGTGTAGATAGATCGATCTTCTGAAGAACCCGCATATTCATGTCGAAATGTTCAAGCCTAACAAAATCAATGTATTCCAGTCACCAAGTTAACGTTAATAATTTAAGTGTTGGGCCCCACTACCAGCAACTTCCTAACACGATTTAGTGGATGATCTAATGAAGATAGCATCTAAAAACAACATGCTAATAATTACATGTAACTATTGAAGAAAAATGACTCATAATGCATCCTCTAGCAGGGCCTTACATACTTGTGGAAGTTATTTGTTACTAATCGTCACATTTGATCACTGCTTCGCTGTAGCAACAGACGATGTCTCTCTCGACAACATCCTTAAATGGAACTGTGGGGGCCATGGGCTACCGACGATAATCAAGTAAAGGGAGCTGTCTGTTCCAAGTTGCCACCTGCATACTTTCTTCGCACTACCAAATAATAATAATAAAAACTCAATTTCAGACTCACTAGTTTGCATATCATCAATTCTAAGATGGTACATGAGTGAAATAGGAAAAGGATAAAATCATATTTCTCGAAATTGCGTCAGCATTGTATTCTCTCTCCTTTTCGTTCCATCCTTCTCATCTGGAGCCACTACTGCTGACAACCCAGATATTCCCTATTCTGATAGCAGCCTTTTGTACCTAATGCCGCCATAACGATGACCAGCTCCAGCTATGACCCCGATGCGCACAGTCTGTGGATGAGACGCCAAAGATGCAATTTAAAGATTGATCTTGCCGAAGAGAAAACAGGGGCTATGAAAACCTATACTTCGGGGGACCCCATTGAAGGCGTTGCCAGCATCACCTGTGATTGCGATACGCCGTTTGACGAAATCCAGATTGTGCTTGAAGGTTCCAATCCAATACAGTCAATATGAGATGATTGGAGACTAATAAAAATGTAGGCCTGTCAAACACAACGCTCGAACGAACACCATATCCTGGCCAAACAGGTTGCAGAAAGACCTTTCTTGCTATGCGCTATCCAGTCAACCACCCCCAGGTCAGGGTTTTCGAACGAGGTCGCTCGTATCAGTTTCCGTTCACATTTATTTTTCCTGATCGACTGCTCCCTCATGTTTGTTATCATTCGATGAGAAGCACTCTAGTACAACAGCATCATACTGTGCCTCCTCCAACCTTAGGGGACCATATCTTATCTGGAAGTGCCGAAAGTCAGAGAGATGATATGACACCTGGAATGTGTCAAATCTCGTACCATATTCGTGTTGCTGTAACCAAAAGGCAATCATCAAATGACCATGGATTTCAGCTCGCCACACAAAAAATCCTCCGCATTATTCCAAGTGTGGAAAATGATCCAATCCCCGAGGAATTTGGTGCCTCGCGTTACTCCATGCAACTGGAAACAGAAGTGAAGCGAGGTTTGTTCAACGGGAAATTGGGAAGACTGATCTTGAGCTCAGCTCTCCCCAAGCCTGTTCAGCTGGATCCTCTCCAATGCATGGCAACAAACGAGGTTAGCACTACGGTGACCGTGAAACTCAGATTCGACCCTCAGGATGATCAATTACCACCACGACTAGAACGGATGGACACCAAGTTGAAAGCACATACGTTCTTTACCGCAGTTCCCTGGTCTGATTTTCCCCACTTGTCAGAAGACAGAACGTATCCGAAACACAGCTCCGGTGATTACACCGAGTCAATGCGGCTTTCCACTAGGTCTATCACATCGGTCCGGTGGGAGAAATGTTTCGCGGCAGATCCGATCTCAATTGTTCAGGGGCCCGTAGCCCTAACGAACCACGGGTTATCTTCCAGCAACACTTATTATACTACAAGTATGATAGTTCCCATCACTCTTCCACAGTCGAAGGCCTTTCCTCCTACCTTCCATTCGTGTCTTGTGTCTCGCATATATTCACTCGATATCGCACTGTCATACTGCAATTCAAAACCTACACTTCTGCCGGCGACTCTTTCGCTGCGAGTTCCTCTTTTGATTAAGTGTCAGCCGAGAGTTGAGTTCTTACGGATTCTGCCAAAAGCTACATCGTTGCAATCGATACTGGACGAGCCCCTGGACTCAACTGAGACTTCCCTCCATACTACGCCTAGGTGTGCCAGTACCACGCAACAATTCACACATGCGAATCGCCGCTCATTGAAGGGAAAAAGTTTGAACCACAACAGCTGGAAAGAGGGGAGGTAATACCGCTAAATACCGTTTTACAATCGAAGGAAGAGTGACTTTTTTGCGGGCGCGTTGATAAATATCTGTTTAGATCTAGAGCGAGCACTTGACAAAATCATCTTCTCATCTATCCATTTCTATTAATGTGCCTCCACATCACTACTTATATATGACCATATCAAATCCCCCTACACATGGCAGGGCAACTCTAAAACCATAAGACTATCATGGGATCATGGGACACCACGTAGTCACGCATTACGCTCTACGCCTGGAGGTATATAGAAGGAAATATGGGCAAGATCATGCCAGGAAAGTAATATAATTGAAAGGGGACGAGAGAAATTCACACGCATCAATACACAATCATTAGGTAATGACATGACAAAAGCGTCAGCATGGGGACATCAACCGGGTCATCGCTGGACTGATCATGGGTAAAGGATACAAAACAACACATAACTTAGCGCCTAACCATGCGCCGAGAATAAGGATCATCAAATCGCCCAAAATGGGATGAGCTACCAAGTCCAAGCTACCGACCCAGTCGGCGAGGAGTTGTGATAGGTTACCATTTTGTTCAAGGTGTAACCAAAAAGCAAAGTGGAAAAGACACTACCCTTAGTGTTTGGCAGTGATAGCACCCCAGCGGCACCAAGTGCCAGCAGCAACGGAGCCCATGAAGACCGGACGGCCGTAGTTGCACAAGGCGAATGACATGCCATCAGGAGAGCAGAGGATCTCGCCGGAGGTGCAAGTCCATTGGCCAACGTAATCGCTGAACTGGTTGTTGGTGGAGGCCTCGGTGGAGAGGGTACGGGCACCACCAGTGGCAGTGGAAGTACCGAAAGAAGAGGCAATTTTGGACATCTTCTTGTCGGTGCTGGTAGCGTCCTCAGTGGCGCTGGCAGCGTCCTCGGCGGCGCTGGTAGCATCCTCGGCGGCGCTGGTGGCATCCTCGGTGGCGCTGGTAGCGTCCTCGGTGGTGCTGGTAGCGTTCTTGGTGGTGCTGGTCTTGTTTTTAGTGGTGCTGGTAGCGTTCTTGGTGGTGTTGGACCCGTCATCGCCGAGGAAGGGAGCAGTGCCAGAGCACTTGTAGCCCTTTCCATCAGCCTGGCCGAGGACGTTGGGGCCGGGCTTGGGGAAGTTGACGGCCTCGCCCTCGATGGTGACACACTTGCCAGCCTGATCGACGTTGGCGACGAAGATTTCAGGGAGACTGTCGTAGCTGGTATCGGCAGCCTTGCTTTGTTTCGTGTGATCCTTCGGCTTAGTCTGTCCCTTGGCCTTAGCCTTAGCGACCGCTGACTTAATTTTGTCAGCGGGACTTCCATCAGCAGCCATCTCGGGCATGTTCTTGGGAACGGCCTTCTCCTCGGAGCCATTCGTGTTATTGGCAGCACGGCCACCGGAGCCACCGATGTTGACCATGGCACAGTTCATGTACATCTCGCGGTTGCCGACCTTGTTGAACCAGGTCCAGGCAAAGAGGGCATCACCAGTCGGGGCATCGGAGGGAATATTAAACTTGTACTTCTTGGCGATGGGGCAGTCTCCTTCAACAGACTGGATGACCTTGAAGGTCTTACCCTGATCGTAGGTCAGGGAAAGCTGACATGAGCCACCGTTATGGGTGGCACTGCCCTCGAGCTCCATCTCCTGGGATGAACCCGGCGCCCAGGTATCGACAGCATTGAATTCATCCTTGGCGTAGCCTTTGCATGGGTAGTCACTACCGGAGCTTGATAGAGGGTTGGTATATGAGTAGTCCTTCTCGCCCTTGGCGTCCTTGTTCAAGGGACTGCGGATGGGGTAGGGCTTGCTCAACTGCATGTGAGCAGAGACTGTGGAGGCCAAAAGACCGGAGAGAATGAATGTGCCCTTCATTGTGATTGAAGTGTTTTCTGTTGGCCAGTTAGTCTCCTGTTGGTGCCTTCAATTCCAATATGGCAACAGCGAGCATTGGAAAGATCGGGTTACTCACAGTGTCTTAGGTATATAGAAGGTTCGTCAAGAATAGATACTAAACACTTAACCACCAGGGTCAATTTGCAAAGAGTTCAGAGCTTGGGTTGCGAAAGTCTGGGTGGTCGGCAAATAATATAAATACACGCTCAGTGGACGGTCGCTCAGTGGACGGTCACATTCTTTGGACCTATTGAGAGGAATGGCAGATGCCATCGTGTTATGTTTTAAGTCCATGCGCTGACGGACGAGCAATGACCCCCGCGACGTGAAGAATGCTGCCAAACAATTCATACTTTACATGTACTTTACCAGCTGGATGATGGCGCACTCTCTCTATTCAGTGATACTTGAGCGCAACGGTTAAATTAACCTTCCCCAATCTATAATCCACATCGTCATTGTACTATGAATTAGGGTGTATGATGAATACATTCCCATAATGCAGTTTGGTCCTCAGACACTAAACATATCAAACCTCGGTTGAGGGCAGCTACCTGGGCACTCAGGGGCAATGGATTGTTCATCCAACAAGCTGGGCGATCAATTATGAAAAGCAATCACTGCTTTCATTCCAACTGGCAATAATCTCGGAGCCAAGTTCCCAGGAATCCAACAATGATGTCAGGGGTACTAAAAAAGGCCGCGTCACTATAGCCGTGTACTCGGCAGACAAGCTTCATTCATTCTGTTCGGTCCAATCGTGGAGTATGTGATCCAACCGGTTTGGATCTCGAACATGGACCTGGCGGAAGCCCTAGGGGGTTGGCCCCTCAACCCCTGTTCTACCCCTGCATGCCTACCCAGGGCACCAATTATATCGCTCAAAGCTAATGGCATTATTTACGTTTTCGAGGTGGCTCGGGACTTTTTCTGTCATTGTCCTGCAGGGAAAGCTTGGTGCTGCGTGGTTAATGGGATGTAATGCGATGGTGTGGGGTCTGCGCATGGCTCGACGTATGGACCGAATAGCCATTAGCTTGCAAGCAGAAATAGCTTTGATGGCTGAATTCTTTAATATCGCAGCAAAGAAAGTAGATTCTATGTTGTCTAAGTTAATTGACACTCATTGTATACATTGATGCAAAAATATATATTCACACCCAGAACATACGACAGCTGTTGTCCCACGCCGCGTGAACCACTTCTTGTACAGAAATGCCTTTCAATCCAGCCACGACTAACCCAACACGCTCCATAGTACAGCTCTCATTGCGAGTCTTGACCATCTGTCCCAGAATAAACTTGTTGTGCTTCCGACTTGCAGGCAAAGGCCTCGCAGATTCCAAGTAACCCGCAATTTTCGGATCATTACCCAAGACCTCACACCACGGCGCGTCTGTCTCAAGCTGTAACCTATCCAATGGAATATGTTTAACCATATCCAACTGTTCATCCGTCCGGAACGAAACACCATTGACACTGATTTCCAACCCAAGCTCCACAAGCTGCAGCATCTCCTCCTTCGTCCCAGCAAAGGAATGCACAAGTCCACCCTTGGGCAATCTCCCAAGATAAGGCCGGATAATAGAGATAAAATCCTCGGCAGACTCACGAATATGCAAGAAAAGCGGTAATTGAAAATGAACCGCCAACTCCAACTGTTCCCGGAAAGCACGCTGCTGCGTCTGTTTATCGGCGCGGTTGAGGTACTCATAATCCAACCCAATTTCACCAAATGCAGCCAAAGGTGAAGGAGACTCAGCGAGGAGTGATTCGCCCAACTGCTTTAGCTCATTGAGATACTGCGACTCGGGCTGTTCGTAGATCTCGGCGGCATGGTAGGGATGCACGCCAAGTGTCATTTTGCACATTGTGGGGAACTCCCTCACTGCTTGCAGATTTTGTTTCGCTCCTTGGAGAGTCATGGTTGTGAGCATTAATTTTTCACAGTTGTATTCTCTGGCTCGTTTGAGGACTTCGCCGAAATCGGCTTCATGGTATTGTTTTCCTCGGTAGATGCCTTGGAATTGGTCTGCGGTGAATGTGACCGCTACCTGGTGTGTGTTAGTGAAAATTATGTGTTTATGGGCTGGGTTACTTACATCGAAGAATTTCATGGTGGTTTTCCTTGATTGGTAGAATGAAGAGCAGCGGGAAAAGATGTCTGAAAAGTTGAGTAGTGTCTTCAGCTTTCTTGGCGGGTTGACCATCTAACACAATAGTAATTTCCGTGCCAATATGAGGATCTGTGCTTGGCAGGTCACAATTGGCTTGTGTGCACTTTCGAATGAACAAAATGACGGAAAATTCCATGTAAAAATCCACAGAGGATTCCATTCAAATATATTGACTCAGTCCGGGTACATGTACCCGATGTCGGCAGAGTGGTGGGGCTTATATATTTGGCTCCGATGAACCTCATATTTTATTATTATTATATTTTGACAGACAAGTCCTTCCGCATCGGAGATAGCAACGGCCATGGAGAACCATTTGTGACCTTTATTTCCCCAATCTCCCCCAAGGCAGTTCCCGCGAGCACACCAGTCCCAATGATTCCACCATCACTAGCCTCACGTAAGAAGACACTCTTGCCTCCTGCTTGTGGACCAGCGCGAAGTATGAGACGATCGATATATCTTTGCACATTTTCCTTGTAATGGGGATAATGTTGAATCACTCCCCCGGAAAAGGCCACGGCGAGTTCTTCCGGGCCGCTGTTCCAACTGGGAGAGCCTGAGCCTGTCTGTTCAGTGTCTTTAGTTTCCATTTTCTTTTGTACGCCGCTTGCATCTTTGGATACATCCTTGCACAGCTTGACTTCTTTGATACAATCCAGAAGACCAACAACGGCGGCTGCAACCAATGAAGCCGCTCGGTCGTGCACAGCCGATGCGATGGCGCGGATATCGTGAGCGTATTCAGGTGTCCAACTCCAATCGCTTTCAGGTGGTGGCTGAAGCTTTTGAGAAAGCTTGTCTGCCAATGATTCGTCGGGCAAGGAAGAGGCAACAACCAGTGAGAGGAATTCCGTTGAAATGGTATATGGCTCAATCAACGTCACGGGTAACATAGAGCGCTGTATCCCCAGGACTCTGTGAAAATAGTCGTAGCAGATTATCCGAACCAACTCGCCAGTATACCCACCTCCGACCATATATTCTAGTGGCTGGAACCCCGGTCGTTTGGAATGCTGGTCCAGTTCATAGTCCCATTTATTTCGAATGCGCAGCTCATCGAAAGGAGCTGCTGCCGTGGAAAGAGTCCACTCGGTAGAGATGAGCGTCTCTTTGGCGTCGGGGTATTTCTCTCGAATATTTCGTGTTTTTGATTCATGAAGATCGGAAATCTTCATTGGAGCAGTGGCATTGCATCCAGCGCCTACAATAAGCCCCATGACAACACGGGTATTGGGCAACGAAGGGATCGAATATGCCAATGATGCAAGAGTCGCGGTCGTATCATTGATCATGACAGCGATTTTTAATTTAGGCAGAGAAAACAACCTGCGTCGTTTTGCAGGCATGGGCTCAACATCGCCGTGAGAGGAATACGTGTGGCGCTCGTATCCATTCAGCAATGCTTGGCGGAGGTTGAGGTCTGAGCTTAGAGAAAAGCCTTTGCCAGTTGGCATCAAGATAGCTTCATCGAGAGTGTTTTGTCTATGAGGTATTAGCCAGAGAAAGCAGCAACGGAACAGGGTGTTGTTGATACTTTATAGGTAGACAGAGGGAAATACCCGTCGTTATTTGGTCAAGACTTTCTTCATTCGGATTGGCAAGTCGATCGGCCACGACCTCGGCAATACAGTCACCGATCCAGGTGAACAAGTCCAAGGAATGGTCTTTTCGTAGATGGTCTTCTATAGGCCAGGCCTTCTCTAGCGTTCGTCGAACGCGGGCATGCCCTTCGACTTGTTTATCTCCCAAGAGATCAATAAAGGCTACTCGCAGATAAGATAGACCAACATAGACGCCGAGGTAGCGTCCAGTTTCATGACCTGTGGGGAGGCGGGTGATGGGCGTTGGAATGAAGTGCTCAGTAGATTCCAAGGCCAGGTTCGTATAAGATGTTGATAGTCGACAGGACAAGTCAGACAAGGTTTCGATGCCAACCTGGAGGGGTTGCAGGAACTCTTTCAGATTTGGCTTTACTGTTGCAGGTTGCTGCACAGTTGAGCTGGCCATATTGATCTGGGAAATGACCTAGAATATCTTGAAAGTTGCTTTGGTGGCCAATTTATGGCCTAGGATGTTGAAGAGAGACGCTTGCTGACGAAAATATGCCAAGAGGCCGCTAGAAAGGGTAGAATACCACCACGTGACCTTCATGCAACGGTGTTTTTATACTTGGGTTTTGTGTTTATTTTCATGATTCAGGGGAGTTTCAGATTGTCTTTGTGATGATTCAATGCGATCAACTTGGTGGAGAATTTGGCTCTAATCGCTGGGTATAACCACTGACCAAGCCCAAGCTACCAACTTCCCGGCCTTAGTATTCCAAGATCAAGCTGACAGGCGTCAGGTATACATGTTTGCTCTTTTTATTGAAATTGTTTTGTCGACTTTTTAGAAATATTTTGGTTAATTCCATGCTATGTTAAATTAAATCTTGCTGTTGCATGTCCAATGACCATGTTCAATTGAAGTAGTTCCTCACTCAAATTCAGGATTGGACCACGGAGAGGAGACATATATTGAAAGTATATAGATATGACTATTGAATACAAAGGTAGATCCTTCACAATCATAATGCCATTCAATATAGGCCACGAGGTTACATTGGCCCTCAATACTTTCCCCGCAACAAATATTACGCCCCACACTTGCGGACTCTACTGAGCTTGAGTCATTTTCTCTACTGATTCACCTATACCCCCAATGAGTAGAGAAAGCTCAAGCTCAAGGTCCTGGCCTGATCAAAATGTCGAATCCCAAGATCCACATGAAGCCAGTTCGGAGGAAGACAACCCACCGTTGCATGCAGTGAATGTCGCGCCCAGATGGAATGAATCAAGAACCACAATATGGAAAGTGACAGCTACATTCTGGTGTGCGTTCGTGATGGGGTCGAATGATGCAGCTTATGGAGCGATAATTCCTTATGTTTGTGTTACTCTCCAGTCCGCCGCAGAGCATACTAACAAAGTATGAACAATTAAGCTCGAGACATACTATCGCAAAAACTACACCATTATCTCCTTGGTATTCCTCTCACCGTTCGTCGGCTATACCATATCTGCAATCCTCAGCAACATGATCCACCAGCACCTCGGCAGACGAGGGATCACCATTATCGCGCCGAGCTGCCACTTGCTAGCTTTTGCGGTCATATCTGTTCACCCGCCATTCCCGGTGCTTGTGGTTATGTATGTGCTTGTTGGCTTGGGCAGTGGATTCCATAATGCAGCATGGAACGTCTGGATCGGAAACATGGCAAACTCGCATGAGGTGCTTGGATTCTTTCATGGTTTCTACGGCATCGGTGCTACAGTCAGTCCTCTTGTTGCCACGAGTTTGATCACGAAGGCAGGATGGGAGTGGTACGCTTACTACTATCTGATGGTACTTAAATTTCCTTTATCGTACATTCAGAAAAGGTGAACTAACATGAAATAATAGACCGGAGCAGCTGCTATAGCGCTGGTATATGCCGCCAGTGCCTTCTGGGCCGAAACAGGCGAAAGATATCAACTGGAGAATCCAAGTATTCCTGGCAGGCAGGGAGGAGCATTTTCTCAGACACGCATATCACTCACATACAACGTCACCTGGATCTGTGCCGTGTTCCTCTTCCTCTACGGTGGTATCGAGGTGGCAATCGGTGGCTGGATTGTCGTTTTCATGACCAACGTCCGCCATGGAGGCGCCTTCGCATCCGGAATGGCAGAAACAGGCTTCTGGTTGGGTATCACAATCGGTCGATTCGTACTAGGCTTTGTCTCGCCTCGAATCGGAGAAAAGCTGTCGATTGCTATATACCTCCTGCTTGCCATCACTCTCGAGCTTGTCTTTTGGCTTGTGCCGGAATTCATTGTGTCGGCGGTTGCAGTGGCATTTGTTGGATTCTTTATGGGAACGATCTTTCCTGGAGTTGTGATTGTGATGACTCGTTTGCTTCCCCGGAATCTTCATGTTGCGGCTATTGGTTTTGCGGCGGCTTTCTCTATGGGTGGTGGTGCTGTGTTCCCTTTCATGATTGGTGCTATTGCTCAGGCTAAAGGTGTTGTGGTGTTGCAGCCTATTTTGCTTGCGATGCTGGCTGTGTCTTTGGGCATTTGGGCAATGCTTTTCCGGCTTCCTCGAGAGGTCTCACACCAAGTTTGATTGGAGAGGGAACGAGAGGAAAGACTGGGTTGAAGAATAGCCATACCTATTCCTGTGTAGTACAATTGGACCATCATTTATCGCAACTGTCCCTCCAACGGTCGACATAAGTATTCTCTTGTACTAGACTTACAACATATGGCCTTGATGCTTGCCTGAGGCATCAATGATATCATTGCAGAGACACAAAGAGATTTGATTTGGATACAAGACTCGATTATGCACGACATTGATCAATGCGACAAAGTGTCAGGGATGATGAGCGTGTATACTCGGGATCCAAGAACAGACATATTGGGCGGTGATGCGACGCGTTAGCGCGTCATGAACATCCCGCCCTGGCCTCCTCTAGTCAACTCTCCACCCTCATTTATACCCAAGAGTTCGAATGTGTCGGCGGTTTATTCGGCTGCTGCAGGGTCTGTCTTTCCAACATGCCGATTCCATGGAAGCTGGCCCGGGTCGCCACACGTCACTGAGATCCCTCGATCGATCGATGGTGGCGACCAGATCGCTCGCCCCGATCCGGACATACGCTCATCATGCCCCTGCCTTGCGCTTCTCTTACAAACGCGTTGCACATATCCTAGATACATCCAAGCTCATCACACTGTCTCGTACCTATTCACAACATCTGGGCCGAGGCTTAGATTTTGACGCTGAAGTCATGATCATGGCCACTGAGCCACATGGATCCGAGGCAAAGCCTGCGGATATTCTCAATGAAGATATACACTCACACCAAGCCGAGGCGGCATTGGACCCTGAATCCGACGAGGACATTCCACTGGAGGCAGAGGAACTCAAGGAGGCCCTTGGGCGACCCCCACCAGTGAACAGCAGCTATCTCCCTCTTCCCTGGAAAGGAAGGCTAGGATATGTGAGTTGCATCTTAAGCCTCATGCGTGCAACATCGGTTCTAACCCAATTAGGCCTGCTTAAATACCTACCTCCGCTACGCTACCCCTGCCGTATTCTGTTCTCGAACGTGTCGAATCGCCTCTATCATCGAGAACCGACACCCCCTCCAAGATCCCGAACAGCCTGCACACTCGACCAAGAATCGTCCGGACCGGGATCAACCGGCCGATGTTGCACGCGGACAGGCCTTTGTCGAGGCTCTCGGCCTGACAAATGCGCGTGATTTGGTCAAGATCCTTCGCTGGAATGACAGGTATGGCATTAAGTTTATGCGATTAAGTAGTGAGATGTTCCCATTCGCTAGCCACAAAGAATACGGTTATAAATTGGCGCCGTTCGCCTCGGAAGTGCTGGCGGACGCAGGCCGGGTGGTTGCAGAACTCGGTCACCGTGTCTCGGTTCACCCCGGCCAATTCACGCAGTTTGGATCGCCAAGGAAAGAAGTGATTGAGAGCTCTCAGCGAGATCTTGAATACCATTCGGAGTTGCTTCAGCTTCTCAAACTGCCCCCTCAGCAAGACCGCGATGCGGTAATGATCCTACACATGGGTGGGGTTTTTGGTGATAAAGCTGCGACACTTGATCGGTTCCGAGAGAACTATTCCAAGTTGTCGCAGGACATCAAGAATCGGTTGGTTTTGGAAAACGACGATGTCAGCTGGTCTGTTCACGATCTACTGCCAATCTGCGAGGAGCTTAACATCCCTCTTGTCCTCGACTATCACCACCATAATATCATTTTCGATTCCAATGAGCTACGTGAAGGCACGCAGGATATTACAGGACTCTATGATCGCATTGCGGCAACTTGGTCTCGAAAGAACATTACGCAGAAGATGCATTACTCCGAACCAACTGCTCCAGCAATCACACCTCGCCAACGCCGCAAACACAGTGACCGTGTGAATACGCTACCTCCATGTGCAGACACCATGGACCTGATGATTGAAGCCAAAGACAAAGAGCAAGCTGTCTTTGAGCTGATGAGAAATTTCAAACTCCCCGGCTACGAACGTGTGAACGACCTAATTCCTTTTATGCGCCCCGACGAAAACCAACCCTTCAAACCACCAAAAAGGTCGAAGAAAAACGGCGGTTTTGTGGATCTCGAGGGCTCAATACCCCCGCCTCGCACCATCCCAGAGGAAGAAATTAGCATGGGTGGACCTGACGGTAGAGTCTACTGGCCCCGGGGCATGGAAGAATGGCTCAGACCTGCGAAGAAGATTGTCAAACCCAAAACAGCCGTGAGTCCGAAGAAAAGCACACCGAAGAAGGTGAAGACCGAGTACATCGCGGATATCCCTCTTGACGCAGCCAAGGTAGAAACCACCAAGAAACCAAAGGCTGCCAAACGCACGACTCCCTCCAAAGCTCGGAGCAAGCGCAAGGCTTCGGTGATCGAGTCGACCCCTGAGCCGGAGGAGACTAGTGATGTTTCCGCAGAATTGGAGAATCGTCCATCTCGGGAATCACTTTCTCGGCGGAGTTCACGTGCGAAGAAGGTGAATTACACCGAGGATAGTGCGTAGTCGAGTGATTTTGTATAAATATTTTGTACGATATTGGTAGAATAATAAACAGCAACATCGCCATATTGTTGCCAAATCTATCAAATTTCCATAGTAGTCTTCTAGACCATTTGCCACCATGAAACACAACTCAATTATGAATATTTATTCTTTATTGTATCAGAAATGAAACCGAAACCGAAATCACACTAAATATAGTACATAGCATCATATTGTCAAACTTGTCGAACTCTCCGAGAAACCTGAAACGAACGCGGTGAGAGGGGCTCCGAATAATCATCGTCATGGGCGATCTCTTCCCCGCAGGTCTACTTTCCGCAGCCCTATTCGACTTGGCTTTTTTCTCGATATTCTTGTTCTTCTACATTCAAATATACACCATACGAGACCCTGGCTCCTAAACCACGCTTCCGCTGGCCCAGCCTCCGGTCGAGGACTCCCCTCTCACAACGCCCACCCACCCTCTTCCCTTCGTTCCCCCGTGAGCCTCGACCTAGCAAGCTCTCACGAATTCTCCGCCTACTCGTTGGCCCACACGCAAGCAGACGAGCCCAGTCTCGTCTCTGGGGCCTCCGACACGAGACCCTCCCGGCCCTCCGTCACCGGGCACAATCACGGATCTACCGAGCAATCGTCAAACGCCAAGCACGACTCGCAGCGCGCGATCGCAGACTCGGAGGAGGCATAGTCTCCTATCTCCTCGGCCCCCGACGACAGTTGCGCACGTGGAGAGCCAACGCGGCATCCAGTATCAATTCCGCTGCAAGGCATCCGAAGTCGATCCTAGCCCGTTCCGGACCGAAGGAAGCCGCGAGAGATCCAATGGCACAACCAGGGCTTTCATCGACATGGGGACCAGGAGGCGCCGATGGTGCCGGTGTCACTGGTAGCCGTCGCAAGAAGGTCTTCGAGTACTTCAAGGCTGCGAATGAGTTGCGCCAGGCCTATACATCTCAATGGTCTGGACAGAGGAACGACCATGATGAGGATTACTACAATACCCCCGGCGCCTTCCCCGACATTGAAATTGCGCGATCGGGCGACGAAGAGATGGTTCTTTTCCCGAGTTATGCTCGGAAACTGACGGAAAAGAAGAAGACCGATGCTAGCGCACGTCCGCGACGTGACTCCTGGTCAGAGACCATCGATGAATACCGGGGGAGCCCCATAACGATGAGGGCTCTACGCCTGATTGGGATGACACTGAGACCGAAAATGCGGTCGTGGCCGTTGACGTGCGTGGCTGGATCTACGCTCCTGGTCGCGGTCCCATGAGCCGAAAGCACCGTTTGATGATTGCGCTGGCCAGGAAGCTGAGCGGCATCCCTGCACCAACGGGAACTACCAATGATGAAAGCGACGACAAGATGTCAGGCAAGGGAGATGATGAATACTTGGACAAGCAAATGCAAAATTTAGTCGATACAGCCGAGAAGGAAGCAGACCCGGCTTGGAAGAGTGCACACACGGACAAAGTGCAACACCCTGTACCGCTGAGCAAAGATGAGCTGTCTATGGCAAATGCTCATCTCATGGAACGACTCCGTCCATTCCTCACAAACCCCGTTGCTAGTATGCCCGTGACTGTTTTCTTCTTCGACGAGAATGAGAGCAAGTCTCGGAATATTACAACGGATGAATCGGGTCACTTCACTCTTCGTGCTGCATTGCCATTCGTCCCAACTCATATTCGTGTGTTGGCATCCGAGGACTTGTCTGCTGCACGACCAATTCAGATCATCGACCCAGTTGGAATCAGTTTGATCAGTGACATCGATGATACAGTGAAGCACTCGGCTATTGCTGGTGGAGCGAAGGAGATGTTCCGCAACACATTTGTTCGTGAATTAGGCGAACTCACCGTTGAAGGAGTCAGTGACTGGTATGGGAAGCTTGCCAAGCAGGGTGTTCAAATCCACTATGTGTCCAACGCCCCATGGCAATTGTACCCTCTCCTCGAACGCTACTTCAAGATGGTGGGCTTGCCACCAGGCTCGTTCCACCTCAAGCAATACTCGGGGATGCTACAAGGAATATTCGAACCTACAGCAGAGAGAAAACGAGGATCACTGGAGCAGATTTTGCGAGACTTCCCTGAACGCAAGTTCATCTTGGTTGGAGACAGCGGCGAGGCGGATCTCGAGGTGTACACCGACATCGTCCTGGCAAACCCCGGCCGCATCTTAGGAATCTTTATCCGCGATGTCACGACCTCGGAGCCCCAGCAATTCTTCGAGAAATCTGTCGGCCCTCTTGACCCACCCAAGCGCAATCGCAGTTTCCCGGATGTAAAAGATCAGTCGGATGCTGTCCCCAATAGACCAGCTCTGCCGCCTCGTGCATCTCCGTCTCTACCAGCAGTACATATACCTTCACCGGACGCTGAACCACAGAGCGTGGATATCGAAGACTTGATTGATCTTACAGATCTTATCATTGACCAGAAGCCACCCCCAGCTGGACTTACCCACCCTGATCAACCGCGTCCACCTCCCGTTAAGCCAGTCAAGCCATCTGCACTGCGCATGGTTTCCACACCTGCGGACCTACTGAGGGCTAGACCGGCCAGGCCGTCTGCTTTGCGTCAAAGTACTACACCTTCTGATATGACGAGGGAGAGCAGTCCCAAGCCATCACCACGAGAAGCTCCTCAGCGCAAGCCTGTCCCTCCTGTTCCACCGAAGCGTGGATCTACGCCCAAGACTGAGTCATTAATTGATGCGGGGCCTTCACCCATTTCTCGCAGCAGCACTACTGGGTCATCTACGAATGACACCTCATCATCGTTGCTCAGCAACCTCAACGATGGCTCCTTAAGTTCCCGTTCTCAGTCCCCACCAAGGGGTTCAAAGCAACAGCCACCTCTCCCACCACCCCGTCGCGCAAACACTGCATCATCAACCGCCCACTCCGACTCCAGTGGATCATCGACACCCCGTCCTGCAGCAAGTAGCATCCAATCCTACCCGGCAGCAGCCGCCCAAGCCGCATATCAAGGATTCCAATATGCAACCGAGCGGCTCAACCTGTCACAAAGCCCCTCTAATGGATCACGACAGTCTCCAGCGGGACCAGATAACGAATCGGGCATGCCTCCTGTGCCACTCCCGAACAAACGCGAGGAACTCTGGCGTCGTCGCTGGGAACGCGCATCTGAGGTTCTTGAAGAGCATGGGGTTGTGCTGGGTAGTTGGCGCGTTGGAACCGATGCCCAGCCTGTTTGTGCATGGTTAGTGGAGGAGGCGATTAAAGATATGAAGGCCGGTCCTACGAAGAAAGAATAAGGTCGCCTTTAATAGATTACCTTGGCTTTACATTGTCATATACTCCATTCAGTCAACAAATCTTTTTATATATATCGCTTCCCGAAACTAGAGTGGTACCCAGAATACCCAGAACAAGTTCCTTGTTGGTAAACTCCCTAGTTTAGTTTACGGGTGAGCGGTTGAGTTGTAAAAGGTGGAGAATGCTGGAAAGAACGTGTTATTGGAAAGTTGGGACATGATGCGAAGAGAATACTGAAAATTGGGACTTTTGTTCTCATCCGGATGTACGTCGATCACGGTGTGGGGAGACGCGGAGAATTAGGCAGTGATGGATGACAATCCCAGAGTCCTCATTAGCGCAAATACGTAAGTAACCTCGATGACTTCAACATATTAATCAGACCATCGATTGCAGTCTCAGGGGTGTAAACTAGTGCAAAATTAGGGCAAATATGCTGACATCACCTCGGACCTCGGCTCAATTTGAAACAGCAACAGCATGATTGGAGACTGAACAATCTGGGGTATTTACTCTCCCCCATCCCTCCTCTCCCAACTCAAACATGTCGGAAACACTCACACGCGCCGAAGTCGCCAAGCACAACACCGAGGATTCCCTCTGGTGCATCATCGACCACAAAGTCTATGACCTAACCGACTTCGTCGACGCCCACCCCGGTGGCGGCGTCGTCCTCGCCCAGGTAGCCGGCCAAGATGCCACAACCGAGTTCTACAACCTGCACCGCCAGGAAGTACTAGAGAAGTACCGCAAACAGCTCTGCATCGGCACCATCGAAGGCGAAAAGTCCGAGGTCATCGAACCCACACCAGGAGCCTTGAGTCCCGTTCCCTACGCCGAACCACTATGGCTCCGTCCTCAGTTCAAGTCGCCCTATTACAAGGAGACGCACCGCCGCCTGCAAAAGGCTGTGCGCGAGTTCACGGACAAGTACGTGACACCCGAGGCGCAGGAGAAGGAAAGAGATGGCACGTACATCAGCCAGGAACTGATCGACCGCATGGCTGAGACGAATGTCCTTGCCATGCGGCTCGGTCCTGGAAAGCATCTCCATAACCGGACCCTGCTTGGTGGGGCAGTCGATGGGAAGGAGTTTGACTACTTGCATGATATGATTGTTACGCAGGAACTGGTCCGGGCTAATGCCCGTGGATTCCAGGATGGGAATATGGCTGGTATGGCTATTAGTTTGACTGCTGTTCAGCAGTGGCTACATGATCCTGTTCTCAAGGAGCGTGTTACTGGTGAGGTTTTGTCTGGTCAGAAGAAGATGTGTTTGGCTATTACCGAGGCTTTTGCTGGTAGTGATGTTGCTGGTTTGAAGACTATTGCTGAGAAGACTCCTGATGGGAAGCATTACATTGTGAATGGAACGAAGTGAGTTGATGGATGGATCTGTGCGTTGGACTATTGCTGACGGTGTTTAGGAAATGGATCACGAACGGCATGTTCGCCGATTACTTCGTTGTCGGTTGCCGTACCGAGAAGGGCTTCTCGGTTCTCTTGATTCCTCGCGGTGAGGGTGTTGAGACGAAGCAGATCAAGACTTCCTACTCAACTGCTGCTGCCACTGCCTTTGTGCAGTTTGAGAATGTCAAGGTTCCAGTCCAGAACCTCCTTGGCGAGGAGCACAAGGGATTCATCGTTATCATGAGCAACTTCAACCACGAGCGCTTCATGATGGTTGCTGCTGTTGTCCGCATGTCAATGACCATTGTCGAAGAGACTATGAAATGGTGCAACCAGCGTATTGTCTTTGGCAAGAAGCTGATTGAACAGCCCGCCATTCGTCAAAAGTGAGTCCCATCAACTGAGAAAGGCTTTGAATATACCTCTAACATATAGCAGACTCGCACGCATGATTTCCCTGACCGAGTCAAACCAGGCTTGGCTCGAGTCCATCGCTTACCAGATGTGCAACATGACATATGCTGAGCAAGCCAAGCACCTTGGTGGACCCATCGGACTGTTGAAGTCTCATTGCACACAAGCTGCCGGTGAGATTGCTAGCAATGCTACCAACATCTTTGGTGGCCGTGGTATCACCCAGTCTGGAATGGGCAAGGTCATTGAAATGTTCCATCGTACTTACAAGTTCGATGCCATCCTCGGTGGAACTGAGGAGATTCTGGCGGATCTGGGAGTGCGCCAGGCGATGAAGAACTTCCCCAAGTCTATGTTGTAAAGTTATCAAGGGCCTTTTAAGCGACGATACCAATATCAATCCAATATATATATTCCAGTGTGTATAATGGCCGCTTGGACAAAAACAGCCAAGCGAAGTGGGGCAGGCAGCTTTGACGGGGGATCTTTGTTCCGACGCCACAGCTCCCCAAATAGGATTAGCGTTAATATGAGGTCACCTCGTGCATGGTATCAGCTGCCTGATGCCTTCATCTCCTAACTCTTTTTCAGTTTTGATATCGAATATCATTCTCTGAGCATACGCGAATACATCAAAATGGTGACCACTGACGTTCTTCGTCAAGATCACGTCCTGGATCTTGCCGCGAGAGCTATCCAGCCAGCAGACGATAGCCAGCCGAGCCTCAAAACATCATATGAAGCTGTTGCTCTAATCGGACATGCATCCATGACAGCAGTGGGTTTCAAGCTGGTAGGCCTTGGAGAAGACCACAACTTAGGTTTGCATCTTCTATCCTTGATTTAAATATCGGACTCTGCTAACTTCTGCAGAAACATCTACAAATACACCCTCCCTCCCCACACAATGGAACGCTAACGATACCTTTGCCTTTCGATACACACATGACCAGTCATCCATGGAGTACCTGCTTAAAGTGAGTCGACTGGGAAACAACGCTGTTGTCTTTGCGCTGGCCCTGGGTGATGACCGCACCAGCTCATTCGATCTCCCCGCCAAAGACTTCATCTCCGCATCTGCGCTCCCCCTATCATCCTCAGACAATGTTGCAGGCTCTCTACGGGATGTGTTCATTTCGCCAGCTCGTCTGAGCGATTTGATCGGACTCTTCAAAATCAACGTCATCCAGAAACTTGCGCCCGGGTTGCACAAAGAAGGCTACGAAGAGATACCCCAGGTTTCCAGAGAAAGACCACAGGAAGGAAGAGCCCGAGATCCTCTGCGTGATGATTTCCCTCAGCCTGCTCGTCCCTATCCATTTGATGACCCTCTATCTGCAGCTCCTCGCCACCCCAACCCTGTACCAGACTTTGCCCCGCCCGGGTTTGAAGATGAATTTGAGATCAACAGCCCTCCACGAGGATACCCAGCAGGACTTGGTGGTGGAGGCAGAAACCCGTACAATATTGGAGAAAGAGATCTTTACCCAGCTGGACTTGGACCTCATGATCCGCTCCGCGGAAGCATGGGCCCTGGCTTTGGCCCCAGTGGCGGGGGATGCATCCCACCTTTGATGATCCCCTCTTCGGTGGGGGTGGTGGTGTAGGTGGCTATGATCCCCGTGTACCACCTGGTGCTAGATATGATCCTGTAGGACCGGGTGAACCACCTGTTGGTCGCAATCCAGGATCATTCGGTAGTCGTGGACGAGGTGGGGGAGGGTTTGGAGGATTCGGCGGTGGGTTCGGAGGCGACATCATCTAAAAGTACTACCAGCCTTAGCCTATGAAATGAATGAAATGCCCTGACAATGAAATTACATCAAACAACCCCCCAATAATCTCAGTTCATGTACAATGGCGTATGTGAGCCGTACGTGTAGATGGTGCAGTAGGCGGTGTGGCTGAAGCTGTGGCGCTGTGCTTTCACCTCCCAACTTGACCTTCCCGAACTCCCATCTCTTCTCCCTTTCTCGCGTTCCCAAAGTCCATCTCCTTATTCCTTGAATTGCTCTGGGAAACCTTTTTAATTGAATTGCCATCTGGAGCGTAGTTTTCCCTCATTATTTTCAAGCCCACGATACCTGCGCTCATCCACCAAATCCGTTGTTTTCTCACGAGACCGCCCCTCCCCAGCTGGCCCCTCCTTTTCAGCCAGCTGTGCACACCGACGCAATGGATAACAACATGGAAATCGATACTGCGCGGTCCCCCGAGCCACACCACCTGTCGCCAACAAGCGACCCCGGGTCCATACCGACTCTGGACGGCTGGATCGAGAGTTTGATGACTTGCAAGCAATTAGCGGAGGAAGATGTGCGGCGCCTGTGCGATCGGGTGGGTTTCCTCTTTCCAGGCACTGATGAGGTCCCCAAATTGATTATGTGTGTATCTTGCAGGCAAGAGAGGTATTGCAAGAGGAATCGAATGTGCAGCCAGTGGTATGTTGACTCTCGGTCGGGTCGTTGTCGTACCCGCCCAGCCCACTGACATACCCGACAGAAATGCCCAGTGACGGTTTGTGGTGACATACACGGCCAGTTCCACGATCTAATGGAGCTGTTCCGTATTGGCGGTCCTAACCCGGATACAAACTATCTCTTCATGGGTGAGTGTCGGTCGGATGACGGTTAGGGTACATTTCCTAATTTGCTCCCCCACTTTAGGTGACTATGTCGACCGTGGCTACTACTCCGTTGAGACTGTGACCCTCCTGGTCTGTCTGAAGATCCGTTACCCCCAGCGTATTACCATTCTCCGTGGAAACCACGAGTCCCGACAGATCACGCAGGTCTACGGCTTCTATGACGAGTGCCTCCGCAAATACGGCAACGCCAACGTGTGGAAATACTTCACCGACCTCTTCGACTACCTCCCCCTCACTGCTTTGATCGAAAACCAGATCTTCTGTTTGCACGGTGGGCTGAGCCCGTCCATTGACACCCTTGACAACATCCGGTCACTGGACCGCATCCAAGAAGTGCCCCACGAGGGACCTATGTGTGACCTGCTCTGGAGTGACCCTGATGACCGGTGTGGATGGGGAATCTCTCCTCGAGGTGCTGGATACACGTTCGGACAGGACATTTCGGAAGCCTTCAATCACAACAACGGCTTGACTCTGGTGGCACGTGCTCATCAATTGGTGATGGAAGGATATAACTGGTCGCAGGATCGAAATGTCGTCACAATTTTCTCAGGTATGATACTCGTCGCTGGACTTGTCAGTTACGGGAAGACTAACCGGACCGCAGCCCCTAATTACTGTTACCGCTGCGGCAACCAGGCCGCTATTATGGAGATTGACGAGCATTTGAAATACACATTGTGAGTACTGCTGCTGTGTATGCTACAGGACAACTGCTAATTACATTCCAGCCTACAATTCGACCCTTGCCCCAGAGCGGGAGAACCAATGGTATCCCGACGCACACCCGACTATTTCCTGTGATAGATTTCATCATTTTTGTCCTTCGGAAGGCAATTGGACTGGCGGAGAATGGGGGCTGCATACGAACAGGGCTCTCGCCTACTTAATTCTGTATGGTTCGATGCCTGGCCGCTTGTTGATACCAATGAAAATAAAACACTTGCGAGACCCAGTTCTATGATCTGTAGCAGTTGCCCGGGCCAGTTGAATTGTTTGTGAAGGGATTACTGCATTATGTAGGTCAATACCAATATGTTCAAGAATATTTAGTTGCAAACTTCTGTGTAGACGATAGAGTATGGCATAGTTTTCACATCATCCTATTAATGCCTGACAAGAAAGACATAGATTAATATTGTTCCTCTTGCCTATCCTACCGTCAATCTCAATCATGCGCGTCCTATGATGGGTCCAAATAATTTCATATTTCACTAATGATTGAAATAGGTCTTTTCTTCAACAAGATGTTAATTTTGATCTTCCAACATATCCAAATTCGTGTAATAATATCCCACTTTAGCGACCTCGGGAATAAGATAAATGGAGGTAGCCAGATTCTGACTATTGGCAGAGACCAGCACCGTAAACAATTCGCAATCAAGACCCTTTCGCCGTTCGGCTTCTCCCGCACGCCGCTCCTTCCCCTACCCAACCCCAATTAACAACCACCGCAGCTATATTTAAACGGCAGATCAATTAGTGAGGGGATGTATACAAAAAGGCTCGTAACTCCATGACCTCCGAAGGAACTACAAGAGCACTGCCCCGATCGATAATCGAGAGAATATTGTATAAGTCATTAATAATAATATTGCAGTGATAGGAATCAGCACGATGAAGTGAAAAGGGCCCCTTCCTAAATAAAAGTGTCCCGGCAGCACCCTTAAAACGTGAAGGAAACTCTTGGACCGGGAGGACAAATTCATCTGCTATATGCGCCGACAACTGGGACCGGATTGTCTTCTCTCCTATGGAAATTTGGCATTGTCTGCCCACACCATGAAGTGGACTTGCTCTATGATTGGATGCATCCTTTTCCTGTAGAAGATCCCTTCCAGCTTTCATCGGATGCAATAACGGAGAGCGCAGCCAGAGTCTGGAGTAATTCAATTGCGCGTGGCAGTGAGATTATGTCACATGGGGTGGAATGGCATCTATACCTAAGTCTTTCAAAAATCTGGTCCATTGAAGTAATGCTAAGTAGAAACAACCTACGAAAACGTAAAGGAAAGGCTATGGAGCAGAAAGTGTCCAAGACCAGTGAAAAACGCAGGCCTCCTGAGGGCATGTTTATGTGAAGAGGTATCGTCCAGCCCAGCATTAGTTCTTGCATACGCCTGGAAAACGGTCTGGGTATCTCATAGCAGGGTGGTACATCTTTAGTACTGATTGTTCTGTCCGCCGTGGGTTGCAGGAGACGCGTGGTCATTTATGTCCACTTGGGAAGACATGTAAAGGACCACTTCAAGTCTTGCAAATGGATAAGAGCAAGTGCAGGAGAAAGAATCAGAATACAAGGCCGTGTAGCGGCCTCAAGGTCCGAGGGCACAAGGTTGTGGTTGCCTTGGTATAGTAAATCGAGCGCACATGAGATATGCCTCGGGCTGAAAATGATGATGGGCGAGTTAATACAGGCATTCCATTGGAAGGATGCATACTTTTGATCGCCATGTTCGAGATCCGTCGATATCTATTTTTCGACTTCTTGTTCTTCTTTCTTATCGCCCCATTCTTAGGAGATATGGGAATAGTGCTGGTCACAGCACAGCCTCACAGAAAGATCGCATGAGTTGACTATGCGTAGATCGCATTAATTTGCAATGCGTATAATATAGAGAAGTTGTGTAAGATATAGCCTTATCTCAAACCGGGTTAGGTGCTATGCAACTCAAATGCCAATGCCACGATATGTGTCGCCTACCCTAAGTATGGAAAAGCCACTACAAATGCAGTGTTCGCCATACAATATCAGTTCAGCATATCGGTGTAACGACTACACTGCAATCATTGGAAGTGGACATTGCACAATACAATGGCGACGCTTGCCATGTAGCTAAAATCCGCTTCATGTCGTGTCTACCGTCTAGGGAAGTAACTACTAAAATGGTCGATGCCTAGATCTCCACTTTACGTTTCCGGTGGTTGGTAGGGATTGGTCTGGAATATCAAAGCCAAGAGATATCAAGAACTAAGAAAACCGTGGAAGGGCATTTCTTGAATCCGAGATATTTTGGTAGTCCTGAGAGGGCACAGCCGCATGTTCAAGCTATCTGGAGAGTTTCTGCCTTGGAACCGAACCCGAACCCGAATACGAAGCAAAAATTCATGTAGGTCAACCCTCTTTCGAACAGCATGGAGCCAACGGTACTGTGCTTGGCTGCCTACTGATTGTGGCCCCTGGTCCCAATCTGAAGACTTGACTTTGTGTATTACTGCGGCTTCGTGGGTCTTCAGTCCAGACCTTGAGCTTGGCATTTGAGCTTGGCAGGCGCAGGCGGCCGCCGAAGATCACCTTTAGGTTCCTGGAAATATAAGGGCCTGATTTCGTATTCGGCTTTGGATTTCGGGTATATAATTTAGTTACTGAATTTTCCTTGCATTACTAGAAGCTAGACGTATATAAAGGATGTAGAGAGAGTCCAAAACAATATGTTCATTATCAAGAACCACCCGATTTCTGAAGCCAATTGAATTGCAACTCAAAACCTCACTCCGTTCGAAAATGTCAATACTATCAAAATGTTCAGACATGGCCCTCTTTCGTTCTCAGCACAAGTTCAAGGTCCATTTAGCGCAATTGTTGTTGGTGGTAGTCATTATCGCTCTCTCCGTAGCCCGGCTACTCCTTGCAGGGCGAAAGACGAGAACCAGGGCTAGTACTATGGGATTAGGAATGGTAAGAATACACCCTATGAAATTTGTGCTTATGATAATTTAATCTGACTCAAAATCTGGTATATAGGGTGCCAAATCGCTCGTCATTATCCTCTACCAGCTCTTAACCGGACATGTCTCTCGCTTCCAACGATGGGCGAGCCTGAAAGCATACCTCATTCTAAATTCGCTCGAGATCGTCTTTTGGGGTGCTGTGGTATTCCTCGTTTTGCAAGCAAATCTCCAGGCGTGTGTGGGCACAGGCTGCGCCCTTGGATGGGTGGTGATAGTTTTATCCGGAAATATGAAGTGAGCAAATTCGAAACAATGGGAAACTAAAGAATCACTCAGAAAAATTTACTCACAGATAATTTAGTGCCCTTTCGGTCTACATGACTGTCAATTCCTACCTGGACTATCGTTACTACAAAGCCAATGGCCAACATCGAAGTTCCACTATTAAACAGGAACTCCCGCTGCATAGTACAAGTGACTTGAATGCCTGAAATGGGAAGAAGAAAATGTTCTTCAGACTTGAATCTTCCAAGCTCACTACCACACTGAAGTCAAAGCTCAATCGACATTTCAGTACATTGAGCGATATGGCTGCGCCCTTGCCATATTTGCGAGTGTTCCCGTTGGCTCTAATAGCATTTGCCTCTGATTATGCGCCAATTAGGGTCTAGTGGATCACCGAAGCTTCACAGGGTCTTTCTAGTCAATTGCTATCCCATATATGATCATTCGTTATATCATGAAATTAAATGATACCTCTAAAATATGTAACACAATATAGACACAGACCAGAACATTAAACACCTGGTCCCCGTTTCTTTTCGCGTTTATTTTGGCTCAGCCAAATCCCCGGACACACTGCTCTTCAGGCTCTCGAGATCCTTCTGGCCTTGCGCCCGAAGATCGCTTGCACCTCCTGCAGTCCGCATATCCTTCTCATTATCGTCGGACCCTCTGTAGTGGCGAACCTTCGAGCTTCCATTCGGAACCCAAAATCGCTGGTCTACACGACCAACCAAGAAGATAGCGACGACAGAGATATCAAGGCTAAAGTTGAAGATGTAGAAGCATGCCTTGCTGTGGTACCAGGCAGGGTTCGTGATTGGACGGGGAGGCATCCACGCAGTACCAGCCCGGAATGAGGCGCCGAGGCAGAGCAATGAACTAACAAGAGTAACAAGGAGAACCTTGACAATCCAGCTGCCGGAGCCGAACTCCTCGATCCGCTTCCTGTTCGGAGACAGGAGAACCAACAAAACCAGAGGAATAGGCAGGAATGAGATGATGGCGAAGTATGTTACACCGTACAGTTGAATATCACGATCGATACGGAGGGTGTTCGTGTTCAGAGTATAGGAGATCTGAATAACCACAGTGATGACCATGGCAATTGTAACCGCAACAAGACCATAGACCACCTTAAATGCCAATGATACAGGACGAGACCATCCTATCCCAGGGTAGACAGCCCGCACCATGCGCTGTGCGTACAGCAAGTTTAAGATGAACAGCAACAACACACCAGCAGCAACGAAGATCTGCGACGCAATAGCGAGGCTGATATTTGTGACTCGGCAGGTCCACGCAATGCGAATGATACTTGCGACAATGCGTGACATGCAGAAACCAAATGTTACAGCGGATGGGATGAACTTGTGTCCTCGAGCGAGGTTGCGGCGGAATAGGGTCATGTGCGAGGCGGCGCCGGCGATGAATAGGGCGAGGAAGACGGCGCATATTGGGACATCGACAGATACTGTCGGATGACCGCCTATTTGGGCCACTTTGGGCGCATATGGTCCTCCCATTTTCTAGAGTGATTGTGTTAGACTGGATATAGGGTAAGGGGTCGGGATACAAACTAGAGGATTTGTTGCTGATAACTCAAAATAGGTTGTCTGTTGAGTTCGATGGGAATGTGGAAAAAGCTTGATGGTCAAGAGAGACTTGAATCCGTGGACTTGAAATAAAATGTATAAAGAAATAGAGAAGTCTACATCAAGGTCTATATACCCAGCGCTCAGTCAACACTAAAAACTCTGTGCCCGAGGCTATTCTAGGAACCGGCAAGGCAAATGGATCGAAATTAGTAGGTAAAAACCTGCAGATCTGGCCGTTTTCAACATGATTTTTACCCTGACCACCCTGTCTGTCGGCAAAACATAGACAAAGCGTGAGTTGTGGCTTTCGGTGTCGGGGGCTGTCGCGCCCCGGAACAATGAAGCCGGACGCCGAAACGCCGACTTCCGATGGGGTCAACACCTCTTCAATACTTTATGTCCCTTCAGTCGCGATGAATGAGAGCTTGAAAATATGAGGCTTATCTGATTGCTAATGATTGCCAGAATTTTGGCAGGGGTCTCTGGCCTTGCATCTCGATTTGTGTTCCCCTAATGTGACTGTGGCTGACTTGGTCTAACTCGCCTCTTGTACTAGCGCCCCATCGAGGTTGAGCCTCCTGTCCGTATGTCTTCCTTTGTGGCTGCATCTTCTGATACATATCTAAAGCCCCCTGTCAGTCGCAATAGATTTCATTGGTGCAACTGTTCAGCTCGAGTTGAGGGCTTGGCACGCTACTGCGTGGATGGTGCCCAAAACTCCGACTGGAACAGTGGGCGTCAACAGACTTTCGTTTTCTTCGTCATAACCTACACCGGATAGTCTCTATTCCCGAGGTTCACATTGCATCTGGCCGAAATAAATGGCGTAGGGACAGCTGTAAACGTGATTGCAGTGATTGACATGACCGTCAGTGTCACAACGATTTTGTTCCAATACTCAACTGCAGTGAAAAACCTGTGAACTGACATCAAACGCTTAATCGGGGTCGTAGAGGTCCTACAAGCGTCTCTCGAGGGCTCGCAAAAATTACTTGAGACTCCAAATGGCGCAAGGCTCAAAACTTCACACTCTGTGGGGTCAAGCGCGACGATTGCTATTCTCAGCTGGTAACAATAGACTCAGAGATGCAGAGCAAAATGCACAAGGAAACCAAAAGCGGAGCTTCCCGTTTGATGAGTCGATTTGGTATTAGTGCTCTGGAGTGGCTATTTGACAGCAAGGATGTGGATGGTATCATTATGAACCTCGAGCACATCGGAATACACTTTCCGCAGCACTTACTATTGACCGCACGTAAGGGTCCTTTTATTGCTTGATGTGTTTCAAGACTGACATCCTCCACAGTGGGCAGGTTCTCGATATAGCGCAAACGCTTGTTCTTGCAAAGCTTCCGAATGTGAAAGATGCAGCATTTTCTTTTCATGCAAACGAGCACGATTCCCGACGCCATCCCTAAACCCGAACTGCACCCCATGACGAGATAGTACGCCGGTCAGACGATACACAAGGGAAAATTATTTTGTATTTTCATCGGATGGAGAAACAGTGGCAGCCGTTTGTTTCGATCATACAGTACGATTTTGGAACACAAGACGGTTACGTCGGATGATAAGTTATATATATTTTGAAACCTGCTGAGATACCTCCCCACTACCAAGACCTGTTAACCTTGGCTCCTTGTTGTGAAGACGATTCGTATTCCACAATCACATCGTCCGTCCGATGGATATGGCCCATAGAGAAAGTATTCTGCTTCCCAGATCCATCTGAAGGAAGTATGCTTTCTTGACTATCTTTACCCGTCACATTGGTGAGATTGGTGAAGCCGAGGTCATCCTTGCCAAGTGCATTTGAATGCTTGTTGCGATTGTAGGAGGAGGGGGAAGCTATCGCTGCCTTTGTAGCGATCACCCTTTCCTTGGCTGTAGGAGCCGAACACCCGCTTTCCAAGGATAATTTCGAGGAGGGGTTGTAGGGTAGGGATGCAGGATGCTATGACGACGACGTTGGCTTCAATACTAAATGGAGAACAGTAGGTAAGAGCAGGTAATAATGGAAATTTGGACTGAGATAAATACTTACTTGGTCCACATAACAAGGTCGGCAGTTCCATCTATTTTTGGTCAGTTGCGGTTTATTGCGAGATGAATAGAAAAGAACTTACATGTGTAGTCGGATTTGTCGGCAAGTCCATGAAGCTGGGTACACTTTATAATTGCCATAGCGGAAGCACTTTACCACCAAAACAGTCAGGCTCTGCTCCAGGAAGAATTAGTTGGAGAGATGACGACTTACATTGCACCAAGTCCCAAAGCAGCACAAAGCGCAATTCTCTTTCGTAGAGACATTTGCAATTTTAACAAGACTGTGGTCGGGTAAATGGCCAGATATAAATCAACAAATGCCGAGAGAGCTGGTACAAATTAGTTATGGGGAGTTCAGAGGACATCCAAACAGACTCACCTCCCGTGAAAATAGCATAGTTGATGAGAATCCATGAACTCTTGCAAGTGGCTTCACCTTTAGCTACAAGTGATATCTGCCACAATGCCTTTGGCGGATCGCACATAGTGAACAAGATAAGAATGCAAATGATAGAGACGGTGGCCGCGCTTCCAACCAACAGCCATAATATAGTCTTCTGCACTCTCCCAGGGTTCAAGATCCGGTTCAACATAGCCGTCACGGCCACCTTGGGGATAGTAAAGGAGAGAATTCCAAACAAAAAGCTGACGGTATTGAGGAGAATGGCCATCTCTAGATTATTTTCGTCCAAATAGTCAGCATGTTGTCCGTAGCCCACACTGACACCGGCTGTAGTGACACCGCAATACGCAAGGCCGAGTATCTAGCACAAATTGAAATTAGGAATGCCAAATAAAAGTCAGATTGATTGAAGATCTTACCATGGAAATCAAAATCAAATGGTCATCAATACCAAAGTTTCGCAACACGACCATCCGGATGTAAATCCTGGCCGAGACGATGAGGGTTGTCAGCCCAGTCAAAGTCCATAGAACAGCCAGGATCTTGGGGCCCTTATTATCGTAACGATTATCATCGGTAATTGCCATTGTGTCAAGCTTGATGCAGCAGGGCTCTGCGACGAGCTGAATGTTTATCGCAAAAAGAGTCGAAGCCCCCAGTCGAGGGCCAAGGAACCGGAGTCCACTTGTCTATATAAACCCATGCAAGAAACGACCTGTCAACATTGACATAAGCACCAAAACTTCACACATTAGAAACCATTACAACGGAATCCTTCATGCTTTAAGGGGCGATGATCACCCTATTTTGGTAAGCTGCCGTGCATGTCAATTCTAGACACCATGCCATCGTGCCGGTATTTGGTTCTGTGCCTGGGATTTATGCCGTCGCTTCGTGACCCGAAGACAGGGGCATAAAACCTCCGTCGCTCTAATACTTGCAAGCGAGCGGTACGCTAAAATTGTGGCGCCGGGGTCCACACTTGCAACGGTGATCACCCCATGTGAGCACGGAGAGCAAGGCAGTCGGTTCATTCCGAATCGATCAATACCCATATGTTAAACCTCACATGTATCAATTCCAGGTCAGGGAAGAACGAGGATCGGGCTACACAATTTGCAGATTGTCGTGGTAGGATTCTTAACGTGCATCTAAGGATGTACATGTACACCTCACCATTGGTTCCCAGGGGAGAGGCGGGATTCAGGACGGATTCCGAATCATTTGGCCCCCAAATTATCCCTGCCACGTAAAAAGTTGACAGCTGCCATGTTCGGATTGTGGGCCCGTAGAAGCCCTAGACAAAAGTACATATGCCATCTTTCCGGGCGCCAACATGTGGATCAAATGTGTCTCCAAACCTCCTTGTTTTCTTTTCTTTCTTTCTTTTCGGTGGCGTACTTAACTCTGGAACAGGAACGATCACTCATTGGTGTCTATATATTATGTACACGTGAAGAATATATTGAGATTGGAATTGTTCTGTCCCCCGGACCAACAAAGGGACTATTGCTAGTTGGCAGTCTGCTGAATTATGCAGTAGATCCATCAGTGCTGGTGTTCATAATAATTGGTCTACTGCTGTTAATACCCCTTATTTCTTAGCTTTAGTTGAGAACTGGAGAAGTCGTTGGACAAAGTACATGTACTTTACTAGTCTGTTTCCATAAAGGGCAATGCCGTTGAACTGGAACATCTCCCCACTCCTTTGGTCTTGGACTGGCCGAAGGATCCGGCAGGGAAATGACCACTAGATGATCTTTATCAGAAGGGGTTCAGATTCGAGGCCCCGGTATTACCTTGCACGGCTTTATTTAAAGGATGGGGACAGTGGAGGTATTTTATCCAGCCCCTGGGGAATCCTTGACTTGTATCACTTCAACTTTATTTCTCTTTTCAACCCAAATTGATATAGAATTCCTTGACAATGGCCGAAGTCGCAACTCCTCAATTGAATGGAATCCCTCATGTCAATGGGGACACCCACACGAACGGCAAGGCCCATGAAAATCGCCATGCTCATACGGACGGTGCTTCCAAGGAAGCCTTCGTCGATGGCAACGTGGCAATCTCCGCAAACACACCTGAGCTAGTTCCCGGTCTAGTTGAGCAAGTTGCTTGCCTTGGTAAGATTGCCAGCTTGCAAAACCACAAGGAACGTTCAGCGCTTTTGGACGCTGCTCGATCCCTTGTGTATGCACTTGAGACACCCCGGGAGGCCATGATTAGATACTGTTGGTCACAGGTAAGCTGTCTTTCTTTCAAACATCGTCACTTCCGTTTCTTGAACGGCTGCTGATATTGGCTTCACAGTCAACGCTGTATGCCGCTGTTGAGACCGGGGTTGACCTGGGTCTCTTTGCTATCCTGTCCAAGGATGAGAAGCCCAAGACTGCTGCAGAGCTAGCAAATGCCACAGGTGCTGATCCAGTCCTCCTTGGTATGTAACTGCAAATTCTCACTATCTGCCTTGCCCCTACAAATGACTGACTATCTATGCCATTAGCTCGTATCCTGAAGCACCTGTGCGCAATGGGAGTTATCCTCGAGACCGGCCCCAGCGAATACCGCCGTACAGGCCTCTCGCTTTCGCTCTCTATGCAAAGATACAGTGATGCGTATCCCTGCATGTAAGTTCTATTCAATGGCCTTCCTACCAAAGGACAGTATACTCACATCTCGAAAGGACAAACTGTATCACCGCCGGAGTCCTTGCCCTACCTGCCCAACTAAAGAAAGACGGCTACAAAAACCCATCCAACGGCAAAGAATGCTCCTTCCAGCGCGGATTCCAAACAGACCTTCACTTCTTCGAGTTTATGAAGGAGAACCCAGAAGCTGCGAGCCAGTTCAACAACCACATGACAGCCTACCACCAGGGCCGTCCTAGCTGGATGGATGTGGGATTCTACGATGTGGAAAGCCTATTTTCCAATGTTTGCCAGGACGATGTGCTCCTAGTTGATGTTGGTGGTAGTATGGGTCATGATCTCTCCGAGTTCAGACGCAAATGGTCTGGTGCCCCTGGCCGCTTGGTGCTTCAGGATCTTCCTGATGTTGTCGCTCAAGCGAGGACTATGCAGCTGAATCCCTCTATCGAGGTGATGGAGCATGATTTCTTTACTGAGCAGCCTATCAAAGGTATGGATTTTCTACCATATCATCTCAACCGAGGTCAATGCTTACTATTTATGTTACAGGTGCTCGGGCATACTACATGCACTCCGTTCTGCATGACTGGACCGACGATAATTGTCGCGAAATTTTGAAGAACCTTGTGGGTGCCATGAAGCCCGGACACAGCAAGGTGTTGATCAACGAGAACGTCATCCCGGATACTAACGCGTACTGGGAAACCACCAGTCTGGATATCATCATGATGGCTGATTTCGCTTCCACAGAGCGGACTGAAGGCCACTGGCACAAGCTTGTTGAGTCGGCTGGGTTGAAGATTACGAAGATTTGGACTGCTCAGAGAGGAGTTGAGAGTCTTATTGAGTGTGAATTGGCTTAGATCGTTTAGCGATGAAGTCGGAGGAAGCCTTTTCGAAGAGACCTTGCTATATGCTTGTACATAAGATGTAATTTGAACATATAATGTCCACGTGAATGTTACATATTGGAACTCATAGCTCTGCTGCTATCAGAGATTCAATTAGAAGATATTACAATCCTCTGTAAAAACAAAACCAAAAAACAGAAACCAAAAAAATACATACATTCGCTTATATACAGAATCCATCTCAACTATTTAATGGATAGACAAACCCTTAGCCTTCTTTGCCAAAATCTCCTCAACCTCCTTAGCATGCTTGGAGAAATTGTCAACCAAGCTATCCCACATCTTAGGCTCATGCTCATGCTTCTTCTCACTGTTCCAAGCATAATCCGTAATTGTGAAAGGACGGCAAGACTCAAACATGAAGGCGATAGATGCTTCGGAAATTTGCATCACAGGTGGCGGGTTCTCTGTTGCTGCTTTGAATTCTTCGTAGGCGACGCCGTGGGGGACCACTTTCCAGGAATTAGCATTCGATCTTGATAGATTATGGGAAATTGTAAAATTGAACATACTCCCGCATTCGAATGACACACTGCCCGGCTTGAAGGCGTCTGAGCGACCGCCGTAGTCACCGTAGATGAGACCCATTAGTTCGGATGCAGCGTTGCGGTGGTAGTAAGGGGGTCGGTATGTGTCTTTGAATATGTTAACAAGCTCGAGATCTTAAATGAAATAGGTCAACATACGAGATGCAACATCCCAACGAGGTTGGAAAGTAAGGAAATCAGCTAGCGGAGCATTGGGATCGCGCGACTTGGCCGTGAGAACACAGAAGATAGACGGATCAATGTGGTCAACAGAGATAGAGCCGACATTGACGAACTTGGTCAGATCGTATTTATAGGGAACCTGAAAGAAGTTAGCAAACCAGAAAACACCCCGCAAAGAAGTATCACTCACATAGTTTCCATGCCAAGCCACAACATCATAAGGACTATGATTCTGCATACTCTTGAAGAACTTTCCACCAAGCTTATAGATAATCTCCCAAGGCTCCTGAACAATTTCATATCTCGCAACAGGACTCAAAAAGTCCCGTGCATTAGCAAGCCCATTAGCACCGAGCGGGCCAAGCTCAGGAAGCTCGAATTGAGTTCCCCAAACCTCGAGTATATACCCCCGCGACGGTCCATCAGGCAGCTGAACACTAAACCGAATTCCGCGCTGGATGACGACAAGCTCACCAGGTTGCACGAACAAAGGCCCGAATTCAGTCTGGATATCTAGCGCGCCTTGCTGCGGGACAATCAGGAACTCGCCGTCTGAGTTAACGAAAGCCTTCTTGTTCATGCTCGTGTTGGCTGTGTAGACGTGCGTGGCTAAACCTTCACGCAGAGTGGGATCGCCCGAACCGGCGACCGTCTTGAGTCCTGAAACAAAATCTACTTCTCCACTCTCTGGAATGTCGAAGGGGTGCCAGGCCAATTGTGTTGGAGAGACGTGAATGCGCGGGTTCAGAGGTAAGAAGTTTGCCTCGGTATCTTTGTTATCGGGCATTTCAGTCTGGGACATATTGTCAGAGGATATGCGGAACTCATGAATAGCAATAAATCAGGTACGTACGAAGCCCTGGTGGGCGACAGCAGGACGGGCGCGGTACAGCCACGCCTTCTTATTACAGTGTCGGGGAGCTACAAAAGCCGTAGCAGTCATTTGCTCGGCATAGAGGCCGAATCTCACATTGCGAGGACTGTTCTGGCCCTGTGGAATGGTGCCAGGAACTGCTTCGGAGACGAAGCTGTTTCATGGTTATACATCAGCCAGTTGAATCGCTAGATGTATGTGTTGGATACATACGCATTGCCGAAGCCGGCTTGATACTATGTGAGTATTAGTGAGAGTTGCAAGTATGGTAGACTGAAATGGGAAGGGATATACCTCATAAGGATCGTTACGTCTTGTGTTGAAGGAAGGGATGACTCCATCCTTCTGCGTTTCAGCCCAGTGGAAGATCTTTTGGTATTCCTTTGCGTCGGACAAGGAATCGGTTGAAGGCATGATGATAGATCTGGCCGAAAGGCACGATATGACCAAGGTAGGGAATAAGTGACAAGTCTGATTTCTCTGAAAGTGGTTCAGATTCCGGGGCAGCAAGACTCCTATATACTCCAAAGCGACCAGACCAACCTATGGGGTCAACACGGACACAATAACAAGAACACGAACATCCAAGCCCAAAGCACAGAGCATAATTGGATCCGGCCACCCGGGGAGAGCCAACGGCAAGGCACGGATGTCGGATGCATTGCCAGGAAGCTGCGTAGTTGATGCCTTGGAAACCCAAAAACGCCGCATCAATTTATATATCGGCAATGCGAAGGCCATTCGAAATGCCGACCTCCCCGGGCGGTGGATCAGACACGCAAGTTGACTGGTGGAGACGAGCGAAGCAAATCCTGAGGTTGAGAGTTTCGTAGGCCACGGGCGTTGGCTGCGACGACCCCACATGAGTCAGGGCTGAGTAACAGAGGCGATCTGTGGGGGTGAGGTTGGCCGATTATAGCGTCGTTTTACGGGATTCAGATGGATTCACAACTGCCGATGTAGAATGTACATTGTAGAATGTGAACTTCATTTCATGGTGATTTTAGTCGGGCAAGGGCAACTGGCGAGAACTGTACTCTTATAGGGAAGAAACAAGATATAGCTGAACTAGGTCAAACTCACTATACGATTGCATAACTTCTTTTCTAATTCAACAAACTAATCCGCCCTGCCGTCAAAGCAAAAATAATAGGCATATACACACTTGCACCCACTTCCTTCAGCACCTTGCAATGATCAACTCTCCGACGAGCAGCAAACTGCACCTCATCAATCTCCTTGCACTCGCCAACAGGTCCAAAAGCGAACCTCTTGTCAGCATCCCACGGCCCATCTCCATTAACAAACTTGATCCATCGCTGTCTCATCTCCCGTCCAACCGTACTAGCAGCAGGATTGAAGGAAATATCGACACCTTCAAAGAGGAACAGTAAATCAACCGCGTGGTGTGCACGGCTAGATGGTTGCCAGGGATTCGGCTGATCAACAACGTATTTATAAACACGCTTGTTGGCAGCCTGCAGTTTATTGGCAACTATTTCAACGGGAAGAGTATAGCGAACATCATTCACAAGATCCAGAGATCCAAGCTTCGCAGCAGTCGGACGATCGGCCACGACGTGATACATCTTGCGAAGCTGAGTCCCCCGTTTTTTGTTGCTATCAAATGCGGCTGCGATTGTTTCTCCGTCCAGGAGTTCGACACCGTTGCGCCAGATAACGGACTAGATCATCCATCAGCGAGAATCATATAGGCCAGTTGGTTGGAATCTACTCACCTCATACTCAGTATCACCGATCATCAACTCATCGACTTGCTCCGGTTTAGTCTCCCAACCGGCCAATTCCGGCTCTTCCTGGATCCACATTGTGTTCACATTACACTCTCGCAGTGCTTGAACTAGTATGGGAACAGTGGATAGTCGCAATGAAGGCTGTCCAAGCTCTTGGACCTTGGCTTCAAGCACTTTAATGAGCCCATCTCCCTTTTCCACTGGTAACGGAGAAGAGAGATAAAGAGTGCCGGATGCCAACACAGCCCGTTTCACTGGGGGACCAGTAATGAGATGAGCGTGAGTATACACAGCACCGGCACTTTCACCCGACAGGGTGATATTTTCCTTGGAATAATTAGAATCGCGGTTTTGAAGTTGTGATAAGCATACAACTCACAGGATCACCCCCGAAAGCAGCAATATTCCGTCTCACCCAGTCAATACCAAGACGCTGATCTTTCAGAGCCAGATTCTTCTCCTTGCCGTCTCCAAAACTGAAGATATTCAAACGGTAATTGATAGAAACAAAGATCAGCGGCTTTCCCGCCTTGATTGCGTCTGCGACAACCTTGGTCGGATCGCAGATCTTCGAGGCACCAGAGCAAAAAGTGACAATCTGAGACCCGCCGTGAATCCAAACTAGAACTGGGAGAGGGCCAGCATCAGATGTCTTGGGAGGACATGTGATTTCCAAGTTCAAACATTCAAACTCATTCTCTGACTCCGGGACAATAGTAAAGTCCTCCGGGATTCGTAGAAGATGGCGAACATCCACATCAGCTTGGGGACATCTCGGTCTAATTCAGAGTTAGCACTTAAGTAAATTGCGAGAATGGGTTTATTGCGTACCCAAATTTCGAAGCATCGACAACGGCCCCATCGAAACTATTCACAGGTTCCGCCCTTTCAAACCGCGCCGGAATACTGGCATATTTAATACCGAGAAATTGATGAACAGGCACATTCTGATCATCTCGTTCAGTTCCCTTGAATGTGGCATTCAAGCCTTGGTGCTGAATCTCCGGGGTCGTCATGGTGTCGTATATGGAGTTGGTATGGATGTGGCAGTATGGGGATGGGGGAACATCCCCGTAGATAGGGCTCACGGCTAATGTCGAGTCGACAATTCCCGAGTTCAACGCCCAAAATTGCAGTCAGCAATCGGTCATCATGGGGAATGTGGGGAATGTGGGGTTCGCGGGTATAGAAGTGGAAGTGTTGCAATCTACCTAGGTAGGTATTATCGATCGACAGCTTTCTAATATCTCGGTCATGCCGGAGTATCCGAGGTGCATGGATCGGCGGTTGATCACTTGGCCTGGTTGCGCGCTAATGCAATTGCTCAGCGGGCTTTCAAGCCTGGTACAATAGAGCTTGGCAACCGATCACAGTTAAACTTAAAATGTATAATTCCATTTCAGAGGTGAGATATTATATTATATTAAACGCTACGGAAATCTGCATATGTAGTTTGCGTATACAATTTCCCAGCTATGGGGAATCACTCTCGGTGATCGGAGTTTCTTCCGATGGCTTAGGCTTCCGCAAGATCCATCCGCCCAGGAACAAAAGGACTGGAAGCGCCGAGACACCAACAATCAGGCCCATTGCCCAGCCCATAGTTCCCCAACCAGCCTCTTGTCGAATGAAACCAGCGAAGAATGGCCCAATGAGACTTCCAGCCGCAAAGCCCATATTGGAAAGACCAAAAGCCAGAGCCATAGCTCCACCACGGCCAAAGATATCCGGTGTTTCATCTTCCTTCTCTTGCACGGCATAGAATACCTCCGCCACGATAGGAGGCATAGCAACCGCGAAGCAGAGACCAAGAAGGGCAAGAAGAGCGCACAGCAGAATCTTATGTTGCATGGTGTTATCCGTGACGAGACGCAGGAGTGTCATCACAGGAACAGAGGCAAGGAATACTCCTGCTGTAATGTAGCGAGAGGCCCGGGGGAATTTGTCGATGACGTACCCGGTTACAGGGTCCAGGACGTGTGGTACCATGAGTGGGATGAAGATCAGTCCTTGGCCGCTTTGCTTCCAATCGAATGTCTCTTGCACATATAGTGGGAGAACACTGTCGAAGGAGGTCAGGACAAGAGATATGACGAAGTATCCCCACAGGGAGACGATAAGACGGGGCGATCTGAGTAGAGTGCCAACACGGTGGAGGGCACTTCGTGAAGGAGGCGGTTTGGGCGTTGTATCGGTATCAGATATGTTGGAGGCTGAAGATCTTCGAGTTTCTTTGCGCTCTTTTTCGGTAGTTTGCTGTCCATTCGCAGACGAGGGTCTCTTCTCCGGCGCAAGCCATCTGATCGCATGTCGTCGCTCGATCAGAATCACCCGGAGGAAGATATCAACACCAATGAGTCCAAAGGCAAGGCCAAAGACAGCATAGTATCCACCAGATTGGTATAAAACACCACCGAGCAGAGGACCAGCCAATGTCCCGACACTAATACCCATAGACACATACCCAATAGCCTGGCCCAGATCCTCTTTACCAACAGTATCAACCATCAGCGCAAGACCAACGGACCAAACCACGGCAGCAGCAGCACCCTGAAACAAACGACCAGCAATCCAGAGCCCAATATTCGTCCCAACACATAACAAAGCCGTAGCAGCGCCCAGCGCCACCAACCCAATTAACAGCGGCCATCGACGTGACTCAGATCGATCAGCCAGGTAGCCAACAATAGGCGAGAACCCCAACAATGCAGCCGAGTACAGCGCAAGAAGAATAGAAGTCCAGCTTTGGATACTGCCCTCCGACAGCCCCACTCTATCCTGCAAGGCCGTGGGCGTGACAGGGACGATCAGTCCATACATGAAGATATCCGTTGCCGCAGCAAACGAGACAACGAACATGATGAACCATTTTGACGACCGCAGCTCAACGAATTTGGGCCGTGTCGCGCTTTGAGAGGGCCATATGGCCATGGCAGGAAAGATGATTTGTGCCGGAGATTGAGTGCGGATCAGCTTGCCGCCACATTAGAGAAAATTGCAAGGGGCCTTGGGGAATGTCGGAGATTATATGCGGGAATGTAGAAAGAGGTAGGAGAATTAGGTGCGCGGAGCTTGATTTTATGGGAGAATTGCTTGATTTTGAAATCCCGGATGCGAAATCTCTTGTTCACGGACGCATTTCATCTCCGATCGGGGTCCGCGGATCCCGAGAGTGTGAGGCGTGAAGGTCTTGGCATATGGGAGATAGGCGTGAATATTTTGTAGTTGGGATTGATTATATGGCCTTTTTGATACAATGTATAGTCAAGTGACAAAGAGAATTACCATGTTCACGCGGAGCATGGTGAGTATTTCCAACCGAACCGTCCTAATTAGTATCTATACAGCGAGTAACAATCTATAAAAACACAACACCAACACAACACATATGCAACCAAATCACAGACGAGCCTTAGGGGCCTGTTTCTTCAGCATGGCCTTCAGCATCTCCTTGACCTCCCTGCGCAGAATCTTGCCACTGGGACTCTTAGGAATCTGCTCAATGACAATAATACCACCACGCAGCCGCTTGTGATTAGCAACACGCTCATTCAACCAAGCATGAATACCATCAACAACAACCTTCTGCTCACGTTCCTTGGCCCGGCGGTTAAGAACAATGAACCCTACCGGCAGCTCAGTGGCGCGCTCGTCAACCCACATTCCAACCACGGCCGCATCTTCCACGTCAGGGTGATCGGTCAGCTTGCCTTCCAATTCACTCGGAATGACCTGCAGACCCTTGTACTTGATCATTTCCTTGATGCGATCGTGGATAGTAACGTAGCCCTCATGGTCGATAGTTCCAATATCGCCAGTGCGGAACCATCTCGTTCCATCCTCATCTACGTGGAAAGCGCCCGCAGTGGCCTTTTCATTGTTGTAGTAGCCCATCACGACGTTCGGGCCTCGGCACCAGATCTCCGCAGGCTGTGTTGACCCGTCTGCGTTGGTTGTGGCGTCTTGCATGGTGTCCGCGTCCACAAAGCGGAATTCCATGTTCGGCGAGATGTTGCCGACGCCTGTGTGGCGCTTGTCCATGCGGTCATTCGGGAAAGTCGATGCCAAGGGCGATGTCTCGGTTAGGCCCCATGACTGCGTGCAGAAGACTTCTGTCTTGCTGATTTCTTTGAACTTGGCTTCGAGGGCGGTCGATAGTTCGACTGTGAGGGGGGCCGCGGCGGACATGATGCGCCGCACGCTAGTGAGGTCGTACTTGGACACCCGCTCGTCCTTGACTAGCATCAGGGCGATAGGGGGTACCACGGACAGCTCGAAGGGGCGGTACTTCTCGATGCAGCCGAGGAAGACGTCCAGGTCGAACTTGGGCATGACGACGACTGTCGTGCCCCAGATCAAGCACTGACAGATGAACAGGTTCAGGCCGTAGATGTGGCTGAAGGGGAGGAAGGCGATGGCAGAGTTGCGCTCGAAGCGCTGGGAGGGGTTTCCAGATTCGAGCATGTGGGCGCGCCATTGTTGCAAGTTGGAGGTCATGTTCTGGTGAGTTGTGATGACTCCCTTTGCTGGGCCGGAGGTGCCAGAGGAGAAGCAAACGAAGGTTGGTTGGCGGGCGGCCTCGGATGGGTTGATCGAGAGCAGGTCGGCATCGGCGAAGGTGCTGGCCATGTTTTCGCAGGTGACATCGCCATTAGCAGGTGTGCCATCCAGCAAGATAATTCTCTCGACAGATGTTCCCTTTGCTGCCTTTTTGGCAGTTTCCAGCAATGATGAGTGCACAATGACGAATCGCGCACGGCTGGTGTTGAGCTGGGCGTTGAGCTCGAGTGCGGTCAAGGCTGCGCTGGTTGGGGCGACAATTCCCCTTGAGCCGACGACTGCGTGGCAAGCAATGGGATATTCAATAGTGTTGGGGCTGAGCAGGGCCACCACATCGTTAGGCTTCAGGCCAATGCTTTGGCGAAGGCCATTGGACAGAGAACGCGTGCGCTTAATCACATCGCTGAAGGTATATTGTTTTCCAGAGACTGCGTCGATGTACAATGGACGGTCAAGAGGTGTGTTTAGAGGATTGGAGAAAAGGTAGGACACCAGATCGACAGATTCGATGTTGAGGTCCGGATAGGACGAGCGGTAGACCGTTTTCGGCATTTTGAGAGCTGTTTGAAGCAAATAAAACAGTGAATAAAAGCTCAATTGAGGTGATCAAGACGTAATATAAGTAAACATGAAGCTATCAGGGGGCAAGAAAAATCGGCAGCTGGGTCTGACGATCTATTCCATGACGATCTATGTTCCGCAATTTATATGCGTTCCCATACTCTGATTGGCTAAACTCAATCGGCCTCGGTTAGATCACTTTTCAAGATTTAAATCACCTCGGCCTCGTCTTTGCCTTGGGTAAAGGTGTTCCAAGGCTATGGCTCGGATATACCTTATATATATGGTTTGGAACTGCCACTTATTTGGTCCCTATCTGCCGATTTGCATAAACCACTACATGTACAGCTGAACCTCACCGCGCCGTGCTCCACAATTCGCGTGACTGGATCGCGGATCTCAGCGCGCCACGGTTCGTCGATTTCCCATAGCTATTGGTCACTTGTGAAGTATCATCCACTTGATTTGTCTCTGTTTCCTGTTTCTGGTATAGACTGCCCCTTTCCCCTTTTCTCCTGGACCTGTCCACTCCGTGCCTTGACCCGCTTTCTGCCTCGGACTTACAAAACAAATTCATTGGAAAGTGTAACCAATTCGAACATCATATTTCATTTCATTCTTCTGGATCCATTACCATTTTCTGAACAAGAGCTGCCCAATGATATTTTCCCACTATCTCCTCTTAGAACCATATCGAATTGTAGTATTGTACTAGCACACGGACAATAAGGAGAAAGAAATAAAGAAAAACAAACAATATGACCCTTTGACACCGATCCAAAAAAAGTCCTAGCCCCGCAAGCAGAGCTTAGACCAGCACTATCTAACCAGGTCAGATCACTCTAAAATCGTCAATGCGTAATCATAGCATCAGCATGTCGAGAGACCTAACTGTTGCAACCATATCTCGACTGGCCCCCGGTCGACCGAGGAGAGGTAGAAGCTCCAGGAGATGGGGACAGAGTGGAAAAGCTTTCAGTCGTTCCATTGGCGTCAGAAGAACCACTCAACGAAGTCCCAGCCAGGCGGCCGCTGATTGAAGAATACACCGACGCCCATTGAGTGTTGGGACGACCGTATGGAGGACTACCGATGGGACTACTCAAGGAGCTTCCTGTCGGACTTCCAACGGAATACATGTAATCAGGCGACAGAGAAACAGATCGCGTCGGGCCGCCCACTTGACTCCAACCCAGCGGAGTACCATCATCGCTATCACCACAGCACACAGAACGCCAGTCCATCTCGACCGAAAAATCCCACTCAAAGATCTTCTTCTGGAAAGACTGTCGTCCAACCTCCCTAGCCCAGAAGAAATCCTTTTCGTCGAACTCTGTTATGGCAGCGGTTGCCTGGTAGCATTCTTCGTGGAACTTGGACAGGTCCTGCTCGTCCATTGTTGCTATTTTCCTGCAAGACCCTTCTATGTATCCTGGGGCGTCTTTGGGATTGGGGCCGTATACAGCGGAGTATTTTCTTCTTTTGCGAGTTTCCGGTGCCATGAAGTGTGTCCAGCCATGTCTGGTACTTGCTTCTGTCTCGATGTAGAACCCTATAGTGTAATCGAGAGATTCGCTTGTGAAGACGTTGAAGCGCATGGCTGCGGAGGGCCTTCCAGTGTTGTATGTGATAGATAGATTGATTTGTCAAGATGACTTGATTTGTAGATAGCCTAGAAATAGACGGTATTCATGGATGTTTATATAGTGTATTGGTCCACCACAATAAGCCCAATGAAGATGGCTGGTCAATAGCAACTTAGAAAGAATGCAGCTACCGTGAGATTGTAGTCAAACAAAGACTTTGTAAAAGTGTCATGAGCGTTCCTTACTGCAGGTCTCAGTTGATGCTTAGTTTGCACAAAGCTATTATAATGACAAATGGTTTGATTATGTAGTTTGATACAACGAATGACTTGTATTGTAGGAGCTTCTTGTCCCTTGCAGCATGTCATGACTTCCAAAGATCTTAAGAGACATAGCATACTCTATGTAACCTAGCTATATCACCAAAGGAAAAGAAAGAATAAAGCCTTAGACAACAATACCCTCAAAGCTGCTTAAAGATCCCCTTCTCAAAGGCCAGTTTCTCAACATCCTTAAGCCAATGCCTACAGCGATATAGCGGTGTATCAGGATACAGCCGCTTACCACCAAGTGTAACCTGAGGCCGCGGGGGCGGAACAGCCAAACAGCACTCCACACGAAAGCGCTCTAGATCTCCCTCGTTGATCATGGCAATCTTCTTTTGCGAATCAGGAACATATTCTGGTAATCCCTTTGGGTTGCAGGTTGGTCGGGGTGTGTAGTCCATGCCATTGAGGATTGTTCCTGTGACGTGGTGCAGCCAGCCGCTGTCGGTGGACGGGTCTGTTTCGATGTAGATTGCTACGTGGTTTCTGACACCGATAGATTCGGTGGTGAAGACGTTCAAGGACATGTTATGTCTTTTTCTTGGGCGCTGCGATGTGTGTGTATTGGAGGGAATGAAGAGGAAGAGGAGGTTGGAAGTTGCGACTAATAGAACAGGTGCATGTTTCATTGAACCCCGAGCGCGTGGTTGCTGGTCACGCGTGAAATATGTCTAAGTGGGTGAAAACATATCCTTGCTATCCTGATATATCTGAGGAGAGATATGAAGAACTTCAGAGTCGACGAAGTAGGTTTTACCGGCCCTCCTAAGGGATATTAACAGCAACTACATAACATCTGCAAAATTGCAATCCGTCGGCTATATTGTTGCCATTCTCTCAGGTATAGCCTGTCTGGCCCTTACAAGCTCCATTGCTATGTTTTGGCAATGCAGTACAATTATGAGGTAACATGTAATACAACTTAAAATTACCTTGTATCTTGCAGATGGAGATCTGATCTTGAGGTGCTCAAATAATCAGTATGAACAACAGGGTCTTCTTGATTATCGATGTGTGTCCCATATCTTAGTATCTACTACCAATGTATGCTATGTCTTTTAATAAGAAATCAGACAAGATGTAGAATATATCGAGTAAAATGGCAAGGTGTACAAAAGTCAGAACGCCTTCAGGCATTTTGCCATGTATGCAAGATGTTCGTAAAAAGAGATTTCCAATGTCTCATGTTTTGGTAGGGGTTACCAGCCGCTGTTCAAGATTGGAAGTTCATGTTGTAGCCACCGGTCTTGGGATCCTGAACGAAGTTGAAGTTGTCGGTAGACAAGCCAAATGGCTTCAAGATACCATTTCCGAGCTGTAAGAAGTCAGAATTATCTTGGATTCTAGCAGAAGAGCCATGAGAATTAATAAACTCACATCCTTCAGCTTCCCCATCATATCACCCATCTCCTTCTCCCGCGCCCGGTTGATCTGCTCAGGCAATTCTCGCAGGGCCCGCTGTACGATCCGCTTGTCATCAGCAGGAAGATTCTCCATCCCAGAAAGAGTCTGATAGTCTTCTGCAGCTCCTTGCAAACTGCCCCAACCACCGATTTGAGATTTGGCCTTCGCGCGCCGCATGAGTGACTTGGCACGGATCCTCATCACATTTCTTCTTTGCTCGTCCTGGTTTTTCAACCGTTGTAGTTCCTTCTCCTCGGCTTCTTCGTCGTCTCCCGATATTTCCACCACGCCATCTGTGTCCTTGTCGGAATCGGAGGCTGTCTTTCCCTTCGAGTCGTCATCCTTGACCTGTGCAGTCGGTGGGATAACCTTATCTAGACGCTCAATAGAAACGGTCGCGGAGTCTACCGCAGCTTTCCAGTCCTCCAATTTTAAATAACAGGCGGCGATGTTACTGTGCAGCACGGCGACATCGTAGTCAAGGTAACTCGGGCATGAAGCGAGCGCTCGGTCATAGCAGGAGATCGCTTGGTCATAGCTTTTCGCGAGAAATAGCTGATTCGCTTCTGTTTTGATCTCCTGGGATTCCTTCAGGAGTTGCTGTTGTGTAGATTGCAGTTAGCATGTAACTCCGGTCATGACGGACAATCACCGGACTCACGGCTTCCTCCTCAGCGGGAAAGTGGGCATCGTGGAAGACATCTTCGTCGCCACTATCATCGGCATCGACTGGGGCACTGCGCTCAGGCGCATTAGAATCAGGCATGATGTGAGGAAGTGTTGAGGGCCACACCGGTTGCTGCCAAGGGCCAATCACGGGACTGATAACGATTCCCCGCGCTTATCGGCCTGTCAACATCCCACTCGAACAGCTTTGAAGTCCTGAACATATACATAGCAATGGCTTCCAATGAGTGAGTGATCTCCTGCGTGAAATGACATCAATTGACGATGAAGTAGCCTTCCCCGCATCCGAGCATGTCTCTTTGACATGGATGGCCTGTTGATTGACTCAGAGGACCTGTACACCGTGATCACGAATGAGATCCTGCAGAAGTATGGCAGGCCATTGCTGCCCTGGTCAGTCAAGGCCCAGATGCAGGGTCGTCCTGCACCCGAGGTCTGCCTACCCCATCTCCCCATATAGACATACATACTAACATCACCCGCAGGCCGGCAAGATCTTCCATGATTTCGCCCAACTCCCCATCTCAGAAGAGCAGCTGAACGAAGAGCGCTCCGCCCTCCAGCGGAAATACTTCCCCAAGTCTCAGCCCCTGCCGGGTGTACGCACCCTCCTCTCAAATTTGGCATCGACAAAGTCAACCGATGACCCCGTGTACATCGCCCTGGCAACATCATCCCACAGCGGCAACTACAAACTGAAAACCGACCACCAGACAGAGCTGTTCTCCGTCTTCCCGGAAGCGAACAAGGTGCTCGGCGATGACCCACGCATCGGCAAGGGTCGCGGCAAGCCCCTGCCTGATATCTACCTGCTCGCGCTGGAGACTATTAATGAGGAGTTGCGTAGTCAGGGTAAGACGGAGATTAAGCCGGAGGAGTGTCTTGTCTTTGAAGATGCTGTTCCTGGTGTTGAGGCTGGTCGTCGGGCTGGTATGCAGGTCGTTTGGTGCCCGCACCCTGGTCTTCTGGGGGCGTTTAAGGGTCGGGAAGAAGAGGTTCTTGCTGGTGCGACGGGTTCCCATAAGGAGGAGGAGAAAGGCGATGCTGAGAAGGAGGCTGAGCAGCTTCAGGCGTGGCGTTTGCAGGGTGCTGGTAAGCCTGGCACTATTGGGGATGGGTTTGGTCAGTTGTACTCGACGCTGGAGGACTTCCCATACGAGAAGTATGGGATTCGGATTCCTTGAGTATTGTTTTATAGAGAGAATTGGTTTAGATGTAAAAATCCAGACTATTTAGGTTCTATTGATTCACTGGCTAGATTCAGCTAGAAGCATGGAGGGACTCTCATAGCTTAATGGCAAAGTTCAGTTCAATCTCACGTTGCTGCGTAATAAAAATGTTTAAAAGCCTTCAACGGATCTTCAGAGGAGCCCGGCTCCATATTCGGTAACCCCCATACCTATTCCCACTAGCTGGATGCTATGGCCTCATGACTTTCGTCTTGATGACTGGATTCTCTCTGAGAGTACTCCCTGTCATCCAACTCATGATCGACGTCAGACTCTGAGTTTAGGAATGGCATAGACCAAACCTTGAGGCTATTATCGACTTTCCAAGCATTCGTCACTGGACTATCCTCATCAGCGGAGCAATAATCGTGATCATAATGTCGTTGCCCAGAGCATGTCGCAACAACACTGCCCATAGGATGAAGAACGGTGCTGGTCACAGCGTCTATCAAAAATCAGCCTTGCATACCAAATTCAAAGGAGTAAGAACGACTAACCGTCATGTACCCTGAACTCCCAATCAGGATCCTTACCCCCAGCCGAGAAAATAGGATCCCTCCAAACCCTCATAAACCCATCTGTCCCCCCAGCCCAGACTTCATGGGAACCATCAGGACCAGAGGGAACAACATCAATCTTCATGCGCTGATTAGTGAGAGCCTTCCGTCCGCGCAGGTGACCAAGCATCTGGCCAAGGACACGAATATCATAAACCAGCACACCGTCACTCTTGCGCTCGGCGATATATAGATACCTGCCACAAGGACTCCAAACAAGCTGGGTGACGCCTCGACCACCGATGTCGCGATTCGCTTCTGTTTTGGCAATGCTGAACGTCCCCAATGATTCCCCAGAGCCATTCGAGCTGTAAAGCCCAATGTTTCTGGTAAATGTGCCAGCAGCGAGAACTCCATCTCCACTGGGATTGACTGCCAGCGCTGACACAATGCCCTTCATACCGACGCCGCCGCCGACGATTTGCTTGCGCTTACTGGGGATTGTTGGGATTGATGAGATAGGGCCTTGGTTGCCTGACCTCGATATGTCGAAAAGGGAGATGAGACTGTCTGAGCCTGTGAGGAAGTGTGTGCCGCCTAGGATAGACGGGTATATCATTGAGTGTGGGGTTATGTAGACCTCTGTCATTGGGTTTACCAATGAATAGCTTGCCATGTTTGTTGGAGCTAGGGCTGATGAGAGGCGGATTGGGTGGTCGCGGACTGAAGATAGAAATAGGGTTGTTGATGGATCTGAGAGGTTGTAAAATGGGTAGATAGCTGTTGAGTAGGTTGGTTCTGCTGAGGGTAGAGTTGAGTATGGTGATAATTGGTGGACTTGTTTGTTCTCTAGTAGATCTGGCGGCCTATTGCAGTGTCAGATGAATACTTAAAAGTGGGATGGTATGTGAACTGACAGAATGTATGTTCTGATACAGTGATCTGCTGAGTCTGTCAACAGAGTGGTGCCATCTGGAGTCCTGTTTTGAATTGAGCACTACTCCTGGTATATAGAATGTAGGATATCTGGCTACTAACCATTCTGCGCTCTTGTAAAAGTTGCAAGCAGGATCCAAACTAGCTGGCTTGTGATCATCTGCAGGTTCGCTTTTGATTGAGACAGAAGAACTGCGCGAAGATGGCGGAGAAGAGTTTGGAAACGGGCCACTTTCAAGTTGAGGCTCCGTCGATGCTACGCAGACTGGCGTCCACGGTTTGGAATCATCGTTGATCATGGCGAGGAGCCCTTTTAAAAACCAATACAGCCCCGTGTATTTGTCCTCAATGGCTTTTTTGAGAGATTCAAGCTCAATGATACATGTACATTGTTTCTTTTGGTCTCAGGCAGATACCAGAGCAAGTACGTTAAGCCTGGTTTAGATGTCGACACCGCGACTTCTATAATTCTGGGGCCATAGCCAAGCTGTTTATCGCATGTCAATAGCAGAAACAACCAGAATGCAGTCTCTCATATAACCTGTTCATTGATGTCGAAGTGACTTATATGCTCGGACCGGAGAAACCATGTGCCGAGAAGCTTCCCGCAAATCGCAATAATTGCGGCGCAAAGTATTGACAGCTATTGTCTATTGCCTATTGTCACCCATTCAGGATGTTTGCTCCAAAGACATCGGCGCCTGCGACAGGTGGCCTGTCCATAAGTACCGGCGGCACCAATTCTTTATTGTTAGTGCTCCCACATTTCTTTCTCTGACTGCATGCTGGGGAACGCACCAGACTGGATGCCAACCCCTTGCTCTAATCCATTCGATCGATTGTCATTCCATCTCTTCCAGCGACCAGTCGCGTCTCCCAGCACTCTACAGTGGAGCCATTTTGATCTCACTGAGAAAAAAGCTAACCGCAAACTCCTCAGCGGCAATACACAAAGCACAACCACGCCTGCTGCAGGCGCAGCAAGTACGACCGGCGGTCTTTTCGGAAACACCTCGACGCAACCCAAACCCGCAGGCAGCATGTTCGGAGCTGCGGCCTCTCAACCAGCACAAAACGCCGGTGCCCCTGCCACGAGCGGCGGCCTTTTCGGCAACACAACAACCACACAGCCCCAGACAGGCAGTTTGTTTGGCGGAACACTTGGAGCGGGCGCTGGCGCTGGCACCAACACTACTCAGAGCGGAACTGGCTCCAGTTTTCTCGGCAGCAGCATCACTGCTGGTGGTAACGCGAATTCCACAATGCAGGCCGGCAAGTCACCGTTCGGTGGACTAGGTGGTGGACTCGGTGGTGGTTCTTCTACGCAAACTGGAACCTCGGCCTTTGGTGGGCTTGGTGGTGGTCTCGGCGGCGGACTTGGTGGTTCAACACTGTAAGTGGAAGATTTGGATGATCTGCTCGGCTCATTCTAACGATGTCCAGCGGCGGTGCCCAAAGCAACCAACAGCAGACTCAAAAACCTAGTCTCTCGGTCTTCAACACTGGCACGGCACAGGGAACACAGCCCTTACAGCAAAACAACAATTCGGTTGTCCAGGGTGTCAAGGTCGACCTTACCAACCTGCTACCCACTACGAAGTTCGAGAGCTGCGCTGATGAGATTCGCTCCGAGATCGAGGCGATCGACAACCACATTCTCACTCAGATGAAGTACTGTAACGAGGTCTCAGACCTGCTCCCTACGATCGAAAACCAGGGTTCTCTCATTCCCAATGATGTCGAATTTGTGCAAGGAAAATTAGAAACGATGCAGAACGCACTCGAAAATGACGCCCGCGACATTGACGGGCTCCGCACTCTTGTTTCTCGCGATGCAGCCGAGGCGCAGGTTGCATTCCGGGCTATTGACACACTGAAGCTGCCCCTGCAGTACCAGTCGAACGGCGGTGGATGGTGGTCTGTGCAGGACCAAAAGGCCCCCGAGATGCGCTCGACTCGCAAGAACACCCTCGCCCTTCCCGACGATGTGGAGGGAGACCCGTCCGCAACTACCGTCAACGGCGTCCCCGTCAACCTGGTCGACTACTTCTCACACCGCTCCGATGAAATGGGAGCTGTGCTGACTCGATACACCGGCAACCTTAAGGAGATTGAGGACCACCTTCACGGCCTCGAGGCCACCCTCAACCGCCAGATCAACGACTTTGTGAGCTCCAAGTCTCGCGACGGACCTTCCACTGCGCCCAAGTCCACAGTGAATGAACTTGCCGCGGTCCTCGGGGATGTCGAGGCCGGCATCATGGGCGTCGCAGGCCGTCTCAGTACAGTTTCGGAACAGGTCCAGGACATTTCAATGGGGACTACTATCGGAGATGGCCGACTCAACCTGGGATGATTGAAGCATAGCGTTTGATTTGTACACTAATGGCAGCTGGTTATCAGCATGGGAAACATGACAATCTTGACATCTGAAACAGTATCTAGAGTAAGCCGGAGTCCGAGAATACTCCGAGTCCCTTATCGATCTCCGGTAGGCTGCATAACATAATCAGCATGCATGATCTATAAATCCCATAGACTTGCCGAGATCATTCCAGTCAAATTCTTCTCCCCTATAGTTAGTTAGCTATGTAATCGAAGATCTACCTAGAGCCGGGGGCGGTGGAGGTGGCTGACCAACGCAAGAGTGGCGGGTTCTTGCGTGATCGCCTCCTTAGCGCGGCCCTCGAACTGCTAATCTCAACCTCCCCTGTCGAGCTCCATTGTCCACGCGTCCAGCATCATACCGCTTTATTTAGACTCATGTATGAAACAGCGGTGAAAGATGCACCGGATATCAACTTGCCATTCTACAATCCCCGATTTGAGGGTGATGGCAAATCTCGCCTTCAACGTCAGCGAAATGGCGTGATCACCCTGGATTCCGGGGAAGTTGCGGGTCTTTCGTCACCCGCAAACTGAAGGATTTCGTGATTCCGTGGGACTCCCATTTGCCTTTGGGTGATTATGTAGCAGAATGGCGCAATTGCTTGACTCATAAGCAGTGGCATCTGTGTCTTGGATCTATATATACCGTTGCTGCTCTTCTTCTTGGAGCCATTCAAACCTTGTTTTATACTCCATCATATACTTCTATACATCCATACATTGCATTCTTTTTTATCTGCATTGCTCAATTTCAAAATGGCGCCATCTCTGGTAGAGCCCGTCCTCACCCCGACTACGCACTTCACCGTGACTGCACCCAAGAAGGACCTCGCTGGAGACAACAAGTTCGGCTACCAGCCCGGCCGGACACCAGTCACTCAACACGACAACTATGCATACGAAGACTTCCTACCCACATTCCCAGACATCCATTGGCCTGCTCTAGAGGAAACACCCTACGAAGACAAGGGTCTCCGAGGAGACCCCAAATTCCGCAACCTCCTCCGAGACGCCACTGGAGTCTTCGACTACAACCCCAAAATCGGCACGGAGATCCAAGGTGTGGACCTCTCGACACTAGACAACGCTCAACGAGACGACCTAGCCCGCCTAATCGCCTACAGAGGCGTCGTCTTCTTCCGCAACCAAAAGAACTTCGACATAAACGCCCAGCGCGATCTAGGCCGCTACCTGGGAAAACTGCACAAGCACGCCACAACCTCCGTCCCACGCAAACCAGGCCTGGAAGACGTGCACGTCGTCTACACAGGTGACAACTCAGGCGACAACCGCGCCCTCTTCACGCCTAGCTTCCTCTGGCACTCAGACGTCACTTACGAACTCCAACCACCATCCTATACATCCCTTAAACTTCTCACCGGCCCACCACGCGGTGGAGGTGGCGATACACTCTGGTCAAGCCAATACGCAGCCTACGACGTCCTCTCCAGCCACATGCAAACATACCTCAAGGGCCTGACAGCCCTACACTCAGCGAACATGCAAGCGAATGACTCCAGGGCCCTCGGCCGCCCTGTTCGTCGGGATCCAGTGACAACAGAACACCCTCTCATCCGCACGAACCCTGTCACAGGCTGGAATGGACTGTTCTTTAACCCCGGTTTCGTGACCAAGATCATTGGCATCCCGACTGCGGAGAGTGATGCGATTATTCGCTACTTGACCGATGTCATTGCCACGACGCAGGAAATGCATGCCCGCTTCTCGTGGGGCGAGGATGACGTTGCGCTTTGGGATAATCGGTCCACAAATCATAGTGCTTCTTATGGCTTTACGCCTCATCGTCGCCATGCTGTTCGTGTTGCTTGCCATGCTGAGAGGCCTGTTTTGGAGGCTGGGGGAAAGTCTCAGGAGGAGGAGTTGAATGCGCTTTATGGATTGCCTGCTGTTAATAAGGATGGGTCGAGACAGTCGAATTATAATGATTAAATGTGGGTTGCTGGTGTTGGTGTTCTATATGGATTGGTCTTAGCGAGTTGCTTGTATTAGCGAAATTTTATTACTCTGATTCATTTTGTTGCTTGTGGATTGTGCATAAAGAAGTAGGCTAAAAGAAATGAGAATGTTTGTTTGCTCTCTTTGGAGACTTTCTCTGCGTCATTGTCACCTACAAGTATCTCATCCTGTTCCCTTTCTGTCATTTACCCCTGCTATCTCTATAACCCTTACCTTGGATTCTAGTAGAGATATAGTTCTATGGTCATCCAGGAGTGTACGCGTCATACTTTCACGGTCCAGTGTTCCAATGAAATCTTAATATCTTGTTCCTGTCGTCAATAGAGAGATTGTGATCCTTTCACTGTTGGGCCCAAAATAGGGAAATCAACTATGTCGACGCCATCGGGAATTACAGATGTCATGCGTGAATTGCTCCTACGAGGACAATTTTCTGACATGGAAATCATCTGTCAAGACGTCACTTTCAAACCTCATCGGGCTATTGTTTGCACTCAATCAAGCTATTTCAACAGCGCATTCTGTGGTGGTTTCAAGGTATAAGCGGAGTAAGCTCGACTATGTTTTGTCCTTCCTCTACCTCAGAGAATACAACGATAATGGACATATAGTTCCATTCCAACCTCATATAAGCCTCGTTCCTTTTATTGATGATTCCGACTCAAACAATTCAGAGGATAGGTCGAACGATATGGAAACTTCAAAGGCAGTTGCCCTAAACAATATCCGGGGTTTTGTCGCGGCCGATAAATTGGGAATCAACCTATTGAAGTCGCTAGCTACAGAGAAGTTCTCCGGATAGGCGACTACGAATTGGAAATCGTCCATGTTTCCTGAAACTGTTGAAGAAGCCATGACGCTGATCCCTTCCCATGAAACTAGGCGTTAGGAGGTCATCACGGGGACTATCTCGGAGCATATCTTCGAAATTATCGATGAACCGGCTATCCTTTATGTGTTTAATTCTTTCGGATGCCTTCGGTCACTAGTCATCGTAGGGTTAGTCCGAAATGAGCGGGTTAAACCACTCAACGAACTTGATGTTCTTCATGAACTTGCTCGAAAATTCAACTCAAACCGTCACTGTCGCCATTGTTCATCGGCATTGAATGTGAGAACGGAAAGTGGAGTATCAATCTGGGATTTTCCGTTGCGCTGATTGTTGTACACGACATTCCTAACCACACTTAATTCCAAGGAAGTCTCGATAGTGAATATGCGTTTTTTATGCAGCACTCCTGTCTCAGCATTGCGCGCAAAGCGACCAGAGGATTGTAACTGTTGAAAGAAGTGAAGGCTTGTGAGGTCATGTCGGATACACACGAACTGTATGACGAGGAGACTGTGGCACTGTTAATGGACACATTGTACGAAGAGGGACTTGAATCTTCAAACGTCGTGTCCTCCAGTTCGGCGACACTGCGAGAATATCTAGCTCACATAGCACGAACGGCGCTGCAAATCAGAACCGTCTTCAATGGATTTTCCTCTCCAATTGTCTAGTCAGTGAATATGAGAGTGTCAATTCTATCTACACCTCCATCAGAGAGGCCAAATCCTCAGTTCGTCATCCCTAGGGTTCGAGAGTTGCATTTATATAAAGCTGGGGTGGGATCATACACACACTCATGTTAACTCGAGAACCGCCATTCATAGTCAGATCTGAGTTTTAATTATATCAATATAGGATATTACCTGTCACTACGATAGCAACTAATAGAAAGTCGAGAGGAGATGATCATGTCTGCAATTACCGACAACCCAAAGGGAAAGCCGCAGTTTAAATTTAAAAGTACATTGGGACATAGACATGCAAGACCCAAGGCCAATCCAGCGCTTCAAAAACTCATGTATGCAAAGTAGGAAAAAGGACACCAGAACCAAGATACAAGACCTGATGATACATGATATACCAGATAACATCAAATGTCACATGCCACATATCACCCAAATCTGCATCACGGCTTTCAAGTTGTTATAAGATTTTTTTTTTGTAGGTTTTGGAATGGTCGAGCTCGTGCCGTCGCGTCTTGGTATAATACACGCCGAGTTATGATGCAACATCCACACCCGCATTTTATAGCGGCGTGAATGAATCAATCACAAGCTCGACAGATGGGAAATTGAGTGGCACGAGTGAGATATCGAGTTAATAGATTCTTGAGTAACCCGTTTACTCGCGGATCTTGGCCAGGATGCTAGAAACGATGTCAGCTAAACTCAAGAAAAACCAATTGCCTATGCAATTGAACCAGGGTGGGAAATGGAAACGTACTCGTGGTCCCGGAAGAGAGTGTACTCCTCCTCACCAACCTTGATGGCATTGCCACCGAACTGAGGAATGAGGACCTTGTCACCGGCAGCGACACCCATGGGGAGACGCTTGCCATCCTTGTCGAGGAGACCGGGGCCAACAGCGAGGACCTGGGCCTCGTTCTGCTCCTTGACGGCGGCTTCGGGGAGGAAGATGCCGGAGGCGGTCTTGGCCTCGGGCTTGATGCGCTGGACCAGGACGCGGTCCAGGAGGGGGCGAGGCTCTTGATGTTGCGGAGGACAGACTGGAGAGATGAGTCAGTATATTAGATCATTTGAGCGAATGAGTGATTGATGCGGTAGAGCTCATTGCGCATGCGCGTGATAGAAGTCGGGTGTTTCGGGCTTGGGGAGACAAGTTCGGCATCGAGAACCGGCAGCGCAGCTTGCTCGGGTTGGTTCGCTGAGTGTTTGGGGGAGAGTGAAGGATTGTAGAGGTGATTTAGGATGTTGGACGTACCATGGTGAAGGATGATTGGATTCCTGAAGAGATCGGAGTTGAGGCGTGGGATGGAGAAGGGAAGAGGATGGAACTGGTCCGGGGAGAGGAAGATCTGACTGGAGAAATTTCCAGAATGCCAAGACTTGAGCTACTCCCGAGGGACCGGGTTACCGGCTCCGTTTGTATACTTTTCTCTAGGTTATTACGTCTATTCTTGATTCTATGTTATGAGCATGGTCGGCATTTCAGCTTACACTGTAAATTGATTGCCCTGAAAGCTAAGAGAGCTTGGACAACTGTCAATGATATTGTTATTTATTCCCTTGCATGCATGAAACGCCGCGATATCCGGTCCTCAAAGGTCAATCCAAAGCTACCATCATAGAAAAAATCAGAGATTCGGATCAAGTTTACCATCTGCGTCCTCGTCCTCGTCCCCCGTAACCACCGCGTTGATCATATCCACCATAGCCCATCTGACCCTGGCCACCTTGACCAAAGCCCTGTCCTTGGGGTTGGCCACCAAAGCCAGGTTGGCTCGGCTGGCCACCGCCGGGCATCATAGCCTGCGCATGCTGCATGAAAGCCATCGGGTCCATGGAAGATGGGTCCAAGCCCTGGGACATCATGCTGGCTAGCATACCCTGCATCATATCGGGGTTCATATCTGGCATACCGCCGGGCATACCAGCCATAGGCGGAGCAGCAGTTGGAGCGGCAGCAGGTCCTGCAGGTGCGCCAGGCATTGGGGGCATACCCATAGTCATGAAAGCCTGCATATCGTCCATCTGTCGCTTCTGGCTGCCAACCTCCTGTCGAACACCTTGCTGCTTGAGACAGTACCCTGACCATGTGAACTCGTCGAAACCATAGTTAAAGTAATCTGACAAATCTGACCCAGGCCGGCGCCAGGGCTTGTCGTCGGACGGGAAATCGGCATCCATGTCCGTGGACATGATGGGCTTGCCCGTTGTCGGGTGGATGGGGTTTGCATTGACGTCGATGGTCGAGCTATGAATTGCTGGGTAGGCAGAACCTGGCTTTTGATCGGAGGGAGGTCTTGCTGCGGCTGGTTGGCCGGGGACTGGGGTTGAGCTCTCGTATCGGGGTGTTGCGGACGGCGTCCCTGACTTCGGTACCATCGACGAGTCGGCGGACCCGGGCCTTTGTGATTCTTGTCGTAAGCTTACATGGCGTGGGTGGGAGCTACTGAGGGATTAGTGGCTGTGTGGAGCGTGACTTTATGATAACTTACGCTTCTGGCGCTGGTGCGTCTGCAGGTGCCTCTGTGATGATGTTGAAGTCATCCTGAATGGTATTAGCACAGCCTGTCATTGTATACAAAGGGGTACGCACGTCGTCGTCCTCTTCGACCTCTACCTCCTCGTCGTCTTCCATATCATTGCTCTCCTGCGGTTGGCCTGGAGCTCCATTTTGTGTGTGGTTTTGCGATTGTGTGACTGGCACCGCATCGACGGGGTCGTAAAAGTCGTCTTCTTCTTCGTCCATGGTTTCTGGCTTTGAATCCCAATGAATTGCTGTAGAAAGTTCTCTCTCAAAGAAGATCGAGATCAAGCTCAAGTTGCGCGCGAGCCGAGTTTGTCTTGTTTGCAGTGTTGTATGCAAGTTGATCAGCTCGTTGATACAGCACCACGATACCTTGAAAGGGAGGGTTAAACAATAAATGAAACGGAGATTATTATAGATATATTTAGCCTCTTAACGTTTCAATTTCTCTCAAAACCGTCTGATCTTGTCAAAACTCAACACGCTGAGTTAATGGTCACGTGACAGTCCCAGAGTCGCCAGTGGCCAGCCATGTTTCAAACAATTTGGTTTCTCCAACTCAGCTGTCAGTCTAGCATACACCATGGCGGAAGAAGAGAATAGCGGAACCTCCACGCCGCGGTCGTTCACGGGCCAGACCGTCTCCGCGGAGGAGATGCTTAAGTCGCAAACTGTTGGCCTCGTCCATCTATCCGACTTTCGAAAGCGGCGCGCAGAGGTGCTGGAACAAAAAGAGCGCGAGGCGCATGACAAGTCGCTAGGGCGACTGGCATCTGGAAATTCAAGAAGCGCAACTCCCTCCACAGGCGAAGTGACTGACGGGTAAGTCAAAGACCGCTCCAACTCTCCATTCACATAAGCTGATCGCAGCGCAACAGGTCAACGCCTCCTCAGAGTGATGGCCCCCCAAAAAGAAAGAAGAAGAAGGCTCTCGCCAAAAGCAAGCTTTCATTCGGCGACGATCAGGATGATACTGGGGAGGAATCTGCCGCAACGCCACGCGAGTCAAGCATCTCACGGTCTAGTTCGAAAACACCCGCTGAGGATAGCGCGACTCGTCGCATGAAAGCAAACCCGAATGCACCTCCCCCGCCGAAGGCTTTGACCAAGGCAGCTCTGGAAGCTGAAGCGCAGGCCCGCGACGTTCTCCGCAAAGAGTTCCTTGCCATGCAGGAAGCCGTCAGGAACACCGAAATTCTGATTCCGTTTGTTTTCTACGATGGAACGAGTATACCCGCGGGATCGGTCAAAGTCAAGAAAGGTGATCACATTTGGTTGTTTTTGGACCGGTGCCGAAAGGTCGGTGCAGAGTTGGGTGTGCGCGGTGCCAATGGCGCATCCAAGGCAAAGAAGGACAACCGTCGAGAGTGGGCACGCGTTAGTGTCGACGACTTGATGCTTGTCAAGGGCGATATCATCGTTCCACATGTGAGTTCATACAGCTACTCTCTTCGTTTGAGGATTCCATCTAACATTGAGACAGCATTACGAATTTTATTATTTCATTGCCAATCGGGTTCCTAGTCTTTCGCGCGCTGGTGGCTTGCTGTTTGATTACTCCAACAAGCCTCCAGTTGCCAACCCAATTGCCAACCCAACAGACGATCCCCTGTCCCGCTCTAGTGATGATCAACTAGAAGGCGCCGACAAAGATTTCTCAGAGACCAAGGTCGTCGATCGACGGTGGTACGAGAAGAATAAGCATATATATCCAGCCAGTCTGTGGCATGAGTATGAGCCTGGGAAAGAATTTGAAGAGAAGATGACCTCAACAAGGCGCGATGCACAAGGAAACACTTTCTTCTTCTAGCCACAGCTGAGACATCTATAAAAAATCACGATGTAATAGACAAATACCAAATAAATCCAACTGTTCAGTATTCATGTTTCCCGGGGTTGACTAACTAGTCTGGATATCTCGTGACTGTCACCTCTTGCCATCTCGCCAACTGCACCCCACGACGGCGACATAATGGATTTCTCCTTGAAATGCAATTCTTTGAAATGTCGGACAGAGTTGAAAGAAAAGGCCGTGGTGACAACCTGCTCGTACGACTCCCTGTCTGTCAGTTGATGAAGTACTAATGGGTCTAGTCATATCTTCTGTCATGACTGCGCAGAAAGTCTCGGGCTTTCCCATTCAGCAACCAGTAATCGGTGTTGTCCGGCTTGCCAGACCGTGCTTCTCAATCCCGATGACGCTGTTTCATCTGTCCTTAATCCTACAGAGGACTACAAAACAAGCGTGCTGAGTGGATTGGATCCGAACACTATAATGGAATGTGCAGGTCGCGCATTAGGGTTCTGGGCATATCAAAGTACACAGGAGATGTTGGTTTCCTTCTTCGTGCCTCACGGTCATGGCTAATTGTTTTGCAGCTTCTATCAGGACTTCCGAGCAAAGACGCTCACGGAGAAGTACGCCAACCTAAACACACAGATGGACAAAGTCATCCACAATGCCAACACAGAGATATTATCTCTTCAGAACAGGCTGTCTGGTGAGTTCGATCCGGTCTCCCGTGAGTCGGCTTGCAACTAAACTGTCAACTCTAGGTATGCAATCAGCTCAAGAAGATCTCCAAAAGAAGAACCAGGAGCTGAATGATCTCTACCGAGACAAAAACAACAAGCTCTCTCAAATGACAAACCTCTACAACCTCCTCAAAGCGCGAGCTATGCGGTCCCGCATGCAGACTGCTGCCTCGGATACAGTATCCCAAGCCCTAAACTCGCTTCCATCATTGAATGCGCCTCCTTCTGTCTCCGTTGCCCGATCTGCTATGTCGCCAACACTTCCCGCGCAGGTATCACAACACCTTAAGACCCAATCGTACCCTGTCGACACTGAAGGAGTTGAGCAGTTGCATCGGCATCAGCGAAGTGGCACGGGCAGTTCCAAGAGGGCGAGAACAAAGACACCAAACGCCGCTGCCATGTTACCTCCAGCGAAACCAAACTGGAATGGGCGCTTTGGTATGTATTGGAGATGGAAGTATAATTTTAACCGCTAACATGCTTGTTTAGCCCGTGAACCCGATCATAACCGGCAACACCGTACGCGTCTCCCACGACTTTCCAGGACTCCGACGATGCTGTCTGAGTTTCCGCCTAGCGATGCCATTATGCAGCGATTTGGGAAATGAGATTCGAATTGTTGAACGTGCCTATGTGTTAACGGTGATGTTCTGAACTCTTAATACCCGTCTATTTTACGCCTTTGAGATGCCCAGAGATATCAAAACGCAATGTATTTGGGTAAATAGTATGTGCATTTCTATTGCCTAAGAACAGTACGATCCCATACATCTCTATATTATCTACGGAAAGAGCAGATAAGCAGTCTTCCGCTTCATGACTCGGATGGCAAGGCTGCTGACGCTGGCCTGATATGCAAAAGCCTTCGTACTTACGCCTCTCAACGCATTAATTAGGTCCAATCATGCACGTATGATTCTATATGTTGACGTGAGTGCAGATAATTGGCCAGTCTCTGACCTATAAGCAGAATGGCGATGCTGACTGCATCATGGAAATTGGGTTTACTCGGATTTACGCAGATTGGGGGCCAAAAGTATTACAGAATCGCAGTAACGTGGGTATTTTGGCACAAGTATCTGCCACCTAGTCAATCCACCTAGTCAATATACATTTGTAAATTCCAAATACCGAGACATTCCGATCGTAACGTCAGAAATGAAGTGGAAATCTCAACGGGGAGGTGAAGTACATGTTAGACAAATGTTCGAGATAGTGTTAGTGGAGCCACCCACTCGGAGCAAGGGCTACTCCTTTTTCACAGGATCGTGCCGAATTCACTACTTATATATAGTCTGCTGTCCTTTTCAATTCCAGTGCTTACAGTCATGAATGAAACCAAGCAGCCAGGCTGTTCAGCCTATGCGCTCTCCAGCTCCTCATTCCCACACTACTCCTTGCCACCACACCGAAAAGATCAATTCTTCGCTATCTATCTGTTCCTTGTATGCTCTGGGTCTTGAAACAAGGCATAAACCCAATTCCAAACCCAACAATCTTGCACAGCAATTCGATTGGCTTTTTGTTCATTTCTATCCTCTCAGCCACCTACTTCTTGCTTGCCAACCCCAAGGATAGCCGTGACTTCGTCAACGCCAATGGCACCACGAAAAGCTTCTTCTCTCGTTTATACGAGGCACTTCGCATTATGATGCTGACCCGTGCAATTAATACACCTCGCCAAGTCAAGAATGTCCCAGGCCCCCCAGCCTACTACGCCAAACGCGATCCTAAGGTAATTCCTCGAGGTCGCTTCTTGGTTCGCGAAACTTCAATTGCCGTATGGCAATTCCTAGCATTGAGTATGTTTGAAACATTATCTGCCCAGGAAGCGTCGAAAAAGCCTGCGCCCGTATCTTTCGAGGTACAGTGGTTTGTCCCAGTGGACCAATGGGTCGAACGAATTATTTCGAATGTCATCACATGGTTCGTTGTAGCCCGGATCCTCATCGATCTCAACGCTCGCATTTGTGCAATTCTCTGTGTCGGTTTGGGGCTTGATACTCCTGCAGATTCTCCGCCCACTTTTAGGACTATGGCGGATGCATATTCTCTGAGGAATTTCTGGGGGTTAGTATCTATCTCTTCTCGTGTTCTGACTGGGCTAACGATATCGAATAGAAAATTCTGGCATCAACTGCTTCGACAGCCTTTCACGTCACTCAGCAATTTCATTGCGCGCGATGTGCTCTGCCTGCCTAGGTCGTCCCTGGTGGAACGATACACCAACGTGTTTATCGTTTGCTTCTTCTCGGGTCTGTTGCATTTACTTGTCGATATTTTGGGATGTGTTCCAGCCCAGGGGTCTGGGTCCATGTTCTTCTTCCTCTCTTTTGTTTTGGGCTTCATGATCGAGGATGGTGTCAAGGCGATGTGGAAAAGTATGTATCCTCAAGCCAAGGAGTCCGCCGCCCGCCTCCGCTTTGGCAAAGAGCCCTTGGATTTGTCTGGGTAATGGTTTGGATTGGTGTTGTGTCTACTGCCTACTTTGTACCGATGCAGCGACCGGAATCCCGGGCGCTGCTGGTACCTTTAACGTCTCAGAGTGGATTGGTCTTCCTACTCTGGTGGGGATTGTGGGCGTTGGTGCTGCTGCCTTGAAATTTGTTTTCGAGGTTGAGCTGTAAGGATAGTCGTCAATTCTCGGTTTATATAAATCCTGCCTATGTGTGTTGAGGATACTATGGAGATGTATATACGTTTCGATGTCTACAGAACCAAGTGGTTTATAGATTGAAGCCTATCGGATAATCTTCAGCCGTGAATTATATAAATCGACAACTGATCTCAAATCAATTCTTCAAGAAGCAACCAATCCTCTGTCATGGATCATTGAGATGTCGGTCTCTCAACGACCCACGCACCGTTCTTCGGATTATATTGCAGAAGATACAAAGTCCCCTCGCTGCACCATGAGCAAGCTCAAAATTTGGCACGTATAAGAGAATGACACCAAAAAGACAGTGCAAAACAATGACCAAAGGATGCAAAAGATTTCACCCGTTCTTAGAAAGAGAAGCTTGCTATGACTGCTATGATCGTTGTTCAAAATGCAGTTTGAAACCAAATATTTGTTAAGCGCAATATCTTCTAGAATTCTGTAAGAGAAAAACACATGGCCAGGTAACACGTGCACAAAAAGACATTCCACGACGGTCCCACTTGTCCTGGGTGTCTCTCAGATTGAAACTACACTGCAACGCAGACATAGACATTCAACTCCAAGTCTTTGCAATCAGAGCCTACGGCCGGGTTCCACGTAAGGAAATTGGCCGCACTGATGTTATTGTCTGTCTCGACCTTGTCACAAGTATCTCCACTCTGGACCTTGTAGTACTTGCTGCAGTCAGATGAAATCCCGCTTTGCACAGGCGACGGTACTGCTGCAACGCATACATAGACATCCAACTCCAAGTCCTTGCAATCAGAGCCTACGGCCGGGTTCCACATAAGAAAGTTGGCGGCGCTGATGTTACTGTCTGTCTCGACCTTGTCACAAGTATCTCCACTCTGGACTTTATAATACTTCCTGCAGTCGGATGCAATGCCACTTTGTACGGGTGATGGCACTGATCCGGTTCCAGTTCCAGTTTCCGTTGGGGTGCTAGTGGTCGTGGATGGCGTGGATTCTGTCGAATGTTAGAGCAAGTAACGCATCTTGGCCAATGCAGGAGAATATACCAGAAATGCCAACACAGACTTCGGTCTTCAGCCACAAGCTGTTGCAGTTAGATCCAGTAGCGGGATTCCAAGAGTAAAACTGGGCCGCAGTGAGACCGAATTCCGAGAATATCGAGGCACAGGTATCATTGTCGGACACATAGTGCCACTTGTTGCCTGTATCAAATTCCGTTAGAACAAAAGGAAATGGCTTTCAGGAAGACGAGAATAGCAAATGACTTACACATCTGAGTGACTCCTGTTTGTGTTGGGAATGCAGACGATGAAGAAGGTTGAATGGACGGGCTCACTGCTCCTACGCAGACATAGTCACCCTTGATCAGTCCCTCGCACTCAGTAATAGCCCTATCTAGGTTAGAAAACCTGACACTTAACCCAAGGAAAGGTGATACTCACGGGTTCCAACTGTAGAACTGAGCGAGAGTAAAGCTCATGTATCGATCTTGGATACTATGGCAAGTATCGCCATTCTCTACCTGGTGGTACTGGGTACAACCATTTGTAACTGCAGTTTGGACCGGTGCGTCGGTACCATTATACGTGATTGTTTTAGCTGGGGTAACCGATGGTGCCGCTGAACTAGCCGAACCAGCAGGACCGGAGACGCAGTAACTGAATCCAGGGACCATCTTACATTCAGAGCTGGTTTTCAACCCTGGGTTCTAGACGTATATCGATCAGCATGCTGCGAATTGTGGAATGAAGAAAACGGCAAGTAATCACCCAATATTCAAACTGCGCATGAGTTATACCAAAGGAATCCTCAATCATCTCACAAGTGTCCTCATTTTGGACATTGTTCGCCCAATATCCACAGCCCGTAGTAACATTTGGGTCTACTTCTCCGGTTGCTTCGGAACCGTTCTTCCATCCTCCTTGACCGGAGCTAGACACAGCAGTCGCCGCAGCAAGCAGAAGAAGGGTATGCTTGAGAAGATGGGACTTCATCGTCGGTTTTGAGAAGGGACTTGAATGAGAAACGATTTGAGGATCAACGCGGACATTTACCTTTGAGGAGCCAGCGATGCTTCTTATAATGTCATAGGTCAGGAACATTCTGCTAAAGTGCCCCTCAGGACACCTCGTTCTGTGTCCTGTAAACAGAAATGCAAGCCACATACCTCTAATTCTCAGATGGGCAACAAAACGAGAACAATCTGGGCCACAACAGACCCGTCAATAGTAATCACAACAGACCGTAAATAGCAATGTCAAATACTGCATTGCATCGCGTTTAACATGGCTAAGATTCACCTTGCAAGGTACGGTGCTGTTTAAAAATTACCGATATTGAAACGATAGAAAAAGGGGGCTCACTTGACGATTTGGAAGAAGTATGAAAAGCCCGCAAAGAGCCCGGTGAACAGATTATCTTAGGTAGCGAGGTACTCGTTTGAATCCTACCAGACATGCTCATTCATCTACTTGTCACTCTTTTTCAAAGTTGTCGTTCGTTTTTATTTGGGAGGGTCCCAAGCATGGGCGCCGTTCCTGTCGCCAAATTTCTAGTGCATTTGCTGTTCATATTGAACTTGGTATAAGCTGAAGATGCCAAGCGCACATCTGGTTCATGTTCCTCGACCTCGAGATGTATACTGGGTGTTGCAGCAAGAGTGGAGGTCTCTTTGCACAGACATTGGATGAAGGAGGCCCTGGCTCTACTACGAACCACAACAATCTCGATCCTCCAGACACATCTATGTCTGATGCAGACATTGAAGGTGGCAGTGATGGATCGGGCGATGTTGATATTGCCGATACTCTTGCCGACTCGAAATCAAACGCCGCAACTTGGAATCGCGCCCCTTAACATGATCGTGGCTCTTTCAACGCTTTCCTCAGTAACCACATTCTCTATCGAGCCTTAATTACTGCTATCGAAGTAGCCTGGACCACAACAATCACAGTCACTGTTAGTGGACAGCGTACCGTAACCGAAACCGTTGCCCATAAGATCCAACCGCCACATTCTCAATCCCTACAATCACTACAACTATCACTCCCTGGCGGAATTGAAATATTACTGCGGATAATGTGACCCAAACGTCTACAACTCTCTTCCCTAGCATCTCCTTGGCTCCTATCACATACAGGATAGCGGCAATCGTGAAAGCATAATGGACCATTCGCGACGCACACTATCACAGACGACAGGACTTTCTTCCCTCCTCCCCGGCCCTGGTCGATAGCCTCCTTACCTGACGATATCCCTACATCTACGATCACCTTCACCCAATAAGGTCCTCCAGGCCCGACCTGCACCGCTAACGTGGAGAGAAGTGTGTCTCTTACTGTGAATAGCCCACAAAGAAAAGAACTGGGACGTACCAAAGGATCCCAAGCCTCCTAACCATTCGAAGTGCTCTAGTTCCGACTATGAGAACAATGAGTGCACTAGCCCACTTTGCGTCTGTGAAGCATGGGTACCTATATATATCTCGACCCGCTCAATCTAAATACGTATTCCGGATTAGAAAGATCGATAACACCCACAATAGGAACTTGTATTTTTAAAAACTGTTATTAGCCAAAGCCAGCGAGAGTAGGAATCTATCAAGCAAGTCCTATCCACAACTTACAATGCAAGTACCAGGGCAGACGCCAAAACGACGAACCGTCTGTATAGGCCAGATATCCCCAATCAAGTCTACCATTGAACCAACAGCAAAACCGCCCAATAAACAATTAACACTCCAGTAAAACATCCAAATCACTCTCCTCTTCCTCTACGGAGTAATGCCACCTCAAATCCCCCTTCCACCTAACAGAGAGATGAAGAAGCCAAACCCCCAAATCCCCGTTCGCCCGATCCTTATCGCGCCATAATCTCGGAGCAGCGGAAGCGCGCCTCCCTCGGTTTAGCCAAACCACACCCAGTCCCCTGCCCTAGCTCTAGCTCCAGGTCCAGATCCAGATCTAGCACGGTCCCTACTTTATCTTCAACGGTCCCTGTCAATCCGTGCAGAAAGAGCTTGTGTGGGGTCTGGAGCTTGGTGTCCTGGTTCCTGGATTTGAGCTTAAATTTTGATACGGTATTTTACGAGATGTATTTTATTTGTATTTTATTATTACTCTCTTAGCATTGGACTTCATTCTTTTCCTCCTTTTCCTGTACTTATAGAAATTGTAGATATGATATGTATATTTTACTTTTACAGAAACAGCTTGGGACATAAATGCCTCGTATCATTGATATTATCCGATGGGACATCACAAGATCTAAATCCCCCGGTGAACATAGGAAAATGAAAATCTAAACGGAGAATCATGTACGACGGCACCATCAGGGACCGGGTCTTTTCGTCCGGGCGGGAAGTAACGCCATACCCTCAAAACAGGACAGACGCCGGGCGACGTGTTGTCCGCCCGGAATCCCGCAAAAAACAAGTTCATATCATGCCATGCATTATACCACAAACCCATGCAACGGACACACGCTGCAGAAAACAAACAAAAGTAGAGAGGTGTTTAAGCGCCGAATTCCTTGATATCGGTCTTCTTGCCCTGGAGGGCCAGAGGCACGATACCGCTAACGTGCATCTCGGGGCCGTAGACGTGCATGTCCAGGCCGAGCTCGGCACCCACAGACTTGATGTTCTTGAGACCCTCCTGGTAGTTGGGACCGGCACGGCGGACCCAGATCTGGGCCTTGTGCTCGTTGAGGACGGGGGCGACCTCGCGGAGAGCGCGGATGACACCCTTGAAGGTGCTGGCCACGTTGGTGAAGTTGGCAATACCACCACCGATGAAGAGGACCTTGCCCTCGGGGTGGATGGGGGCACGGAGCATGAGGTCCAGGACGGTCTTGGCGTAGTTGTAGGTCTGGGTCTCGGTGGGAGCACCGGAGTACTCACCGTAGTTGGCCAACTCGCTGACGAAGCCAGCGGAGGCAATGGCATCGGCGTAGACGACGGAGGCACCACCACCAGCGACGAGGGTCCACACGCGACCCTGGGAGTTGAGAACGGTGAGCTTGAGGGAGGCACCGGTCTTGGCGTCCATGTCGGAGATGAACTTCTCCTCCTTGGTCAGTTCACGACCGAAGGGGGCGGGGAACTCCATCGGCGGGCCAGCGTCGATGTTGACCTTGCCGTCGGAGGAGGCGAGGACAGGGAGACCGAGAGCAGCGGGGCTGCGGGCAATAGCCCACTTGGTGCCGCACTCGAACTCGGCAGTCTGGTCGAGCTTGGCCGCGAGATCCAGGAAGTGGACCTCGGCGGAGGTAGCATCGGCGTTGGGGATAACAACGAGAGGGTTGATCTCGAGGTAGGTGAACTGGCAGTCGACGTAGACGGCGTACAGACGAGAGATGAAGTCAACAAGGACATTGTGAACACCCTTGGGGACCTTGCTCAGCAAGGTGGCGGCAATCTCCTCGTTGGAGGGGTACTGCTTGAGGTTGACGGGGATCAAGAGCTTCTCAGCCTTGGCGTCAACATCACCGACATCGACACCACCCTCGTGGGTGAAGAGGATCCAGTCACCCTACAATTGGTTAGCTTGGGTCAATTTCTCTGGGATTTTCATAGCTTACCTCACGGACGGAGTTGATGTTAATGTAGTATTCGGTCTCCTGGGGGTGAGGAACGAAGGGCTCAACCAGGAATTGACGGAGGACACCAGTGACGGTCTCAACCTGGACATCCTTGGTGGCGCGTGCCTCAATCCACTCACGGGCCTCAGCCCAGGTCTTGTTGAGGGCGAGCAGACCGCTCTTACCCCGACGCTTGATCAATTGATCGGGCTTCGCAACGAACTTGGAACCGGGGGTGAGGAGCCAAGGGAAGGTGACCTCAGCCTGGTCGAGGACATCCTTCACAGCCTTGTTCTCAGGGAAGTGCAGAGAGGCCAGACGAGCAGGAGGGTTGTGTGTTGTGGAGGAAGGGAGAGGGGTAGGCTTGATAACGGGAGCGCGAGTGAGGTGGAAGTTGAGGATGGCCTTGCCGTCGGCCTCGAGAATAGATTTGGCGGACATGATGTGTGAATGTGAGGATGATGGAGGGGGAGGATGGAGAAAGAAGGAAGGATTTAATTTTTGAGGAAGCCAGGGAGGAAAAGTAGACTGGAGAGTACAGCGTACTCAAAAAAGTTGTGCTGGAGATTACAGCGTACAATCCGGCAGGTCCCACCGTGTTGAGGGCAGATCCTGGTGGGGTCCGTTGGGATGTTCTCCAGGTACCGGGTACCTTCTTCATCACCAATACCGCTCTATTTTTGTTGAGTGTCGGGGATCGATCCCCGAATGTGAAGTCCAATTGACATCATTTTTATTGTCCGAGATACAAACTTGTATAGTAAGTAGACTACAGTATATAGTACTCGTAGATAGAATTGAAAATAACAGAGTACAAAGCTGTACTGTATAGCTGTACTGTGTATGAGTGTAACGTTAAGTGTAATGTGTGTATGGCGGTGGGGCAGTATCGCCGGTACCCGGTACTTTGGGGTACGCCAAGTGTTGAGCTGTGCAGTCCACTTCTGGGAGGAGCTGTACGGTGTATCTGCGAGTACTCCGAGGACTCCCCCGCGGATTTTTCTCAACAGGAGTTGCTACCCCTTCTATCTGTCTTCTACTTCCATCCTCCCTCTCTTTCCTTCCAATTCCTTCACAGCGGGTGTTAATATCGCATAAGTAAGTCTTGTCTCTTTTTTTTCTCCCTCCCACAAGCTCTCACCCCACCAACTGCCTTCTTTGCAATTGTCCACCCGCGGATGCTAATAGGCAACTAGAATCATCATGTCTACTTCTTCTCCCGCCAGCAACGGCGTCCAGTCGGCCAACGACAACATCACCCGTTTCGCCCCTCCTAGCCGTGTCCTCTCTCCCTCCCAACACAGCCTTTTCCACAACAAGACACGATGCTTCGTATAGTAAGTTGGACCCCTCAGCCTTCAATCTAGGACCTGGGACTGACCGGATCAGTGGTATGCAACCCCGAGCCGTGCAGGGCATGCTCGACTTCGACTTCATCTGCAAGCGTTCCACCCCCTCCGTGGCCGGTATCATCTACACCTTCGGCGGTCAGTTCGTCAGCAAGATGTACTGGGGTACCAGTGAGACCCTCCTCCCCGTCTACCAGGACGTCGAGAAGGCCATGGCCAAGCACCCCGACGTTGACACCGTTGTCAACTTCGCCTCTTCCCGTTCCGTCTACTCCTCCACCATGGAGTTGATGGAGAACCCCCAGATCCGCTCCATCGCCATTATTGCCGAGGGTGTCCCCGAGCGTGTAAGTTTGTTCCCAAGAGCGATTGACAACAAATGACTGATGGCAATTGATAGCGTGCTCGTGAGATCATGGTCACCGCCAAGGAGAAGGGTATCACCATCATTGGCCCCGCCACCGTCGGTGGTATCAAGCCCGGTGCGTACAAGATTGGTAACACTGGTGGTATGATGGACAACATTGTCGCCTCCAAGCTCTACCGCAAGGGCTCCGTCGGATACGTCTCCAAGTCCGGTGGTATGTCCAACGAGTTGAACAACATTATCTCCCAGAACACCGACGGTGTCTACGAGGGTGTTGCCATTGGTGGTGACCGTTACCCCGGTACCACTTTCATCGACCACTTGCTCCGTTACCAGGCTGAGCCCGAGTGCAAGATCCTCGTCCTCCTTGGTGAGGTCGGTGGTGTTGAGGAGTACCGTGTGATCGAGGCCGTCAAGAACGGCACCATCACTAAGCCTATTGTCGCATGGGCTATCGGAACTTGCGCCAGCATGTTCAAGACTGAGGTTCAGTTCGGTCACGCCGGTGCCTCTGCCAACTCCGACCTCGAGACCGCTGTTGCTAAGAACAAGGCCATGCGTGAGGCTGGCATCTACGTCCCCGAGACCTTCGAGGACCTCCCCCAGACCCTCAAGGAGGTCTACGACGCTGAGCTCAAGAAGGGCACCATCAACCCCGCCCCCGAGCCCGTTGTCCCCAAGATCCCCATCGACTACTCCTGGGCTCAGGAGCTCGGCCTCGTCCGTAAGCCCGCTGCCTTCATCTCCACCATCTCCGACGACCGTGGCCAGGAGCTGCTCTACGCCGGTATGCCCATCTCTGATGTCTTCAGGGAGGATATCGGCATTGGTGGTGTCATGTCTCTCCTCTGGTTCCGCCGTCGTCTGCCCCGCTACGCCAGCAAGTTCCTCGAGATGGTTCTGATGCTGACTGCCGACCACGGTCCCGCCGTGTCCGGTGCCATGAACACCATCATCACCACCCGTGCTGGTAAGGACCTGATCAGCTCCCTTGTTGCTGGTCTCCTGACCATCGGTTCCCGTTTCGGTGGTGCCCTCGACGGCGCCGCCGAGGAGTTCACCAAGGCCTTCGATAAGGGCCTGAGCCCCCGTGACTTCGTCGACACCATGCGCAAGGAGAACAAGCTCATTCCCGGTATCGGCCACAAGGTCAAGTCCCGTAACAACCCCGATCTTCGTGTCGAGCTCGTCAAGGAGTTCGTCAAGAAGCACTTCCCCAGCACCAAGCTGCTCGACTACGCCATCGCTGTTGAGTCCGTCACCACCTCCAAGAAGGACAACCTGATCCTGAACGTTGACGGCTGTGTCGCTGTCTGCTTCGTCGACCTGCTCCGCAACTGCGGTGCCTTCTCCCCCGAGGAGTGCGAGGACTACATGCGCATGGGTGTGCTCAACGGTCTCTTCGTCCTGGGCCGCTCTATCGGTCTCATTGCCCACTACCTCGACCAGAAGCGCCTGCGCACCGGTCTCTACCGCCACCCCTGGGACGACATCACCTACCTTCTGCCCACCCTGCAGAAGGGCGGTGCCGAGGGCCGTGTCGAGGTTAACCTGTGATTTTGTTTGTGACGTTTTGCAGCGCCGTCCGCTGGCATATAGTCCGTCCGATCAGGACGGTGGAGTTTGGATGGTTCATCCCTTGGTTTTTCTTTTGCGTTTTTTCAGCAGTAGTATCCATGTACTGCGATCATGTGGCATGACCAAGTCGACGGGGTGACCAGAAAAAGGCATCCCGTTTACGGATCTGATTTAATTCGTTTACAGTAGATGACTAGACCTTTTGGAATAATGAACGTGCCTTTGCCGCATGAACTTTACTGCATCGTGTAGACTTATTCTATAGTTAAGTTAACTCATTAACCTATAAGTTTGATCAAGTACTTTGGTAGTTGCTCGCAAGCCGAGGAAACATCCTTATCGCTTATCGGCAACTTTTTATCTTTTCCACCTCAGCTTCACCAACGCACCACATAACGTTACCTCAAGACACCAATTCCACTCCACAAAACCCACTACTACGACTTCCTGAACTCAATCCCAAAAATCAAACATCAAAAATAACCAAACACCAAAATGGTCCGCCTGAAAAGCCGCTACCTCCTCATAGACATCCTCTACCCAGACCCAAAAACGTGGCCAACAACCAACCCCTCGAAACCCCCAAACCCTCAATTAGCAATCCACGCCCCAACCTCCGACACGCTAACACCAGGCTTCCTCGCGAAGATGGTGCGCGAAACTGTGTCCGAGTTATATGGTGATTGGGGCGTTGGGAAGCTTGGTGGTGCGAGTGCGGGTGGATTGAATAGTATGTTACACACACACACATACACCAACACATCTCTTGATACCGGCCCATTTTCTAACAAATATCTTTCTTTTGAATAGTTAAATACCTCTCCCCAGCAACATCAACGGCAATAATTCGCTGCCCAAGACCGTCCTACCGCCTCGTTTGGTCAGCGTTAACCTACATGTCTGGCGTCCCAGACACGAACAACGGCGGACAAAAGCGCGCCGGGACCGGGCGGGAGCGTGGCTGTGTCTTTCGGGTTATTCGTGTTTCGGGGACTATGCGGAAGGCTGAGGAGGAGGCTATTCGACGGGCTAGACGGGAGATTGTACGTGTTAAGGATGCTGAGGAGAGGGGGGTTTTGGGGGGTTGGTTGGGATTGGGGTTGGGGATGGTATGGATGTTGATGTTGGTGTTGATGTTGATGTTGGGGTTGGTGATTTGAGTGGGAGTGAGCATGGGATGGATTGTGGGGATAGTGATTGAGAAAGGTGTGCTTTGGTTTTGAGATTTTGTTGATGTTAATGTGATACCCCTGGCTTTCGGTGCGTTTTGGTTCAGTGGTTATAGCTATAGATATAGTACATTGATATTCGATGTGATCAAGTTATTATGTGACATTTCTGTAGGCATACTGTAGACAGGATGGAGATATGGTTGACGAGGGACATTGGGTCGAGTATCATGTCTTGCGGCGCACCCGAATGCCACTGTCTGGCATGTTGTTCTTCCACTTTTCCACTTCTTCATCATAAAAATCGCCATTATCATCGCTATCCGCCGCGCCATCTGTTTCCGCTGCGCCGGTCTTTTCAACCTGGCTCGCGGCATTGCGCAACCGTACCTCTTCCTCCAACTCTTGTTCTTCAAGCTCGTCATACTCATCCTTCGCGTCAAGCCACCGCTCCTGCACATCCCGCACATCCGTAACACCCATCCCCTCGCGAACCGCAACCTTCCAGACGGTATCATTCGCGCCCTCGGCGGGACCAAAGGCATACCCGGAGACACGATCAATAGCGTTAAGCAGACTCATCATACTCTTCTTATCTTCAACGGCCAGCGTCTCGAATCCGACCAGCGCGAATTCCTCGACGAGGTCGATGATAGTCTGATTCAAGGCGCCGAATTTCTCGTGAGATAGTCGGGACGACTCGGCTTCCAGGTGTGGGAGTAGATAAGACAGGTCTTGCACTTCCGTGTAGTAGTCTAGGTTGAAAGGGAGAGGGGCATAGTTGGAGAGGTTATCGATTTTCGTAAGGACGTTTAGATGCGGCAGATCGAGTTGTAGCATGGCGCGGAGGGAGAGGAGGAGGGCGGAGATATACATTGAGGGGAGGGTTAGGGTGTATGAATCGACGAGGTGGATTACTATCAGCTGTTGGTGGAAACTCCGTTAGTGGACTGCTTTTGTGTCGAGCGAGCTAGATGCGACGAACCCGGATGCCCATTTTTTGGATCCTGAAGAAGATATTCCGTAACGAAGAGTGGTGGGTGAAGAGTTCGACTTGGCCGGGACAGTCGAATAAAATGTAATCATCTGTAGTCACGATGTCAGGCGCTATATTGTGGACGAGGACCCAGCAGACATACCTCCGAGCTCCTTCAGCCCCTCCTCCAACCAGTCAAAGTTCTTCTCAAGCTCCTCCAGTGCGTATAAGACACCTCCGTTCGGGCCCAGCTTGTCTTCATCCATGATTTCTTCGAGCGTGACAAGGTCGCGTACGTCCAGCGCACATGGATACGAGGTCTTGTCGTTGGCGGGGTCGAGGTTGACGATAGAGCATTTGCGGCCGATTGCGCCTAAGAACTGATGCATGCCATTGCAATATGTAGACTTTCCGGCACCCGGAGGGCCGATAACCAGCTGCGCAAAAGGCATTCTGGTTGGATTGGTTGTGGAAAGTGCACAAAGACGTGAAACCGATATAAGTTGAGTGATGTCAAGCTTTTGTTGTTCGGCGCTCTTTTTTTCCTTATCGACACAGCGCGGGGAATCAAACGGCGGTGACCCGCGGCAAAAAAGGATATGGAGCTTGCCTGCTGCTTGCGATCCTTGCATCTCCACTGCTCGCGCAACATGTCTTCCAGTGAGTAAATACCAGGTAGCTCATCTTCCTCGCTTGATATCGTCTCTAATGCTTTCTTTCTGGCAGACCAATTTATCGTGGCATCTCCGCCGACGGACGCTATCTCGGCGCTGAAGTTCTCCCCGGACCCCAACTCCACACGGATCGTGGTATCCTCATGGGATAAGAATGTTTACCTGTACGACCTGCGCGATGAAAATGGCGCTGTTGGAGAAGGAAAGCTGCTGCAGAAGTTCGAACACCGCGCGCCGGTCCTGGACGTCTGCTTCGGCGAGGATGAGAACGTGATCTACACAGCTGGCTTGGATTGGGATGTGAAGAAGTGAGTCTCCCCATTGAATGCTAGGCTTACAATCTTGCAAGATGGATGATGCTGACAATACAGGATCGACCTCAATACTTCTGAACAGACTGTGCTTAGCAGCCACGAAGCCGGTGTCCGCAACGTCGTTTACAGTCGTGAGCACAACATCGTCATCTCCGCCTCGTGGGATTCAACCCTCCATATCCACCGCCCCGATGCTGGCGCAAACCCCGATTCCATCGCCACTATCGTTCCTCTCCCCTCGAAGCCATTCTCCATTTCGTTGACTGATTCGCGGCTGGTGGTCGCGATGGCCTCGCGCGCATTGCACATTTACGACCTTAAGGCGCTGGCCCTGCTGTCCGCAGAAGCAGATAGCTCAGACCCCGGTGGCAACCGGGTAGAGGTTGAGCCATGGCAGCGCCGCGAGAGCAGCTTGAGGTTCATGACACGGTGCGTTGCCTGCATGCCCGACGGTGCTGGATATGTCTCGTCCAGTATTGAGGGTCGTGTCGCAGTCGAGTGGTTCGACCCTTCGCCTGAATCCCAGGCTCGCAAGTATGCCTTCAAGTGTCACCGACAGCCCGCAGAGGATGGCGTCGATGTGATCTACCCTGTCAACGCCCTCGCTTTCCACCCTGTGTTCGGTACCTTTGCGACTGGCGGTGGTGATGGTGGTGTTTCCTTCTGGGATGGGATCTCCAAGCGCCGTATTCGCCATTACCCCAAGCATGACACCAGTGTGTCAGCTGTTGCATTCAGTGGCAATGGCAAGTACCTGGCTGTTGCTATCAGCCCCGGGTTCGAAGATGGCAAGGATGATGTCGCCGAAGGTGCAGTGCAGATTTATGTGCGGGAGTTGGGCGAGACAGAAGCCAAGGGCAAGGGCGCGAAATAGATCCAGACCATCCGTCCATTTGTCTTTTCTGTCATGCAAGCGTCCTTTGATACCACACAGCAAATTCAATCAAAAACAATCTAAACAAGCTTTAAGCATACACTTCAATTCCATTTTCTAGCCTCTCTTCCAAGGTTGAACAAAAAGCAAATCTTGGTATCATCTATGTTATTTACGTAGTCTCATATCCCACAACAACCTCCTCTTCTCTCTCCCGATCCAAATCGCGCGCCTCTACTGAGCCTTGCGGACAGAAACCGAGCCATCAGCCATACCAAAGTAAGCCGCAACAGGCTTCTGTCCACCAATTCCACCAGCAGCAGTAGCCTCCGGTCCAGTCATACCGCTGAAGATACCAACCTCAAGCACACCAGCAATATCCTTGATCTTGTGGGACAGCACATCAACCGCCCACACACCATCCTTGCCGTTACCCTCCTGACCAGCGGCGAGATCAGACTTGATCAGCATCGGCGGGAAAGGAGCATCGATAATGAAGAAGTCCTGATCAGTCTTCAGAGGACCTTCCTTGGCACTAGCGGAAGGCCGAATAATAGGATCGATACTGCCGAGTTCCACTAGCTTTGCAATGACACGGTGGGCAGCAATCGGGGCAACTTCAATGGGAATAGTCTTCCAGCTCGTGAGGAGGCGGGTTTGGAGTTTGCGGTGGTCTAGTAGACATGAGTCAGTAACCAGCAAAGCAAACACAGAAACAGTAAATATGAATTGGCGAATCTCTCCAACTCATACAGATTCAATACTCACCAGCAACGCAAATAAATTCCCGGGCCTGCATAGCGACGATCTTCTCCTGGAACAAACACGCACCACCGCCCTTGATGCAGTTCAAATCCTCATCGACCTCGTCCGCGCCGTCAAACGCCACGTCGAGAATGGTACCCTGGGGAATAGCATCGAATTCAACAGCCGTCAGACCGGCATTGACGATCAGCTGCTTGGACTGGTAACCGGTCGGGACGTATCTGGTGGCGGAGGTGTCCACGCCGAGAGCCTTGATGGCCTCGACGACGTAGACAATTGTCGTGCCGCTGCCGATGCCGACCCAGCGGGCATCTTTCGGGTAGTGGTTTGAAACGGCGACCTTTGCGGCGGCCTGCTTGGCTAGTTCGACGGCGGACATGGTGGATTGGAGTCTGGAGAGACTTTGTCGGAGGCTTGGGAGTCGGAGGGGTGGAAGTGTGGGGGTTCTACGAAAAAGAGGGGAGATGAGGCGGGCTGGTTGGACCATGGGTCCGCTGTGCTTTATAGGGCTTTTTTTTAGGCTTGAGCGCTTTTTAGTTGAGGTAGTCGGATCGAATAGGTTACTTTCTGCACTATAGTCTGCGCTATAGCGTCATTGGCATGTGGGGTTTGTTCGATTGTTCACTATTTATCGAAGCGGTGGCTTTTTCTGCCACTATAAAATGCTCCCAATTCTTACTTGCACTCCAGTGGGGCATGGATACTATTAGGGAAACATTACGCGCATTCTGAAACGGGAACTCGTAGCACCGATAGTTGTTCGCCTTGACGTGTGGACCCTTTCCTCGGACACATACCTCCGAAGTGAAGACCAAGATTCGAGAGGCGGAACAAGTGTTTATTCTGAGGACTACTTGTGGCCTTAAAGGTATAAAGCAAAGCGTTTCACCCCTTTCACTTTTATTTTATCTAGTGGACATGGTGTCCTCGATATCTCTCTTTGAAATGGTTCCTGCGAGGAAAACAACTTCCTCGACGAGGATATGAACAGCGAAGAGGGCGGTGGAAATAGGAGAAGAGGCCAGGAAATTAGGCAGTCCTTGGGCTTCTAAAAAGAATACTATAAATGGCAATCTGTTTGGCTGTTTTCATGTCGTAGGTACAGACAAGCATCTCTATAGATGTGAGTGCCAACTTTTGTCTACAATTAGTTTCACTTTAAGGACACTGATCATATTAGTACCCTGGGGGCACCTGTCCTTATGGAGGCTTTCATGCTTGTAGATGGCTTTTGCTACTGGATCAATCATCGAAGATTACTATTCTTCATCTTACACATCGTGAAGATATATTGGTGGCCATGATTATGAGGCAGAAAATCACCTGCGCGCTGACTAAGATCGTGCATCAACGAGAACAAGTCGACATGGGCAGCTCCAAGATAGAACCTGCATAGCTGGTAATGCAAACGGTAGAAAGCCAAGAAGGCTCCAGTCGAACTGTGTGTTTGGTTTGAGCTTTAAAACTTCCACTCTTTCCCGCACTGCTTGATACCTCAACACAATGTCGGACTCCTTCCCCGCAGCCTTGACAGGGCCAACGTCGAAGGAGCGCAAATATGACCGCCAGCTCCGTCTGTGGGCAGCAACTGGTCAGCAGGCATTGGAGGATTCCCGTGTGCTTCTGGTGAATTCCGATGGCCCGCTCGGCTACAACAACAGGGGCGTCTCTGGTGTTGCGGGCGTTGAAACGCTCAAGAACCTGGTACTGCCTGGCATTGGGGGCTTTACCATTGTTGATCCGGCAACTGTCACGGAGAGTGATCTCGGTGTGAACTTCTTCCTGGAAGAGGAGTCCTTGGGCAAATCCCGCGCTGAGGAAACATGTCGTCTGTTGAGAGAACTAAACCCAGATGTGCAGGGATACTTCTATTCTAAGGTATGTCTCTTGTCTAATCAAGGTAAGATACGGATGATTGACTCTCAATACAGAATATCACGGATCTTCTGCAAGACCCAGACTTTCTACCCCGACACAAGCTAGTGATTGTCTCTGGGCCAACCAAGCGCTCGTCCCTGGCACCTCTTTGCCATGTAGCCAAAGAACTGGGCATTCCAGTGCTCTATATACATTCAGTGGGATTTTTCTCCTCATTTTCGGTGCAACTGCCAGCCGAGTTCCCCATTGTTGAAACACACCCGGATCCAGAATCAACCCAAGACCTGCGTCTGCTAAACCCCTGGCCTGAGCTCGTCGCCGCGACAGCCAAACTGAGTGATCTTAATAGCCTGGATGACCACCAACATGGTCATGTGCCCTACATCCTTCTCCTGCTCCGCTTCCTGGAACAGTGGAAACAGTCTCATGACGGAAATGCGCCAGGCAATTACAAAGAAAAGACCGAGTTCAGAGAATTCGTGCGATCCCAAGCCCGGACTAGCAACCCTGAAGGTGGCGAAGAGAACTTTGATGAGGCAGCGGCCGCCGTGCTGAAGACCATCTCACCCTTCAGTCTGCGCAGTTCGATTCGCGAGATCTTCGATATGGATGAATGCAAGCAGCTATCACCAAAATCCCAAGATTTCTGGATCATCGCTTCAGCAATCAAAACCTTCTACGAGTCTCACGCCGTCCTCCCCCTGCCTGGCTCTCTTCCAGACATGAAAGCCCAGTCTGCAGACTACATCTCCCTCCAAAATATCTACAAGGCCAAGGCGCGCCAGGACGTCGAAGAAGTAACAGCAACAGTACGCCAACTCGAGTCGCAGCTCGGAAGACAAACCCCCGCAATTCTCGACCGCGAAATCGAAGTCTTCTGCAGAAATGCGGCACACATCAAGGTCGTGCGAGGCCGCTCCATCCCCCAAGTCAGCATCGACAGCGACATAGCAACATGGAAGACAATCCGGAACCAGCTGAGCATGCCGGATTCGCTAATGCCAGCGTTCATTGCGTGCCAGATCCTGGACTCGGTCGTCGATGAAATCCAGTCAAGTGGCCAAGAGGAGAGCCTATCAGTCGATGATTCTGGACTGTGGAATAGCCATACACAACGAATTTTGGCGTTGTTGAATGGTGCTAATGGGGACGGTATTGGCGAGGATGCGAAACAGCAAATCACTGATGCGATTCAGGAATTGCGACGTGCTGAGGGTGGTGAACTGCATAATATTTCTTCCTTGACGGGTGGCCTTGTTGCGCAGGAGGCGTTGAAGGTTTTGACTCGGCAGTATGTCCCGCTGGATAATACCTGCGTCTTTGATGGGGCACGCAGTCGCAGTGAGATGTACCGGCTGTGAAATGATGTTGACATTCTTATCTATGAATGGGTTAATTGCATTACATAGGCTACTTAGCGAATTCAAATCCCACAAGAGTTATGACACATGATCTATTTGTGGCCAACTGACCCCAAGGACTTGTGGATGCCCGACATGATTCCTAATCTTAACCCGACTGAGACAGTGTGATGTATTGTGAAGGACTGGATAAACAGCATTGCCTGGAGATCCTGAGGTCCTCGTAGTCCTCCAGGATCTCCAGGCAATGCTCCAGGATCCAGAACTTCGTAATAAAACATATGATCTCTTCTTTAGCTGCGAGGCCCATGACTACCCGGAGTCCGCGTAATTATATTCAGCTTGCGAAGAGTAAATGCAAGTCGTTACCTCGCATTATGGCGAATAAAGGGTTTCTTTCAAATTTAGTACTGGCGGTATCATTTCGAGAAAATGAACATCCGCCCTCAGCATGAGATACTGCTGCTGCTGCTGAATACTGAGAAAATTTGTTAGAATCTTTCGTGTCTTGGCCGATGTCTTGATAAAAGCCTCGGTTTAGTCGAAATCTAGATGTGACAGAAATCGAGGACTGTGTACTTCGGAATCTGATCTGAAAGATGGAAGCAAATATACGACAGGATGTCATATGAACGGCCGGTGATCGAAGAGGTAGATAGAAGACCAAGAGTTTAACAGGTTGTAAAGATAAGAGAGTCGGATTCACTTTGGAGGCAATCGTTTGACCTCTTTATAATAGGTGCCGAGACCTTGCAGGCCTCGAGATACTAAGACGCGATGTGAATAAGCGAGAAATTATGATCTGGACTGGACATCGTGATCTAGACTGGAAATTGTGATATACACTGCATTGTACGCGATATAATAATCTAATGGTGATTACTATGCATGGCTGCATTAGTTCGTAAATTTAACCAGGGACAGTAATCCCTGGTGGAGTATGTACACAAGCAATTACAGTAGATCTCTATGACTAGATCAAACTGAAATAAGCCCAAGGGCGGGATAGCCAATGCCCCTATGTTGGCCAAATTGGGATATCCCCAGAGGACCTCGGGAGTGGGCTAAATGTTTGGAAACCGTTTCCAACTCTCGACTGAACTACGTGGAGCACACGTGGTAAGTGCTGAATAAAACCAGCCCAGGTCTCAGGAGCAACTGGTTAGCAGTGGTTTCACGAGTCCGAATGCCAAGTTTCGAACGTAATATATAGCGATGGAACAGATAACCGTTCTCAATCAAGGAATATATCGAGCCCTTCCTTGGATCAACGTCTCTTCGGCTTGTTCGGACCACCAGGTCCCCGGCCTCCGCGCTTATTACCCTGAGGGCCACCCTTATTCTCGAACAACTTCTCCTTCCCGAATGCGGAATCAGCAATTCGCAAGTAGCTGACGACACCCTGGTCAACAACAGCCATGACGACATTACGGTACCCATGACGCAGTCGCATATACATCATGCGTTGCATCTTCTCTCCGTGTGGAGGATCAAGTGGTGTACTTTCAAGCAATGCACCGAGTTGAGGAAGGGTAGGCATGGTGGTTTGATCGCGAGTGCTGACTACAGCGACGCGGAAATCGGGAGCCGGAGGAGCGGACTTTTTGAAAGGAGTTGAGGGCTTATAGATGTGGAAGACGACGCGGAAAGGTGGTGTCGTATCTGAGGGCTTTGATGGGGGTGCGGTGACCGGGTCGTACCAAGGAATGATGGCTAGTTTTCGATATACATCCATGTAATGGCGGTGGATGCCAAAGCCAATGATAGGGCCGGTGGCTGTAGAGGCTGTCTTTTGAGGGTCGTGGATCCATTTAAACAGGGATCCTAGTATTCCTGCTAGACCGGGACCGTGAAGCTTTGGTGGAGAGGGCTCACTGGCAGGATCAGTGTCCTCTGTCGCCTCGACTTCATCAGGCCAACCAGGAGCTCGCACGAGTGCATAACCAAGACGCTTAAGACCAGTGTACACAGAGAAGCGCTCAAGCGTGAGCCCACCGTGTCCCACAAAGCATGCATATGCAGCCTGCAAGCTCATAGGAATGGAGACTGCTTCGGGATCAGACGTGCTAGGCCATCTGATATCTAGACTACCTCTCTCGAGCAGATATAATGCCTCCTCTGGTAATAGCCAGACACGATTCTTCCGGTCAGCCTGGCCCAATGTCTTGAAGAACTGTCCTTTAGGGTTAGGCACGAAAACACATGCATCGGAGGAGACATTAGCGGGTTTCGTTGCAGTCTTTGAGGCGTCTGTCGGGGGTTTCTTTTGGGTTGACTCCGAGGTCTTCTCGTCTTGTTTGGCTTGCTGTGTATCTTGCTGTGCATCTAGCTCGGCCTGGGCGGCATATCCCCCAGGCGCATAGTATCCTATGATCGTAGTCTTCGGACGATGTAGGCGTGGAAAAGAGAGCGCATTGTGCATGGCATCTCGCGACGCGGAGAGGACATCGGCCTGGTGTTCTGTCGGGTTGGGTTCGAAGTCTTTCTCTCCACGGCGGGGAATGCTGGGGGATGCGGCATCGGAGAGACTGCAAGAGAAACAGGGTCAGCAAGAGCAAAGACGGCCTTCAAGGCCAATGACAGTCGACATGGTCGCAATCAGGTAAGTTCGGGCGCGTACAAGTTTAGGTGGTTCAGGAAACGAAAGTCCTGCGTTTCGTCGGACAGGTCGACCTCGACCTGCCCAGTCGCAGGGGTCTGGACAACATCCTCATCTACATCGGCCATGGTGAGTCAAAAATGAGGCTGGGGTTCAAATATTGCGAAGTCAGAAATCGGAGGGGAGAAAAGTTGCTTATCGATAAGGACATCTCCAACTTCTCTAACAACAGCTAATGTTTGAACCTCGCTATTGAACGTTGCTATTATAGGATGCAATATTCATTGATATTTAGTTGCTGTTCTATGGCCAATACTGTCGTATTCTAGCAACAATTTTGCAACTTTATTCCAAACACGCAGTCTTTCTACTGTTTCTCCAACATCACAACTTGACTACCCAGATCGCCATCGAATGGGAATTGCAGACCAAGGTTCATCAAAGTGGCACCTGTATACGACGCATTACCATCAATCTTATAGGACGCCTTTGCATCCAAGCCTTGCAACCTGATACGCGGCCAGGAATGGTCGATGTTCGCACTTAGCTGGAAGACAAACAACACAGCCTGTTGACCATCTTCAGAGATGAACAAGACAGCAGGCCAGTTCGAGTCCTCCGGTAGATTCAATCGCCACATATCACCAGTCAATACAATGGGATTCACTTTCTCAGCCAAAGCAATGAGCCCCGGTAGAGCAGCCTTGTCATCGGCGGGCATCTCAGCCGGATCAAGCTCCAGACCAAAGGATCCACCCATCATCGCGACGTGTCCTCGGAATGCAACTGAAACCGTACGACCAGTTTGTTGGTTCGGAACGGCGGAGAGGTGAGCACCCATTGCGCTGGGCGGGTAGGCGAGTGAAGTACCAAGTTGGATGGTAATGCGCTGGACGGCGTCGGTGTCGTCCGATGTCCAAATCTGCGGGAAGTATTGCAAAACGCCTGGGTCGAAACGGCCACCACCTGAGGCACAGCCTTCCCAGAGGATGTCGGGGAACTTCGAGGTCAATGTGTCGAAGACATGGTACATGCCGAGCATGTAGGCGTGGTCGGTGGCCGGGGAAGGCATCTCGTGCATACCCCTGTTGTTGTCCCACTTGACGTAGGTGATATCAGCGCTGTTCAGAATGTCTGAGACCGACTTGATGATAAATTCTTGGACCTCCGGCAGCGCAAGGTTGAGCACCAGTTGGTTACGTCTCTCGGTCCGTGGGTAAGGCCCTGCATGCAAAACCCAGTCGGGGTGCTCATCGTACAGGGTCGAGTTGGGGTTGACCATTTCAGGCTCGACCCAGATACCAAAGCGCATGTTTGTTGACGAGTTCGCGGCCTTAAGCCCGGTGACGTTCTTCACCATCGGCTCGAGACCATTTGGAAACCGGTCTGGATTGGGTACCCAGTCACCCAGTCCTTGTTCGTCGGATGTTCGCGGGTATTTCTCTCCAAACCAGCCATCATCCAGGACGAACAACTTGGCGCCTACTTCGGCGGCCTCATTTGCCAAGTTGTAGATGCTAGTTTCGTTGTAGTCGAAGCTGAGTCCTTCCCAACTGTTGAGAAGAGCGGGGCGATCACTAGTGGCGAACTTGCTCTTGATGAGATGCTTGCGATACAAGCTGTGCAGGGAGCGCGACATGCCGCCAATTCCATCCTTGGAATACACCGAGACACACTCTGGAGAGGTGAGTGTCTCCCCGGGTGGGAGATTCCAAGAAAGATGACCAGGGTTGAAGCCAACTAAAGCGCGAGTGAAGCCCTGCGAGCCTTTCTCGACGTCGATTGAGAATGAGCCTGTGTACACCAACGAGAAACCCCATGCTTCGCCATGGGACTCCGTTGCTGAAGGCTCCACGAGCGCCAGGAATGGGTTATGAAGGTGAGAAGAGTAACCGGTGGCACTTCCAAAGCTTTGGATGCCGTACTCAACCTTTCGTCTCTCGCGGTGAGCCTCCCTTGCCCAATCTCCCCGAAGGCTAATCATCTCCAGATCCTCAAACGGCAAGTCCACGCTCAAACTAGCCAGAGTCTCGATAGTGATGTTTGCTGTTCCATGATTCGTGACATTGACACTGCGAACAATAGCATCATAATTGGGGAAAATTGAATATGACAAGTCGGCCGACACATCACTGTACTTGTCGTACAGATGAACGACCAATGTACTAACATCCTCTTTGGAGCCCATGGTAGCCGGCAATCCAGAAAGGGCAGGCTTCCCAGCAACGATCTTGTGAGATTTGTACTGCAAGTCGGAGACGGTATACCCTTCAGACTGGCGAATGCGAATAGCAGGAATCCGGAAATCCCCACGTCCCTGGTCTGGGAACTCGCGGCGCACACGACCTGGAGTCCCAACCCAACCGTTGACATCGCCAACAGTTTCTAGGGGAATATCGCCTGTGACCGAGCCACCGAAGTGATCACCGTAGAGATCACCCGTGGTGTTGTCCACATGGAAGCGATACGATACAGTTTTTCCATTGAGGGCAAACGAAGTACCGTCCGCCACGATAGCTGTAGAAGAAGTTAGCTCTGCGGAGTAATTGTATTTGAGGGGTAAGAAAAGGAGAACGAACGCTTGCTAGAAGCCTGAGCCATCACAGCCGGGAAATGCCCGAGCATAGCTACGAGGCCCGAGGCCATCGCAACACCCCTTGAAAAGCGAACCATCTGAGCTTATTCTTATTTGCGTTGTAGATGTACACTTCGCAAGAAGGAGAAGAAGGCACGAGAAGCATACCTTTTATATGTATCCCTTGCGGGAATTGCACCAACGGAAGTGGGTAATAGCTCGGAGTGTATAGAAGTCAATACTCATGCAGAAATTGCCATGAATGGGCGATACGTGGTAGAAAAGTGGAATTGTCAAGGTTTTGCTCAAACTAACGGAGCCCGACCTGCTGATCGCTAGCATGTTGAGCGATATATATGTTTTGTGGAGTTGTTGCGGGGATGCAAATGTGGAGGAAGCCCGGGGATACTCCGTTTCGACGGCTTTGGGGGCTTCTTATTGGTCTCGGGCGTCTCAATTCCGCTGCACTACGCTGTCCCGCAATTTTAGTTGGGTAGATGCGGTCAATTCTTGGCTAACACAGTGTTGTACGAGTCGGCAATTGTACGGACATTTGCTTATCCTTTTGGTTGGGATTGAGATTGGGTTTACGCAATTCAAGGTTGCGATGTTGGTAGCTTGCCTACTGAGATCACACCGGATGCACAAAAAGGTCCGACGTTCAATTTTCGATGTTTAGGGTGTCCGAGCAACCGGACAAGAAAGGCTGGGTCTCCTGTACACCGATGGCCACTGGAAGCTCATAAAAGCCACTAAACTGACAATCGGCCGAGACCAAGTATAACTATATATTTGGGGGGCTTGCTCAACGAGGGCGCTCATGGCCTTGATATCACCATCGAACCTGTGAAGACTTTACAAAATCAACGAAAAAGCTTGAATGTACTCCTTTTCAGTTAACCCTCTTAGCCACCACCTTCATATCAAACTTCTCATCATACTCGTCCCTGCCAACCGCTCTCAACAATAGCTCGCCATGAGCAGTAACCTCCCACCCAACAGTCATTTCTTCATCGTCGTCCCCACCATATTCGTTCTCATCGAACCAGTTCGACATATCATCTGCAACCTCAAATAGGTCGCGATGACGGCGACGGAAAAAGTCCATGGCGGCTGCGTTGGCCTTCTCGAGGGAAGTGTATGCGCCTTCAATGGTAAATGAAGGACCCCCTCCTGTATCCTTTGAATATGTCACAAGGAATATCCATGGCACTGGGTTTTCACGAGAGACATCCCGTTCTGACTGTCGGTGGTATGCTGTGTTGACTTGGTTTATCAAGGCTCGGGGGTATTCTCCAGGCTCATTTGGTTCAGTTGGCTCATCTAGGTCATTTGAGCTTTCATCCTCGCTTAAGTCGCTTAATTGACTCGAGCCCATGCTTGAACTCATAGTGTATGAAATTAAAGTGAGAGAAGTTGGAATGGGGGAAAAATTATGAGTGAATTGTGTGTCCAAGCTTGCCCCGCAGCATCTCTCACCGTCTCCGTTAGGGGAGGCTTCATTGAAGCCCGAACCTTGAGATTGAACATTTGAACCCTCATTGAAGCTTCTTAGCCTCTACACGAATAGAATAATGTTCCCCGAATTCGTCAGTGCCCTGCGCTTTTACTGAAACCTCTCCGTTGCTATTCACATCCCACGCAACCGTATCTTCTTCGCCTTCAATTTCAATACTCCCCTTGGAGTTTTTGTAGTACCAATTAGACATGTCCTCCTCAATCTCGAAGTATTCCGGATGATTTTCTCTGAATATTTCCAGTGCAGCTTTGTTGGCCTTTTCCAGGGAGCTATAGGCGCCTGAAATCGTCTCTCCTCCACCATATTTGTCTCCATTCCAACAGTCGTATAATACGAGGAACACATATGGCACTGGGTTTTCGGGGGAGATATCACGCTGTGATTTGGGTGATGTGCTGCTTTCACTCGGTCCAAGAGGGCTTGGGGGTAGGGAACTTGGCATCTTTGGCCTGGTGCACGCCCGGAGCTCATGTTGGTTGATGTGATGAATTCAATTGAGTATCGCGGCACATGAACTGAATTTGCATTTGAGAATTTTGGGGATCCCAAGAGAGGCTTGAAAGAACCGACGTGTAGTCCGTAATTTGAAGAGTGGGGGAATCGTGTGGATGTTTACGCGCTTTTCCTAGTCGCGTCCCATTGGCTACGTCAACCCATACATACAGATGTGTATATATCGTTAGTGCCACTGAAGTTCAATTTGGATAGTCTGTAGAATCCACGGCCCTCGATAAGATTGTCTCACGCACCTTCTTCGCTCCAGCTTTGCTTCTTGCTTTGACCTCTTTTGCCTAGCTTCAACTGGTCAACTTCAACTGGTCAACTTCAACTGGTAAAAGTAAAGTGATGATCCTAATGAGCAGCACTCTAGCTGTCCACGCATTTACGATATCTTCAGTACTTCCAGCGCATGTTTTTTTAGTGCGAATTTCCAAATCCGCGGAAATTCTGCAAGCTGCGCATTGCAAGGGACCCCGTCCAAATATTGATTCAGCTCAAGGTGTGAAGCTGCCAAACCCGCCAGTTCCTCCTTTTGCAAGAGCCATCAAGGCCCGTGAATGAACCATGGTGAGTTGTAATATGACGGATAGTAAAGACAAACTAAAAGTGTCTCATACTAGTCTGAGGAAGGAATGTTGGTGCCCAGCTTTCTTCTACTGGAGGATTTAGGGACTAAACCGTAGTCTCTTCTAATCTTGCGACATTTATTTCCCGCGATTCGAAAGTCTATTCAAAAACATACATGAAGTCACCTTGGGGAACTTTGGCAACAGGAAAACATGCATGGGTGACATCACAAGTTCGCGTCATCTCTGCATGACTATTCCAATGAATGTAGACGGGAAATAAGTGTATCTTTTTGTCCCGTTTATGAGTATGACTCCAATCCATAGCATAACCTGTTATAGAAGTATAGGAAGATCTCATGTCTCTTAAGCATGGAGTTGCGGGGTGGAAATGCGGAGGAGACGCGGTTAAACGGCTGCGGTTTTCAACCTCTCTTATTGGCGACGAATGCCCAATCCCGCCTTCACATTACACCCCATCCTGGCTCTTTTCTTAGTTTCCCGGTAAAAGACGTGCATATCTACGTCGAGATCTATTAACATACAATGAGACTGGCAAAGGCTTGTTCAATCTGCCGGTAAGCAGTCCATTTCATCCGCCACATATGCCCTAATTACAACTGTGTAGCGAACGTCGGCGGAAATGCGACATTCCAGCTCCTGGTCACTCTTGTACATATTGTTCTGCCCGAAGCCTTGTATGTACCCGAAAGTCTACTTCGGTGACTAAAACTGGGACATCAACACCAGAACAAATAAGCCATGCAGCCCCAAACAGTACCGACCAATGCACCTTACCTGATCAATCTCTCTGCGCCGAGCTAGTGCAACTCTATTTCGAGTATGTGCATGATAAGTTTCATTCGCTTTTCCATCGGCCAAGTTTGATGGAGGATCTGCATAATGGCCAGGCGCCTGATATTTTGTTGTATGGGATGCTTGCATTGTCTGCACGGTATGTCTTGCCTCAATTTCTCACGGTGGTTGCTAATTGAGCCAGGTTCTCGGAACACCCTTCATTTGCGGAAATAGACCCTCGAGAAAGAGGGAAGGTTTATGCCAAACGGTGTGAACAATTGCTGGACTTGAACGACGTCTCTTTGACAACAATCCAAGTATGTGTCTTGCTAGGTGCCATTGCTGTCGTAGATGGTAAACCGGCCTCGGAAACCATTTATTACGCAGTTGCATGCCGCATCGCGCAGCTGCTCGATCTTCCGAATTGCCCTGCTTCAAACCGCGTAGAGCAGGAAGTTTACACGAGAGGTGCCTATATTATATTTTCAGTTTTCAGCAACGTACTGACCTAAGCCAGTTTGGTGGACGTTATGCATGATAGACGTTTGGTCTTCAACCGGAGTCCGACTCCCTCGCCTGATGATCCCACAACCCAACATACCTTTACCAATGAATGAAGCCACATTTCTACACATGACCAGGCATCAGGGATTTGCCATCAAAGTTGAAGAAGATCGCTCGTCATCATTACTAGCACAAATGGTCCGGCTCAACCGTATTTTAGCTCAAATCAACGATTTCAACATTCAAGCCGCCGAGAGCAAGATCGAAACACCGGACGCCATCTCTACCATTGAGACCCTCTCCTCAAGGCTTGATGAATGGATTACCCTTCTACCGAGCGATATGCAAGACACACGCGAGAACCTCCTACACTACGCATCCCAAGGACTCGGCCAACTCTTCGTCACTTTATACCTAGGCTACTATCACTACGGTCAGATGCTTTTCTACCGCTTTCTACACGAAGACTCGCGATCTTTCTCGCCACGCACACACTTCTACGCAAATCAATGCAAAGACCACGCCGTTAAGTTATGTGAAATGATATACAGTTCGGAGGATGTACCCGGCTGCGCTGTGCTATATAACATGGTCGGCCACGTGCTTGTGATAGCTTCGACGGTACAAATCCACACTCTGCTTTTCGAGGTCGACAACGAAAGTATCACTCTTGCAAGGGGAAAACTCGAGAGAAACTTTTGTATTCTTACGCGACTTCGGAAATTATGGCCTACGCTTGATGTTTGCATGGAGCGGTTACAGGCTTTTCATCGTGCTTGCAGGCGTTCGGTTGATACGAGCTTTTGTATGGATGAGTGGATGGTTAGATTCTTGGTTGAGTTTGCGAATCCGATTAGTGATAAAGATGGAAGTGCAGGTGGAATTGAGGAGAGACCTTGGGGATTGGAGGAGATGGGAATTTCGTGACTAGGAGGATGTGATCTTAAGGGCTACTTTGCTGGTAGCTGATATATTAAGAGACTTCAATAGTCAAAGACACAGGTCCTGCTATGTCAGGCTGTGTCGTATACAAATCCATCAAGCTCCTCAAATGCCTTGTCAAAATCATCGTTAACGATAATCTTATCATAAGCATCCTCTGAATCAGCATATTCCATTTCAATTTTAGCTTGAGCCAGTCTTTTCTCAACATCACGGTCGCTCTCAGTGCCACGATTTCTTAGTCGCTCTTCAAGGGCCTGCAGACTGGGCGGTCTAATAAAGATATACCGCGCCTCGAAGCTAGGATTCTCCTTCATCTGCTGGACACCATGCATCTCAATATCGAGCACGACAATCAATCCCTTCGCCGTCTGATTTTCAATAGTCAATTTGCTCGTGCCATAGTGGTGGCCGCTAAAAAAGGTATGTTCGACGAAGGCATTCTCAGCGATGAGCGACTTGAACTCGGCCTCGGAGACGAAGTAGTATGCTATGCCTTCCACTTCGCCCGGTCGCGGGCTTCGTGTTGTGTGAGAGACAGCCAATGCAAAGGTTTCCGGGTGTGTGTTGAAAAGCTTTTGGATCAGGGTTCCTTTCCCGACCCCCGATGGCCCTGAAATGACGATGGGTCGACGATCTTGAGGTGCTGTTGAAAGACAGCGTTAGTGTATATTTTTGCTCGTCATCTCACATATGAAACATACAGGACGACATTGCTGAGAGGGGCTATGAAGGTACTCTAGTTGGTCAGCCTTAACTGTGGTGGAAAGAGGCTTTGAGTCAGAGTTCAGGTATGAGACATTCTATGCAGGGGTATGTCACATACACGCATGGTGAGCTCACAGTGATCCAAGCAAGTCGAGGAAATCAATCAATATGTCTTGTTTACTGTATAAAATAACAAAACCTAGTGAATCTTTTATTTGACAGCCCTAGTAAATAATGCTCCTGCCTAAGGCGCAAATTCCATTCCCCACAAAAGCGAGTCCCATCAACATCGAAATATTAGCACATTTCCAGCAAGCCTCTATCCTTTCGAGAGAGCATCACATCTCAATGAATACTACTGCCCAGCATGCCGTAAACTACAATGACACTCTACGCAAAGTACATTATACCCCGCACCAAGGAAACAGACATAAAACTTACGAAGATCCAGATATCCAACAGCCTAGAGAATGCCCTTGACACATTCGGTCCGTCCTCCAGGCAATATCAAACCATCCTAGGCATGCTAAAGGAATGCCTCCACGATATCGAGAATGAGCGCCACGTTCAAAACAATGCTCAGGTGGTTGATGCCGACATGCTGAGTCTCGCTATGGGATTCCTCGACATCGGAAAATAGCGATCACTTCTCTGTGGATTTTTCCTTTGCTTCTGATGCTTAATACCCTAATTCTTTATGTTTCTATGTTTTTCTGTGCGATAGATCTTCTTGGCAGCTTGTATATGACAAAATCGCCCCTTTTGCGCTGGACAATGATATCTCGAATCGGATTTTATATCTCTAACTCTATCTCATAACCTCCCCTTGACAAGGAACAGCCGAACTACGCCAGTGTCAGATATATCACAGCCATCAGTCCAAGACTTATGCATAGTATTGAAAATAATTCATAATTCCATGTATTGACATGTCTCGTATCAGCTGTCAGGATGAATGGCCGGACGTTTTCGTCGGCAAAGTCAAAGCAGTACCAAGGACATGAATCCAGGCAGGAATTGATAAGAAGTAAAGTTTGACCAGTTCAGTCTCACAAGTCCAAACCCCCAAATAATAGGCAGCCCAAACACCCCATTTTGCCCAAGACAAATGAACAGCCGGTTTTCGGGAATGCCATGCAATAAACTCCATCTATGTAATCGTAAGATATGTCATGATATAGGGTGGTTACTATGTGTAGCCATTCGCCTCGATGTGATAGCTATTTGCTGGAGACCCTGACACCCCGTTTGTGGTATCACCAACGCAGACAATCCAGCTGTTGGTTGCCGATGCGGGTCGAGACGGGGGAGGATATTAAATATTTCTTTCACTGTTCCTGAGATTCAAGAGTGATATCGTCCAGTTCAGTCGATTAACGGTTTCTTCTGGTTGCCGACGATGGCGACTCCTAGATGGCTTAGGGCGTTGTGGTCGTTTGGTCGAACGATTGCGGGGAGGGGGAGCATGGGGTTGTCTGGGTTGACGTGGGCGGCGTCTCGGGCAGCTTGCTCGATTGCTTCCATTTCTTCTTTGCAGCCGGCGTGGTCGAGGGGACAGACTACAATTGGTTGTCGTATTGTGATGTCTCTTGCGGAGGTAAGGTGGGCCTGTTGATGTCAGTCTTTGGTGAACATGAAAATAAGGTAATGGGGGACGAACGCGAACAGTGAGATAGTACTCGATCTTATATAGACTTGCAGTGGTTGTGAAGCCGCTCACCCCGTATGTCGGAAATGCCGTCCTACTTCGTGGTAGAATTCCCTCTGCATCGCGGAGATCCTTGGCGGGAAACACCAATCCGAGGTTTGTGAGATATCCTGACTGAGGTAATTTGACACCAATGTTTTCCGTCTTCTTGGCCAACACTTTGACTTTCCGTTGGGGTTCGTCGCCTTCGTGATTGAAGATGATCTCTTCGTCGATTCCAATAGTGATCTTACTAATTGTCACTTTGCGAGCTTTGCCCATCCAGCTCTCGTTTGGTGATAGTTTGACATAGACACTGACAGGGTCGAGGGGACCATACGACCAGCGAGGTAATGAAATGGCCAAGGTGACCAAATGATCTGATACCCGTTCCGCGGACTCAGGGCGATTGTACATGCCGAACGTGGAGAGTGTGTCGTAGCGTGCGATGGGAACCGGGAAGGTATATTTGCGTTGCTCTTGTTGTCCTTGTTGGACCATGACTACCATCTCATAGTACGTTTCGGCAGTGCGACTAGGGAGTTGTACACTGGCTGGGGGTACGCGCCTGGAGGCATCGCGGCCACCACGACCAAAAGGAATAAAGAGCACAAAGGGTAAATCCATAGATATTACTTCCTCGTATTCTCTGCCAGCCGGACATCGGAACAGAAGCATCTCCTTGCCTACGATATCCGTGATCTCTTTCCGCGGAGGAGCCAGGCGCTTCTTTGTGAGGGAGTCGGCTGAAGGGTGAATGGTCTCGCGGCGGAGGAGGGAAATTGTGACGAGTGAAACGTTGACAGGGGCGGTAATGCCGACACAGGGTCGAATCTCGACTTTACCTTCGACTCGAGGCTTGAATACGTCAGTCAATGGCCGTTGAACAGGGGGGTTGAACACCTCGCGAGGTTGTAGTACAGGGCGCTTACCATCGTCGCAGATATGCCCGGATATCCGATCAGGAAGTTGCCATTTGCCGGGCCTGAAACGCGCACGAAGGCGGCCATCTCGATCAAGTTGTGCCTGTCGCACCATCGGCGTGCGGCGGGTGGTCGTGTTGTGGGGTATTTGCGAATCGGCCGGGGGAACCTTTCGCGCGGTTCATAGGGATTTCGAGAGGTTGGAAGATAACGTCAGGTGTAGAGGGAGTGTGAGGGTGTGTGAGGTGAGTGACGCTGGGAAGCTGGGAAGCTGAGCTCGCAGGTTGGTGGGGAAGGGTTGAACTCCCGACTTGGAGCCTCAGTGTAGATCGACCATGGAACTTGTATCTACTGTAGATGTAGTAGATATTACTATATAGTTGATTCTATAGTGATTTGAGTATATCACCAAATGTCTCTATGTCTATGTCTTATGTCTCACGCCCAATTTCCAACCGATGTCATCATCGTCATCTTACATGAACTGTAGATCACGAACACGGCGCTTAACAGTTCGCTAAACAAATCCACAGTTGTAACAGCTAACCCACCAATTCCAATAGGTATTTTCAATAAAATATAATATGTATACATAGTCTACAGTATGGTCCCCTGAACCCAAATACCAGGCAAGCTTTGGTTGCCAGTGCAACAGAATGACGCTTTTCTCCACCATTCCCTCCACATCACTTCACCACCCACCACTACACGCCTAGAACCCGCATCTCTGTTCCATACAGCTACAGCACAACCACAAAATGCCTCCTCGTCGTCGTGCGGGAAACACCACCTCAGCGCAATCGACGCTGTCCTTCGGCAACCGGTCCCGAGTCACCAAGCCAGTCACCAAGCCAACCGACAAAGCGAAGGTCCTCGACTCAACACCCCCTCTCTCTCAGAAATCGACTTCCGCCACCCCCGAGCCGCAAAATGTATCCGTCAGCCCTGTCGAGCCCTCCAAGCCCCACGTTGCAGAGCTAGCCGTCCGCCCGCAGCCAACAGTTGAAACACCAGCGCCCTGGTCGGAGGAGGATAAGCGGGCCTTGAAGTTGACCAAGCAAGATATCTGGCGGTACTGGCGGGCTCAGGAGGAGAGTCGCAAGGCACCTCGGAGTAAGTTGCTTTGCCACTGAGGAGTACTGAGGGAGTCACCAGAATGCGAGACTAACTTGTTCCGATAGTTCACCAGCAAGGCATAGATGTGGAGGAGAAGGTCCTTCGCCATTTTGATCTGTCCAGCCAATATGGGGTACGTACTATTTGCTCTTTCTATAGACCCGACTTGTCTAGGCATCATATCTAACGTCTTGTCCCTAGCCATGCGTTGGGATTGCTCGTGTCAACCGTTGGAGACGCGCAAACACGTTGAAGCTTAACCCGCCTATTGAAGTCCTAGCTGTCATCCTCAAGGGCAAGGATACCAAGGAACGGGCGTACATCGATGAACTGCTGTCATGAGGACAGGGAGACTTTACTTGGGTACTTTACATGGGTCCGGAGTTTGGGGAATGTACGATATTAATGAGAAATGAACATTTGGAGCATCCCAGCACTTTGACAACTTCTAACACTTGAATTTCAATTGCAACTGATAGTCACGTGTAAGATATGGAGGCTTCTTTTGCGTCACCTTGCAATTCCTGGACTTCTCTCCTTGCTTGTGAATCCTCCACCGGGGTAGAATAGTCTTCCGTTTTACTCTTCGATTGAGATAGACAGAAGACCAATGGAAGACAACAAGGACTCACTTGCGTATGATTGAGTCCCTGGACCCTGGACACGCCGATCCCAATTACCAGGAGCCAGCAAGTGACAGGCCGTTGATCCAATCGATCACCGAAGCATACTATATTTATCTCATCGATATTGGATCAAGGGAATGTTTAACGCCAACTCATTTCGGCTCGGACTCTGAACATCTTCGAGGCCGTGCTTGATACCGCCCCGGATTCACACGGCTTGGAGACTCCGCCCCCGCAATCTTGGAGAAATCATCGTTTTGTCTCTCGACTTGGTCGTTCTTGTTATGCAACTGCAGAGGCTTCGCTTCGATTGACTTCCACGGTTCACAGACAAATTCGGAAGGGCCCTAGACAAGGGCTTTGCAGCCTTCCGACGCCTCCACAGTCATCATTTGCCTCTGATCGCCCATTGACCAGAATGAAGTCTAAGCCTAATGCAGATGTACCCCCGTCCAGGTCTATGCGCTCTTTCCCTGGAAACTCGAAAGTGGCTCGACGCCTCTTTGCCAAATCCTTCCAGCCCTCAAGGACATTTGTGCCATGTGATAGCCTTGACCCACGCTCCAAAAGCGAAGCTGCAGACTTGTCCCGCTAAAATGTCTCACTTTTGGTCGGTTACGGGAGACCCCGCCTGTCCCACTGTGTCTTCGGGGATACAGTGCAGGCATCCATGGCAGGTGTGCATCGTACAATCTACCCTGTGGAAGTCAGCGATCCTCATATGCAGGTACGGCCTTCCAAGACTCACCTTTGGGTAGCTGTGGTTCGGGTATCTCGCTAGTCCATGGATTCCCCGGGCTATATCGAATGGTCATCAGTCCGGTCGAATTCTGAAATCGCGGAGTTTCCTTTCAGAATTATTTCCGCTCAGCGAATTGAGACCCACGAGGTCTACAGCATCAGCATGTCCTTGTGGTTCACATGGTTCCTGACCAGTTCCAAGTCTAAAATGTCCACCTCCTGAGTTTGGGCCCTTGATCCTTCGCTTTAATTTATCTAACAGCGCTGTGCTACCCCAATATTAACCGTATTAACTGAATAAATTAAAATATACGGATTGTCGGACCACATCCCAATCGGGATAGTCTGATGCTACGTTCCCTCGGGCCCTGCCGGGATCCAGTCTTTCCCCGGATTTTCCTCTGCTTCTCGACATCTGTCTCACATTACCATATTGCCACCCTCTATGCTCCCTGGACTCGCGGTAATTGACGCACAGCATCATTGTATTTTTACTCCACACCGCACGATGGCTTGAATCCTGCTTTTCAACCAATCTCCTTGCGTACGTTACTTCCTGCAGTGGGTATCCTGCACAACCCACATATGTGCTACACAACCACTGCCCTATCATCATGTCCCTCGAGGGCAAGGGTCTGGGCTGGGATGGTGGAAATTCAACCCCAATGTCTCCAGCCGGCCGTCTGACTAGCTCCGAGTGAGTAGTGCACCACAGATGGACATTGCCACCGGCCCAGCCTTTCTTAGACTGTTTTGTCGAACCTGTCTAGTCCTATCTTGGCAACGCGGGCATACGTACTCCGTACGAGGGCAACAGCATGAGCTAGCCATTTGTTCTCCCTTATTTGGCTGCGGGAACAGGATCCGGCGTCAACCGTCACTCTTGGCCGTGCAATGAGCGTCCAGGACCCCGGCTCAGTGGTAATTACGGATCTGACTCAACCGCGGTCTTGTCCTAGCTTTTGGTCGAAGGACTCTCCCATTAAGCATGCGGAGACATGTGATGGGGCCACCCATGAACGCTTGGTGCAACCCTGAAAGGGGTTACCCCAATCGTGGAGTATCAGACACAGGCACAGGCAAAGCTTATAAAAGGCCTTTCCCATCCTCTATGTCCGGATCTCTCTTCTTCTCGACAACCCATCGCATTCGCTCAACTTGACTGTCGTTTCCAGCACGCTTTTAGAATTATAATCCGGACTTTGTCTTCTATATCTTCAAGATGCAGTTCTCCCACGCTCTCATTGCCCTCGTTGCTGCCACTCTGGCCAACGCTCAGCTGCCCAACGTCCCCGCCTGCTCGGTATGAATTATCACCACAGCACAGACACACATCAAAGAATGCCGACTAACAATCACTCTAGCTGAACTGCTTCGTCACTGCCCTGACCACCGATGGTTGCTCCGAGCTGACCGACTTCGCCTGCCACTGCCAGAAGACCTCTCTGGTCGGCACCATCACCCCCTGTGTGCAGAAGGCCTGTGAGGTCTCGGACCAGATCTGTATGTCGACTTCCCCTCCCAGTCCACCCAATGACCCAACCCACTAACCCACCCTAGCCGTCTCCAACGCCGTTGTTGAGCAGTGCTCTTCCGCTGGCCACCCCATCGTGGTCCCTCCCATCGAGACCACCTCGGCCTCCAGCAGCGCCTCCGCCTCCGCCAGCGAGACCACCTCCAGCTCCGCCCCGGCTGAGACCAGCGCCACCGCCACTGCCACCGCCAGCGGCAGCTCCAGCGCCTCCGAGTCCTCCTCTGCTACCGGCTCTGCCACCGCTAGCTCCAGCTCCGGCTCTGGCGCCAGCTCCAGCGGCGCTGCTTCTTCCACCCCTCTGGCTACCAAGACTGGCTCTGCCTCTGCCTCCGCCAGCTCCCCTATCTACACTGGCGCTGCTGCCAATGTCAAGGGCAACATGGCCGGTGTCGCTGTCCTCGCCGCTGCTGCCGCCTACGTCCTGTAATTTTATCTATACCTAATTTGACCCTGTTCTTGGTCTTTGTGGATCGGCTATCGGCTTTATTGGCTGATTGGATTTGGACTTCTGGATTTGCTTTCCAGATTCTGGGTTTCGGTCTGTGGAGGCTGGAATGGTGTATATCCCTGTATAGTTGCCACGCTTAATACAATCTATGTTGTGCGATGATTTTGATATTGACTTTGATATTGATTTCCATTATATTTATGCGGGCTGCGTAGCTTTACGCAACTGATACAGGATTACTTGAACTATTCTCAGCTGAGGGTGTAGTGGTTTCCATACAACCAGAAACTTAGCTCACCGCATTGTATACTCATCTCTGAAAGCGATGGTTCCTTGCCGTGACAAGCATTTTTGGTCGAGCGACTGGCATTCAATTCATTCGATAGCCCAATAATCATAGAAAATGTTGTTCTTGTGATGTTTATCAGATCACATACATCTACATGAGGTAACTTGTATGGCTGGACAATGATATCAACAAGCATTTGGTATTCGACCTCTAGTCCTATCTCTCTAGACCGAGAAGTCAGCTCCAAGGCTCACCACACAATCCAATATAAATAGACCGTAAATGCCTACCATTCCCTGATCTATATAAACAATGACCTATCCCTTTTCGCTTACGTATATAATGCAACAACTAGTAAAATGAAAATATAATAAAAAAAATCCCCTTTTCGTACCTGGGTTAGCTCTTTACAGCTTACAATTACATACTGGCTTGTCTGATTTGTTATCAATAGAGTCAGTAGTGATATGCCGAGAAGACATTACTGCGTATTCATCGGGTCCAGACTCCCATTTCGAAAAGGGCTACCAAGGTATCTCTCAAAAATCTTCCAGCCATCAGCAGTCATCCTCAGCCTATCAATTATAGTCCCAAGCCACCATGTCGATGGCAGACCGTCATCTCTGACAACGTCTGCACCACTAACAGCTGCCACATCATCACCCTTCCAACCATACCTGATGAGGCATTCCTGATATCGGACCATGACCCCTCCCTCCCCATCACGGTCGACAACATGGTTTGTGGCGCTGCGGCAGACTCCTGGAATGAAGAATTCATAAAAGTTCTCAAGGAAAAGCTTCATCTGCTCAAAACCACGGATAGTGCCATGGCTGTGGTAGATGACAGCATCCGGAAGAAAAGTTCCCATCATCTTTGAATGATTGAATTCCTCGAACACGAAATTGTGGCGGTTGACGAAGTCGATTGCAGTGGTTCTTTCGTCGGTGGTCACGTCGCGTTTAGTGGAACTGTTGATTGGTGGAAAGCGCTCGTCGACAATTAGTGAAGACATGAGGATAATCAATTCGAGATGGAAACTGTATAACTTGCTATTATAGATTCCTTCTGGTCTTCCCTCGGTATTTATATATATCCCCAAATAGAGTTTCCAGTAATGACGCTTTCAATTTATTGATGATTCATTTGTCAACTTTCATTGTCAGTTCCGAGGAAACAAGCACACTATCAGGCAGTGGATGAATAATAATATCATTAGCAGAAGCTGGAATAAAGCATTGGTCCAGTGTGGTATCCAAGCAGCATTCAATTACTTCCAGGGCTCGATGATCAAGAGCTGAAGTATATGCTGGATGCCTGCAGGTCTTGCCTAGGGGGATTGAATTGTTTGGTTTTGTATTCTTTTCCTCAAGAAGATGATGGCAGAGCTTTTGGTCTTGTTGTATAGATATTGATGAGAATTTTGAAAATTGATACCCAGTGACATAGCGTCAGCTCGGCAGTCTAGTACAGTGAGCTAGATTGCTCATGTGCGCTAATTAAAGTCATAATGATAGACTGACGCCAATGATTTAGCGTCTAGAGGGCTAAGCCACATGATACTCAGGGAGCAATTTCATTCTTTAAAACTTGAAGGGCGTGATCAGTTTTATCCAGTAAGAAGCGGCAAGGGTGAGCATTAAAACGGAAAGGGTAGGATATCTCGTGCGGCCTGATATCCGATGTATATGTTACAGCCAGTAAACGCCGACCCTTCAAAGATAAAAAATGATAAGGCGCCGTGGCATATGAAATTGATATTTCACGGGACCCATAGACGCATGAATCCCCCAACTTCCTGACGGCAGGTCACACAGCTGCCAAAGTTGTTCATCGCAAGACTAACGCGGCAGTCTTCGCAAATGCAGAGACAGCGACAGGGCCAGGTGATGATAGCTCGGGGGCTAGTTTGGCAGACCACACAAGGAGGGCCATTAGGACCAAGACCTGTTGCACCAGACTCCCAAGACGAAGCATCCGCGTTAGATGAAGTCTCCGCGCGACGGGAGAGGATGAGTTTTTCCAGAATCTCGGATTCTTCATCGGCGGTGGGCTTCCGCCCATTGGACCCGGAGTCCATGGCATTCAGCTGATGCAGACGAGACGAGAAAATGATTTTGGATTTCTCCCGTTCAATTTCTTTCTGGTAGCGGCTGCGGGTCATGATCCGGGGACTGTCCTGGTTGGGTTTGAGATGCGCGGCTAGGATGCGGGCTTCTTCTCTGCTTTCCCGGTCACGGGGATCGAGAAGACGGGCGAGGGTGCTCATGTCAAGAAGAGGGTCTTGGAGCGGGACGGATCGTGCCCTGTCTGCGTATGGTTCACGTTGGGTGGGAGTTCGACGTCCGTCGTCAGATGGATAGTCCTCCCATTCCGATTCGGAGGCATTGGTCGACATGGACACCATGCTGGTAGTGTCAAAGTCATCGTCGGCTGTGGGTTGGTAGTCTGAGCTGTGGTCTTGGTTACCCCAGGCACCGCCGGATCTCCACCAGCCGTACAACCTGTCGTCTAACCAGCCTTCATCCAGTCCCGATCGCTCCATTCGATTTGTCCGCTCTCGCTTTCTCATCTCTAGCTCAACATCGAAGTCACCGTTCTCGGGAAGTCGGATTTCTCCATCATCAGAGAGGATCCAGAAGTTTAACGTGCGAGATCCGCCGGGCTTGTCAGTCTCGGCCTTTTGTTGACGGTGTTCAATCAGGCGTTTCAGCCACATTGGACGAGCAGTGAATCCCAGTCGGTCAAGCACCGTGCTAAGTCCGAATGCAGCCCAGCGCAGGACGAGCAACGAAATAGCACGGAAGAACGAAGCGACGTGCCACAGGCGAATGGATACGCGCACTGCTCCAACTCCACCAAGCTCGGCCTGGGAGCGAACGGCGCGAGAACCATTCTTTTGTTTCTCAATCTTCTTTTCACGGCCGTAGCCACTCTCCCAAGTGGGAGGTTCTTGTGGAAGATCAAAGCTTGCAAAGCCCAGAGCCTCGATCGGCCGAGTGTTAGATTCACTTTGCCAATTTCCATACGAAGAATACTTCTTTCGAGAAGCTTCGATCTCAGCGAGTCGATCCTCTTCCAGCCAAGTCATGCGCCGCGCGATGACTGCTTTCCCTTCGTTCAAGAAGACGGCTTCGCTCGCAGCGGTGAGAGCGACATAGCCGATCCGAAGCAATGTCGTATAGAAATCCTCGTGTCTATTAACGCGAATGCTGCGGATCTGGTTGGATCCTTGCATATTTTCATGGGCGAGCATGAACCGCTCACGGAATGAGACCGGCTGTTCATACTCTGGATGCAACGAGAAAGCGGTGATGGTAAGCGCAATTCCATAAATTGTGACACAGATAACGATGCCAAGCAGTACAAGTATGTGAGGAATGAACCCGACAATGCACACAGTTGGGAATTTCAGAACGCCAGTTTCAATGCTGATGGGCGGACCGCCTTCTAAACCCCATAACATGGCTGTCATGAAGCATGCACCCCAAAAGGCAGTATTGAGCAGTCGGTATCTGCTCTGCTTCCCGGCAACGTCTAGGAGATGGGATGTAAGGCTGTTACAGCACGATATCAATGCGATGAGTAACAATTCAGGCGTGACATTCATGCGTTCCAAGACTTGCGATCTTGTGAGCATTTGAAGGACCGAGGCTGACGCTTCACCAGATGAACCAGCACTGAGAGGACTTTGTTTTGGAAGACCAAACATGCCCAGTCCGATCGATTTGCTGATCATCGACTCGGCTTCGGCGAATGCAAGCGAATGCTCAAAAATAGACATTCCCGTCTCAGTCATCACAGGCTTTCCTTGCAATGCGCATGACAGAGTTTCGGCAAAATGGCTCCCGCAAAGAAGCAAAAACGTCGGCCACAAGAGGGAAAAGGACCCATATGGAATCGGCGATGAGGTGCCTGCACGGCCCATTTTCACAGCGCTGCAGGACTGCTCGACCGACTCCCATCCCAGAAGCTTGGAACTGAACGAATAAAGAGCGCCCCCATCACTGGAATAGTCGAATATGAGTTGCTTTCCCGGCTTGCCGTATCGAAATGTAGAAAAGTCGGGCGATGTTTGGCACCTAATTCCGCGGAGCAGACTCAGGATTTGGAACACGAAGAGAAGAATAGGGATTAAACGGAGAGCCAGGCGTCTTTCCCAGCCCAGTCGAAGGTGTCGCCGAGTGGATGCATAGATTGTGATGCGGTTGAGAATAAGTGCCTGGATCGATTAGCATCATACACTTCCAACGGTGACAGTCCAAACCTACCTCCACCAAACACGCGAATGACCATAGACTGGTCAGATACCCAAAGAAGCCGCCAACTTTCTTGACAGCACTCAAGAACTCAGCAATGTAGTAGCCGCCTTCCTGGCCTACTCCTCCCGCAGTCCCATCTCCAGCCATATTCGCGGCCGCGTTGGCTGCCGTTGCCACTGCGTCACCGGCTCCGATAGTCGGGTCTGCTCCGCTCCAAAAGCCATAGCCTAGGGCGTTCATTCCGGAAAATCTGGCGAGCGTTTGAGGAACCGTCCGGAGGGCAAAGGTCTCGGCGTGTTGGAAGGCGCGAAGGGGGAAGTGAGGATCTGGAGTGGCAATGACGACAATGATGAACCTTCTGGCAAAGTTGTGGATTCGAAATGCTGCAACAAAGGTGCACTAGACGTGCTGGCCATCGTAGAGGTCTCCACGATCCCAGACATTGTGAGCGTGGGATGTGACCCTTATCGCTGATCCGGGGGAGATGCAATCAATGCAGAAGGCCGCCAGTGCATCCGGAAGGCGTGGGCTCACGCAAATGGATGCTTTAATACAGGGTTATTGAAACAAGACCGGAGACTACAGAGAGCATCGCTCATGTGAACTGCATCCCGTAGACCGTTATGGTAAGAGCGGACTTTACGGCACTTGGTCTGGCACTGGGGGCATTCCGGGGGCTGAGTCAGCGCCGAGGCTCCGGCGGGGGCAGTCAATGCCGCATGCCGTACTTGGCAGGTTGGAGGTAATTGCTGTGCTATCGACTTGTTAATTAAAGGGATTGATATTGAAGAAGACAGTTAGGTTACGTATTTGCCACTGTTGTGCAATAAGGCAGTTATCACGTTATATACGAGGCCCTATGCTTCGTACTGGCAGCCCTGAGTGGCCAAACAATATTATATCCATCAAAATACGCGATATGTTCCCCTTCATGAAAAACCAAGATCAGTGGTAGGCTGGAAAAGGTACAATCTTTGGGATATTTCTTCTACCATCCGTTTTAGACGTTTCGACCATAGAGCTAAGGGCCGAACGCATATGCTTAGATGGGGCGGGATTTTCTCCCAGAGGATACTCCGTATGGATAGCGCCTTAGAGAAACGAAGAGAAACGAAGAGAAACAAGAAACAAGAAACAAGAAACAAGAAACAAGAAACAAGAAACAGGTTTCAATGTGGTCAATACCCTGCATTCCATAGAATACATGTCCGGCATAATGCCATAGTGAACCTGCTTTGAGCCAGTCCGAAACTCCTAATGGTATCTTTGTAAATGAAACGCCGTAGATCGTTGCGCCGTTAATAATTGCAGGACTGATAGGAACCGAACCGAGAATACTTGAAGCCCTAGACAGCGATAACATTGAGAGACCGAAGGGCATGGTACCACATACACCTCAAGTATCCAAGTAATCAGCAGCCATCAACAGCTCCAGGCACAATTCAGGCGGGATATCCATGTCCGGAACGTTAGTCTGGTCCTTGTGCTTATCATTGTAGCAAAAGTATTCGCAGACTTTTTCGAGGACGACACCACTGCAGAGAAGAAAATCGGGTTAGCATTGATCAAGGCGAGTAAAAATAAAATAAGAGTCATACGTCATATCATCCAGCACACATCGGCCAGAGATTCCCTCGGAGAATTTGCCTGTGGATGGTTAGTGAAGCCCGAGTACCGGATCCCGAATCTACGTACTGGAGGGGTGCAGCATGCGGCGGATAGTGCCGGAAACACAAGCTGTGCTGCGGGGAAGAATAAATTCAAACCCATCACAGGACACCAGAGTCACATATTCCGACTGTGAGGAATCCATGGTGAAGTTCGTAGTTGCAGGAAGTTGGTCGTGGTGGAGAGCGGAAGCCATTTTGACCTCCGTGAGGTGGTCCGTGCTGAAGCTGCGTGATTTGATATTGAGACAGTTTAATGTCTTCTTTTACTTTAGTCAACAGCATATGATGCAAATATGAACAACTTGGAAGTACCAAGGACCTTTTTGCGAGGGAAAGTCTCGTTTATCTGCATTTCACCCGGACAAATATATTCGCACAGCACTGGAAGCGTCAGTCAACAAGCACGACGTCATATCCATCCCAGATCAACCAAGCGACTATTCTCGTCGTCTCGAACAAACCATAGTAATAGCAATGTCCAGTTCCAGCCTGCAAACCGGTTGCTGGGTCGAACATGCATGATCACAGGTGGGACATCGGGCATCGGATTCGCTATCGCCGAAAGATTCCTACAGGAAGGGGCATCCTCGATTGTCCTGGTGGGAAGATCTCAAACACGTCTCCGAGAAGCAGCCACCAGACTAACCTCCTTAACTGGTACATCGGCTGGTCTTGATGAAAGCAACGGCATAGTTGCAACACGCGCCCCAGAGGAGGACATCCAGCAAAGCACGCCAGAAAAGATCCGTCTTCTTGTTGGAGATGTTTCAGAAGCAGGATCATGGATGCGGGAACTCGAGAAGGAAATGGTATGCGTATTTCATATCGGATTACATTGCAGATATCTAACCCACAACCCAATCCAGGCAAATGTAGACATCCTAGTCAACGCAGCCGGAATCTCCATTTCAAACATCTTGCCCAGGTCCGAGCTGGAGGATATCTCCAAGACATTGCGCACAAACCTCGAAGGCGCAATGATCACCTCGCGAGCGTTAATGCGCGCCTTGATTCGCAACCGGATCCGCAATCGAAATGATCCAGCTGCCGGGAACAGACTTTCAAAGTGCATTATTAACGTTTCCTCGTTGCTAGCCATCAAGGGTGGAACTGGTGCGGTCCCATATGCGGCCTCTAAGGCTGGTTTGTTGGGCTTGACTCGGTCTTTGGCTGTTGAGGCGTCGGCTTCATTAAAGGATATTGTGATTCGGTCGAATGCGATTGTGCCGGGTTATATTGAAACTCCCATGATTGCAGGTATGTTGGTGCTATTCTTGTTTCTTTGGGAGCTTGCTTATGTTGATGTAGATTTCACACCTGGAGAAATGAGCAGGCTGAAGGATCTCATTCCTCTTCATCGATTTGGAGATCCGCGCGAGATTGCCGATGCTGCTGTTTTCTTGGCGCAGAATGAATATGCGAATAATTGTGTGCTTAATATCGATGGTGGTTTGAGTGCTGTTTAGCTGGATAAAACTACTACAAATGCTAAAATGTACTTTTATGAAACGTCTGCAGCCCGGTACACTGTAGGAAAAGCGCTACCCATGCCAACAACTCATGGTTCATCCAAAATGTATTCCTGTCCGTATCTAAACTTGTTCGCCAGAAGGAAATCTTGGACACTGCTTTTTTTGCAATTCAAAGAAATTTCGCCTTTATGCCATATGGTACAGGGTGTCCGACGGAAAATAAAAAAGAAAATCGTAAGAGCACGAATGAGAAGACCCCGCAATAAGACCCGGGAGACCAAAGACAAACCACGGTCTGCATTGCGAGATCAGACGGAGAGTTGTCTTGCGGCATTTAATCATCGATCAAGATGGCCCCCTCCTCGTCGTCATCAAGGACGATAGGTCCGTTGCTATCCATGCCAGGCACGAAACCACTAGCAACGCGTTTGGAATTGTGCTCGTTGGTCAAGTCACTTGAACCCTCTCTCTTGCGCTTTCCAGTCACAGTCTCACCATTGGTAGATGCTGCGGATTCGGAACTTCGTTGCGCTACCGTCTGAGGCTCGGCTTGCAGGGGAATATCGATCATTTCCTGCAGCTTTGCAGGCTTGCTATCCTTGACCTCCACGGTATCATCGGGAGAGGGTTTGGATCTGAGCGCCAATTAGCGGATAAACCATGGGAGATGGTTGTTGGGGAAACCTACTTTTCAAGGATGATGATCTCGATGTCGACACGCGCGTCTTCCTCACTATTATCCGTCACCTTGAGGAAGGAATTCTGTCCGATGCCCCAATGCGAAAGCTTCTTCTCCAAGTTGTCCTCTAATTCACTGCTCTCGTAGATCTCTTCAGTGCCATGGTAAATGGAGAGGTCCTTATAACCCAGCTCCATTCGAAGAACGCCTTCCACTAGATCATTCACAGTTGCCACTTCGGGGTCAGCTTCCACTCGGACCTGAAGCAACGAACAGACGGGGCAATTGGGATTTGGGGGATTCAAAGACTCCGAATTGATGGCGCGAGCACCGGATCTCTCTAGGAACACCTTTCAACACGTATTGTTAGCTTGGGGTGGTAGTAAGAGGGAGTTAGGAGTCTTACTGTCTTGGCATGCGCCATATCCTGCTGCAGTACCTTGAATGACTGAAGCACACAGAGTCCAGCCGTCATCGCATTTGTGGTAGCAATGGCCGGGATAATGTTGCCCGCCATTTCTGCAATACTTTTCAGCTATGGCCACACCGATGAGACTAACGTAGGATGAACTCACGCTTGATATCGAATTTGGATTTCGTTTCGATGTGGAAGATAATGGCACGGAGATTCGCTGTCGCCGCAACAAAGTCCAAGGTATCCACATCATCTTTGTCGAATGTCAAAAACGGGGCCTGGCCTCCAGTTGCCTCAGCCCGTAGTTCCTTGAGGCGATTGCTCAGCCGATTGAAGCTGCAATGCGAGTTAGTCTCCGCGTGATGCTGGGGATCAGATTGGATTCCTACCTATCCTGGAAAACAGCGAAGTTTTCCTCAATGGTCCATGCTTCTTGGTCTTTCGTAGCAATGGCAGGATCAATGGACGAGAGCGTCTGGTCGAGGGTATCAAAGTCAAGCAACTGGGGTTTCTGACGTGTCTTCCACATATCCTTCATGGTTCTCAGACGTTCGATATCCTTGCCAAAGACCTTTTGGAAAACCTTTCGGTATCCTTCGTCGGTTCCCAGTGCTTCTCGAAGCTCCCGCATGTCGAATGCCTCCTTGCGCAGTTCCGCAATCTCGGTTGCTAGATTGACATCAGTGTGATTCTGGATGTGTAAGATCATATTGAACAAACCATTGTCCGCGTTTTCATCATTTTGGATGTCTGCAGCTTCGTCTTCACTATTGCCGAACAGCTCTCTTTACACTAGTCAGTATCCACAATAGGTGGGTAGGCACATCATTCTTACGGTAGAAGCCAGCTCTTCGCCCAGACAATGCAATGAATCGGCTGAGAGGGTGTGCTGCGAATGGTACAAATGGCAAACGTCTTCGGTACTTCTTTCGGGGTACAGTCATAGCACTCCGTTTCACCCTAGTGTATTCTGCAGTCAGTAACGTCCAGATCTGCTAGTTAATGCGTGCAAATCTTGCGCACCTTCCGGATCACCTGAACCTGCCCATTGAAACCTGTAGTTCCACTCTCAATGAGGGGCACTCCAGCCGCGAGACACATACGGTTGACATGGCGCCGCGCGGCGAGATTGTCTAGCGCATTGAAAACGACCGTGAAGCTTTGAAACCATGCGTGACTGAATTGCTTATCCATGATATTGTCGTGGTAGGCCTCGAGCTTGGCGTCAGGTCGGAACTTTTGCGCAACTTCCTTCGCGACCTAAATGACAATTCCATATGTCAGTAAGCCGTTCTCGTTATCACTGGAGCCTCCACTTCATGCGAATACGCGGCGCGGGATTCCGGTGGGTTTGCAAGGGAGCGGCGCGATCACGCGGGGAGGGTCGATAGGACGTACCAAAGCCTTGGATTTCTTGATATGCTCATGACGGAAGAGAAACTGTCGGTTTAGGTTGCTCAAATCGATTGTATCCAGATCGACGATGTGGATCTCGCCAAACCCGGTCAGGACGAGGTTTTTGAGCAGCTCACAGCCGATCCCGCCAGCGCCGACGAGCAAGACACGAGACTAGAGGGAAGAAGGAAATGTCAGCAGGTAATCGCGAGAGTGCGCAGTATTAACGAGTAATGCGCGCCAGGGCTGTCCATACCGTCTTGACCTTAGTGGTCAGGTCCGCCCCGAGAGACCGCTTCACGGAGCTGTCCCGCATGATGGAGCAAAAGAGGGTCGTGATCAAAGTCTGGTGTCTAATTGATCAATAGAACATGTCGCGTTGCGAAGGAGAAATCGAAAAAAGGCAGGTGGCAAGGTGAGAGAGGTGACAAGGTCACGGCAGCAAGTGAAGGAAGAAGATGGAAAAGAAGCGCTGGAGAACCGGAAACGTTGTGAGGCTGATGACGGCACGAATCTGGGGAAACCACCACGATGCAATTCTTCTTCTCTACTACTACTACTACTACTACTACTTCTTCTCCTTTCCACTCTCGGACTATCAATATCGCTAAGCGGAAATTGACTGTGAAGTTGCGATTGTCATCGTATTCCTGGCCTACCAATCTCCGACATCTTGCATTTACCATTCCTGTTCCAGAAGGTCAACCATAACACTCTTATATGCAACTCTGGTCCTCTAAACTGAAGCCTTGGATATGGTTATTTGTCTCACGGTTACAGTGTTCCTATCCATGTCTGCATAGTGAACTAGCATAACGTTACTTTATACTTGCATGATCTACAATACTTAGCTCTAGCATCGCCAAATGAACCTGTACCGCATCCGAGATACTTTCTTCCAAACGAAGCAGTATACCCTAACTATCAAACCATTTACTATCCACGTATAGAACATATAAGGGCCAGTTCCGAGTGGCCATTACCCCTGCTTACATAATCTTGACTCTATCCAAAGGCCATCGGGTCGAATTTTCGGTGTGGCGAGAGAACACTTGGAAAGATCACTCGAGGGATTTCTTGATCAATAGACCCTACGTTCGGTTCTATTTCCGAACTACGTCCAAGGGCTCAACCAAGTCATCCGGGGTGGACAGGATATCTACCCTGATTGCGTGGTTGACTCACCGCAGAATCCCCTGAATTGATATAAAGGGGATACTTCGATCATTTGCATCTATCCACCCACATCTCAATTGTTTCAGACTCACTAGAAGTGACACATCATGCCTTCAAGAGATCCGATCCCAGCTCAAAAAAACGAGCAGGTGGAAGTGAACTCCGATGATGAAGCAGACCCCGAGCTGGTAGAGCTCCTCCGCCAGCATCTCGGACTAGGCAGCGGGCAAGCCAAGAATGCACCACCAGAGACTAGGGTGTTGGAGGGTGCGCAGTATGTCTTTGACAATGCCATTGATGTGGCAGTGAGCCGCGAATTTACCAAGGAAGCTGCCGAAAGGATATGGCGTTTGATGCAGAAGAAAGAGTACTCCACACAGACTTGGTCAGAGCATGAATTACACCCGCAGATTAAGGATGAGAGTACTGTTGAGTTCATCTTTACAATGGACCTGTTGAATTTTAGTTTCTGGTCTGATGAGGAAGAGGAGCCTAAGCGTTTCTGCGTTGAGTATCGTGGCAAGGTCTGGACGGGATACTGGAGTCTCGTTGCTATTTTGCAGAGAGCTTTGGATGAAGGTTAGTTCACGGAGGCCATTTAGTGATAGAAGAAGGTCTAACTGAGAACTCGCAGGTATCCCAATTACAACCCCTGACTTCTGGGTGGATGAAGGGAAATGTACCGAGGAACTGCTTCGACATGTTTTCCGGTCAGCAACAGATGAAGAGATTCCTATGTTCAAGGAACGTGTGCAGTGCCTGCGCGAAGCAGGTGAAGTTCTTTGTGATGTATGGCTTCAACTACAAGTTTCTCCAAGACGATATACTGATTATAGTATAGGAATTCGGAGGCAGCTTCGCAAACTGCGTCGACAGCGCCAACTTCTCGGCCGCAGGACTAGTAAATCTCCTAACAGAAAACTTCTCCTGTTTCCGCGACGAGGCAATCTTCCACGGAAAGAGAGTACGTCTCTACAAGCGTGCGCAGATCTTAGTTGCCGATCTCTGGGCCTGCTTCAACGGCAAAGATTTCGGTGAATTCCACGATATCGATAAGATCACCATGTTCGCAGGTAAGCTGCTTCATCTATATGATCTCCTCTTACAGGTGAACCTAACATATACACCAGACTACCGCATCCCCCAGATGCTCCACCAACTAAACTGCATTCGCTACGCCCCCAAGCTAGACAGCCACATCCGTGACCGGAAACCCATCGAGCCAGGCTCAAACTGGGAGATTGAGCTCCGAGGAACGAGTATTTGGTGTGTGGAGTTGATCAAGCGGGAGATTGAAAGACGACACCCCGAGGTCAAAATGAGCGGCAAAAGGCCGCCTACTAAGAACCTTCCTGCACCGAGTGAAGATAAAGTTAATGAGAACGACGAAACGGAAGAAAAAGCCGTCGCTGAGAGTGCGCAGCGCAAGACTTATGGCATTAATGCCATCCTCATCGATTTCTTCTTGTATGATACGATGAAGAGCCTGGAGGCGGAGAACAATGAGACCATCCCTCACCACCGGACGAGGAGCATTTGGTATTGAGTATTGGGATAGAGCACCTTGGATTTTTGGCGCATTTGGCGCATGGATTCGGGTTGCACATTTTGCATTGTGACTTGCAATATTTTGGTTGCTCTGGGAGCGACAGTATTTAGATACAGGACATAGACATTGGGGTGGTCTGGACTGGCTAGAACAGGACGAAGTAATTTTGCTGATTATGGGATTCATAGGAATTCTAAAAGCATATTTGGATTCATATCTTAGGGTATCAGTGAAACGAACAGCATGCACCTCCTTCATAATCAAACAATCTTGGGTAATATACATGTAATCAAGCAGCAGCACCTTGGATGCGAGCCATGATATCCGCCTTCCACTCTACAAAATCCTCCTGGCGGTCATCGCTCAACCAGTCGACACGGTCTTGCATCATTGTGCCGAGGCCAGGCAAAAGGCCACCTCGCGGAGCAGAGTCAGACTTCGAACGAGCCCCTTCGCCAGCAGTTGAACGCTTTGGCAGCTTGACACCTCTAAGTGCAGCATCTTCCTCGTCAATATCCTGATAGGAATGGCCTTCCTCGTCGTCGCCAAACAGCTGGCCAGCATAGGGAATGTTCTCAAACCATTCCTGGCCATTTGCCCACCCTTGCTCCATGATCAGAGCAATCCATTGGTCAACATCATCGCGGTGTCTGCGGTCATTAGCCTTGAGTCCAAGACTGTTCAATGCTGTCTGACGCATTTCAATGAATGTTTTCTTGTCCATTTTCTGTGCTTCGACATCTTGTTCTCCATCAGGCCCGGGGTTACGGCGACGAGCTAGGACAATGAAGTAAACAGCAACAGTCATGGCATAGACCAGTTCTTTGAAGTCATCATCTTTCTCAGAGGCCCGGATGGACACAATGGGCTCCAGGAAGTCCAATGTCTCCTTGTCCCATCCCTCTTCATCAATAGACATGCTCGATGTCTGATAGAGAATGGAGGAGACGCCAGAGAAGATATGTGGAGGCAAAGTTCTTGAGATAGGCGGCCGTGACCATGAGTTTGTACGCGGTGCAGGAGTCGACAGAATCTTGCATACGGTCCGAATGGCGGTCATAACCCAGGCCGGGGCATCTGGGATGCTAGTTGACCCAGTAAGATCCATGGGCCGGGATGTTGAAGACTTCTTCGCCAACTTCGAGGGACTGGCGAGGTTATCCGCCGTACTCATACTTCTCTTCAGTGGGGTGGACTTCGAAGGTGAGTGCTGGAGCACTCGAGGTGTCGGTGCTACCATCTTTGTTGGGCTGTTCCTAGCCGCCGTCCCCTTCGTTGGTGTCGTCTGTGTCGAGCCAGCACGGGATGGTGTTCCCGGTGCTGAACCACTTGCTGAGCGCTTGAGACCAGCTGAGCTGGCCGTTAGAGATCGGTCGAGATATGTATAAAGCTTCTTGTAGATGCGTGGGGGACACGGCGCATGTCCCAATAGTGGAGGGAGTTTGAGGGTTCTACTCAATCTATAGATATGAAAGGAAAGCAATTAGTACCCAATGAGCGAACGTAGAATAGGTGAGCTCGAAATACCTTCTGCAAGCAATTTCCGCACAAGCATAGGGCCGTGCGATTTCCTCCTCGGGCTTCAAGCTGCTCGAAAAGCTCCGAGACTGCGCGACTAGAGACATTGCATAGCTCAGAAGCTCCTGCGGAAGGTCATTGGCATGTGTCGGCACCAATGTGCCAAGGGCCTGCTCGACCGGCCGATTGTTCATTGTTCGTTGTCGGATGATGAGCGGGATGTGTTTCGGCGCTATCAGTGCGTGAGGAGGGGCAAGGTACGAATAAGTAGTGGTCTATCGTATGCTGGAAGGTTTGGAGCTATCGAACGTCCTGAGGGGCCAATTTGCATGAATTGAAGGGATCAAACTGACAATAAACATCAGCGCCTGCCCGGCGCATCGATAAGAACATGCTGACTCAGCACCATATCGGCCGGGGATCTCGACGCCGCATCTGATCAACTTTCTTTCTCACCCACGCTAAAGTTGCTCAATTCCCTCAAAGATGTCTGTCACTGTAAGTTTGCAAATAATCCGCAACTGCGCATGATTTAATTCCCTCTTGTCCTTGTCATAGCGCTGACCAACTTTCATAGTTGCATACAACCCAAGGCGACTTGAAGGTCGAGCTTTTCTGCGAAGCTGTCCCCCAAACCGCAGAGAACTTCCTTGCCCTTTGCGCGTGCGGCGCATACAACAACACACCGTTCCATCGCTTGATCCCGGGATTCATGATTCAAGGCGGAGACATCTCCCTCGGCCCAGCCGCGAAACAACAAGACTCCACCAAGCCCATGCTCGACTTCGAGATTCCCAAAGGCGGCACATCCATCTATCACCCAACAGCGTTGAACCAAGAAATCCACCTTCCTTCACTACGCCACAACGCACGGGGCATCTTGTCCATGGCATCTCGCCCGGTGAAAGATGGAACAGCGCCAGGATCCCAGGGCGCGACGGGCGCCACGATTAACGGAAGCCAATTCTTCATTTCATTCGTGCCAGCTCCTCACCTGGATGGGGCCAGCACTGTGTTTGGAAAAGTGTTGAACTTGAGCCCGCAGGATGAGGGCGGTGATGTTCTCACGAAGCTCGAGAAGGCACATGTTAAAGTTGATAAGAAGGGCAAGGTCTCCCAGCCTAAGGAGGGTGAAGACTTTGAAGAGTTTCGGATCAACCGCGTTACGATCCATGCCAATCCGTTTGCGAAGTGAGCATTTAGACGCAATACGTGGGCGGCCATTAAGGCTATATGGGTCTCAAAGTTCAAGGCCAGGCCCATGAGCTGCGATGTGGATGGACATAGATCCCCGTCTTCAAGTTTGGACCGCTCCGATATTCCTTTTCGTGCAGACGGTGAACACACTCGGCACTCGGCCCTACAGCCATTTTGCCTCCCGGCGTCATCTCTAGTAGCTCTCCAGGACAGCTTTACCCGACACCCTATAATATCGCAAGACATGGGCCGTTATACAAGAACTCCTGCTCCTGGGTATACTGAAGTGACTTTTCTACCCTCTCTCACATGAGCAGAACCCCGGAACAAGTGCTGTCCACAGAGGCCAGTGCAGTGATAAAATCTACAATTATCACGAGGATAACTGGAATGACATTTAATAGCGTTCAGAATTTTTATATTTATTCTTGGACTGATACCATGAAGAACCAACAACATACGGTATTTCGGTAGCGTCGCTAAGTCGAAGCCTCATTTTGGCAATCTCAACAAGCAGCTTCTATCAATTTGAATTGTGGATAGACCACCATAAAAAGGAAAAGTCCGAAAGTCTATCACACGAAGGCCACAATCATCAAGTCATCAAAAACACCTGGGGCCCTCAAATATGCCAAGTCTATTCCAAAACTCAAGATGTAAACGAGAAGATGCAGAGGGTATTGGAAGAGGTTTCGCCGCGAGGAAGTAGAACCGCGAGATCGATTGTGCCCTGCACCGCAACTTACTTTCATTGAGTGATTCTTGAAATATTGTGGAGACACCAATATACACATATACATGTGCACTAGTACAGCACGGAGTAGAAGACGGCAGAAACGCGGGCTACTAAATCGCATGAGCCCTCGAATGCATGTCATCAAGACGGTCCCCACCAACATGATCACATCACAACAGGTTCCAGGCGCCACTCAAGTTGGTAGGCCACTATGTATAAACCGGCAAACCGGCAGCGACTTGGCTAGCTGGGTCTGTGGCCCCCAGACCGGCAGCTCTAAATCACTTGCATATCGGTGGGGGCGTCCCGCTTGGCCCTAAACTACATTGTACAAGGGGCCCCAGCCATGCACATCATTAATCGGCCCCCGGGAGGTACTTGAACCCCCAAGATCAACGCACAGAGTCTGTTTCACATTACATATAGTTACAGCCTTGCCTGCGGATACATGTATATATGGCCAGCATAGACGTAGTCGATTAGCGATAATGTCAATATCCCGCTTCATGCATCCGAGATCAGCGAGGGATATCCCTGACTGTACCTCATTAGATGCATTCTTGGGGCAACATGTAGTATTCTAGGCAGCTCTGAACTTACTAATTACGACCGAGGTAGAGAATAAAAAAGTAAAAAACTTTTTTAACGTAGCGCACCCGGGAACTATCACCTGATATCTAAACATTCAAAGCACAGAAGCACATGTCGCAGACGCCGTTATGCAAAGAATCCCAAATAGGAAAAAGCGTCTCATGTATCATGAAGTGGATATAAATCATCATCGAAAGGAAGGAAACCATACAAGGTGTGGTATCTTCGTTTACTCCTCCTTCTTCTCCTCGTCCTGCTCATAGCCCTCAGTCTTCATATCAGTTAGACCGAGGTCGTCTTCCTCCTCAGCAGTACGAGTGTACTCCTCGATGGTGATCTGGGGGTCGACAGCTGGCGAGCACAGATCCTGGACATAGCTGTTGGCCATGGGGTCCTCAAGAGTGATGACGAACTTCAGGTTGCCCTTGATGGCCTGGTCGAGACGGTCGAAGAAGCGCTCCCACTTCACCTTGTCGTCGGAAGGCATGGAGTCTCCACCGCCGTTGACGGTGTCCATCACGTTACCCTCTAGTTGGTCCTTCACCTCGGTCAGAATACCCTCGACAGTCGTGAAACGACCACCTAGAGTGCCGGGCTCAACGGAAAGATCCAGCTCTTCACTGCGGAGTGCGCAAGTGTCAGACTTGAGGATATCACGGGAGAGATCAACAATGCTGTTGACCTGGAGAGTGATGCGTCTGCCCTTCTCGGGGACTTCACCGCCAGTCTTGACATCACTGCTTCGGAAAGCGCAGTGAGAACAGTGGGTGGCGAAAATCATAACGTCCTTGAAATGGGGAATGAAGATCTTTTTGATCCGAACTAATGAGAAGAGATATTTAGTAAATGTGATTATGAAAAGAGACGCAATGTGATGCTCACCTTCACAGGGCTTGGTGCAGCCGGGGCATTCAGCGGGCAAAGTGTAGACCTGACCGTCGACAATGTCGAGATCATCCGGGTTTCCGGCGTCCATTTCGGAGGTTTCAGCGGCCACTGCGTTCGCATCGTTGGAGATACCGAGCTCTTCGTTCTGTTCGTGGGTACGGGGGTATTCCTGGCGCTTGTACTTGAGGCCACGATCGGAGGTGTTGGGCGCGATCCACGAATTGCCGGTGGGATCATCCAGCGAGACGGTGAAAGGGAAAGCATCGTCGCGATCCAGGATCTTCTTGAGGCGTGCAATGATGGGAACAAGGGCATCATGTAGTTCCGGGGCTTGCTCCTTGCGAAGCTCCTGCTCTCCTGACAATCCTTCGTGGATTTGCTATTAAACTCAAGTTAGAAGATATCAAAGACTGAAACACGGGACATACGAACCTGAATGACACCCTCCACGTTGGTCAACTGGCCCTTGCCACGAGGCAATTCGATGTCGTTGGTGATGTGTACAGTGAAGGTGGAGAAGTCGCTGCGGACAACCTGACGAGAGAGATCCTGCTCATTCTCAACAACCAGGGTGTACTTGGAGCCGCGCTGCTGAATCTCACCAGCCGACTTGATGCTGTTGTCGGAGAAATTGCAATGTTCGCAACTGAAGCTCTCGAGCTATGCGCGTATCAGTATGCGCGATCCGGTCGACGACAGTGTTTAGACTCACAATGCAGTCGCTAATGTAGGGAATCCTGATCAGCAGAAGGCGGGTAATTCCCTGCATAAGTTAGTAGGAGAAACTGGCTGGGATCGCGGAAGGCAACGCACGTTCTTATGGCAGTTCATGCAGAGACTCTCAACCTGCATGAGGCCGGTGTCATCGTCGCGCTCGACGAGATCGCCAGGCTTTTGGAATTGCGACTCAAATTGCGCCTCAAGAGCATCGTTATCAGACTTGTCGACCATTATGATATTTGGGATAGTGAAAATTGAAAGAAAGTGAGAGGTCAACAAATGTGGTGAAACAGAATATTCTTATCGCAAAAAAATTATCGGAGTCACGGGAAGATTCCTTCTTGTTCTGCGCGGGGCTTATGCGGAGGGGCAGATGCAGCTGACAAATGGGCATTATTATGTAATCTCGGGTTTTATTTTTATGACGTAGCTATATCTAGCTATATCTGGCATATATTGGGGATCTCTAGTCATCCTTCACTTGCTGAGTAGTTAGCAGTGTCTCAGAGCATACGGATAGTGGGGTCACTTATAAGAAGAAAAAAGGGGCCGCTTCAACCACCGCGGCGGAGAAAACGGCAGTTCGCCAGCTATCACCGGCCCAGAAACATTCTGCTCCCATAGTTCAATAGAACCGACATTGACACGAGACCCAACCTCGAAGACCATAGAGAAGTTCCGTGACAGTCAAGAGAAGTACTGACTTCCCATTCGTCGCTTATCAGTTCACTCCAATCACACAACAACAGCGAGCCTCACCCGGGAACATGTAGCAGCAGAAGAACATCATGGACAAGCCAAAGCTTTGAGCCTCACTCAAGAGAGGTCCCACGACACTCACTGCATGGCGCATACACATCGGAACCGACCAAGGACACCACCATCGTGGAAATTGAAAGATGGGCTGATATGATGAAACGTTCGAAGGATACAAACCAAACATTCTCCGACTGGAACAACTGCGATCAATCCAGTGAAAAGAAAAGCATCAAATGCAGGCGCTAAATGGGTGTTGAGGAATGACTGATAACAGGAAAAAGCCAAACGAACGGAGCCCACAAACCCACGAATACCCACGCATCTCTCACAAAAGACAAAGAGAACTGGGCAACGGAACAATAAAATCAGCTAGAGTCCACCCAACGCCATTCATTTCCACAATCTCAGTCGACTCGCTATCACTTTCACCATTACCGTCGCAAGAACATGAAGTCGACTCTCTCGTGTGTGGTACAGTACCCTTTGGGACAGGTTTTTGTTTCCTCTCCTAGGTGACCCGAAGGCGTGATAGGAGGGCATGTTGTGAAGCGGACAAAAAACATCCTGAAAAACCGCTTCCTTCTTCCCCGAGGGAAGGAACAACGGTGAGTTGTTGGAGTCGGCGCCCATCAATCTATTTGCAAACTGCTTCACAAAGAGATGGTTGACACGATCGGTCGAGATCTTCTGACGAAGACGAATCTTGCGGTTGCTGTGATTCGTGGTGCCTAGCCGCCTTGAGGCGAAGGGAAAAACAGTACCTAGAGGTGGAACACGGGGGCAAGATTCCCAGGAATCTTGAGACGGGAAACATGCGCAGGAACAGACAGTTGATGCAAGCAGAATCGCAGAAAGAAATGCGTGGCGAACAAGTCCGAAAAACACCAAACTTTCTTGGGGAGAAACTTTGCCAACTGGAACAGACAACAGTCCGATTTTGATGTGCTCCTTTCAGATCAACATCAAAGAGTCATAGGCATCATAAAAGAATGACCTCGCTACAACCTTAACTATGAAAGACACCTGGGTGGGTTTCAGGGAGATGAAAGTTGATTCCGACGAGTGGATCATTTTGATATGCCTGACACTATGACTGTGTGTAAGGACGAGTTGTGTTCTAGGCGCTGAATCTCTGATCCAATCTAGTTGATGCCCCAGGAATTCGAGCCTTGAACGTCGCATTCAGTCGCTATCCGTTTGAGCTGTCGTGGTTGTTCCTCAGGGTGACATCTGATACCGAAGTACCCGACATGTTTCGCCCGTGTTCTCTCCGGGTTGAACTGCAATCCGAGGCATAGGTGACCATCCATTGGTGACCGGCATACAGCGTCCAGCATTGGTAAACTGACGCGTAGTCTCTGCGAGCTTGAACGCATAGTAAACCGTCTTTCGTGCCCGGAGGCTCTGGACAAATCGAATCTCTTTCGCTTAATCGGACCATCACAGTCTGTTTCAGCTAATCGTAATATCCGGCATGCGCATTCCGTGAAACTTTGTCCGTGGGGACATTGAACCGAGGAGGGCTTAGGGTTTGACTCCAATATCTTCTGCCCTGAAGCTATCCGAGTCGCCAAATACGAAACTGATGCAACAGGTCGCCATTAAAGGCAGTAGGTGAGAATCGGAGATCAGGAAGGGTATTCTTGTACATGGATGCCTTGGGAGGCAAGAGAGTTGAGGGACTTCACATTCAGGAAACAGTAGTGGTGTAGTTTAGGCGCGTCTAAACCGAGTGGGTCCAATGAATGTCGAAGATAGAGTAGGAGTCATCATATTTGAGATATTGCGAGTCGCTGTTCAGATGGCCTGTTGGAGAGGTGTTGAATGGGTGGTTGTCAACAAAGGCCGACTTCGTTGACGCGCTATCGACGCGGCGATTGGGCATGCGTGAAGGGCGGTCACGGACGGACACGTGCATCATGTGACTTTGATTGTGATGGTCTGCTTATATCATCAGCACAAAAATGCCAAGACTTTCCGTTGATCGCCTCTTGATTATTCGTTCAGTTCGTGAGATATCAAGAACCAGTAAGTCTATGGATATTTGGATTTCAAAATGATTCTATCCTGCTGCCATTCATAATGGGGGATCTGCAGAAAATTCGGGATGCGTTTGGCCTCGCCAACGACTTCCTAATCCCGGTACTTGATCGAGGTATGCTATTGATGATAATCACCACATGCGTGATCCAGAGCCTAACATCTCATAAGAGCAAATACGAAAGACTCAGGGAACCTCATTGCTCGGTATCCTGAGCCAGACGTCAGGGGATGATGCTGCGAATGACGATGTGGCGAGACCGGCCATCATCGGAAAGGCCTTGGATATCTTGGCCGGTATTCATGCATCCTTTGCTTCCTCTGACGGTGGAGATCCATCTCAACAACTCGCTACAGAAGGCGAAGATATGGCCATGGAAGACGCCAAGCGACGCCGGATGCTGCATGCACTACTAGACTTGATCTCTTTGGAAGGGATATATCCCTCGCTTTCATCTGGCGTTGGGATCCCTCTTCAACAGCGAGTGATGTCAGTTCTACCAGCCGGGGTCATTGCAAAGCAAGTCGAGACCGTTGCTAGCAGTGTACCCCGCAACGTGACTCTCTTACGCCGGATCATAGACGTCTTGGTGGATATTATTTTTGATTCGAGGCCAAGCATTCAGCCGGTAATTCGCGGTCGTATCCTCAGCGACATCATCAGCGGCACCTCCGATCTTGCCTTCAACCCGCATTCCACACCGTCATATGACAAGGGCATCTATCGAAACTCATTGGCCAAGATCATCGAAGATACTCCTACTACAGTCTTGCTACCCACTCTGTCTAATTTCCTTCAAACTGACATCACGCAATGGTTCAAGACAACCATTTCTGGTCAGATCTCGCACGTTCCATTACGACCAGGTGGAGTAGTGCAAACCATCATGTTCGTCGCTTCGCAATTTGCACCATCGTTGGGCCAAGAGGCCCAGGACCAATCCAGCGGGCCTCATTTGACGGTGCAAGCGATCATGCAAATTTCGCGGCTCCTGTCTTCTGTGCCCCACGATGTTGATTCGGTTGTGTATTTTGAGAAGATTGCCCCGCAACTACTTGCCTTGATTGACGGCGAAGATCTAGATCTGAGGAAAACTGCTTCCTACGTTGTCGGCAATGGCATTCTGGGAAAACGTGCTTATGGAGCACCTGGTACTATCGGCCATTTGATATTTGTGGAGCCAATCTTCAAAGCACTAGGAGGTGAACTTGATGCTAAATCCAAGCGATGGATGACCCGTTTCTCCGACATTGAGGGCTGTATGCCAGACGTCACAGAAGGGAACCCCTCATCTAATATGTTGGTCGATGGGGCAACAGTCAATCTGGCGATCGACCGAATAAAATGCTTGACACTGCAACATCCAAACCCAGGCCTGGTGAAACGGCTTGTTTACCCGATTCTTCTTCCTTTATGGGGACTTGCTTGTGCTTCCCAGGAGGAACAATTGTCCATCATTCATGAACGGGTGTTGCCCCTGTTACAAACATATTTCGGTATCTCCGTAGGAGTACAACCCCTCAAAAAGATTGTCGACAATCTTCTATGGGATGGTGGTCTGACGTGGACATACGTTAAGGACTCAGACGACCAACTGGCTTTGAGAAAGCGAACAGAAGAGCATGACGATCATTCCAAATTCATCAATTTGATTGATTCCCTGCAAACACGTGCTGAGCTATTTGTTAGTCTACTAGGTTCAGACCCGAGCAGTGAAGAGATAACTGGGGATATCTTTCTCTATGTTAGTGAAACATGGCTTGTGCAGCCGCAGCATTCAACACGGCCTCAGAACACTCTGGAAGAAGGACCTATTGGTGACAGTGATAATCTCATCCGAAGCCTTGTCAGTGCCAAGGTCGCCGAGAAATTGCTCGACAACTTTAAAGAAACGCTTTCTCGGCGTCCGCTCCGCGTCTTAGAGCTGATAAAACAAGTTATTGATGGAGAGCTTCATAAACTCAAAGCACAAGCAGCGGCGAAACAAGGAACTGAAACTGGCAAGGTGTCTTTGTCCAGTTTGGCCAATATTGTAGAAAGTGAAAACAAAGACTACGGGGATGCCGGCAATGACTCCTTTGAGTCATTGACAACAGCATTCAGTTTGCTTTCTACTGTTATTGCATCGCCAGACTTCTCGCCGTCAGAAGATATCCTGCCTCTCTTGAAATCTCTAAAAGGCGGCATTGATCAACTCATCCCTCTTCTTCCTTCCTCTCTTTCCAAACCTGGCATGACATCTTCCATGCTTCTCGAAATCCAAATCGCGTCACCTGAGCATACAGGAGTCAAGCCAACGCCTGCCCACATCTCAGATCTTGATACTCATCGTCAAGCTTTGGCGAATCTCAACTCAAACCTACCACCAGTACAAGCGGAGGGATTGTCGCTCCTCTCAAAACTCATCATGAATTCATCGCCCGTTCTGGATGTCCCCTCATCCATGTCAATACTTCTCGCTGTCATCACTGACACGTCAGGGGCCGCCGCGCCTGAACAATATATCTACTTGAACGCCATCAAGATCGTTGGTACATTGGCAGCACGTCACCCTCGCACGGTGGTGAAGACCTTGATCGATACCTATGCCGATAGAGCTGAGATTACGAACCTTGATGAGCGACTCAAAGTAGGCGAGGCTTTGTTGCGAACGGTCCAAGATTTAGGCGAGGCACTAACCGGCGAGACGGCGAAAATCCTCAGTGAGGGCCTCATCGCTGTGGCAGGCCGCCGTCAGCTCAAGCCTCAAGCGCAAAAGGCTCGCCAGCGACGGCTTGAGAAAGAACGCCGTAAGAAGGAGCGCGAAGAGCGCAAGGCAAAGGAAGATGCCCTCCTCCCGGCTGGTCCATGTCCTCAGCTATCAACAAGGCTGCCACGGAACTGAACCTTGTGGATGAGGACTCAGACACTGAGTCCCCTGAGCAAGCTGCCCACGCCGCAAATGTCGTTGCTGCATGGGCCGCCGGTGCCTCTACTGATGAACAACCAGACGATCTCCGTATCCGCGCGTCGGCCCTCTCCATTCTTGCCTCCGCCATCCAGACAAACATCATCGGTCTTGGCCCTGCTATTGTTTCCTCGGCTGTCGACCTCGCCCTTGGAACTCTCACTCTTGAGCCTGAAGTCGAGAGTGCCATTCTCCGTCGTGCGAGTGTCGTCCTCATTCTAGATACTTTGAAAGCACTAGAGACCGCACGCGAGGCACGCGGGGGCGGGACATCGGATTTGGCTTTTCCCTCTCTGATGGGGCAACTCCTCAAGGTTCCAACTCTAGTGGACAGTCCACCATCGGCAACATCCCCACCATGCTGCACACCCTTGGGTTCGTCGAAAGTCGGGAAGAGGACGGAATTGCCCGTGGACATCTCCGCGCATTGATCGAGAGCTTGGAAGTCTGGATGGAGAAGTCATTGATGTGGGCTATTGGTGCCCACGATGACCAGGAGACATTAAATCCTCAATTTGGACTATCTGATAGAATTGAGGGTCTGAAAGTGAACCCCTTGGGTGGTCAGGACGGCGCAGGACGGCCCCGAATCGAGGAGATTGAGTGAAGAAGGGGGTCATTAGGATGTAGATGACCATTAGGTGAGCTTTTATACAACACTAGTCGGTTTAGAACAGAATTGAACCTAGTCTGTTACAACATAAGTAGAACTGGTGTCGTTATTGGTGGATAGGGCATCAAGCACGGAGATTACATGTTGAAGTTGGCTTATTGGAGATTTTACGGCAAAATTGGTCATTCATATCTCTATCTGCTGCCACGACTTGGAGTTCAGATATTTCCAGATAACCCAAGAAACGAACCCATCGCCAGGACTGTGTTTCAAATCCATCGAGACAATAAAAACATAAGGAAAAGAAACGGGAATGCAAATCGGAAAGGGAATCGAAACGAGCAAAGAAAAGGAGGAAAAGCTTCGAGAACTACCATCCGGATCCACGATCACCGTCGCCAGCACGTCCACCACGGCCACCACGTCCTCGGTTTCCGCTATACTGATGGCCCCAGCCGCGGCCACGACCACCACGGTGAGTACCGCGTCGACCACCATGGGAGTTCCCACGGCCACGGTAAGTATCAGGACGGGGACCAGCAAGAGAACGAGCCTGACGTTCTTCATCAGAAACATCGAACTTGTTCTCGATGCCGATCAAGTCGCAGAAGTAAGTAGTCTGGGGGTTGGTGTACTCAGGAGGCTGCTCGTCGGTGGTGATATGTACCAATGGGTCATAAGGGGGAGCAGTCTGAACAAAGTTGTAGGGGACATCAAGGCGGTCAGCCTTGACGACATGCTCATCGATCCAGGCACGCTCCTCCGCGATGCGGTGCTTGTAGTGGTCATCTCCTTTGTGTACAGGAACGTGGGCAGATGGGTTGCCGAGTTCAAGTTCGTTTGCGAAGACACGGGTGATGGCGAGCCATTCGGGGTCGTATTGCAGACGGAAAGGGCGCTCGATCTGGTGACTAGGTTCCTCGGAGATCGGTTCGATTTCAAGGAGTTCAATAAATTCATCTCGGGGCAGGGGCTTATCCAAAGCAAGGAACTTGGTTGTAGTATTTTTGATTTCAGCGGGGAGTTCCTTCTGCGGCTTTGGGGGTGGAGCATCCAGGCTACCTGGGAGCTTTGTAGCCAGAGTCCCAAGGAGGTCATCATCGGAGCCAGATTCGTTGTTATCCACTGCACCATCAAAACCATATCGGGCGGATACCACCTTGTTCGAGGGCTGGGTGTTGTGCGAGACAGGACGGGCGCTGCTCGTGCTCGCTGGGCTGCTGCCCAAGCTGATCTTGTCGTCGTTGTCGACGTTTGCGCTTCCCTCATTGACAACAGTCTTTGCCTTGGACGGCGTCACGGGCTCGGGGCGGGATTGGGTGCCGGAGGTACTTTCAGGGCTGCTGTCCAAACTGACCTTGTCGGTGTTCTCGACTTTGCTGTGGTTGTCATCGGGGCGAGTAGTCTCCTGTCCGTCGGGGCCGCGCACAATGGTTCGCTTTACTCCCTTGATGACGGAAGTCTCAGTGATTACCCTCGGAGGCACATAGCCCGAGTCCTGTTGTTCCTTGAATCGACGCATGAACTCCTTGGCATCGCGTGCTTCGTCCCTCTGAGCCACATTGTAAAAGTTGTTCCAGGCAGCAAGACGCTCGGCCTCGGTTCCGGTAGCCATTCGAATCTCCCCATTGTCAAACAAACCTCGGGGACTCCTTGATGGGTCAACTTCATGCTTTGTGTTCTTCTGGTCATCTTGAGCACCATCAGCGGGAACAAGGGTGTTGTGGGAACCAGTTTTAGCAGGGCCGAAAGCAGTTTGTGAGTGCTGGACCTCGGCGGTGAAACGCACATGAAGGTGCGCCGAGAACCAAAACGACGGACGGAGGTAATCAAAGACCTCACGAGCAGCTTGGTTGCCAAGTGTTCCCTTTGCCGAATCTTCCTCAAACCCACGCTTCTGGCGGAAGAGACGACGGAAGTCACCGTGCTTTTCAATGGCACGGGGCCAATCGTGGGATAAGCCAATATCAACTTGACTGCGGATCTGGAGGAGCTTGCGGACGTCGAGTTCGCGTACATGATAGATAGACTGGACATCCGAGCTGTTCATGGGCAGTCGTTCGAAGTGAGGCTTGCGATAGTCGTACCCCTTCCAGATACCGGACATCCCAGAGATGCGCAGGGGGCCAAACCGGATAGTGTTGGCCGCGCCGAGAAAGTAAATGTTGGGAGCGACCCAACCACCGTAATACAGCTCTAGCAGGTAGTTGCCTGCCTCGTGATTGCCACCGATGAAGATGGTAAGGAAGGGAGCAACGCGCTGGCCACTGTAGTACTCCTGGAAATCGCCAATCTGCTTGTACTTGGCTGGCACAGAGAGGCAAGTCGCATCGTTCGAGTTGCGCAGGGCCTGATATTGTCAAACATGAAGTCATTTGAACACAATACACGGGAACTCACCTGAAAGTCTCCGCCGATAATGACCAGGTCAACAGTTTCCCATTTCTTGTCCTGGGCCTTTTGCTGGACCCGTTCATAGATCTCATGAAGGCTACCATGGCCCTACGTCAGAAGATTAGCAACGGAAGCTGTGAAGTGGGGTGGCCTCATGGGAACAAGATATGGGATTTTTGTTTCAGTCTAATAACTTACGCAACCCTCAAATGCGATGCGCGGAGTCGCCATTGTGAATGATATCGAAGGTGTTAAAACTTTGGAAGAGCGACAGGTCGCCGTCTGCTCGGGTCTTAGAAAGGCCCAAGATACAAAAAACGCGACAAAGCAAGAAAAAACGGAACAGCCGAGGGAGATTAGGAGGAAAGGGTTGAAAGACGAGAGCGTCGAAAGGAAGTAGATGAGAAGAGGTGGAGCTTGGACTATTTAAGCTCGGGAGCAAATCTCTGATGTGCAAACCAACGTATTGATTGTCAATTGACCACAACAATAGCCTCACTTCAGAACAATAGAACCCATTGGTACTAAATAAGATTGTTCGCTATCAATCGACAATGGCTATTGATGCAAGACAGGAATTCCTCAATCGGGCGGCTGACGCGCTCGCCGCCAGCCCCTCCACGTCGTCTCATCTCCTGGCACTGCACACCCAGCTTCTTCACGAGAATTCCAAGGCATTGAATACTAAGCAGAAGAAAGAATACTGTGGCGCCTGTGGAAGCCTTAGAAAACCTCAATGGACTAGAGTCACTGATATCAAACCCAAAAGAATCAAAGCGTCAAGCGCGTCTACGCCTTCCGCGTCTGTGGCCACCGTCTACAAGTGTCTACGCTGTCGCAAACGTACCGTGCTTGGGTCCAAGAAGAAGACTGCTCCCAAATCTCTACGACACGCTGCTGCTAAGGCATCTACTAAAGGTCCAACTCTTGATACCAAGGGCGAGACACAGGCAGCAACCGATCCCACCAAGTCAGTCGATAACCAAAACAGCAAGAAGAGAGCCAAGGCACGCAAACAAGGTGGCCTTCAAGCGCTTTTGGCCTCGAAGAAAAGCGCGCAGCCTTCTCTTGATCTGTTCGACTTCCTGCAGTGAGGTCACGTGATCCATAATTCCGATTGGGATTAGCGCGGGGTCCAGCTTGCTGTCTCCGAAACTCGTTCACCTTAACTCGAGCGCGCGCACCCCAGTTGAACGCGTTTCAGTCGTTTGCTGTCCAGCAGTTCAATATTTATCCTTTCGTTGTGGGTCCACAGTCGCCGCAATGTCGGTCTACTCCAACGATGACGAGCATGATCCTCAGGTCGATGAGCTCCGCGAGACGGCCCTCGTGACGCTAGAGGCATTGATCAGCTCGTGCAACCAACAAATGCAGCCATACCTTTCCAATACCACTCGGTCAGCTCTACGATTCCTCAAATATGACCCTAACGTTGCCGAAATGGAGGACGACGAAGAGATGGGTGGAACACAAGACGATGGGAGTGAGGATGATGCCACGGAAGAACCCGATATGGACGAGGACGACGATTTCGAGGATTTTGAAGAAGATGGAGGCTACAGTGATATTGATGATGTGAGCTGGAAGGTACGCCGATGTGCGGCCAAGCTTCTCTACACTGTCATCTCCACGTACGGCCGTGGTCGCGCTTGGGACAACTCCGCTTTGTTCCAGCAGATTGCCCCTGCTCTGGTATCCCGAATTAGTAAGGAAAGAGAAGAAAGCGTGAAGCTCGAGGTGGTATCAACTTTAACCGCTCTCGTTCGGAAGACAGGAGAGGGCTCGATGATCGTCACATCCAACGACTTCCTTGAGGCCGTCGGTGGATCAAAGAACTCGCGCAAGCGCAGACGTCAGGACAGTGATGCAAGCATGATTGACTTCGAGCCGAGCATCGGGACCTCCTCAGCAATCGACTCCCCCGCTGTTCCATCTTCTCCGAAGTCTGGTTCGCAGGCTGACCTGGCCCGCTCCGTCCCTCTGATTGTACAGAACCTCGTCAAGGTGTGGAAGCAGGCATCAATCCCCCTCAAGCAAGCTGCTATCATCCTCCTCAAGAGCCTATCTCTTGTTCGTTACGGCGGCCTCGCAGACCATCTCCAACAGATCGAAGATCTCATTGCAGATGCCCTCAAGACTTCATCTCTGTCAGGAAGCGCCCCAGCTCACACTGGCGCCGCCGTCAGTGCGGGAACGCTTCAAATCGAGACCCTTGGCCTCATTGCAGCAATTGCCGAGACTCATTTGTCCGATGCGCTTCTCCCGTTCCTTATCGCACTCGTGCCCGGAGTGGTTGCGGCTGTCAACGATCGCAATTACAAGGTCAGCAGTGAAGCGTTGGGTGCTGTTGAGCAGGTGGTGAAGGCACTCACCCCTCCCCGTGTATCTGCCAATGCTTCCGACGTTACTCTGCAGTTGCAGAAGCTCTATGATGTTGTCCACTCACGAATAACCGACACAAGTGCTGATCTCGAAGTCCGTCAGCGCGCCATTCATGTGTTTGGCGTTATTCTGGCACGTACCTCCGGACAGCGTGGATCAGAGTTCCTTTCTGCTGATAAGCGATCAACCGGTCTTTCGGTTCTAGTGGACCGCGTGAAGAACGAGACCACCCGTCTATCCGCTGTCCGTGCTGTTGATGATGTCGTCGTCCTGGCATCCCGGAAGGAAGATGTGGCCAGTGAATGGGTGAACGAAGTGGCCCTTGAGCTTGCCTCCAACTTGCGCAAGTCAGACCGTGCTTTGCGAGGGTCATGCTTGGAAGCGCTCCGCAGTCTATCCATGAACTCCACCGTCAGGTCTCATCTATCTCCTAACACTATGGCAGCACTGGAGACCGCCCTTCTGCCTCTCCTTGCGGCTCCCGACTTCCACACGCTTACTCCTGCTCTGATCATCATTGCCAAACTTATTCCTGGCAATGCAAAGCTGCTCGTAAACAGCGCATTGATCTCTTCCATGTGCTCGATCGTCAAGCAGCCGCTAGTTGGTACTGTTCTCAAAGCCCTCCTACTCATTGTTAAGGTCATTGGCGACGAAGGCGCTGGAGCCGAGTTGATGAAAACCCTCCTACAAGATGTGGGCATTACCGGAGACTCTTCCGTGGTCGGTAGAGCCGTGGGAACTCTCTTAGTCCATGGTGGACCGAATCTAGGGGTCACAATGGAGGATTTCTCTACAGAACTGAAGACTGCGCGGGACGATAGCCGCAAATGCCTCGCACTCGCGATTCTGGGAGAGATTGGCTTGCGAATGGGCCCCGAGTGCTCGTTGACTCCCGACCACTTCATTGCTCACTTTGAGTCTCAGTCGGATCATGTTCGCTTGTCCGCTGCCACGGCCCTTGGTAATGCCGCTGCAGGTAGTGTCAAGACCTATCTTCCCGTTATCTTAAATGGCCTTGAGAAATCCAACTCGCAGAGCTACCTGCTTCTTCACTCTGTGCGGGAGTTGCTTCAGCACCCTGAGGTTGTGCGGCCCGACCTTGCACCGTCTGCTCACAAGCTATGGCAATCACTCCTCGTCGTTTCCGAAGAAGAGGACAACCGGGCAGTGGGTGCCGAATGCGTGGGCCGTCTGGCACTCCTCGATCCTGTTGCTTATATTCCCCACTTCCAAGTAAGTCATATCCATACTATTCTCGGGGTTTCCAATGCTTATATATTACCCACAGGAGTATCTCGCCAGTCCAGTTCCTGCTGTCCGCGGCGTGGTGATCTCAGCCTTCCGCTATACGCTTGCTGATCCGAGCGATGCTTACAACGATGTTCTTCGACCGTTGATGGTGCCACTCTTGACAAATATGCTTGCTGACGGCGACTTGGGCAATCACCGACTCGCGCTAACTACTCTTAACTCCGCGATCCACAACAAGATGGATCTTCTTCTTCCTCACCTTGACGAACTGCTGCCTGCTGTTTTGGGAGACACCAAGATCAAGCCAGAGCTTATTCGCGAGGTTCAAATGGGGCCATTTAAACACAAGGTTGATGATGGTCTTGATTTGCGAAAGGTCAGTATCCGTTGCCCTTATCAGAAGACATGAACTAACACAGCGTCTCCAGAGTGCCTACGAAACCCTCTACGCATCGCTTGACACATCATTCTTCCACACTCACACGAACGAGCTATTTGATCGCGTCCTTGCCGGTATTGATGATGAGCAAGACATCCGCGCAATCAGTAACCTCATGACATCCAAGCTGATTAAGATCGTGCCCGAGGCGACTGAGCGGTTGCTTGATGCTTTATCAGAGCGCTACACCTCCGTTCTCTCATTCAAGCCGAAAGAAAATGCCGTCAAGCAGGAAATCGAGAAGGCACAGGAGGCATCTTTGGGCATTCTCAAGATCACCAAAGAGCTGAGCAAGGCTTTCCCTGGTGCGGAATCCTCGAGCGATCTCCACAAGTGGAAGGGATATATGGAGTGGGTTCGGCGGACATTTGCTCTCCAGCTTCAATCCTTGGAAGTGGACTTCTAGGTTCCGGTTTGCTGCTTGCCAGTTGAAACCTAACACTGAACAAAAAGTACGTGGCAGGCTCTCTCACCCCAACCTACATGTAGCTTACGATTTCATTGAATGAAATATTTGATATTGACATTGCCAATGCCGTCATACAAGCCCTGTAGACACATGACGTTATATATATAAAAATTATGATGGTAGACATTTAAAAGCAAAATGCCCTTGTCATACAGCCCAGTCTGGTATTGAGACGCTGCTTTATGCGTCGAGGGTATCCTACACGGTACTTTTGCACTTCATACTGAGGCCCATCCTGCAATGATAGTTTTCATCGAGTGTCGATTGTTAATTATGTTTTCGGGCAGAGGGTACTTTTGTTTGCACCCTTTTTAAACGGAACTATATCAAATCGTGATGGCCCTAGCTGTTTCACACCTGTTTGCGCATTATGCAACCAATCCAATGATAATAGAGATGGCCCTGATGTGAAGCGATCATTCCCACATGCCAGCCCAGTTTGTAATCGACATATTATCACCTTTCTTATAGGGTTTGCGTCTCTCTTCCAGCCGGAAGGGGCAATATATCGTGTACATTACTTGCACGCAACAGACTCATCACCCTGCATAGGGGTGTTTGGTAAATTAGAGATTTTAGATGGCACAGTCAACGATGTAGGGGTTTGTAAGTAGGGCTACAACCTGCAAGAAGGCAAGCTGCAGGACACAATTTTCACGGCGTGCGTACATACACAAAGAATAAAGGATTCCTGAGTAAAGGATCTCCCTCGACTTTCTTCCACAATGAAATTGAAGACAAGGATTGACCTTTAGTGGTTACTTTCAAGAACTCTGGTTGTGATTGTACCTGTAGCGTTATTCCTTTGTCTAAAAACTCCAACTTTTACTCACGAACTACTTGATCTGTGCCTGCCTTCATCAACACCTATCTGCAGTCAAATCCACTTCAAGACGATCAGAAGTGCCAGTAAGTGCTTGATCAGCCCCCAAAAATTCATATGTTAATGTCGTTCAGGGCAGACTCTACGAGCATCCCGAGCCAGTTGATCATTCAACACCAGAATCCCACAACGCAATGCCCGTGTTCCGCCTTCAACTACACAACCCAACGAACTGGGCCCTGTGGGTTGCAGAACTCAAGTTAGACCTCAGCGTCAAAGGCCCAGAATACTGGCAATCCTCAGCGGCAAACTCGAGAAACCAAGCGACAAAAAGTCTGATCCATACAAAGAATGGAAAAGAAAGAACACCTACTTGATGGAAACAATGGGTTTCAGAATAGATCGGGACCTTCTGTACCATCTCAAGCAAACCAACAAAGCCCCCGACGCCTTCGCAAATTTGCAGATACTCTGCGTCGATTCCACACCACATACCGACGACATAGATAGCTACATCTCCTCGGTCTTTTACCAGGCTTGGGTCAAACTTGAATACTGTATTGGGCAGGCACCGCAGGACTTCGTGTACGCGTGGAATCTTCTTTCAAAGGAGGTGGAAGGGAAGCTCGCGATCGGCGGTCAGGCGCAGTTTGAGCAGTTCATTGCTGCTGTCTCGGCTCATCCTTCTTCGGCCTATTGGCTTAGCTACTTGCGTGATGATGCTTCTTGTATCTTGGAAGTAACGGATAGTTTCCTCTGTGATTTTGTCGAGTTTGAACGAAAGAGGCTCTGTCGCCAAGGGCAACTTCTCCGTGGCAAGAATAGGAAAGGGAAGAAAGGTGATGACAAGGTGTGACTGTCTACTCCGCGGCTGTGACATCCACGAGGCAGTGAAGCTTGAATCAATGTGGTTACTTGATGTGTAGCACTTAAGTTGTTTGAATGAACTCTTTCTAGGTTTATTCGTATGATTTAACTCTCTTGTGTTTCTGGCTGTCAAGTAGACAAGTAGTAGGAGCCTCTCGGGATTAAATTCACGCTAAAAATAACAGACGTGTCGTGCTTGTATGCTTGAAACAAATATATGAGCAGCAAACACAGGAAGAATAGGTATACCGTACGCGTAGGCGACCACAAAAAACGTGTACACGCAAAATACAAGATATTGATGTGCAGTAGGGTACAGTCCGCCAAAAGGACATAATCAGCCCCCAAAACAAGTGCTTCCCTCATGAAACAATTTTCATTCTTATTCTTGGGGCTCTTGCTTGATATAAAGAGGATTGATATCAAGAGTCTCTTCCTCTTCCTTAACACTAGCTTCCCTCGCAAGTTCTTCCGGGAAAGGCTTACGGGCCCAAACGCGACGTCTAAAAAAAAATGTCAGCAAACCACATCCAAGATTGACGATCACCCAACGAAAATAATATAGAGAAATACTCACGCCCGCTGATAAATGTGATAACGCGGATTCTTAATCTCAGCCCTCAACTTGGCGACGTAAACAGTAACCTCATCCTTAGACCAAGGATTCGGCGCACCATACTTGGTGAGCAACCACATACACCAGCCCTCCATACCAGAAAGCCAATGCTGGTAGTGAGCTGTCCCAGCCTCCTTATACTTCTGATCACGCGGCCAGGGGCCAATCGGCCACTTATACTCTTTCTCGTGGAAGTCCACGAAGCCAGCCTTGCGCATGGTATCGGCCATTACATCAATTGTGTCAATGGGACGACCGGCGCGAATAGAACAGTGGGTAAAGTTTGGTCCCCAGGTGTGTAGAATACTGTCTGCTGGGAGGCTGTCGTCGTCGCATAATACGTAGGGGCTTGCCTCGAGTTGTTCAATCCAGCCGCCTGGTTTTAGGTTGCTGTTTACTTGTTAGGCCGCTTGAATTCGATTGGGATTGGGATCGGGTTTGATAGTGGAATAGACGCAGTAAGCTTACTCGTAACATTGCTGGTAGACACGGTCCCACTCGTGTGGTTCAAAGGACCCGGTCATGCCCCGCATGTGAATTAGGTCGAGGGGTACATTCCAGGTCCATTCCTCGAGGATATTATCGACCTCTAGGATGCAGTTTGGGGGGACCCAGGTCACTGGGGGTGGGAAGAGGTCGACTCCGTGGACGGTTGCTGGGCATGGTGAGTATGTCTTGACAGTCACTTGCGTGGGACTTGCACGGGGGTTAAAGGACTAACATTGGGGTAAGAAGTCGGCTACATCGCTGAGATATGTGAGCTGATATGGTCTCCGGTGATATGGAGGTTCGTGACAGATATCCCACCTACATTGCCCAATTACCCTGACCGGTTCCTATATCGAGGATCTGCGCCTCCTTGTAACGAATAGGTGCCTTGAAGAGTGGGTTCTCCTCGTCTGACTCCAATATCAGGTCGACCAAGTGCCTACGGGGGTCAATAATGGGTCAATTATGTAGGAGATGATTCGTACCCAGCTTCATAAGACTCAAAAGACTGCTCGTCCGAGGGGACTCTAGTAAGCGGTAAGTTTGGCTGTCACTTTGGAGAATTTAGACTTGCGCACGGATATTCCTTGTTGCTCAACGTTTGATATCTGTCGAAAATCACTATAAGCTAAACCAGACTTTTTGCTGGAGAATTTACCTCCGGCCATTGTCCATCAAACCCCGATAGATAGCAGAGCCGATGGAGGTGGTTTCTCTGGGGTTTTGTCAGAAACGATTCCCTTAACAAAATGGGGCTGGGTAAACGGGTAAACCTTACGACTGCCAATCATCGCCATAAGTGGTGGTGACATAAACGTCAGGATCCTAGGGTTATATGAGCATAACACAATTCATTATGTGAAAAACGCTTACCACGGCCAGCATATCTTCTGCCATGCCTGGTATTAGTTCCCGAGGGTGACCTGGGGAAAAGGGAGAGCTGAAGGAGGGTGTCAGTTTGACAATCAAGACAGCCATTAATCCCCTCCCATCCTTGCGCCCCTGGTCGAACGGGATTGGATAAGGGAACAAAGCCAGTACTTCCGCCCCGAGTCAGTGCGCCCGACCTCGCCCTAACCGCGTTGGTCGGAAACCGTACTTATGGGTCTAGGGTATTGTTTCTTTCTCGGCATAAGTACATAAGTACCCGGAGACATCCGCGAATAGGATTGTTCATTGTAATCTAGGACGTACATTGAATTATGAATATGTATAATGGGCGAAACTTTGGTGGGGATTAAAGTGTGAAGAAATGCACGTCGGTGGGTTATACACCCTCTTTGGCCTCAGGCAGGATTTAGTGCCTTGGGAACACGTGGTTGATCTCGGTCCTACAATGTTCCTTGCTTGTCACGTGCACTGAGCCCTCATTTGACGACATACAATCTACATCTAGGACAGAGCGAGATAAATTCAATTGCAATTTCCGCGACAGAAAAAAAAAAGCCAAGCCTCGGTTGGGATGTGTCATCGTGGATCAGCGGGGTAATCCGCACAACGATATTCAGCCTCAGGCTCGGGCCCGTATGTACTAACTGCAGGTTACTTCTTTTCACGTTGACCGCGAACAGCTTGTTGATGCTGACTGAAGCAACAGAAAGTGAACTGCAACAATTGCTCACATTTATTAGGGTGTCACTCTTTCCTCTTCTTTTCTAAACAATGTGGTAGGACTTCCTGGCCTGGCGAGCTGAACCCAAGAAATATGACCAAGAGCTCACATTCAAGTCGAGCTTTATATCTTCGAGTCAGCCTCGGGACTACAGGGCCTAGATAATGTAGGGCATGAGGCTCAATATTTTCGAATCATGCGGCTCAAGTGCTTTTCGGCCTCGTAGATATGCGGTGGTGCCTTCACTTGCCGTACCTGGCTTCCAATTTAACTGACGGACCACGAGTGTCACGCCCTTTGGAAAGCGCTAATCGAAGCCCTACGCTTGATTTTCCACCTGATTTGCTAGGTATACAGCTAACGTCAACTGAGGAGTCATGTGGTTCTAGCTGCACCGAGCGACCTTGACTGGCTACCATCCTCACATTTGCTGAACTGGGTAGAGATCATATCGGTCAGTATGAAACTGAGCATGTGGATTGTTATTGAAGAGGACCCTGAGACGTCAGGCTTTTGATGTTTGGTCTCGATGTTTGCTTTCAATCTAAGGGTTTAAATACCAACCTTTCTTCTTTTCATCTTTCTGTTTCTCTTTCCTCCTTCACCTCTCCATTGTCTCATCCCCTTTGCTGCCACCTAACATCAGCTTCCATCCCACACTTCACCCATTTCATCCTCCACCTTCGCACTTGGCACCATCAAGCCACTCCATGAAGCCCTGAGAGATGGGACTTGGGATCAACATATCCTCCTCCTTGAGTGAGAATTCGGCTCGGCTCATGCCTTCCTACCTCATCTTGATATATCCCATCCAGAGCAAATGGACCTCCATTTAGGTGAGAGATACTAACTTGCCCCCTGCCGGTGACAGAGGCACTGACAGTCTTTCCTTCAGCATTCGATAACATCGACACCACTCTTGCGCGCCCTTCACGCATCAAACTCATGCCCTGTCATCACAGGCCAGATTCCCCATGCGAGCTCTGATGGTGTTGTCATACGGCCCATTGATTCAACTTCATCTTTGCCATGCCTGCCAACCATGCCTCGCATCTGTGCCTGCCCCAACTTTTGGACAAGCTCCTTGCCCAGACTGGCTCTATCATCATGGCTTTCATCATCATAGCTACTTACCAGTAAGTACTGCTTCATCTACCCTCCATCACCACCCATTCACATGACTCTCACTAACACCTCATCAGCGGCTCCCATCTCTATCTTGCTAGAGAAACAGGTCAATCGCCCTACGATGACCAAAATGTTGGACTTTTCCACTTGCCCTGCTGCTTCGTCACTGTGCACCGAATACTAAATCCAGGACCGCCTCCGGGCCCCGAGAAGTCGTCCCACTTGCCCACACCCACACACTGATGCAAACAATCGTTCCTGGAAAGGAGACAACCTCACTTGCTTGAGACCTTGATTATTCGGTGATCTACCCAGATTTAAAGTCCCAAGAGAAGTAGGTTCCCATTCTGTTCTACGAAAGAAGAGGAAAGCAGCTCATCTTGAGGCCTGGAGTACTCAGTGATCTACCGAGGCTTATGGCTGCCAATGAGCATGGGGAATTTTGGATTCACCTCCCATCTCCGTAATGGAGGGTCCTAACTGTTTTTGGATTTTGAATACTCGGTGATCTACCCTGATTTAAAGCGTCATGACAGGTTGGATACCCTCCCCCATCCAAAGGACAAATGAGGAAGCTATGAAACAAAATCAGCCGAGTGTCCCTTTCCATGTCTCCCCGTTCCTCGTGTTTGACACAAATCAACAAAATGAGCCTCATTCCAGGACCTTCACCTCTTGTTGGTCTTTGTGAGACGTATTGTCATTGAGAGGGCAAATTTGCTCGATACGTCCAACATGATGGCCACTTGCATTGCCAACAGAAGTTGCGGTTGTACATTAGCTTCTTCAATCAATATCAAGTTTTATATGCCTCATAGGGTCTAGCTTTCTCTTTAGCCTAAGCACGATCACCTCTTTGGATCAAACGTGTGAAGTCTGAACTTTGGCCGAAGTTCTGGACTATCAAAATCTATTCCGCCTCCTGCATACTGGCATCATGTAACAGGTAGTGATCTTGGCGCTGTGATAAGAAATACAAAGTGCGTATGGTGTTAGTCGAAGAGGAGCGACTTTGTTGATTGGCGATTAGAGGTGTAACTTCAACAAGGGGGAATATCATACAGGGAGAGGAGATTGTGAAAGGTCAAGCCGAGCAGAAGACAAGAAGCAACAAAAACGAGGGGAAAAAAAAGAAAAAAAGGAAACGAGAGACGACTAAAAGTAACCCGGCCCGGGGAAGTACAAGGGATAAGTCAACATATCCGGGGCACCTCAGATATGTAATGTCTTTTAAACTGCACTCGGCAAGGATGATGGCCGGGGTCACCCTATACCTTGCATACATGGAAGGACCGTCACACTGCGGGATCCTTCATGCAATCCTCCAAGTGCTCTTTGAGGTTCTATCCACTGAACCAATCAGGAGGTGATTGCTAGACATACTATTGAACTTGGTCGGTGACCTTTTCCTGATTTAGAAGGTGGACCTACCATATTCCTTGACAGCCACCTACTCAAATATAGTGTCGGTGGTCACGTCCTCCAAAACTGAGGAATGGGTGTTCTATGAGCTCACGGGCGCTTTTCCTCTCTGCCGGAACCCAAGTGAGCATATCCCTAGCAAATGACAAGAACAGCTCCTTTTCCTCGCCTTTGAGTGATGGGACTGTGTCTTCCAACTTCCGGTTTGGTACCAGTTGCTTATGGAGAAACTCGCCTGGTAAAGAAATGGATCAGTACACACTTATCTAGCGTCTACTGTCTGGGGGACTGGGGTTAACATGCCTTCTTCGTCAAAGTGAGGACCGCAAAAAAGCTCTCGGATATTTTTGCAAGATCTTCCCGGCTCGAGGGAAATGGGATAGTCAAAATCATGCTGCGAGAAATAGTTCGACCTTTCGATTACTTCCTTTGGCGGTGGACCAAGTAAGGCTATCATCTCGGCTAGATGTGATGCGGAATTGTAGTCGCTGTTGGGATGTTCAACTTGGGTGAATAGCTCTGCGCCTTCAATGATATTCCACAGCTGAGGGTACAACAGATGAGGAGGTAGGTAAGAGGCAGCCATATGAGTGTGTACTACTCACCAGAACACCAAAGTTCCAAATATCCGTACTGTAATTCCAGCCATACCCTAGGATGACTTCGGGCGAGCGGTAGTAGTTTGGTTGGATAGGGTCGAGTAATACCTCTCCGATCTTTGATTTGTCGTCTGGGTGACATTCGGGAAGCATTTTAGCAGCTCCAAAATCAGTGATCTTGGGCATGATATTCTGGGCATCATCAGGGTATAGGCTGCCAAAATTGTTGTGACAGCGGTAAAGGATGCGGCCAGTTGTTGGATCATTCTTGTATGACATAGGCGTATCAATGACGGCTCTCTTGATGAATCTAGGAAGAACTTCCTCATTCTCGAAAGTCATCATGATATTTTCCAGCTTCAAATCTAAGATTGTCAATGCTTTTAACTCTGCAAGCACACTTGGGAAACGCCAGAGATTTAATACCGGTATGAATAACCCTGCATTCGGCATGCAAATACTCCACACCTAAAAGAAGGCAAGTGATATATGCCTTAGCGATCGGGAGAGGAATCTTCCTGCCTGTAAAGTGATCCTGGAAGCGAAGCATGGTTTCGCGTTGAGGCTCATAGATCAGACATAAATGCGGATCCTGTTCCGAGCTTGGAATTTCAAAGTGCCCGTAGCAAGGTCGTATAGAGTACCAGCCCCGATGCGACAAATTTTGCTGCGTAATTTGCTCCTCGAGAGCCCGCTGACGTTCATTCTTGCTCCGACTGCCGTTGTTCAGAATCTTCAATGTCACAGTTTCCTCTTGATCTCCCTCTCTAGGTGGGATGGGATATTAGCTTTTAGTCGAATTTCAGGAGAGTCCGCACATACGCTCTCATATTCCGTGCCAGCCATACTGTTGATCCTACTCCCCAGCCCAACTTTGTCAACAGCTGGAATTGGTTGCCGAGAATCTCCCCTGGACGTGCAGGGTAGAAGTGTTTAGCGTTTTCTTTGTACCCGGGCCACTTCTCTTCGTCGACGATTTGATGTTGGGGTAGGGAAAACAAGGGACCAGCTTGCGGAAGCTGAATTGGATGCGCAGCAATTGAAGCAAAAGCGCGCTTCGCGACACGCGTCGATGACCGTAGTCCGATCATCTTGGGATGGACAGACGGTTCGGGTAGAACTGCGGCCCCACTTGAGGCTTAAACAAAGTAAGAGTGGAAGAAGGTTCTTGTGGTAGATGCGTTGAAATTTGCAGACTGGAATCAGTACAGATAATCCAGGCTGGCAGTCCAGGTCTGGCTTCAAATTGCCTAGTGGACAAGGTGACCCTTACTAAGCTTTGTTGTGGTGACAGCTGGATCTGGCGGAAGCCTTGTTTCTGAGGCTCTCAGACGAAAGTCCGACTAGTTAACTTACATCACAGTTTGTATAACATTAACCTCTCGGACTTTCAAACACGCCAAAACGTATGTTTATTAAGTTACGTGTTAATATCCAACAAGTTTGAACAGAATACTAAAGGGGCTTCTCATCTTCAATCCGACTACCTGACTGACTTGAGTATAAGTTTCCTCGTCGTGGGGCTTTCAGTAAAAAGGTCACTAGCGAGAGACACCAGATCACCCTAACTGATGAGATAGACGGAATGAACTTTCTTCTTCCACACAACTATGTGGTCGTGATGAGGACTCCCCGAAGAAGAAGGAAAGTCAATATGGCGGAGTCCGTTCCAGTATTCATCCGGAGACATTCGATCATGTGAAGCTGCTTACCACCACTACAAATGAGAAATATTTCCAGCCTCGACATCGTCAAAATTATCCCGATCTCAGCTAGGATGGGACCTGCGACTAAGTGATCTGCCGCTAACGAACGATGGATGCGTGCGGATTCTCAATGCTGTGCAGATATTGTTGGATATATCAGAGGTTGTTGAAATCGATCTCGGCATGTGACTTCTATTTTTCAACAGGTACTACTTGTGATTAATAGATTCATAGAATGCGTCCAAAGCTCTAACGATAGCATTATAGAATCGCTGTTTAGAAAGGGTGTCAACACTGGCGCGGCTATAGAAGGGGTGCTAACTGGGGGACCGAGGGCGAAGATTGAAGAGCTACGAGGGCTATTAGCATCAAAATGCATTACACCTTATTTGTGTGGGACATAGGCATAAGGACAGCATCGGTCTACTAGATACTTAATTTCTTAGGGAACGCTTATATACGTTTATGATGTAGACAATATAACACCTCTTTCGTATGCGTTAAAAATCAGTCTAAGGATCTCGTCCTACTGCTTCTTAAGACTAGAGTTAATGTGAACTTTCAACTCTATAGGCGAAGTTGGACCGGAAGGATAGAAACCTTTTCGTGACTTATAAGATGGATAAAAGTGCCGAACAACTAGTCCAAAAAGAATTTACTATCGGGTTAACTGTACTGTTAGGATTCAGGATCTATCATTTCGGGATTTTTTAGTCTCATCTAGAAACAAGTTCTATGTGGATGAGCTAAAAAGCATAAAGATATTCCTCAATCGTGTCTTAAAACTATGCAGAGTTGTCTATAGAAAAATATCAGAAATCTAGTAAGCTCTAGAACGCATAGGGCAGAAATTGACTCTCAACATATCCGCTAGTATCTCCCACCGGAGTTACAATACTCTTATCGCTATTAGACATACTATCCCGAGAAAAGCCAACGGATCCATTTCCCAAAGTATGTTTCTAGCGGCGCATAATAGACCTTCGCAAGACGGTCGAAGAAGGACGACATGCTGGCGGTCACGCCCAATGAATTGTGATTGGCAATGCTTTTAGAATACAGCGTCACCAGACTGGCCAAGTACCCTTTGTCGCTCCTGGCCGGTGGAATTCCCTGTGAAATGATAGTCAGACCCAATATAAGAAGATTTCCGTCAGCTCGGAAGGAATTTGTGTTAGAAAAACTCCCCTTACCTATTAGTGCCTTCTGGTCAACCTTTGAGATTGCGAAACTCGATGGTGGCATAAAGGACGTCATGTTTGCTTTGAGAGTCTTTCAGGTAGAAAAGTTCGATATCACAAAAGCTGAATGAGTCCGGAAGAACTTTCAAAGAGGCGTATTTGAGAAGATCACTTTGGAAATCATTAGTCTCGAGCGCAAAAATCATTGACCCTGCTGCAATCATTTGGGAATGCTCTCAGTAGAAAGGGACTGGGTGGGACTCATTTTAGAGGACCTCTACGCAATGGATCCATAGCTAACTTTATGATGATGACTTCTAACGACTTATTTTATGGTATCCAAACTAAGTCCTTAAATATCATCCCTAATGGCACCGACTTCTCAAAATTGAAACGGGAGTCTGTTCGTAAACCGAGGTACATGTGTTCTCAAACGAAGCAATTATTCAAGTCACCATTTTTCTTTTCGAGGTTGAAGATGCAAGATCTTAACCTTAGCTTGATGGGAGCCCTCAGAGTCCAACAAAAGCCATGAGGCTAAGGGCTGTTCCAAAAAGTCCAGTTGTTAGCTCAGTTGACTTGCCGGCTGAGTTCGGAGTCGACGACGCAGCATTCGAGCTAGTAGAACTGCCTGTGGCAGACGCAGTTCCGCTCATAGAGGTGAATGACATATTTCCGCTGCCCGAAGCAGTACTAGGAGAAGTCGAGCTGGTAGAGTTGGATGTTGCAGAGGGAGAGGATGCAGCATCATACGTGGTCGAGCTAAAAGAGCACTGGCGGACAAGATCATTGGCATCTACATGATTTAGCACATCTGTAATTTCTTCTTACTAGGACAACATACCGTTGTTCTTGCCGTCTTTGCTATATGTATCAAGGCAAGCAGCACAGTTTGGAACACTCTTTGATGCGCGGGGATCGTCACAGACACATTTCATCTCAGCCGCATCGTCGTTATTGGCCTTCTTGTCGCAAGTGGAAGTTAGGCTGACAACAGGGGCGCAGACGTCCTTGCACTGGGACGGGATATCACTTGAATCCACATCTTGAGCCACGACAGACGCAGCAAGGGCAAGCACGGAGAAGATAAAAAACGAACGCATTGTAATCAATCAACTAAGCACGTTTAAGCTGTGGTTTGTTCGGACAGTGAATTTTTTTCGGCGAAGAAAAGTATTTATAAGTAATGGCCGTTAGAGCTCCCTCATTTCCGGACCACCGCTGTTGATCATCCAAGGCACCGACTTTTTAGACATTAAAGTTGTTAAAAATAACTTCAAACTTTAAGCAGCTGTCCCGTTCGATCATAGAGGAAATGTGTCGCGTGCCTATGGTGTCTATGCAAGTTACGAGTTTTCAGTTGCCTAGCAATACTCTCTCTATAGAAAATGATCGTCATTGCCACATAACGTTAACGTAATAGATTTCAAGTCGCCTAGCAATACTATCTACAGAAAATGATCGACGTTGCAGCATGACGTAATATAAATGTGTTCTAGTGGGCAGGTCGACTCGACCAACCAGAAGATTATGCCAAGTATGCGCTGTGATCACTACTTGGGACGAAAATGGTTTGGCCGTACAACGTACGCATGGGTTCACACCAGAGTACTTATCTATCTTAGTCCTAGGTTAAACGCAAATTTAAGCTGATAACTGACCTTGACTCGCTTCCTTGCGACAGGTCGGTACAGGCAAGAGAGACTTTTGTTCGGTGTCAAGAGGAGGAAGCTTCGTTTAGTTGAGCACGAGCTCCTTTATTGGCTGAAAGTAGAGGGCGCAGGGACACGTCTCCTAGCAATCTTTGTAAACAAAAGGGTAGTCAAATTCATGATAAGAATAGATAATACGAAGACCATTTTTAAATTGAGAGAACGTGAAACGGTCGGATTTCGTGAATCTCAAATATTGTGCCCGGATTCTTTTTTTGTTTACCAATTAGTGAGTGGCCTTGGGGAATATATTTTCGAACATTGCTATATGTGCTATATCGTTCAGCGATGGGCCAGAGTAAATGAAATCAGCCATCTATCCATGCATCCATGCTATACCTGCTGTATGCCTCGTAAATCTATCTATTATCATCTATCTCATCCGCTTCTAGCCCGCACAGTATGTGCTCTTGGCTCTTAGCCACTCGCCATAAAACCACAAGAGCACCGGAGCCATGATTCCTAGGCCTAGGCTGACAAATCCTAACAAGCTATTACCCCATCCCAGTCCCAAACTCTTATATAGACTGTCTGCAAAGAGGGGGAAAGCAAATCCAGCTATGGTCCGCACAAATGCCGCTGCACCCGTCGCGCTTGCTGCGTATCGTGAGTAGGCATCTACGACATATGTCTGCGCACACTGGAAAGATATGATTAACCCAAAAGCAAATATTGCGGCACCAACATTGGGCACAATCCAATGGGTCTTATTCTGAGCCGTCCAGCCGTAGATGAAGAGGCCTAATGGGACCAATAAACCACCGGGCACCATCAGGGGAACGCGAAATTCGGGTCGACCATCGTGTTTGTAGTGCCTTTTAAGACGCATATATATCTTGAAGGGGAGTCAGTAATTGCTTCAGGTGTATAGTTGAGGAACGCACCATGTCAAGGACACGACCGCAGAATTGCAACCCTAGCACAAACCCAATCCCAAGAGAGAGGTAGTTTAAACTGGCCGTGCCGGTGTCTTCTCGGTATACCACCTCCCACACCATGGGAAAAGATGCCAACCTGAATTTATTGAGTCATCTGTAACTTCCATATTTGACACCCGCACTTACACAAGATACATGAGTCCATACTGGTAGCCTCGATATAATGCAAGAGCCTGGATTGCCGGCTGTGTGAAAAGCATCCTGAGTGGCCGAACCAGATTCTTCCGCAGCTCCTGGCCAAATGTGCGATCGGGGCTGTCGTATTCGGTGTGAAGCTTATCATTTCCGGTTTCTTTCTGTAGCTTTCTTCTCTTCGTCGCCAAGATCGTCGGTGCGTAGGTCTCACTCAAAAAGCAAAAGGCCAGAACCTGGACCACGGCGTCTGCAATAGAGACAATCCAAAAGATCCATCGCCATGACATATACTGCGTCAGATACCCGCCAGCTAACAAGTAAGGCTCCAGTTAGCATGATTGCCTTTCTTGACACTATAATACATATTGCTCTCACCGATTGGACCTATTGCCGGCCCTAAAAATGGCATCAGACTATAGAGTGCGGTTGCTGCTCCTCGTTCTTCCTTTCGCCAGCAGTCACTTAAAACGCCACCTCCAATCTATGCGGTCATCAGCCTATTGAGAATATTAATGGAAACCGAGATATCAACTGACCGCCTGCGGCGCACTGCCCCCGAAGCCACTGAGGAATCGAAAAGCAAACATCTGTCCCGGGGACGTGGCAAATCCACAAACAATATTGAAGACAAGATAGAACATGTTCGCGGACTGCAATATCACCACGCGCCCATACATTTCAGAGAGAGGAGCAATGATAAAAGGGCCAAGAGCGTAGGCGAGAAGGAATATCGACATCATCAAGTACTGCTCCGTTTCCGACGTCACCTTGAGATCGAAGGCCATGGAGTCTAGCGCAGGCGCGACCATCGTAGAGGACACTGGGGATATGAATGTAAAGCATGACACAAGAAAAGTTGCCGTCCATTTTTTCGCACGACTCCAGTTGAGAGGGTTGGATAGATCGTTGGGGCCTGACCAGGTAACCTGCTTCCATCAGCGATTTGGTCAAGGAGATCACTCCTAATTGCCTTACAAGATGAGCATTGTCAGGGGCCAGTAGGCCCGGCTCAAGGTCTCTGTCTGATGAGGAAAGCTTCTGTGACGATAATAAGATTTTATTCTCTTTATCGTCATGTTCGCTGGCGGAATGCGCCATGTCGACTGTTTAGGTGGAGGAAAATTCCGAAAGGCAAAATAGAGTGATGCTGGAGTTAATGCAACATCGATTCTCACAATAAATGGCTGGCAGCCTTTCTTATCTCGTGCTGTTTATCCATCACAGCTCCTTAAAATGGAGATCGTCAGGATACTCCACTGATAGTCGTTTTTTTAGAAGATGCCAAAAAAAGATTCTTTTGCCAAGACGTTTGGAACGAGGCCAGTCTAGCCTGGGATTCATCAGTAGCGATGGATCTCATTCACTTAAAGTGCAGAAGGAGGGTTACTGGTGGGTTACGTAAATGGAATGCATATCATTACTGGATCAGCGCAGTAAAGTTTAGGCAACATCATAACACTTACAACATACTCGGATCAAGGAGGCAGTGCTCGGACTGAAGCCGAACGATCTTTGTACACGCTAATGATTAGGATACCAATTTCTCTGAATGATGCTTAACCTTTTGCCGATGTGGGGGCCTTTCGACACCCCGCGCTCCATCTCGATAACTAAACCTCAAGGGGAAATTATGCACGTGTCCCTTGCGATGGGTGATAAGATAGCCAATTGATGCCAAAAGTAGCCAGAATCATTACTCCGAATCCGCAGCGTGACCTTCTGTGGTCCTTTGTGCTGAGAAATCTGCGCAGCAATCCATTATGTTTCATATTCGAGGCTGAATTCCAGATCGCGTAATGATTCCGGCTCAGGTACATGGCAAGCCCCGCCATCAATTCATACTTCTTGATTGACTTGCGGTGGGTCGTCTAGAAGCCGGCATAGTGTCGATCCCCACGACAACGACTCTGTACCAACCAGATGTGCCGGGTCCATAAAAGAAGAAAAGCTAAGCGTTTCGATGTAGCTTAGCTAGTTCCAGGCAACCTCATATTCAATTTTAGAAACCCACGACTCCTGTTATAGCCTTCCATTTTCTTCGTACGTTCGGTGGAGGCTGTGGCCGGAACTACCGAGATATGGCCCCAGACACCCCAGTTGACGACCAGCAGTAGTAGAGATGAAGGTTAGGTAAAATTAGTAACAGAAAGAACAATGGGATAATGAGAGAAGGGGTGTAAAGACAGACGAAGCAGCAGGACCGAGTGGATCCCAGACTGGAGTGCCATATAAGAAGGATGCAGCACCGCCGATGTATAGGTATTTTTCCTGTGGCAGGCATCATCGACAGACATTCAACTTCTTTTACTCCAGATCTTTTCTCTTGCTCTTCACAAGGCCAAAACCTCTCACTTCTTTTATCGTACCTCCTTCCATATCAATCAACATGAGAGTCCTCGTCTGTCCTTCTGGCTTCAAGGGCAGCATCAGTTCACATACTGCAGCAGACTGTATCGAGGAAGGCATCCTGCGTGCTATACCAACTGCAGCCGTCCGAAAGGTTCCACTGGCTGATGGTGGCGAAGGCTTTGCCCGCGCGTTAGTGGATGCTACCGGAGGCCAAATTCGCAGAGTCCATGTCACGGGTCCCACTGGATATCTCATTCCCTCTTACTACGGAATCCTTGGAGGCGAGTCGAAAACAGCAGTTGTTGAGATTGCCGCAGCCGCTGGACTCAGTCTGGTACCCCCTGGCTATCGAAACCCTTGCATCACAACTACCTTTGGCGTAGGCCAACTCATTGCTGCTGCCTTGGAGGAAGATGTGCGGCGCATTATTGTTGGGTGTGGTGATTCTGGGACGAGCGATGGCGGTGCAGGCATGCTTCAAGCCCTCGGAGCACGATTGATTGATATCAATGGAGATGAACTCCCGCTAGCCGGTGGAGGTGAGGCCTTAGTCTCACTTGCGGATATCGATTTCTCGGGAATCGACTCACGCCTGAAGAAGGTTCGCATTGAGGTCGTTTGCAACTGGCAAAATGTCCTCTGCGGGTTATACGGTGTGGCCCATGTCTATGGACCTCAGAAAGGTGCAAATCCCCAGGAAACAGAGATTTTGGCAACAGCTCTGGATGTGTATGCCTCTGTAGCCGAGCGAATGATTGGACAAAGCGTTTCTAATGCCCCTGGTAGCGGTGCATCGGGAGGCCTAGGGACAGGGCTCCTCCTCATTGGAGCAGAGCTACGCCCGCGATATGAAGCCATCATGCAGTATTTCAACATCGACAGCTTGTTCGATGACTGTGATTTGATTATCACCGCAGAAGGGGCAATCGATTACCAGACCCCGAGGGGAAAGATTCCAGCCGAGATCGCAACGAGGGCCAGGAAATACGGGAAGCCAGTGATTGTGTTGGCTGGGTCCATAGGAGACAATGCAGATGCAAATTATGATGTTGGCATCAATGCATATGTATCTATCTTGCAGCGACCATCAACCTTGCACGAGGCTATTGAGGGAGCAGAACGACTATTGGTGGAGAGTGCAGAGGGAGCAATGCGAATGGTGATGGTGGGAAGAACGCTGAATGGCAGCTTTGTGAATAAGCCCAAGTAATATTGACCACAATAACGATGACAATAGCTATGACGAATCAGCCACTGCTCTTTCATAGCTCCGAAGACTAGAGCTTCATACCTAGGCCACGCAGCTTTCAAGACCAAAAAAAAAAAAAAAAAAAAAAAAAAACAGATATAGAGAACATTGAGACACGACAACCGTTCCTTTGCTTTATTGTCATGTGGATGTCCAGCCGTGGCGCTGGATCTTAGTACAGAGACGTAATAGCTTCATTTTAATAGCAAGGAAGCTCTATTTGATACGCCGCGGGAATTATTCCCACCTTGGACAGTGCGATATTGGCACGAGTGCAGATCGTTAAGCGGGAAGAAATGCTATCGAAGGTGTCGCGTCTAGCGTCGATACTAGCGTAAATAAAGCAATTAACGAGACAACGTCGGCTGCTAGCAGTAAGATTTAAACTTAAGTACACGACTTACAGTTATATCTTTCTCGATACTATGTTATTGGCTCTAGAACTACTATAGAGCCTAGGACAGCTTAGAGATAGCGTGCTCCGACCTAAGTGCATCCTTCTTCTTTTATCTATCTGCCGTGCCTAACTCTACGCCTATAAAGGTTAGCAATATACTTCTAGAGATAGACTGAAGTCTGATTTCCGGCTACCGTCAAGTTTCCCTAAGTGTGATCTACTTATATATTTCCGGGTTTATAGTAACCATCTCAAAAGTAATTTTGGCTAGTCGTAAGACTTTTTTTGAAAAAAGCTTTCATCGTTGCTAATTACGACCGGTACACTCTTAGTCACGGTGATATATAGACCTTTTATTTCTAGGGTTAAGAATAGCTTATAGACTTACGGTATCTAGGTTAACCTTAGCGTTAAGATGCTGACTATAGCATAGCTAGCCTTATTATTTTCTATTAGTAATCTAATTATATAGTGAAATGGGGATGGCACGATGGCAGTCTGACATGGCAGACGGGTCGATATCAATGGAGAGAAGACAACCAACCACTCCCACACCCACCGTAGGCGTAGAAAATAGTCTCAGGAAGTGACTGAAGTACTGATCTTGAAGCTGTATCATGAATGAAGAATCTGGTGGAAAAACTGTAGTCATATTGAGGATGGTCGGATGCTATCTCTCTCGAAGACTGCATGCAAGCTTCCTGGAGCATTTGCGACACCACAGGCCAACAATACGCTACTGTCACGGGTTCCACCACTGCAATAGTTAGTTCAGCTTTTCTACTATTCTATCTAATTGCTGCGCCTATAGCGAGTTAATACCAGGAGACAGAAGTGCTCCTTTACATGCTTACTTTGTTATTGAGAAAAAGATGTCTATACCAAGACTGTGTATCAATGCTCTGGAGGGTAGCAGGTAATCTCTATAACATTTGTAGATTTAACCGCCTAATTACACGAATAGATGTTGCTGAATCGGTTTTTATGCTCAGGGCGTCAACCTGATATCTCACCTGTGGACCGGTTCACATTTAGAAGTCAAGGTCCATGTCAGTTATCGAACGCGGCTCTCCAACAATCCAATCATCTTTGATCCATACAAGATTAAATTCATCATCATCCTCATCCTTATCCCCCTCTTCCTTATCTCCCGACACTTCTTTGGGCTCTTCTTCAGGTTCCTCCTCTGGCTCCTCTTCAGGTTCCGATTCAAGCCCATCTTCTGGCTCTTCCTCTGGCTCTGATTCAGGTACGTCATCCGGTTCCTCTTCTGGATCGGATTCTGGCTCCTCTTCTGGCCCATCCTCTATCTCAGATTCTGGCTGTTCTTCTGGCTCCTCTTCTGGATCCTGTTCTAGCTCTTCTTTGGTTGCTCTTCAGGGTCCTCTTCTGGCTTCTTTTCTGGCTCTTCTGGTTCGGATTCTGGCTCCTCCTATGGCTCCTGCTCAGGGTCCTCTGACTGATCGTTAGGATTTTCTTCGGGGTTCTCAGCCTACCTTTCACCTTCCCTTCCGTCGTCTCCTTTGTCACCATTGTCTGCGTCTCCGTTATCTGCATCGCCGTCGCCTGTCTCTCCATCTCCGCTGTCTTCGTCTTCCTCGCCTGTCTCTCCATCCCCATTTTCCCGTCTCCGTTTTCTTCGTCTCCATTGTCTCCATCTCCACCATCCCCCTTTTCTTGGTCTCCTGCGTCTCCATTATCTTCATTTCCTTGGTCTCCTTCATTGTCATCGTTGTCGTTTTGGTTTTCCTCTCCGTCGTTGTATTCGACCCCATCTGCATCGATTCCTTCAGCAGCTTCATCTGCCCCCTCGGCAGCATCACCTTCAGCCGGGTCGCCTTCTTGAGCACCTTCCTCAGAACTCTCATCGCCCTCCACATCCTCGCTTGGTTGCCCGACCTCTGTCGTTGCGCTGGCAGCACTATCGCGGTTACCGTGGGTACTGGCAATGCTCCAAAACCACAGAGCTATGTAGGTTGCGTTCTTTAACAAGTTAGCCAAACTCTCGGGTTATAAAGCACTCAAATTTCTAGGACGAAGAAGCTGAGGCCATTGTTTGTCACTGCTCTAAGACTCACCAATGCGCCAGTCGCGTTGTAAAATTCCAATATACAGAGGTCCTGTCTTCGACTATCTGTAGGGCCCGGCACGATCGTGTATTCGGTGTGTGGATATATGTTTCTAACAATGATACCCGCCATGGTGAACTGGCCTCAGCAATTCAAGTCTGGCTTTTTCTTCTAAACTGGGTTGAAATGCGCCGGAAGGGACGCCAAATGGGGCCAATGAATCTAATAAGGGCCGAGTTGTATCAACCATGGAAGGAGTATATGACTGGGCCATAAGTCTGCATTGTCCGGCATTACGAACCATCTCTTAGCATTCAGCCAAGATCGCAATTTATATTGTCAAGCATTGGGCTTACGAATACTGCATAGAACCAGGTCTATAGATGATCCGAAGGCTTCGGAAATACAGTAGGCCCTAAACCAGCAAATGTAATTAAAATTGCCTTATAAATAGCAGGAAATAGGGGTAATGCAATACAGAGTCATTGATATCTCTAATTGGACGGATAACATCTCAGGTCGTGACATAATCCTTTGGCCTGAATCCTCAGGCAACATCACCTGGAATCACTCTCCGCACTTACGTATTTCTCCGCGTCTTTCACTTCAGTGATTTCCCTGCCGCGTGTCTGATATCTGCGACATATCTATACGATCACAGTGACTGGATCTCAGTTGATGATTAGTGGGGGACGATGTCCTTTGTTACATATAGCAAATGACGACTCGCAAGCGCTACACATCAAACCCATGCGAATGGTGCAAAGGCAGGTCTTATTTCGGTCAGCCGAGGATTGGACGATCTCTCTAACTCGCTCATTTAGTCCGTCATCGAAAATGTAGTGCCTCACTTATGATGACCTGAACGTATGGAATTGCTAACCTCGTTCACTGGAAAGGTGATGGTAAAAGGCCATGCTCGACTTGCATCAAGTCTAAAACGCAATGCGAATCATCTATATCCAGTTTTAAATTCAAGAATGCTCGTCGAAGAAACAGAGACTTTGGCTTTTCCCCCAGTCAAGAATGGGTTGATCCCAATCAGAAAGGTGTGTTCTAGTTGATCCACAGCTTGTCTATTGACTAGCTGATCAGGCTTCAAAGGAGAACTTCATTTCGTACACACCACACAGATCTCAGAGCAAGAACAAGGTTCAGCGAATATTGAGTCTGAGTTAGTACGCCATAGTTCTGCTTGTGAGATGCAAGTAACTTCGCCCGAGCCAGTATCGAAAACAACTACACCAATCAACTATCCGAGTAATTGTGTACTTGACGAGACACATAACATTCATTCCAGCGCTGAGGATGATTCTAAGGGTTTGAACTCATCGCCTGCATATTCTCTATCGGGTAATCGAGCGACTTTATCTACCGGTGGAACGAATTCTGTACCATCTTTCTCTCCCAATGCCTCATCTATCAATCATCAAAGTTACCGACCATCCCAATCGCAATTATCTTTTCCCCTTGAGCGGGATAAGTATCCGCTTGGCCCCTTGAAAGGCCTCCCAGACAAAGATACAGAACATTCATACACTAATTTCGTAGAAGCCTGCTTAATGCGCCATTTCGCCGAAACACTTTCATTTTGGGTAAGTGCGCCCTGACCTTGTTTTGAGTGTCGTCTTGCTGAACGTGAAAATAGTTCGACACGTGCGATCGTGATCGCCATTTCCAGTTAAATGTCCCAGAAAGAGCACTGTTTTGTCCGGTTCTGCGATTCGCTGTATACACTGCTTCTGCTGGCCATTTGACGCGATTAGCGGCTTGTCGAGGTGGCTCAAATTATATCATCTTCGATGGCATTAGGCTCCATGGGCTTACAGCAGACTCCGCTGTGCGCTATCATGATACCTGCATCGCATACCTTATTCAGTTGTCAAATGACCCCAATGAGCAGTACAACGAGGATGTACTCACGGCTGTCACCATCTTGAGGTTTTATGAGCAAATCGATGGTATGGTAACCACTTTCAGCGTTCCATGGCAAAGCTAACTACGATTAGCAGCACCATCCTTGGGAATCGACTCTGAAGCTTATCTCAACACCGTTCAATGCATTGTGAACAATCAGCATGATGACTCTTTTTATGCCTATAGTACCATTCAAGGACCTCCCAGGGATCAAGATCTTCAAGTGATTCCCTCGGCATCCTTACGCCATTCAGCCTGTTTGTTAGCGCTGCGACAGGAGATCTGGAGCGCTTTTCTCAATCAACGCACTTTTCGTCTGCCCTTGTGTCCAGCGAATGACTATACCGTCTTTGATTCCGCCGGGGATTTCTCCTGGACCAATCGGATCCTCGTCTGGTGTGCCGATCTTCTCAAGTTCAGCTTTGGTGAAGGGAAATCAATGACTCCCCAGAAGCAGCTTGAGCAATGGACTAGACTGAAAGCGTTTGAGTTGATGTGGGAAACAAGCAAACCATTGGAGTTCAAACCTCTGTATTTCAAAGAAGCCGATCCTTCCAATGGACAATTCTTCCCTGTCATATGGCACAATAACGCATGTCAAGCAGTGGGTGCGCAGCATATTGAGCTGTCTCGGATTTTACTAGCTGTCTCCAATCCAAAAATGTCTCGGCTTGGACTAGCAGCCCGCGCAGCGAATATAGCATTGGAGGAGGAGCTGAGAGTCATCATTCGTCGACTTTGTGGTATTGCGCTATCGAACTCCAATCCGGTCTTGATGGTGGATGCTGCAGTTGGTATTTCTGTCTGCGGTGAATATTTCAACGATGCTGCGGAACAAGATGCCATTTTGAAATTTTTGGCCGATCTTGAATATCGCCATGCGTGGCCGACGGCCGCCACTTCTGCGGCCCTCAAGGAGGCTTGGCAGAGTTAATCAATTCCTTAATCAGGCATTCTTTGCTGAATCTCATTAAATTATGTACACACCCTCCTTCTTCTCTCAATGCGTCAGTGGATATAGACTTATCACAAGACGATCGTATCCTCAGGAATTTGTGGGCCACCTCGGTCGTGTCGCGTGTCAATCTCTCACTATTTTATCTTATCTAAGGGCCTTTTTACCAATCCTAGGTGATGGCATAGATGACAGCGGATCTCTAAATAAGTACTAATATTAATGCCTTTGCTCAAACTAACACCCGTCATTTATAATCTCCTTGAGACCCTCTATGACAAATGACAAAAGTTGCTGAAGTGTCATCCGAGACCCGCGGAGATCTACTAATGAGATTTAAGTACTGCGGGTTGCACGATAATGGGTCCCATCAAAATCCAAACGACATGACCATGGTTCTCAAAACTTGCGTTCGAAATTCCGCAAGGGTATCCCAATTGGGCCAAGATTTCCGCAGCACATTCCCCTATCACATATGAGATGCGGGTCGATCACTCTCGATTTTTCATACTGCACTCGGACCTAGTTCACAGCGAGCTCTGCGCAGTTTTTCTCCCTCAAAATATGCATTCCCTTCTCTTGGAATGTTTTCGACGGAAGGGCAATTATTTCCGCCCCTGCCGTAATGCCTCTGTTGGGTGTAAGTTGCTCGGCTTAAGATGTATTTTGGGTAATCTGTTGGATATCTGGCAAATACTCGAATCCCATCGTGAGCAATATATAACCAGGCTGCTCAACTGACGCATGTTGCCAAAAACCTTCCCTAAACACGACACTTCGCAACCATGTTGCCAACTATGGTCATTTTTGCAACACTAGTTTACCTGGCTATATACTGGCTGATTTTGCCTGTTTTACGTTACGTCCGCGATCCAAAAGGCCTCCGAAGATTCGAAAACTACTCCATCTTCTCTGGTATTACGGATGTTCCTTATTGCTATTTGAGCGCCTGCGGCTTTCGATCAAGAGACCTCACAGAGGCACACAAAAGTTCTGCCATCCTGCGAATCGGTCCCAACAGTCTCTCGTTTGGCGACATTCGTGCAGTCCGGGATATCTATGGGCACTCAACTTCCTGTGTCAAGGATCTCAAATATGCAATCACGGGTGGTCCTCATCCCAATTTGTTTGATGTGGTGAACAAAGCAGATCATAGCGCGAAGAGGAAAAGGCTCTCGGCTGCATTCGCTATCAAAAACCTTGTACAATGGGAGTTTAAAGTCGCGTTTACTACAAAGCGACTTCTGAATGCCTTCGATAAGCTCTGTACGCAACCGTTGCCGACAAATTCCTTTCCCGACCCTTCCGACCTGACTGTGGATTTCAACCACTGGATCAACCTTTTTACAATTGAGGCAATCAATAATATTGCACTGTCCTCGACGTTAGGTCTTCTGGAAAAAGGAGATGACCTCGTCACTGCGCAGCGAATGGACGGTTCAACCTACCAGGCACACTACCGCAAGGCTCAGAATCAGAGTGCCTTCGTTGTATCTCACTTTGTGTGGGACTACGGCAATTTCAAGTTGTTTAGTTGGATCTCTAAGCTTTTCCCTAAGTGGCGGAGAGTTTGGAAAGATGCAGAGCCGTGGAAGGACGTTATCTATCACCAAGCCGTCACTCGCATGAAGCGACATGAAAATGGAGAAGACCTTGATGACTTTTTTTCAACAATGATGAATGACAAGGCTGGCGAGCCACATAATTTGGAATGGGGCGAGATTGTTGGCGAAATTGGTGCCATTATCGATGCCGGTGCCGATACCACAGCCATTGCCTTGACTCAGCTCATCGATCTCCTCATTCGCCATCCGGAGCATTTGGAGACTCTTAGGCAGGAAGTTGATGGCGTTCTCACTGAAGATGAAATCGTCGCTCCATATGACACTGTCAAGCATCTCCCTTTCCTACGCGCTTGTCTTGATGAGGCTATGCGGGTAATTCCCCCTACCTCGGCAGGCCTACCTCGCCGAACGCCCCCCGAGGGTGGGATGGTCCTTGGTGAATGGATACCAGGTGATACGAGCGTATCTATGACAATCTACGGTGCACACCATAATCCGACTGTGTTTCCGAATCCGGATGAGTTCCAACCCCATCGTTGGATGGATCCTGAAGAGAGGAAAAGAATGGAGCCATATTTTATCCCTTTTTCGACAGGGGCAAGAGGTTGCATTGGCCGGAATATCTCGTATCTAGAGCAAACTGTCATGCTCGCTTCTTTGGTGCACCGATATGAGTTTGCATTACCGAGTCCTGAGTGGAAGTTGACGCGGCATGAGGCATTTAACCTTTTGATGGGCGATATGCCTATCAAGCTTTGGCGGAGAAAGATTTCTGCTGGATACTAGTTTGCTGGGTCATATTTGGATGCAATCACTTTACGGAACTAAATGGATGAGATTGAGCTTGAATGGAATAAACTCGCTGTGTCTATAAAAAAGGACAATTTTTCTGAATCCAAATCTAGTGTTCAAGGAAAAATAAATCCACAAAATTGATAGGATGGCTTCTATGTATAGTAACTAGACCTATCTCTCAGAACAGTTGTGTTGCATTCGGAACTTGAATTTACGCACGATATATGAGTTTCTTCGCAATTGCGGAAAAGCCGCCACTATCATGGAAGTCTCTCAACAAAACTACGGGTCGAAATCAGGTGTACCTTGATGCGGAAATAACTTACAAGCTCATCCGCAATCCATTCAAGCGTCATGAGTGTATTCAAGTTCAACGTCAGCGCGAATCCGAGTTGTCCCAACAACCGAGGATCAACCATCCTGAATTGCTTCGAACTATGGAAGCCCAATAGCCGGCCCAGCTTACCCAACCCAATATTAATTATCACTAAATATACAAGTAGTGAAGCGGGATATATTTCGACAATCGGACTGGATATCTGCATGTTGAAGATATGTCCAAAATGGACAAAATTTCCGCAACCCCACGGGGTAGATCAGCGCCAAGCCACTTGGTCCCCGTGCGACTGTCGCACAAATCACAGGCGCCCTAAATGGAATGAAGACTCTATACTCTATGTACCCCTCACAGCACTATCTGTGCTATATAAGCCTTGCAATGTCTCCAATCTTAATTTACAAGTTTCTCAAGAGATCAATTTTATTCTGATTCCTACAAGAGCTAAATTTTTAGTGCCGCCAACATCATGGCAGATCACAATGATAATTCAGCACAGGCTGCTAAGAAGAAGGCTTCTTTTATTCATGATGAAGAAAGAAGTGAGGATCACCTCGACTTCGCAGTTGAACAAATAGCCAACGAAAGAAATGGCATCAAAGGAATCCTCAATTCACCGTTTGTCTGCGGTGCAGCTCTACTAGCATCTTTTGGAGGGTTCTCGTTCGGTTATGGTAAGTCCTTCACGATGAGATATGAATTTTCTGATCACTGATATAGATCCTTAGATCAGGGAGTAATCTCTTTAATTCTAGTGATGCCTCAATTCATCGATCAGTTCCCTCAAATCGACTCCAATGCCCCAAGCTACGGATTCCACGTTGGATTCCTCACAGGAATGCTAGAGCTCGGCGCCTTCGTGGGGTGCATCTTTTTTCCATACCTTGCTGACCGTATTTCACGGAAATGGGGAATCAGCATTGCAACCGCATTTTTCTGTATCGGCGCCATTATCCAAACTGCAGCCAATGAATATGACGCACTTGTTGCTGGCAGGTTTATCGGTGGAATCGGTGTTGGCACATTGGCAATGGGTGCACCGCTGTATATCTCGGAGATTGCTCCTCCAAATTTGCGAGGCTCACTGATGGTGCTTGAGGCCATCAGTATTGTCATAGGGGCCATTGTCGCATACTGGATTACATATGGGACGAGGTCTGTACCCCCGTCTCCAATTTTTGTTTTTCTCTAATATTCAATGCGGTGAATAGAGCGATCCAAGGTGACTGGTCATTCCGATTGCCTTTTCTCCTTCAAATGATTCCAGCCCTGATAGTTGGCGGGGGGATTCATCTATTCCCTTTTTCACCTCGGTGGCTTGCCCTTCGCGACCGAAAAGAAGAAGGCCTAGTATCACTAGCCCAGCTACGTCAATTACCTTCTTCAGATGAAACAGTTCAGTTAGAATGGAGGGGGATCCTCACCGAAGTTCGGTTCCAGAGACAAGTAATGCACAGTGACTATCCCAATACAGGATCAGCGATGATGGAACTCAAGGGATGGATTGATCTTTTTCGTCCACGGTATCTTCGCAGAACGGCGGTCGCTATTGCTATCCCTTTTTTCCAACAGGTATCCTTCCCATCCCACTGAGAATCATTGCGGAGATGTTAACAGAAATTAACACAGTTTTCCGGCATCAACGCCTTTGTATACTATGCCCCTACATTCTTATCACGACTCGGTCAAAGTTATCGCATGTCTTTGATTCTCTCCGGGCTAGTCAATGTCGTTCAACTTGCGGCTGGTATTCCCACACTCGTATTTTTGGATAGTATTGGCAGACGAAAGCTTGCTATCACTGGTGGGTTTGCTATGGCTATTCCACATTTGATAATGGCAGGCATATATGGAAGGTTCAGCGATAGCTGGACTTCTCATAAGGGCGTCGGTTGGTTTGGAGTGGCTCTGATATGTAAGAACTCGCTAATTTTGGTCACAATTCCATTGTGTGTTCTGATAAAATTCACAACCAGATATTTATGTTGCCTGCTACGCTGCTTCATACGGGCCCCTCGCTTGGGTTCTTCCAGCAGAGGTATTCCCAAGCTCCAGACGAGCAAAGGGTGTTGGTCTCGCGACTGCGACTATCTGGCTAGCCAATTTCATAATAGGAACTGTGGTTCCCCAGATGCTTGTTTCGCTGGGATGGGGCACCTTTCTATTTTTCGGTCTGTTCTGCGTTGCTGGTGGTATATTTTCTTTCTTCTTTGTCCCAGAAACATCAAACAAGTCCCTCGAACAGGTCGCAGGGGTATTTGGGGACGATCTTCACCACGGTGAGGTGGAGATCCGGGCACAAATTGAGCGAGAGGTATGGCGAGAAACTAGTATGCAGGCTCATGTCTGAGACTCTTGAATCTTTACAAACTCCACAAGCCAAGAAACTGGGTCCTTATTGATGGTCTGGCCAACTTGGTTTCCTTATAACCTTTGCCATGATGTGTGAGGGCGTTTTAGCGCGTGCCCTCCGGCGTTGAACATAAACTCGTCCAAACTAATTATGTCAGAGGAGCTGAACATAAGATAAAATACTTGAGGATCTCCGACATCCAGACCCTGTCCATTGAATCGCCGAGGATTGGTTTTTTATTCTCAAACGTGACATAAACAATGACAGCATTCCTATTCTTCATCTGAATAAGAGGTGAAAAAGCATGGCACTGTCACCTATGCACGTTAACATGTTTCAAGTAAAAACTAGTTTATAACCATGCTCTTTGTCTATATACTATATACATGCTCTTGTTGCCTATTATTTTTATACAGTGGCATGTCTCTATGGCCACGCCATTAAGTTGCCTGGTTTAAGGTCAGAGCATCTCATAAGAGCTTTCTAGTAAAAGCCACCTCTTCAGAAAATACTAATCTGTTTTCTTAGAAGCATAAGACCTCATCAGTACTCTGCACCGCTTCCAGGAATGACAATATGTTCGTGGGGAGCCGAAAATACACCGTGGGTCCCGCATATCATGTCTCGACATCCATACTTCGGGCATATCCTCGTTGAAAAATAATTGGGGCGGGTTACAGCCAGGTCTAATACCGTGAAGGCTGAAACAAGAACTCGATGGGACTCAAAATTCAAACCCGCAGGTTCTTTGGCGTCAACCTGCTACAGATGGAAAATACATTTTTATAGATCTCCTCCGAAACCGTGCAGCTTCTGAGGGCCTTTGTGAGCAACACGGCAAAGCCGACCGTCCTTGTGCTGCTTCCAAGCCTCGGAGCCGACGGCAGTGAAAGCATAGAAGACGTCCTCCGGGTCATACTTAGCCTTGATCTTCTGCAAGGTGGGATAATTCTTGCCGAAGAAGTACTTTTGCCACTCCGGTTGCCGGAAGTCGGCCTGTGATGGGCCATTAGCATTAGGTCCAACCATATCTCTCCGCACTTGAATATCGGTGAAAAAGCTTGAAACCATACCTCGTTCATGTAAGCTCCCGAGTTCGGCGCCAGAGCCATCAATTTGGGCATGTACACATCAGTCATCTTCCGCTGCTCCTCGAGCATGGCCTTATTGGCATTGAATTTCCAGGGAGTACTGATGGTTGTGGCAATCAAGGTATCACGCCAAGCAGGCAGGACAGAGTTGTGAACATCCCCAACAACCTCCTGGGAAACGTTCAAAGCAACACCAATGAAGGTAGCACCGTCCTCAGTGATCTCCCTGTAGGCCTTGGTCAGGGCCTTGTTGTTCTTCTCAACCACCGACCGGGGAATCAACCAGCCGCCATACTGCGCCTCACCCACACCAATCTCCTGTTGCATGCCGTTGAACTCGTCAAGGTAGCTATCATACTGCTTGGAGTACGACGTATACTTGATACCCAACCCTTGGAGATCCATCAGAAAAGGCTTAATCAGCGAGAGAAGCTTCTTTTCAGTTATGTTAGGACCGGTCATAGGCGAGATCGCAAAGCTGGTGTTGGTGTAGAACCAGATGGTCATCACACCAGCATCCACGATATTCGGCAGTCTCGTGTGAAACAGCTCAACGGCATTGTAGAACTTGTCCTGGGAGATGTTGGTGCTAGTAAAGGTCAAGTTGAGACCCGAGACGGGGGTACCTGGGTGCGCCTTGGAAGTCATCGACCAAACGATGCCGAAGGTGCTACCACCACCACCGCTGAGAGCCCAGTAGAGATCAGAGAACTTGTTGTCGCGAGTGGCGGTAATGAAGCTTCCATTGGCGTCGATTACCTCCCACGAAAGGACCTGGTCGGCACCAAGTCCATAGCGGGAAGCGAGCGCCGAGTGGCCGCCACCCTGGCTGTAACCACCAGCAAGACCAACGGTAGGACATTCGCCTCCGACAACCTGAACGCCAGCTTTTTGAGCTGCCTCATACGCTTCGAAGCCCTGCACACCAGCGCCCATGGTAATGGCCTTTCCATTGTAGTGGGGGTCCTTGTAGTCGTGGATTTTGATGTCCTTGATATGGTGTGTCCAGATACCGAGAGCACCGGCACCAGTAGACTTTCCATTGTAGTCATGGCCAGTGTTGCGAACAACAACACGAATATTCTGCTTGGTCGCGAATTTAAGGGCCTTGGAAATGTGCTCGGGAGTAGTGACGTTGACTGAGTAGGAAACATAATTGCCCGAAGTGCAGGGCTTGGAGACAGGGTGGAAAGGATCACAGGTGCCATTGCTGAAGAATGGAGCCATGATCGAAGAGGAAGATTTATAGCTAATTTTTAATTACTTAACCAGTCTTTGCGAACACATTGAGCTTCCAGGGCACTTACTGCTCCTCGGGTACTGTCCAACCCTCGCGTAATGTCGCACATTCAGCAGCATCGTAGTTAGGCGCATGGCAAGGCTGACCCAGAGGGACAGTCTTTACCAGCCGACCATCAATTGACTGGTTAAACTTAATCCAAACCTCGTCAGAAGGCCAGCAATCATCGCCAGGGAAGCATCGGCAGGCCGAAGAGGCTTGCGCGGACACCGCCAGTAGGGATGTTAATAGGAAAGACAACATTTTCTTGGAATTGACAATTCTAATCAGATCTATTGGGGGAACTTGCATTTTAAATAAATTGACTGCGTTGATTAATGCATGAAGGGTCGACCCGCTTAACAGTGATTGGAGGCCCTTGGGACGATCCCCTTTTCGCCCCCAATTCGGCCGTGTCATTTATGTTAGTTACCATTCATTTAACTTACCTTTTGTCTTACTTATGTGTGGCCTTATACTCCGAGTCAGTGGGGGATTGAAATCCACCAACCTTCCTCACATAAGCCCAGTTGATCGGAATATTGCTTAGCTGGTTAGTACTAGAAAACGATATTGGATGAGTATCTGCCCCCGAGAAGATCGACAAAGTCGGCTCTCCTAGTCTATCGCCTTAGGAAGTGCGTTCGGTGCGATAAATATCGTGCGTGGTTTATTATACTGACCTTCAACTGTTAAAACTGATGTCTAGGGCCCTAGAGAGACGAATACGCTCTAGATTTCATCTCCATGGTTAGTGTCTAGGTCGGTCAAATGCTTACTGGTAGGACTGGGAAGGGTATGTCGTGTAACCAACTGGTTTAGAAAATGATGCAGTCAACCTTGTTGCTGCTGGGACTCGTTGCCGATGCCAACTGAGTACAACATACATGTAATACACTCAGAGTGCGCAGCTTCTTCCAACAGGCAGGCAGGATTTCCGAGGGCGACTGGGGCGTCCGAGCGCTGATTAGTCTGCTGCCAAGAAAAAAGAAGCCAATAAATAGTAGTATCTGGCTGGCGTTTCGAAGCGCGCATTGAACATAAGGATATCGACGACTTGAATGGTTAAAGTTCATGATTTGTTGCCGCTTTTTTCTTTCATTCTTGGATACTTGTATTGAGACATATTTGACTTATGGGAGTGCATCTTACGGTCTTAAAGAGGTAAGTCACATAGATTGCCACATGTTGTAATTTGGAGAAAATAAAAAATCCGGACTCTAGATACAATTGAACTAAATTCTCACTGCCTAGATGTTTTTTGGAAGAGATGTAGAAATCAAGAGATCAAACCTCCACCCACACATGTCGTTTCATGGCCGCAGCTTAGCAAATGATCCGGGTATCCGAGCCATGAATAGGGCCCATCATCAGCGCCTCCACGATCTCACCCTTGATCCCGACCCCCCGTCCTGGACGGAGCACAACTAAAGCATTGGCTTTGGCAAGGCTGCCTATACGCGGGCTGGGCTGGCCTATAGCATCAACACCAATGCTCGTAGCATATAGTCGGCCGTCCGAGCGAGAGCCCGTCACGACAGCACGGTGGTACTCGGTGCGTTTGGGGTCGAGATGGAAGTGGTGGGTCAGAACGACAGCGACACGAGGTAGTCCTAGCTGTGGCGGAATCCACGGTTTAGTGACAATAGCCTGGGAGCTCTCGCCTAGGCCGGCAAGTTTGTGCAGGGAAGACAGGACGAAGAGGTTTAGGGTGAGCAGCGCCGAGGAGGGCGTTTCGGGGAGCGAGAATATTAGCTTTGAGATGTGTTCCTGCTGGGCATCTTTGGCAGCTGCGTCAGTCTCGGTAGCATTGAGGGGTACCGTCGCGAAGGTAGTGCTCATGCCGGGCTTCATAAAGACACGGTCGAAGTGAATGGTGCCACCGAGCGAGAGCTCAATGATAGTGTTGTAGTTTATATTGTTCATGGATACGCCGCCAGTGGTCACGAGCACGTCAACGCTGGAGGATACACGGCCTACGCCGCGTAAGGAGGAATGTAGACTGTGTTCGAGACTAGACGATGGGCCGCGGGCGATACCAAGATCCACGGTCTCAAACCCCCAGGAGGCTAGGCAGGATAAGAGGGATGGACGATTGGAATCGCGGATCTGGCCACCGACAAGGGTGCAGGGGTCGGAATACTCCACGAGCTCGTCACCGATACTGAGGACGCCCACCCGGGGCTTCTTAAATATCTTGACAATTCGGGTGCCCGTGGCAGCAAGCAGACTTATTTCGGCCGGGGAGATGAGATCTCCACGAGCGAGGATCTTTGAGTTAAGGCCAATGTCGCTACCGGGCTCGCGGACGTTTTCACCTGGGACGATATCATCGGCCAGGATTTCGACGCTTGCTTCTTCTTGGCCATCTATAGTTGAAGAGGCTGTGTCCTCGACCATAACTACAGCGTTGGCATTAGGAGGGAGGGGCGCGCCGATGGTAACTCTAGCAGCGGTTCTTGGTTGTAGGGGCTCTAAGGCTCCGCTCACCTTGGCGTGAGCGAATGACGCTAGAAGGAAAACGCCTTTAGTGGATTTGCCTTCTTCAGCAGTGATAGCGTAGCCATCGATGCTGCTGGAACGGTATGCTGGTACCATCTCGGCGGCGTAGACGTCTTCGGCAATAACTGAGCCGATAATGGAAGTGGTCACTGGCGTATCAACCACAGTGGATGCAGGGGTTCGCTCGCTAATTATGCGGAGTGCTTCCTCTACGGAGACCGCGGGACGGGCATAACTGTGGCAGCGCTGATCGGCGCCCTCGGTGGCGCCTTTGGGGTTGGATTGGGACTTGTCTGGTGGAGATATGTGTTCTTTCTGGATGCCATGGCCATGGGCATGTTGGTGATGGTGTTGAAGTTGAGGGCTAATAGTGACACCGGCTTTATTATGTACTCTCTTCACACCACTAGTATGTAAGAAGCGCGAGTTCTGCAGGAAGGCATGAGGGAGGAGTTTCAGAACTGCTTCAAGCCTCTCCATGGCTCCTATGGGGTATCCTGGTAAAGTGATAATCAATGACTTCTCACGGATACCACCAAACGGTCTTGCCATCTTTGTGACTAGATGGGGGTCAGCTGCGGTGTATAACGTAGTGTGGGCTAGAGGGATCCTATCATCTCACATGGAGTAAGTTTCAAAGTCTCGGCGACCATGCCATGGCTAGACAAGGTGTTATACTTAGCGGGGTTCCAAGCCATAGATGTCATCATGTACACTCACAGTAGATTCGGGACATGGCGATGAATCAAGGTAGTTATAGCCTAGGGTTATGTCCTTAGCACACGAGAACCAGATGGCCAACTGAAATCCCAACGAATCCCCTCACCTCAGGGGTATTGTCTTTGACTCCGAAGCCTGTCGTAGAACTAAGCAAAATCAGATCATACCAATAGGAGCCATCAGACCAGTCGCAAACTGCTTGCTGGATTTTGGAAACATTGTTCGGAACGATGCGAACTGCAGGGGGTTCCCATTTACCCTCCCTGGCGAAAATGGGCGCAAGAACCCCAGCTGTGCGGTCTAAAGTGGGATCCTTGAATGCCGTATCGGAGATGATTAGAATGGCAGCCTTTTGATTTGATTCCATTGTGCTGAGAGATGGGTTCCAAAAGTGTAGGAACATACGTGAGGTCTTTTAAATCACGAAGAACTGGGGTGTGGCGAAATTCGGGGTCATGAGGTTACAAAGCTCTCTCGCTAGTGGAAATTCCGTGCTAAGTTTATTCTAGTATCTCTAGTTTGCCATGTTGCTTTTTTCATTCATTCGAATGAACCGATTTGATCTGTAGGCGAGCTGCATTTGTGGACATTAAGCGACCTTCGGCTTCGAAAACACGAACCAACTGCGGCGATTGATGACTTAATATCTCAATCATCTTTTATAGTGCAATGCGCTTACGAATAGTTCTATCCTTGTATATCCAGTATGTTTTGATAGTTTCCATTTATCCTTTATGAAAGACACATCTGATCGACCAAATCATATAGAAGATCATGTAATATAAGTCATAATGTTTACGCCCCGTGTACGCATTGAATTATCAAGAAGCACGCAGGTGGATTATTTATCCTCGAATCAACTCAAACTAGCTTCTCGTCCTTGAAGGACGAAGTTGTAATTCATCGGATCCAAGTATTTGTTCTCAGATTCACAGCTCGCTTAATGACCAGGGCTCGCTTAATGTCCATATGTGCAGGTCGATCAGGGGCCACGTTAAGATGGCAAGGGGAAATCTCATGTTGGAGTTTGTTTAGTGCCAATACTTGTTCCTCGTTTGTGGCAGGCCACTCTTTAGGTGAGGACTTCGAAGAGCATCCACGAAGCAATCTCTGTCTTCGCTTCATGGTCGACTCCGCATATGCGCTAGTGTCCTCAACTATTCAGCCGCTTCAATGTTCCGTGGGTCTGACAGGTGAAAGTCCCAATGGTTTAATGCCCTACGCTATCACAAACTAGCTCGCGTCTATCAGAAGAGTAATCATTGGATTGAATTTAGTGTCACACTAATAAAGATTATGAGTCTCGAGGTGACGAGAGCACAAGAAATGACACAGACAATCTGGAATTGAAAATTAGTGGACTGAGCGATTGCCAGCAATTTGGAAGAGGGAAATTATCCTATATATTACTTCCACGATGCCCTCGTCTCTTCTCATATCTCCGATAGGTTCGGTACCTATATCTCTAGAGTCATACAGTCTCATATGGAACATAGAATATATTTCAGGCTTGAGTCCAGCAGATTTCGCTATTTCTGTGGAACAATTTATCTACTCATGATCCCCGAGGCCGGATCTTTTTTCAATATTCAACGCTAGACTATCATCATTGAATGATTCCCGATCGTTGACGGCGACGGAACCAGATATGCAAGAACAAAAAGACGACAACGCCCACCGCTAGCATCGCAGAAATGACAGAAAATCCCATAATATACTTAGGGCTATCATCTTCTGGGAACAGGTACTGTGTATTCTGGGTTAGCCTTGTGTCCAAACAGAGAAGGCGACTTGGTGAGAGACGTACTGATCCGTAGATCTGTGCTAAATTACCCAGCGCATTCACCATAGCCAAAGCAACACCTCGGGCCTGGGGGTGCATCCCGGCGAAGGCAGAAGAGGCATAGGCCAGTGTACCTCCATTAGTGGCCCAGAGGCCGGATGCCATGAGAATCAGGAGAACATAGCGAGCTGTGAAGTTATACACAGTACAGACAATAATCGAACATATCAGGGCAAACGTCAGCCAGCTGGCAATAATGAGACCACGCCAATTTGGTACTTTGTCACTATAGTAGGATGTGACGCCGGTGGCGATGAATGCCACGCCATAAATTGGCACAGTCAATAAGTTAATCTTTTTGGTGGATGCGCTTCCGAAGAGTCCTTCTACGAGGGTAGGGTAGAAGTAAGTGAGGGTGCTCGAACCGACAATAACCTGTAGAGAATGGGCTGTTTAGTGAAGTTAAGGACAGACGCCAAAAAGGGGGCCCAACGAACCATATATCCAATCACGAACGCCCAGGTTCGACAGTCTTGGCAAGCCACCTTGCAAGCACCCAAGCTACTTAGATGCTCGCTATCATGGGTGGTAGCGGTGACATTATCAAGAGCCAGACGTGCGACAGCGATCTTCTTTTCGCGCTCCGAGAGACGTCGCGAGGTCGCGGGGAAATCAGGAAGAATAAAGAGGGAAATCATAGCGAAACCGATAGTGGCGGCACCTTCAATAATAAACAGCCACCGCCAACCACGAATACCATGAACGCCTTCAAGGCCATCAACAATACCTGCAGCAATCAGGCCACCAAAGGCGCCCGAGAGAACGGCCGCCGATATAAAAACGCCGAACCTCTTCGACTGCTCGGTCTGCTTGTACCATGATGACAGGAGAAGTATCACACCAGGGGCAAAGCCGGCCTCGACACATCCAAGAATAACTCGAAGAACTACCAGATGGGTGAAGCTCTTGACAACAGCCATCACACAAGTCAATATACCCCAGAGAATCATGATTGATGGGAGAAAAATGGATGGTCGGGATTTGCCCAGAGCAAGACTGCAAGAAAAGGGCAGTTAGTGGTCAATATCTGAGGATGAGTACTGTGATCGGATTGTCTTACTTGCTGGGCACCTCGAAAACCACGTATCCGACGAAGAAAACAACCAGGGCAATTGAGTATTGGTTGGATGTCAAGTTGAGATCTAGTTCCATGCCAGAGATTTTTGCATTGCCGATACTGTAAATAAACGCCCGTTACCACCCTAACAGAGTATACTGCCTTTATCTTTAGCGTGTTCTCACTTACTTTGTTCTGTCCAGGTAGGAAAGGAGGTACATGACCCAGATAGTGGGCAGGAGGGTAAGGTCGATCTTCCTCACCAACGCCCTTTCCTCTTCGGTGGTGAACGAGACACCCTCGGTGATATTCACGTTCTCAATCTCATGAGAGGAGATGTCCTTCAGTTGACTCTCAAAGTCGGCAGAGTCCATGGTGGCTTGTTGGAAAAGCTGAGGTGAAAGATAGTAAAGAAAAAAATTCCACTTTGAACATTAGGCTCCTTACAGGATGTTTATGTTCCACACCCTACCCAGGATATACAAGGCTACGGCTGTTGGACTCGAGGAAACCCCGGCTTTTGGCTCATCAATCATGCTCCGGATTTACCGTATCCACCTCCACAACTTCGTGAGCGCCACTTCCCGCTCTCCGCAGACTGGGGAACAGTACGCGATTGGCGCGTGGGGGTCGCATCGAGGCCAACATGGAGCCTCTCGTCAGCGCCAATCATGCCCCCTGAATTTATCGCACTAATATTTCGAGATTCGCAGAAGTCTATATTCCGCGGTCTGATCACCCCATGGAGAGTCAACACAGAAACCGCGCCATTTAACGGCATACTCACAAAAAAAAAAACCTTCATTAAGCAGGACAGGAGTGCACAAAGACCAGCAGATGGCAAGAAAAGCAGGTCACATATAAGAAAGGACCAATAATTTCCATCACAGGGTGGTAGACACTAATCTAAGTTGGTATAGCTCATAACAAAAATAAACCTTTTCTTTCTTTGTTGTAATTGGCGTGCAAGATGTAGTTCAGGAGCAAATTTGTACGATTGGTACGCAGAAGAAGTTGGAGAGTACAAAAAGGTAGAGGTGTGCAAAGGCGGTTGGAGTGGTAAGGAGAGTTCTTTATTATTAGCCTTGTATGGTGCAGCAGCTCCAACTCGCTATCTTTCTCGCGTAGTGTGAGTCGATCACGGTCGTCGCACGCCTCGATGCGAGAGAAATCAGTGGATAAGGCTCGCTTCGAAGGCCCCGGACTGTCTGAAGACCGCTGATTGGTTACTTTATTCTCACGGAGAAGGACCATTGGTCAGTCTCGGGTAACAGCTCTCGGCAATGCGTGTGCAGGGATGTTTGAACTGCCCCATTCGTCAATAGAGCTGCGCGACTCCAGTATATGGAGCTCGTCTGTACGCTTTTAGGCGATATTGGTGTCGTTTGGCTGAACGAAACCTCATGGCAGACTTAAAACGGCACCCTCCCAGCACAATGGCTTATCAATCCTTTGATACTCCCTAGTTCTCACAACAAACAAACACATTTTGAATAATGCCTCCAAGTATGCACGACATAGCCACAGGCGTCCCTGTTGCCAAGAACGATGGCAATGGCACCGATGCCGCAACACCAGCCCAAGTGACATCCGATGCGTCACCTGCCTTCCTAGACACGCAGCCAGGTCCAGATCACGACTGGAGAATCACCTTGAAAGACAAGGTCATCGCCATCACTGGTGCCAACCGAGGCATTGGACTAGCAATAGCAGAGGTCTGTCTAGCCAACGAGGCAGCAGCCGTCTTCAGCTTGGATGTGTTCGAACCCAGCGAAGAGTTTGCCGCCCTGCAAAAGGCCAACCCAAAGCGGCTATATTACATCCACTGCGACGTCACCTCCGAGGAGAGTGTCAACTCCGCGATCGATGCTGTCATCTCCACACGAGGGGCGGTGCACGGCTTCATCGCAAACGCCGGCATGACAAAACACCAGCCGGCACTGGACTTCAGCCGCGCCCAGCTGGACCAACTGTTCAATCTCAACGTGTTTGGCGCCTACTTCTGCGCTACTGCTGTTGCGCGCCGGTTCATTGATCTTGGAATCAAGGGATCCATTGTCTTCACTGCTTCCATGACATCCTATCGGCCCAACCGCGCGGCGCCCTCGGCTCCCTACGGAGCTACTAAAGGTGCCGTGCGGAATATGACACACACTCTGGCTATGGAGTGGGCCAAGCATGGGATCCGTGTCAACTCAATTTCGCCTGGCTTTATTAAGACGGCTATGACATATTTTGTGGATCAAGCTCCGGACTGGAACCTCAAGATGCAATACTATGGCGGCATGCCTAGATTAGCGGACCCGAAGGAGCTTGGTGGAGCCTATGTGTACTTGCTTTCTGACGGTGCGTCTTACACTACTGGAATTGATATTCCGGTTGCTGGTATCGTCGGGGCATGGTGAGAGTCTGATTTCATGATAATGGCGAAAGAGATGATCCCCGGATGACGCTTAGAAGGCGACTTAGGGCTCAATTAGAGCAACAATGATATTCTTGTTTGTACTCAAACTCAGTCCATGGAAAACCCGTGTTGGACTGATCCCAGTTACTATGATATTACTATACATTGCGCCATATGAAATTAATCTAGTTGGGAGAACCCTGCCTCGTCTCTGTTTAAAATCTTTCTTGTTACAACTCATTCCAGCCAGACCTTGTTGAGTTTAGCAACAAGCCCTTTACCGGGAAATTTGCTAATCCTCAGCATTCTCTCCAAAGTACGGAGCAGCTCACGTTGCATCTCAGGCGACCGAACAAATTGGCCAACTTGGTTTTGTCAGTAAGGACCGCAACAAAATCAGGGAGCGACATTTACCTCCAAACAGAGCCTGTACGTTAACAAAGGCTATTGCTGATTCATGTTCCTGGCACGCATTGGCGATGCCGCAGACCACCTTGACACTTTCACTTAGCTGCTTGTCGCGGAGGCAGTAGGCGTTGAGACCACCCATCGTGGGTTGATTCAGTAGCACAGTGGCTCTTGCAAAATGGTACATCTGCATAGCGCCTGCGTGGTTAGGCGGGTGAATCCAGATAGGCTGGAACACAGCATCTGGTCCGGGATCCGTAACGACAGTGACCGGCTGGTAAGAAGCGGGGAGCACGCGATGCCAGTCATCGAGTGCGCGGAGAAGTCTGTCACCCTCCTGGATTCTGTGTCTTGGATCCTTATTTGGCGACATCTCATCCGAAGCGGCATATTTTACACACTTGCCGCAGATGTACACTATCCTTGCTGCAAGCTCATCTGAGTCGAGCTCTTCAAGGCTTTTCCGAGCACGCCAGAAGGTAAGCGTTGGCCGCCCCGTCTGGAAAGCCGCCCAAATGTCCTGCCGGAGCCATGCCCACCACACGGCTCGCCTCAAGCCGTCCGCGGACTCGCCATCATTATCCTGAGACCGTTGTATCCAGAAGGAGCCTCGCAGGTGTTGCTCCCAGTCACCGCTAGTCGAGGCGTTGTCGGCATCAAACATCTCATACGTACTGATCATGGTGGCTGTTGCCAGGATCTCACTGGATTTCGAATAGGAAGGATAGAGTAATGTCTGCGAGAGATATTGAAGCGTTTCATAGTAATACTGCGTAGCCAAGTGTGTCGGATCTGGTTTTGACGGCAAATTGGTCGCTGCTGCTAGCGAGGTTGGGGTATGTGCATTTTCATCTGGTAAATGCGTGAGACCGAGAGACATGTGCTTAGCCCCAACTGCGAGTATCGACTTCAAGAGCCCTGTGTTTCGTAGTGCAATATGGGGAACAACATTAGTAAAATGCCGAGCGGGATCAAACAAGTCTAAAATTGGCCCAACAACTTCGATATAATAACGAAAGAACGTGAGGTCGAGTGCTGATAATTCTATCCTACTCGTTGTGTTCCAAGGCTGGGGTAATTGGCGATAGTCTGGTATCGCTGTTTCGATCCCATTCTCTCCATGTTCCAGAGGGTCGGGTTGTTGCTCAGATTGCCTCTTTGCTTGCTCGGGGTGAGCCTCAGGGTATCCAGGGGCTGGGGACTGTCTTCGCGAGAGGGCAATTTCGGGGAATTTCCATCGTGGTTCGCCCGTCGATGCGTCATTTAGTCGTTGGATGTTGCTGATAGCATCCCGTGCCAGCAGGTCGAACCACTCCCCCGGGGATATGTTGAGCAAGGGTATCTGGCTAGGTGGAAGTGGAGAACCCAAGAAGCCCGAATCAAGGCCGGAAAAACACTGGTCATTGGCTTTATCCAAATGGTCATTTTGCAATGTTTCATTTGAGGCGCTGTGGTGGTGTGGCACGGAGACTCCAGCAGGGGCTGAGCAGATAGCCTGAAAGTAGGGTGCTGGACCGGAGCTCGGCTGCTGCTGCTCCTCCGGAGCGACACCTAAATCGCTGATACCGTTTCGTTCAACACATACCTCCTCAGCCCTGTCCTCTCTTGAATCTGCTTGTGCCCGTGGGGACGCATAGTCGGCACCGGGCCCGGTTGCATGTCGCTGGTCATTTACCTGGGCATATCGACAGATACGATCTGACTTGGAGCACCGCAGGCATGTGGGCTTACCATCGTCGCACTTTACGCGTCGTTCCCTGCAAGTGAGGCTTCTGAGCGTGTAAGCGAGGTTGATGCTCGCTTAGGGGGCATTCGAAATTGACTGACCATCCTGTCCTGGTTCTCAGTCCCCGGGCCCGAGATAGTCTGATGCGGCGACGTCGGGTCCCTGTAGCGGTTCCCTCAGCCTTTTCTCGTGCGGTGCTAGTAACTTCCATTAGGGAGACATCTATGAGTGGACTTCGTCTCGAAGCCCGTTAAATATTCCCCGGAATTCATTACCCCGCTTGACCCACTTGGGGTTACTTGGAAGTTCGAAGTTGGACTTGCTTGTTTCTCGACCACTTGTGCACTCAGACCCGTGAGCTGTCCGTGGCAAAAATATACTCATCTAAGCCATGCCAGTTTGACAACGGCCATTGATACGCGCGACGCACTATGGCCGTCCTCATCGGATCACTTGCGCATCATGGGAGTGCACGTTCAACAACTGCCGCGGCAGCCAACAGACCAATTCTGAGGAGTCCATTCTTCGCCGTGAATGGTATTGCAGAAAAGGTTGCCGGCTGGTTCTCGAGGCGAGGGCCACTGGCCTCGAAGAGGAAAAGTCCCCCCGACCACCATAGCCACCCTTCGGCAACAGCGGTTTCTGGCATCAATTGATTGACATTATCGGGATTGGGTGATCCGCAACTTCGTTTCGATCCCCAACACCCACGATCAAGTAATTAAGTATCGTCCCAAGGCATTGTATGTCGGTCGCGCGATGGCTGTGGATTGATGTCTTGAGTATAAGAACTGGCTGTCCACTCCGACTTCTGCCACCAGCCTTTAGCAGCTTTTCAGCAAGTGCTACTCTCGAACAAATCTTTCCGGTCTTAGAGTTGACCCTTACGCCATGGCACCTGCGCTGGAACTCCTCGAGAAGCCCGTCGAGTATTTGCCGGTCAAGGCAGTCTCGGCCATCAGTACCAGGGCTTCCGCTACTGTTTCAGCTAATGATATTAAATTGGAAAACACAGAGAAGCATCAGCGAGTCATGAATGTCTTTCGGGCCTTCATCGCTGATCTCTGCCAGCAATACGGTGAAGGTCACGCTGGGTAAATCAACAACCTCTTCATGGATTTCCTTTTTCACAGTGTATCGCTGACGGAACCTCGCTACAGATCCCCTATGGGTATGGCTGCCATTGGCATTGCCCTGTACAAGTATGTCATGAAGTACTCTCCAGGTAACTGCAACTACTTCAACCGGGACCGCTTTGTTCTTTCGAATGGTATGAACTCTGTATCCCTTCAGCTGTCCACAGGGGCAAAGCGACATGTGATTTAACTAGTACATAGGCCATGCCTGTCTGTGGCAGTACCTTTTTATGCACCTTGTTGGCGTCAAAAGTATGACACTCGAGCAGCTGAAGTCTTACCACTCCTCAAAGCTCGACTCACTCTGCCCCGGGCACCCGGAGATTGAGAACGAGGGCGTGGAGGTTACGACTGGGCCCCTCGGCCAGGGCCTCGCTAATGCTGTTGGCCTGGCTATAGCCACTAAGAACCTTGCTGCGACTTACAACAGGCCCGGCCATGAGCTAGTGAATAACATGACATGGTGCATGGTGGGCGACGCTTGCCTTCAGGAAGGTGTTGGTCTTGAGGCTCTCTCCCTCGCCGGTCATTGGAAGCTAAACAATCTCTGTGTCATGTTCGACAATAACGCGGTTACGTGTGACGGAACTGCAGACGTTGCCAACACTGAGGATATCAACTCCAAGATGCGCGCTACAGGTTTCAACGTCGTAGACGTGTACAACGGGGACTCGGACGTTGCCGGTATGTCTCAGAGCTCCTTTTAGCTTGGTGGTGATAACTCTGCTAATGTTCATCAGCTGTCACAAGCGCTCTTGTGGCCGCTCGATCGAGCGACAAGCCCACCTTCATTAACATTCGCACCACGATTGGTTTCGGATCTGCCAAGGCCGGCACCGCCGACGTGCACGGAGCTGCCCTTGGAGTGGATGAAGTGGCCAACGTCAAGAGGTTATTCGGTCTCAATCCTGACAAGCATTTCCACATCCCCCAGGACGTCTACGAGTTCTTCAGTGACATACCCGGTCGTGGTGAGGCACACGAAGCGGGCTGGCAAAAGGCCCTAGCAAAGTATCAGGAAGAGGACCCCGTACTTGCGGCTGAATTTGCGCTCCGTGTGGCGGGAAAGATGCCCGAAGACTGGACCAAATGCATTCCTCGCAAGGAAGACCAGCCTACTGCACCAACGGCCTCCCGAAAGTCAGCCGGCGTCGTAACCAACGCTCTTGGAGGAAATATCAATTCATTCTTGATCGGCACAGCAGATCTCACTCCCTCATGCAATGTCGCCTACAAAAACAAAGTCGACTTCCAGTCTGTAAGTATATTGTGTTCAGTCTTCCCTTGTCGCCCCCAAACCAGGGTTTTAATGTAGTACTAGCCCGAACTCCGAACTGCTTGCGGCCTGAATGGAAACTACAGCGGTCGATATATCCACTACGGTATCCGCGAGCATGCCATGTGTGCCATCTCCAACGGGCTGGCCGCCTTCAATAAAGGCACTTTTATCCCCATGACAAGCACGTACTTCGTCTTCCACTTGTACGCGGCTGCCGCTGTACGCATGGCCGCGCTTCAAGGCCTCCAGCAAATCCACATCGCCACCCACGACAGCATTGGCGTTGGCGAGAACGGACCTACGCACCAGCCCGTAGCCGTCGCCGCTCTCTACCGCGCTATGCCTAATGTTCTTTATATCCGACCCTGCGACGCAGAAGAAGTATCCGGTGCCTACATCGCCGCCATCCAGGCCACGGAGACGCCCACCATTATCTCCCTTTCCCGACAGAGCCTGACCCAGTACCCTCAATACTCCTCGCGCGAGGGTACTATTAAGGGCGCGTACGTCTTCACCGAGGCCGAGGGCGATGATTTCGATGTAACCTTGATCGGAGTCGGCTCCGAGATGGGCTTCGCGATGCAGACTAGGGAACTACTTCTTCAGAACCATGGTATAAGGTCACGAGTGGTCTCTTTCCCTTGCACTAGGCTTTTTGAGCAGCAGTCACGGGAGTACAAGCATTCGGTCTTGAAACCACGCGCTGGAAAGCCCACTGTCGTTATCGAGGCGTACCCGTCTAACGGGTGGGAGCGCTATGCTGATGCTTCGGTGTCGATGAATAGCTTTGGAAAGAGCCTTCCCTCGAAGGAGACATATGAGCATTTTGGATTTGCTCCGGAGAGTATCGCACCTAAAGTCAAGGACCTGGTGGAGGAAGTCAGGCGGGACGGCATTGGAATCCTGAGGGGTGACTTTAGAGACTTTAACGGCGGTCTGCGGGTTGGCTTTGGGCATTAGAAGACTTTATGGCACCTATGAATGATTTTTGTACCGGAGGAAGACATTTATACGCAATGACATGCCTTTAATAGAACACAAGAAGTTTCTAGGGACCCTAGATAAACGACCACGCTCTAGATTCCCTATCTATAATTGGTATCTAGTTCTGTCACAAATGCTTCCCCGCGATTATTGGACGATGGGAGCTGGGTGCAAAGTAAAGAGCCTTGCATGGTCCAAAATGGCCACAGGAGTGACATCCATAAGCCGAAATTGCTTGAGCCTTGACTACCAAATAGACGGCAACTCTCCACCCGAGAGCCAGGAGAGTCGCTTTTCGCTAAATTGGAAACAATCAGGCAATCCAGTCTCATCCCAGGTCTGTCCAAGAACAAGCTTAGCGATTCCCGGGGCACACGTGAATATCCTCGCCATACCTAGTTCTGGTTAGCCTTGTTGATGTTAAAAAGGATTAACGGGAAATTAGACCCACCATGGCCGTTGAAGCCGGCGCAGATATATTGTCCTGGTAAAGATTCAATCGCACCAACAAACGGAACAGAGTCCGTGGTCATTGCGATTATCCCCGTCCAAGCATGATCCAAGCCTTCGCCATGCATAGTAGTGTCAGGCACATAATCAGGAAACATTTCACCAAAACTGCGTAAAGCGTCCTGGACAATTTCCTCGTTATATCGAGTATCATCGGTGCTTAAACGACCAGCAATTGTCTCTGGGCTTAATGTCGGATTTGATCGTGATACACCAAGCACCAATGTGCCGTCTGCTTGTCGCTGGATGAGCGAATAGAAATGGTAAAGACTGTAGCGGAGCGAGAAAGTACTTTGCAACGCTTGTTCTCCAGAAAATGCTGGGGCCGGGATAATAGAATGGGCCTGCGCACGATTTGGGCGCATATATGGATCCAAGTGCGGAAGTAAAAGGGCTGCGTGGGCATTCGTGCAGTGAACGACTTTCTCCGCTGTTATTACTCCACGCGGGGTGTGCACATCCCACAGTCCGGAAGACGAGCTGGCTTTGACTTCAGTGGCCGGACAGAAGGTGAAGAGTTTTACTCCCTTGGATATCACATTTTTAAGGAGGAATTGTGCGAGCTTTGCTGGGTGACTCGAACCTGCTGGCCATTCATATGCGGCAATTGCTCCAGGAACTCTGGTCTTCTGTTGAGCGTCTTTGCCTTCGTAGAACTTGATATGCGAAGTATCACCTCCTGCTTTTTTGAAAGATTCTAGACTTTCTTTCTCATAAGCCGCAAACTCAGGAGTCATGCAAACATCGAACGTTGTTGTTAAATTGAAGTCACAGGGCACATTGTGCTTGGTGACAAACTCGTCCACTCTCTGAAGGACCAGTCGCTCATCTTGTATTATCTTTAAGGCTTGTTTCTCTCCGTGAACTTTGGAGTATGCACTAAAGCCTCGGAATGCATCTAGCATGATTCGAAATCAGAAATGTACTCAACCAAGAACGAATGCCACAAACCTGGTCGGACATGTCCAGCATTGCGCGAACTTGCTCCGCTTGCTGCTTCCCGTGCCTCGAGAATGACGATGTCCTCTCCCTTGACTCCTCCTTCAATTAGCTCGAAAGCAGTCAAGCTGCCTGATATTCCGGAGCCGACGACAACATACTTGGAATTCGATAAAACCTTCGCATCCTTGTTCGCATGCAAATGTGGAAATGCGCGAGTCGTTCGCTGCCAATAACTCAAACAAGGGGTTTGATTCGGCAGGCTACGGCTGCTGCCCTCCTTTTGACTTAAAGGTGACATTGCTGCTAATGACAGACTACAACCGGGGATCCCTGTTTCCCGGTATATATAAGTGACTCAACGTTAAATGCCAGTTATTCCGTGTCGGCCGCTGTCGGCGTTGAGAAAGTGTTCACCTTGAGTCACCGGTGCGGGGAATAATCCCCTATCGCGGACATCGCCCGGTCCCAAGCCCGACTGGGATGAGCTTTGCTCTTTTCCGCGCCAATCATAGGTGATGATTTGGGGACTAAGCTCATCTTTAAAGAAAAGTGGAGAGTCACGGACGCCAAGAAGGTGTTGGGGGTGTCTATCTCCCTATCTAACAGCTCCGGCCTCCCTCCGAGGTTACTCCACGCTCTAAGGAATGCAACTATTGGTGCTATGCTTCAACGTTATCACCCTTTAGCCTAACAGGTAACATGCTTCCCCTGGGATCTGCAGCCGATTCTACCCCGGACTATCTTTTATCTGCGAGGGGTCATGCACGCCTTATCTAGTCCGCTCCGGCCTTCTATAAGGGCCATGGTCGCCACATAGCTCTTTCTTTCTTTTCGACCACATTCCCGCCATGGTGTCTTTCAAGCTATGGCCTCGCAGTGCGCCCAGCGATGATTTCCGTTCCATGGACGAGAAAGCCCTGGTGCGCCGTCTGGATATCTTTCTAATGACTTTCGGTTGTCTCTCACAGGGTCCGTTGGGCGCAAGACCCCTCAGCTGAAGAAAAAACCAAATCTGACTTGACGCAGTTATCAAATATCTCGATCAACAAAATATCAACAATGCGTATGTCTCTGGCATGATGGAGGATTTGAACTTACACGGCAACGAGCTCAACCTGTGAGTCGGAAGTACCCACATTCCCCGGATTTCAACTAATGCCCGCGAGATTCACAACTTACTTCAATGTCGCCTACTGCATCATGCTCATTCCGTCCCAGATTATCCTCACCTACGTACGACCAAGTTATTGGCTTCCGGGCTTGGAAATAATTTGGGGTGTGTTGACTGGGCTGATTGCTATGGCCAGCAATGCAAAACAAGTATACGTTCTTCGCGTATTCCTCGGCCTATGCGAAAGTAGCGCTTGGCCTGGGATGATGACACTATTTAGTGCGTTTACTCTGATTTTTTCCGTCGATATTCTCCAAGCGGCCTGGATTCACTAACTCTCACTAGTGTACTGGTACACACCAACAGAACTCGCCAAGCGAATGGGCTTCTACCATTCCTGCCAAGCGGTAGGACAAATGCTGTCGGGTGCCATGCAAGCTGCCATCTCTGATACTTTGAACGGGCACGGCGGACTAGCAGGATGGCGCTGGCTCTTCGTGATCAACGCGATCATCACCGTTGTATGGGGATTCGCCGGATTCTTCATGATCCCCGATTTACCGAATAGGCCCAACCCGCGCGCATTCTGGTTCAAGAAGATGCACGGCGAATTATCGCTGGAGCGACTTGCTCGTAACGGACGCGCCGAGCCTAAGCGCATGACCTGGGCCGGTGTTAAGCGCACATTCTCCGGATGGGTTGTCTACTTCATTTCGATTCTTTATATCGCGACAGTCCTTGGAACATACGGATATGTCTATTTCTCGCTATTCTTAAAGTCACTTAAGAACCCAGACGGCACACCTAGATGGACCGTGTCGCAGGTCAACGCCATTCCTATTGGAGGCTCAGCAATCAACGTCGTCTTCGTTTGGATTTGGGCCTTGTTGTCTGATTACCTGAAAACTCGTTGGACTCTGATCGTTCTCCAAGCTGTCATCGGGATCATACCATGCATTGTTATGAGTATCTGGACAACACACCCAGACACCGTTGCCCTATCAGCCGCCTACGCATCATATTTCATCTCCTACATCTGCCTCGGTACAGCGCCGCTCATCTTTGCATGGCTTTCTGATCTTATCCCGCAGGATCCAGAAGCCCGGTCGCTTGCTGTTGGAGTCGCAGTTGCTGGGTACTACTCTATCTCTGCATGGTCGCAGGTTCTTGTATGGCCTGCCTCCCAAGCTCCTTTCTATAAATATGGATGGCAGTCTGCCTTGGCTCTGCTCGTGCTTGTTATTATCATGACTTGTATCTTGCGCTTTGTTGATGTGCGATATCTGTTGCCTCAACGTGAGGAGTTCCGCGCTGCGCTGGAGGATGACATTGCAGCTGGTAAAGCAACTTCATCAGCAGTCGTTGATCAGGATAGCCCAAGTCAGCGGAGAGATGGGCCGTCTAAGACTGGTCACACAACAACTGTGGATGAGGTCTAGATTCCGTTTCTCCCGGCCAGTCACACAGTTGTAGTCGTCCTGATTGTCTCCTGCCCTTATATTGTTGTCTTGTTTCGATACCCCATGCACAGCCTTGGGGCTTTTTGGATCTTATTGCCAATCAAGTGTAGTTATAACTTTCCGGCGGTATATAATTATAATTAATATTGGGAGTATATCCACACTAAAATACAAGGCACACAGGCACATGTCAGAGCTTAGAATAATAAACAACTATGTATCTTTCTCCGCACAACTCTCCTCTGTTGCTCCCTCACTTCATATCCACATCTTCTCAAGTGAACTGACACAGCTTAGTAGTAAAGAGGGTTCTCAGGATCAGTAAGATCAAAGATAACACTAGAGTGGGGCTTCGCGCCCCCACGATTTTCAAACTCCTTGCTGAAGTCAATAGTTCGGTTGAAAGAGAGACTGCCATCCTCGTTCAGATCGATATAGAGCGCCTTGAAGTCAGCCGGAGTATTGATAATACCGATCTCGCCAGTTTGGACAAAGTAATCTGTGACAACCAGGTGCTTCTGGTCAGGCGTGACTTTGACATAGTGAGGTCCGACGGTGGGTTGGTCCTCATCTGGATCATCGAGACGTTTGATGTTGTTCAGGTCGCTGATGTCCAGCGCAACAATGTGGTTTGCTGTGGTAAGGGTGGCGTAGAAGAAGCGGCCGTCTTGGCTGATGTCGGAGCTGTGGGCGCAGTGGTTAATATTCTGTTCTTTTGCTGTATGATAAGGAAGTACTTACTAGATAGCGACAGTATCACGAGCCTTGGGTCCAAGGTCAAAGAGCTCCTCAATCACACCTTGGTTGCCGTTCGCGTCTTTGCGCAGAGGGTAGATAACCCAAATTTGGCCCAGGTGGACAGCAGTTGCGATAGCGGCAGATTCAGGGTGTCCGGGAATAAACTTGACGTCTTGGATACCGCCACCCTAGTGAGGTTAGACAGAACAAAGAAAAATTTTCCTCTCGGTTAGACTTACGTTAGGAATAGTAAGGGTACTGAGAATCTTCCGGGTATCCAGGTCCCACAAGCGCAATGTATCAGCACGACGCACTCCAAGAGTGGGTTTCAAAATAGAGATAGGCTCGACGAAGTCCGAAGTCAAGATGAGCTTCTTATCCCAGTCAATACTGAGACCATGAGGAGAGAATTGCTGTTCGAGAATGTTGAGTGTACCCTCAACATCCTCGGGCCATTCATGGATGATGTTGAAGTCGGCATCGGTCTCAATTAGACGACCGGGAGAGGTACCAACTGCGGAACCCATGTAGGTGATGAAGAATCCTCCGTCAGGCTTGGCTCTGACCTCGTCTGCAATCGAGGCCAGGATACCCCGGTTGCTCTTCAGGAATGTGGGGCGGTAGGGGTTAGAGGTGTCAAAGTAGAATCCAGTGTCCTGAGTGAATGTTAGAAGGGCTTGGGAGATTTTTATTTCAGATGTGGTACATACCTGTGTCTTTAACAGAGACAGCAATCCACCTCCCCAGAGGGTCTTTCCATCAAGAGAGGGTCCGAGATGGTGGGGGTCGTTGCCGCTTGATGGGACATCGGTGACCCACAAGAGAGTACCGAAGGTATCCTGATATCGAGTCAGTAAGCACATTCAGGTATTGTGTTACATGGTATGACTTACATCATCCAGACTGTAGGTGGCAAGGAAATCTGGGAATAAGAGTAAGTATCATCTCCAAGGTTGTTTGATAGACCCTCACCCTTATGGAACTTGTCGGCAGACCCAGTCCAAAAGTAACCAATCTTCTTGGGCTGGATATCACTCGGGGTAAAAGGAGGGCTTTCAAGTGGAGGTGTCGGGACTTGCAAAATAGGCAAAGGAGGAGCGTTGGTAGTCAAAGGCTCGGTCACTCCTGGGATGGTTGGAATAAGAGGAGGCAAGGAAAGGCACTCCCCGGCAGCGACCAAAGATGCAATAGAAGCGAAGGAATACTTCATCTTGGTGAGAAGATTTGAGAAAGATTGCGTTGGATTGAGCATATATGCGGGAATATCCCAAGGCTTATATATCCGAGGACGTCTCCGTATCTTCCCCAGACGAATTCTCTCCTTGTGTCTTTCCCCTGAAGCTTCTCGCCAACGGCAATGAAAAGCACGCAAGACAAAATAACATATAAACTGACTCTGATATTCCAAATTCCTGAAGGCGATGTTAATCTACGAAATGGCGAAATCTTTCCTGGAGGACGCCACGAGAAGTCAGGTGGCTCCAGACTCGGGGACTCGATTGCCCGACAAGTCCCCGTATAGTGATGTTCTGTGAAGTCAAGTTGAGTTATGGTGATAGAATGTCGTAACTGAACTCAATTTACGCTGCTGATAAAGGGATGGCAGACATCTGGCAGGGATTACAAGTTCGTGGGAGACATAGTTCGAACCCAAAATGCATATCTGGAATCAACAAAGAGGATCAATTGAATTCCTGCTGCTGAGTCTTGCTCTGGACTCAAACGCCACCATGATTTTGGGCGAACGAGTCGAAAAATTAGGGCAAAGAAAGCCATGTGCTTACCGAAATAGGAAAGTTCGGCCAAAAGCGCTCGGGGTTTGTCATCTCACAACTATAGCCAAGACCGCTAAGTGACCCGGAATTGAGATCCATCTATCAAAGCGAAGCTTTCTCTCTGTCTAACAGGGCTGCTTGCTTATAATTAAGAGGAATGATCTGCGATGCCAAGCAAGCCAAGTCATTCGGGATCTAGTAATTCAAGGTGCGGATGAGGTGATCTAGGGCAAAAGCACATCCCGAGCTTGACCAATCCCGCCTCACCAATTGCCGAAATATCAACGGTGGTATGTTCAATGTACCTGTCAGGGTCCAGGATCGACAAAACATTTTCTCCATGGAGTCCACGAATACGGGCGAACCATGCATCGATTTCGACATGATGCCAAGAATGTTGCTATACAGAGGAAAACCTACTTTCTCGTGGTTTCTGCCAGGGCACTTTTTACCCCTGTTAATCCAAAACTATCCTTACGAGGTGTTCCGCGGGAAGCGAAATTAAAAGATTCCTCTGAATTGCATCATTCTTTGTCTTTCGATAGTCCAGTTTATACTTTGGGCTAAATCTGTGCGCTCAGGTCTTGTCTTCATTTTGATCAACATGAGGAAATTTTGGTATCAATTGTGGCATTCTGGGGATAATTCCATCCGAGGTTTGATGGGGACGTGACGTTGAGGGGAGAGTGGTTTAAATGCATGTATAAAATATTATATAAATGAGCTCCCTCCGTCTTGGCTCGAGGCTTGCAACCTGAAATTTCGTTTTGATCGAAGACTTCTATTTTGAGTCACGATGAAGACTCAAAGCCTTGCTCTCCTTGGCCTGTTTGTTTCCACTGCCTTTGCGGTACCCAAGGCCAAAAGACAGGATGATGGCCGCGACCAGCCGATCAGCGGTAGCAAGGGCGCACCGATCTTAGGTAGGTCAACTTAAGCATAAGTTAGCCTCTATGGTGAGTGCTTACAATGTTCTGTTACTAGGCGGAACCAATCGACAGCTCGATATTCAGAACCCAGACCAGTTCCGTACTTCCGGTACCGACAATGGCTTTGTGCCCAATGTCAAATGGAGCTTCTCTGAGTCCCAGACTAGGCTGTTCCCAGGTGGTTGGTCTCGAGAGCAAGTCATCCAAGACTTGCCCCAAAGCCATGACATTGCTGGTGCTCAGCAGCATCTGAAGAAGGGGGCAATTCGTGAGCTGCACTGGCATAGAACGGTACATGGTTTCGGTCCCATAAATAGTCTTATATACTAACGGCAGTATTCAGGCTGAGTGGGGATTCGTTTACAATGGATCTCTCCTACTTTCAGGTGTTGACGAGCATGGTGGTTTCACCACTGAGAAGCTTGAGACTGGAGACATCTGGTACTTCCCCAAAGGTGTTGCCCATAACGTGCAAGGTTTAGATGATGAGAACGAGTATCTACTGGCCTTTGATGACGGTGACTTTGAGAAGATTGGGTATGTCTCCCTATACTTCACCCCAGTCATGCCATGCTGATCAAACAGAACAACCTTCATGGTCGACGATTGGATTGCCCACACTCCCCGAGATGTTCTCGCCAAGAACTTCGGCGTCGATCCCAAGGTTTTCGACACTGTTCCCTCTAAGTTCCCTTATATTCTGAATGGTACTGTCAGCAAGGACCTTGACGAAGCTCCAAAGGGTACTTTGAGAGGTGACAACTCGTACGTCTATCACACTTACAAACACCCCTCGGAGCCTGTACCTGGTCATGGTGGAACATTCCGCAAGATAGATTCGACCAACTTTCCTATTTCCAAGACTCTTGCTGCTGCTATTGTCGAGCTAGAGCCTAAGGGTCTTCGTGAACTTCACTGGCATCCCAACGTAAGTTTCCCAGTCAATGTCTACAAGACCGATTATTGATAGTCATTCAGGCTGAGGAATGGCTCTACTTCCACCAAGGTCATGCTCGTGCGACCGTTTTCATTGGTGATTCCAAAGCCCGCACCTTTGATTTCCATGCTGGAGACACCGCTGCATTCCCAGACAACAGCGGTATGTTCACATGTTCAAGAAATTTACTCGCCTGCGCTCACGTTTTTCTTCTAGGTCATTACATCGAAAATACTTCTGATACCGAGAAGCTTGTCTGGATTGAGCTATACAAGAGCGACCGTGTCGCTGACATCTCGTTGGCTCAGTGGCTTGCTTTGACCCCTGCTGATACTGTTGCCAACGTCTTGAAGATCGACATCGAGGTTGTCAAGCAGATCAAGAAGGAGAAGCAGATTCTTGTCCAGGGCAAGAAATAATTGTCTCTGTATATTGAAACATTATATCTGACCTGACTCGGTGGCCATGGATTGCTGTTTCGAGCTACACTGCACAATGCTAAATATTTTTAATTTCTTTCTATGCCCTTATTGGTGTTTGGCAATATAATTCATCCCTTACAATGATGAGAAATTCGAGCCCGGCTGTTTAACAATCTATGAACACAAAGTATTATTGATTTGATCTAGTATGACATTATTAACCCGCGATTGAACCCGCGATTGTTTGCCGTGGCACATTGCGCAGCAGAAAGCCGGTCTTAAGCTAGCGAATGTGAAACTCCAATTTTATCAAGCAGGCGTGTCACATACAGCATTTCTCAGAGACAAACCAACTGAGGTAAGTGTAAGCGCTTATGACGAGCTTCTCGCGGTGGGTTGAGATACATTGCAGGTTAGCCGTATTCGTTTGCATGATTTGGAACTGCACCCTTTAAGCACAGTGGTTAAACTACCTTCATTTGGAACAAAGTTCGAGCTACCCCGCGACCCGAGGCTCTTGCCCAAAAGTGTGGGGTCCCCACAATGCCTCCGCAGGGATAATGGCTTACGTGAACTATATAAAAAAGCTCAAACTTGATGGCTCGTTGTGTAATTCACATTTCTTCTATTCTCACTTCATTGAATCAACTGTTCGACTGTTCGCCCGACATGTGGTCTACTGTCCATGGTTTTTTGATGCTTGGTCTGATAGTCACCACGCTTCCCGCTGCGTCCGGATATGTTACTACCAAATCAGCCAAATTGCGCACCGTCATTACAACCGACATGGAGCAGGACGACTTGGCCTCGCTGCTCCGATTCCTGCTTTATACAAATGAACTCGATACGCAGGGCATCATCTATACCTCCAGCGTATATCACTGGGCCGGCAATGGCAATGGCACATCGTTGCGTTGGACTGGCACGCGGACTATTGAGGACGATGTCCTCAAGGCCTACGCAGAGGTGTACCCGAATCTACGTCGCCATGATCCATCTTACCCGGCGCCGAAGGAATTGTTGTCCACAGTTAAGATTGGTAACATCGATTTTGAGGGTGAAATGGATCATGACACCGATGGCTCAGACCTCATTCAGGCGCTATTGTTGGACAATGATCCACGAACGCTATACTTGCAGGCTTGGGGCGGCACCAACACCATAGCCCGTGCACTCAAGTCAATTGAGGAGCGGTATTCGGGCTCGCGCAAGTGGGCACGAACCAAGGAGACTATCTCCCGCAAAGCTGTCATCATGGCCAGTGGATTTCAGGACACGACGTACGTTGATTATATTGCTCCGCACTGGCCCCAGATTCGCGTCGAGGAGATGTCGGCCGGCTACGACACGTGGGGGTTCAACTGCAATAAGGGCCAGGGCAACGTCCGTGGCTTGCCAGATGATCACTTGTATTTTACAGGTGACTGGATTAAGCCAAATATTGAAATGGGACCGTACGGAAAGCTCTACCGCGCCTGGCTCGACGGCCAATCCATGCCAGGTGATCCATTAGACGTTTTTGGCAATCTAACAAAAGCGGCCTCTGGCTGGTGCAAGCCACTTGGCTCATACGATTTCCTTTCCGAGGGCGATAACGTCGCGTTTAATCCCCTATTGACCACCGGCATCCAGGACCCAACCAACCCGAACCTTGGTGGCTGGGGCGGCCGGGCCAAACAAAACACAACGTCTCCGGATTTGTGGGTGATGGTCGACAGCGAAACAAACACGAACGGTACAAAAACCGACGCATATACGACAAACCGCTGGATTGCGGCTGTTCAGAACGACTTTGCCGCGCGCATGCAGTGGACAGTGACACCTCAGTACCGCAACGGAAACCACGCGCCCTCTGTTCATATCTTGAATGGTAGTACAGTAAAAGGACGCCCTGGTAAGACGGTTACACTGGTTGGTGCAGTTCACGATCCAGATGACGACAAGGTCAACAGTTCCTGGTGGCAGTATGTGGAGGAAGGTACATACCCCGGTGCCGTGGCTGTCACTGATCACGGCCGAAATCAGGCGAGTGTGATAATTCCGGCTAATGCGGAGCCTGGTCAAACAATCTCGATCATTCTGCAAGGGACCGACGATGGGCACTTTCCGTTGACTCGCTATGACCGCGTTCTTATCCAAGTCATGTAATCTAACTAACTTACTCCGATTGTTATATCACTACAACTTGTTGCTTGGTGCTGGTATCATGGTTCTGCTCGGAAAGTGGGCTTGAGCGAGAGTGCATATAAAATCGTGTGTTGGTGAGAGTGTACGATGATTGGATTATAGTTTGTTTTGGCAGATTTATTTAAATAATAAGAGAGAGGGACGATTCGACCCTGACTTGCACATATCTCCTCTTTGGGACAAAGGGGATGGTATCGACCTAAAATCGGGTTAAAACCTCACCGAAGGTCCCTATGGCCTAGCTGTCGGTCCCAGGTGAGAGTAACCCCCCTCAATCCTGGATTCCGCGCTGGACCAGTTGGTGTCTATCCCTCCTCTCTCCCCTTCGGCCGGAGGGAAGAGGTGGGCGGACACCAACGGCCTTGGAAAGCCAACGGCCCTTGGCCCCCTTGGTTGACCCCCAACCAAGGGCCGAAGGGAATATCACTTTTTTAAAAAAAGTCTCAGAGGTCTCTTTCTTTTTTAATTCTTAGTAACCATCACTCGCTCATTGCTTGTATCTGATGTAGTTGTATTGAATTGAGATATTAATACAACAATAACTTGCTATGAATCTGGGGAGTTCCTATAGCTTGGTAGATACTTAGAGATGAAAGCGCTTGGGGCTGCCTACGAACTAGGGTCGGGAGTGGTTAGCATTGGCAAATCCACCTAGCCTGAAACCCTGGGATGCGAAGTGCTTACAACTACCCAAGTTGGCCCGCTTTCACTTAGCCTGTGAATGCATAGGGCCATCTGGGGTTTCCCCGGAGTTCCCCACAGACCCCGCAGTTTTCCCGAGTGGCACCAACTTCCCAAAACAACGTTGGAAGTTCCCAGGCAGGATATTGTAGCCACAGCTTATTATTCCTTGATGGTCTCATTCTATAGGATTTGATCAAATAAATACGTTGAGCTGCACCCAAAATCCTCACCCGAGAGCCTGTCATTATATTGTGGCATCTCTCTTTTCTATCGGGATAAATCCATTTTCGTGGTTTACACCTAGCATTTTGAGTGGTTTATTTCATCGGAAATTGTCAATATGGCGGAAATGGCCGATGAATCGAATAGGGACTCCCGCGCCAAGGCGGCAATGGAAAACCGCTGGACATCGTTACTGCACAACCCCAAACTAATAGTTATTGCTCTCTTCGCGTCGTAAGTGCCAGATACTTCTATATAACAAACTCTTTTTAACAGTTTATATAGGGTTGGCGGATTTGAGTATGGGTATCAGCAGGGAGTCCTGGGCCAGTCCCTTGTCATGACGCGCTTTACGGACAACTTCCCTTCGGTCGTTGCATCCTCTAGCGCGACTGGATGGCTCACTTCAATCTTGCAACTGGGTGGTATACTCGGCTCTCTATCTGCAGGAATTCTGGGCGAGATATTCTCTCGGAAGTATACGATGTTTTCGGCCTGTTGTTGGGTTGTCCTAGGGAGCTACCTTTATTGTGGAGCCACTTACCACAAGCCAGGCTTGCTGTATGCAGGGAGATTTTTCACCGGTCTTGGGGTTGGTACTTTCAGTGGTGTCGGGTGAGTTCAATCTTTACCCATGGTCTGGCTCATCAACTAATTGTCCGATGTGCAAGTCCCCTTTATAACGCCGAGCTATCAGCTCCAGAGCTTCGCGGGTTTCTGGTATCTTTTTACCAATTTGCTACTATTTTCGGAATTATGCTGTCTTTCTGGATAGGGTATGGAAGTAACAATATTGGCGGCATTGGAGAAACGCAATCGAACCTTGCATGGCAGCTCCCCTCTATCATCCAAGGCATTCCAGCTGTACTGCTTGCAGGAGGGATCTGGTGGCTTCCTTTTTCTCCGCGCTGGCTTGTCAAGAAGGGTAGAGTTCAGGAGGCGCTTACTACATTAGCTTACCTGCGCAATCTGCCCGAGGACCATGAGTTGATTCAGGCAGAACTCAAGGAGATCGAGGCAGAGTGTCTCTTCGAGAAGCGCTCCTTTGCCAAAACTTTCCCGAACCTGGCAGCCAAGGAGCAAGGAAGTATATTGGTTCGCGAGTTTGCCCAGTATTATCAAATCTTCCGAACATGGGACAATTTTAAGCGGGTCGCAATCGCATGGCTTATCATGTTCTTCCAGCAATGGAGTGGTATTGATGCGATCATTTACTATGCCAGCACTGTGTTCCAAAGTTTGGGTTTGACTGGGGGTACTCAGGCACTATTAGCCACGGGTGTCACTGGAGTAGTGTTCTTTGTATGCACTCTCCCAGCCATGCCTCTCATCGATAGAGTTGGTCGAAAGCCCATGCTTTATGCCGGCTCGGCCGTCATGTGGATTTCGATGGTGCTGGTTGGCATAATTGTCGCAAAGTTTGGAAATGACTTTGCTCACCATTCAGATGCTGGCTGGGCGGCAGTGGCTTTCATCTGGATCTATGTCGGCGCATTTGGTGCTACCTGGGGACCAGTATCATGGACACTTGTAGCAGAAATATTCCCCCTGTCTATTCGTTCAAAAGGCTCGTCTTTCGGTGCATCAAGCAATTGGGTGAGTGCACACGATGGAGTTTATAGCAGCACTAATAGGATTTTAGGTCAACAACTTCGCTGTTGCCTTCTTCGTTCCACCTATGTTTCAGACTTGGAAATGGGGCACATATATTTTCTTTGCAGTCTTTCTTGCGGCTAGCATTGTATGGATTTATTTCTTCCTCCCAGAGACCAAAGGCGCGACATTGGAAGAGATGGATCGTGTTTTCAAGAGTCGCTCGGGGGAGACGGACATGATTATGCTAGATGAGGCACGTCGGGACGTCGCGATATCCCACGATGCAGCTCTGGATGTGGAGAAAGAGATGGTAAGTCACGAGGAAGAGCGTGACTCGTTGAAACGGTAATCAGTGCTGCACTTTGTACTTTGGCATACTATCTGACCTTAGGTTGGTGGTTCTCTCTTTTCTAAGACGTTTGCGGAATCAAAATAGCTAGGTATGATTGCTCTTTGGGCTTAACATCAGAAGAGATGTCTTTAATCTTCCTAAAATATCACTGACGCCTCTTGGTGACTTTTTCTGTCAGCATAATAAGGTTAAGGTTGGTGGGCCGACCCGCAACCGCTCCACTGAGCCATTCAGAGCTGTGGTTGGGCGAAGACCTATTACAGTAGCTCCTGAGGACCACGAATGATAGGAAATATTTTCCATCAGACGTTAAGGTGTGGTTCAATGTGGCACAGCGTGCAGGTGGCGCGGGGTAACTTTGCGTCTGCACAGCAGTTGATCCTGTCAATAATGATTGGGAGGGTCAAATCTTGCTTACTGGACTCAAGAGAGTCTTGTATGTGACAGCAAGGCTTGTATTAGTTCCCCGGATTGCTTTGAGCTCCCTCTATATCTGCCTAATATTGGCCAGCACTAAGGATGCCAATGGCTGTAACATCTGCCAGTGCTTTCAAGATGGTCGAAGACCCTAAAATAGATGCTGTAGCTAGTTTGCTAATTAGGGTGCCTCTCAAATTGCTGAAATAGTTTTTGTCAGCTTATCTCCCATTAAGTTCAATTGACTGGATGTTCCATGATCATAACAGCCCGACTACCTATGTACCTACCTAGATAGTACTCTTGAACTTAATGAGCCAGTTAGTGTTACTTTCAAATAACGTGGGGCTCTTAGTGGTTCTTCCGTAAGATCAGACGGTGCTCTCGACACGTGGTGTGCTTCATTAGCTATCTAGTCTTCTTTCGTATTTTACACTAAGCTAGAAACGGATAAAAAGTTCCCCTGGGGGACATTTTAGGTGAGCGTGCATGCGGGAAACCGGAGGATAGATAGTGCTATTGCTCTATCGTTCTTGCCATTAAAAGTTCAACATGAAGAACTCGGATTTTGAGCACTGATCACAAGCTGTGGAACGCCTATGTTCCATCCCTTTTTTTTTTTTTTTTTTTTTTTTGTTTTCTATTATCTTACTCTTGCTTTCTTGATGCAAACTACAACGGTTATTCCCACACAAACGCAGCTCCTTCTCGACCAGGAACTCTCTAAGCTTTTGCTTTCGATATTTTTGAAAACTAAAATACGCTTTCTTGTTATGATACCCAAGCCTTTGCAGTAGCACATTTCTTGAGGCTTATGAATGCCCCCTCGCAAATGCGTCTCTATCAGACACCCCCTCTCCCCCCACGCCCTATTCTCCCACTCCCGGATAACCTGCCAGATACCGTGATGTGTAATAATCCGTCTTTCGCTTTTTACAGGGTCTAAACCGTTACTTCGGCGAAGCATTTATTCCTCGCAACGTTTTCGAGCGACCTCGGAGAGACGGCTTTAATAATCCATATCTATATTTTTTTAGCAAGCTTCCCATAATGGACCTTTCCATGAGATCCCTAAATATATCGACTGACATTTCCAGGGACTTCGCTCTCGGAGGCCGGAAGATAGGACCCTGTTCGGCTTTGGAAGAATAGGCGGCATGTCATGCTAATGGATTGGAAATGATATTAGCAGATATGTGTCACGAGTAGATATATAGACTCACCAGCCCGTTCTCTTCTCTACTTTCGGGCTCTTGGGGGCCCCAGATAATACTTGCCAGTCCAGTCATGACATCCGATATCTTGTGGCCAACGGTTCCGATAAAACGTGTCAGAGCATCGGCCATTGCTGGAGGGCTTTATTATATACCAAGTGGAAAAGTAAAAAGAGTGGAAAGTAAGAGAAAGCTCAGGGCGTGCTCTTCTAGATTCTAGCTCAGAGGAGCCCGATTTATATGAATTCCACGGTCAATGAGCTTCCTGTTTTGCGCGACCCGACAGTGTTTCAGCTGTCACTTTTGTCCTGTATGATTATCACCGTGCTTTCCACAGGTCTAAATTACCGGGGGTGTATTCCCGCGTGAATCTACGTGATTTCGCGTGATTCCGCGTGAATCGACTCCTTGAGTATTTATCGGATTCAACTGACCCAGGGTAAACTTGAAATCATGAACGCAGTTCCATCATATTAGTTAAATACTTTTACCTTAGACAAAAGTGATCGTATACCGGATACTCGTCGGCAACTAGCATGAGGTCTTTCAATACACAGTGATATTGGCGTCTAATCGGAGGCTCATGGAGGAGCAATCCGAATGGGGTAGCCCGCATTGTTGAGAGAGAGTCCTATTGTGACTAATCCCAATACAAGTCTTATCGATGTTTTTGGGATTATTAGGCGGGGCTTTACATGGATGCACAGGGGGGCGACGTGTCTCTAGGTAGGCAGGATAATTTCTTTTGACTTCTGCCCTGGATCCTCATCAGTGCGAAAATGTTAGATTGCCTGGTAGGCGAGTACCTAATACAAAACTTGAGTATATAAAACGCATAGAAATTAGCCCATGAATAGAGGGCAAAGTGAAACGATGTGAATCGAAGTGGATCGATGTGACTCGATGTGAACCAAACACAATAAGTGTCAATCATACAGGTGGGCCCTGTTCATAGGGAACGGACCCTCCCTCGCATAGCCAAGGTCTACTGTACGGGCAGATTGGATCCCTATGCGGGTTCCATTGCCGATGCCATTCGGAGAAAACGGGTCGGGTCTATTCCTTCGAAGCAACACTAAGGCAAGGATCTGAATTTGAAAGGAACATTAATTGATTGAATACCAAACTCCAATAATGCAATTATGCTGATAGCAGACACCAAACTCCAAGCGTGACCAAGTCCACTCCAGAGTACTCGGACAAAGGGCCAAAACTCCATGCACGCTACCAACAATGCTCGAAATCCAACGTTGCTCCCTCCGTGAACGAAATATCAACTTAGAACAATAACAAAGAATATAGCCTTAATTTTTAATCGCCTTTCTCTTAAGCACGCCAAGATGCTCCAGTCTATCCCATGCTTGGTTCATATCGGAGGCCTCATCGCCCAGCGATGGCCGGAGCTCCAAACCATCCAGGGTATGGAGAGAGCCGCTTGTGCCGGCGTAAAGGAGGAGTTCGAGAACTCTCCGACGGAGTCGTGTGGCTTGATCGAGATGGGTCAGATATTTCCCGTCGGCATGGGGGTCTGCGAGTGGAACTGTGAAGGGGTCGTTGATTTCGACGTCCGTATCAGGCTTTGCCCCGTCTCCCATTGTTGCCCGGTGCGATATCTGGTCATCGTTTCCGAGCTCTGCTAGAGCATCAGAAAGATCTCGGTGGTTATGTTGGTGCCGAACTATTGCATGTTCGTTGGACTTCAACTTCTTCCAATCCGCGGTCGTGCCGCTTCCGGTTACTGCTGGGGGGTAAAAGCCAACAGTTAATGGGTTCCCACGGATATCAAGCTTGCGCAAGGAGCACGTGGTTCCTTTCCCAGTTCTTCCTAGCCGACTGAGGATTTGAGAGACCCTCCTCATCCTTGATAGGCGATTGCCAACGATCATCAATCTGGCGAGACAGTTCATTCCCACCAGGGGTTCCACGTCATCGACAGAGTTGAAGTTCATATTGAGAACTTTCAGGTTGGGGAAGCTCAACGCAAAGTCACTTGGGATGCTCTTCAATGTACACGCAGCTAAGTCAAGAAGCTGGAGGCGTAGAAGTGGAGCAGATGGAGAAAGGGTTTTAGGTGAAAGTTTGTTGGACGACAAAAACACTTTGCGGATATCCTTGATAAGCCCCAGATCAAGGTCGAAGGTGAAACCGGGATCCTTTTCTCTGGGTGTCTGCTCCCGTAGAGACAGAACCTCGAGATTGTGGCAATTTTCCAGGCCGGTAACGGTGGAAAGATGGTTCTGATCGAGGTAAATAAGGCTCGCGGAAGGGAATGCTCGTACATCTAAAGACTCGAGACGGTTTCCCGACAGCTTAAGAGCACGCAAGCTGATTAGGGAAGCTGGTGATTCCAAACTACTGATTTGGTTGGCACTGAGATCAAGAGTGGCAAGTGACGGGAGCCAGTCAACATTGCGAACGGACGTTAAACAGTTGTGACTCAGGTCAAGATCCCGAAGGCGTGTGCTACATTCAATTAGTATCATGGTTTTCCGAGCCTTGAAGACGACTTACAGCTCAGAACCTTCGAAATCCACCACTGTCACAGAGTTGTTGCTCAGTTTCAAACTCAGCAAGCCGTTGAGGTCAAGAATGCCATCAATATTACGAATTTGGTTATCATTCGCCTTCAGCTCTCGGAGGTGGATCAAGCTCGAGAAGCCATCCAATGTCTCAATGTCGTTTCCTGAAACATCAAGGTATTGCAGATTGACCAAATGGCTCCAAGGGGTGAGATTGGACAGGCAGTTCCGTGGGATCTTGAGGGTTCGCAATGAGGACGGAATACCACTCAGTTGGCCAATGTCATTGTCGGAAACATCCAATTCCTCCAACCGTGGGCAGAATTCGTTGAGCTTGTGCAACGTAATCAACCCCTTCTGGCGCAGAACCAGGCGACGGACGTGCTCCCAGTAAGGCTCATATGGCTCGACGTCAGTGATATGCTTGATCAAATCTCCAGTTGCCAATGCAAACGTCCCGTGCACTTGGCGCAAGGAAGATGGATTTGTGCGTTGGGCCACATAGCTCATCTCAAGGTTTAGAGCTCGGTCCCCCTGGTTGACCGAAAAGTCTGCGAGAGGACTGAGGTGGAAGCTGTAACTTGTGTCGGGCCCAGTGCTCTGAATTGGCATCAAAGACTGCTCCGCATTGCGAGCCGGTGTTTCATTGACAGAAAGTGACTCGTTCCTGCGGACAAGGCTCTGGTCGTCGACGGTATCCTCGTTTCTCTCCTCGATTCTCGAAATGGGACGACGAATGAAAGGCTGTCCGGCAACGGAAGTTTGGCGTCCCGTTGGAGGGACGGAAGACCGGACCGAGCCAGTTTCATGATCGGGTTGAGCTGGCTCTTCGAGTGGAGGTATCCCC